AGAAAGCACTCTGTACTGGTAAGGCTGTTCTTGAATCGAAACCACTCGCACCGATAACAAAGTTGGCAATAGACCAAGGTAAGATAGTACTTGATTTGGGTGTATTTTAGTTCGTCTCTTCCATGAAATAACAAGATTTTCTGTTTTATAATCTTCTAAATCTTTTAAATATCAAAAACACAGCAGAAACCATCAGCTCAGTCCGTTTTTAAACACGGAACTTCTTTCACAATGATTTGAAGGCCTATTTACAGTAGCCATCTTGCTCTAGTTTGCAACTTGGACAAAGAAGCCGGAAGTGTTGTCGACACGCTTTGGAACTCTAATGAGAAAGTCGAAAAACCGCGCATCAGTGAAACCAAAGATGAACAGCAAGATGCTCCTACTCCAGCAAACATAGACGTTGTAGCGCCAGAGGAATCATCGTTTGAATATTGAACAAGTAAACACTATGATGAGATGAGAAGATTAAAACTTTCTATGTATATATCAAAAAAAATTATATTTTATAAAGTCAAAGATTAATTTTGGGATCGCACGCTGTCAAACCATTAATCTATGGAATATTTAACAGACAATTTCTCTATTTTTTTTAGAATAGAAGCACAAAATCATTAATTTATGCCAATCCACCCGGCAATAAAAATTTAACGCAAATTAAATCATAAAGGTAGACATAAATATAGACACAAAAGTAGACACAAAGGTAGACACAAAGGTAGACATAAAGGTAGACATAAAGGTAGACACAGAAGTAGACACAAAAGTAGACATAAAGGTAGACGCAAAGGTAGACACAAAGGTAGACATAAAGGTAGACATAAAGGTAGACATAAAGGTAGAGATAAAGGTAGACAAATAAAGTGGACACAAAGGTAAACATAAAGGTAGACATAAAGGTAGAGATAAAGGTATACAAATAAAGTGATAATTTGTATGAATAGCAACTTGCAGAAAGAATTTTAGATGAAAGACCTTTTTTAGGGCGATTTCGATGTTGAAGAACAATTAACGGATGACTGGAAACTATTCGTAACAAAGATTGCACACAACGTATGAAAATTCAAAGCAGAATTACAACAAGAAAAATTCTTTAACAGTGGATAAATCGTACCATATATCTTACTATTCAATGGCCATTCTGTTTAGATATAAACATCACGTTGAATGCCAGTGTAACGCAAAAGGCAAGACATTGTAGAACGCCTTCACGTGTAAATACAATCCTTTCTTATGACAGCTAATTTCTTTTCACAGGAAATACAGATGAATTTGGCCGAGTCTTCAGATATAATGTCATGATGAAAATGTATAAACCTATGGTTGATATGTTCTATGTGTGATAAACAATGTCATTGAAATGGAGTTCATGTCTTGTAAAGTATGTACGATAATCATAAAGAACACACCGCAAAATGTGAACGACAACAAAGTTCAAAGTAGCTATCAGCTAGCTTGTCGGTTTAAAAATGAATCCTCAATGTGAAGCCAGAAATATGTTATCATCATATTTAACAACAAGAAGTGGAATTGGATTAATTAAAATGACATTGAAGAGGCAGCTGAAAGAAATCTTCATTGTATGATTGTATGAAAGCGTGCTGAGTATGAAAGACTTGTACAGACAAACTTGCCTCTATATCTTTCGAAACAACTTATCCTGGGCTAGTGATTTTATGTGTAATGCTGATGTATATATGACCAATTAGATATTAATGTGTACTATTTATACCAGGCTTGCAATCTTTTATATCTAACTTTACAATTATGTTGTTGCTTTCTTGTATTACCCTTTACAAAATTTTGAAACGACACCTTGGTTCGACACCTTTGATAGTCATTTTTTTGCATTAATTACTGAAAGGTAGGAATGGTACATTAAATTAAACATCCATTCCCAACGAACTCTCTGGTCTCGTTAGAAGACACAACCTTTCGAGGTTGCAAAGTTGAGGTTCAAACCCTGTCTTGAATAAAATGTTTTTAGGCTATACATAGACTGACCTGAGAAATGGGTAACAGTCTTCGTTAGCAGTGGAAAAATGGTATTTCTATTAGTGTATTTTTCGAGAATGGAATGCGACACTTAGTATAATTTCAGAAAAAACTCGCTCTCGTATGAGGAAGAAGGAGGAGAGCGAAGAAAAAAAGATAGGAATTCATGCAAAAAACCACTCTTAAAAAAAGTCTTTTGATCAAATTTTTTTAAGAGTTATTTTTTTTAATTTTGAAATGTCAGGAAACTCAAGAGCAAACAGAACGCCCTAATATTCCCCATCTTCTTCCAGGCACTCGTTTCTCAGTTCGACTTGCTTTCTTTCACATACGCCTCGTACATCTAAGTGTGTTAGCAGAGGGGCGAACCAAGGATCTTGTGCACAGAGCGTCAGTGACGGCCAGTCAAGCTAAGAGCTCAACATCGACAGCTAGCTGTTTTTTGGCGGATTTGCTTATTTTTTTTATTAGTTTGAAGGGAAAGAAAACGAGTCGGTCTGAGATGGTGCAATACTTACACAGATAACATTCAGTATTCAACATATTCTAACTCGAAAAATGAGAAAGAAATGGACAAGATTTGACCACGAGACATGTTATCACAGCACCGATAACTGTACCACTCGGCCAGACGAGAGACATGCAAACCGATCACAACATGTGAAGTGTACGAGACAGCAAAACAATTCCTACCATGTCATAGCATGCACAAGTTCACAATATATAGTACGTTTGACTTTGGCTAAATCAGCCTCGTTGCAAATATAACGAAAGAGCCTTGTTTGCTTTACTGTCGAAAGTTAACTTTGTTAGACAAAATATGTTCTTCCAACAGCATAGACAAAGATGAAAGAAGTATACTCAATGTCAGGCAATGCCTTGTGGTGAATCAGAACTACAACGCGCTTGTTCACAGTCAATTTAATGACGTTGGCGATCATTGAAATTGTTTGTTTAAACTTAGCAAACAAATATCATTAAAGTAGTTGATGTAGTCATTACAGACGACATGAACAACATTTCAAAAAGTCATTTCATAAGAGAAGACATGAGACGACATTTAAAAACATCGTTATTTTACAGGAGTAGTTATGTATGATAGTACAAAATATGTTAACGAAGTCCAAACAAACAAGTTAAATTATCCCCAACGCTAAAGTACTAAATTACCAAAGCCACTGGTTAATAAAACACTAAACATGCATTACCATTTTTTAAACACAATGTTTTCGATCACCGAAGCACATCGTAACTGCATAAGTTTACTCCTAAATGGCCACGTCGTCTTTAGACATGAGTATGATTTCTTACCAAATAAAAATTGAACAGCGTTTCCTCGAAGTCATATGGTTTTGCAAACTTACATCAGTAAGTGCTAAATCATCAATTACAAAGTAAAAATGTGTTGACTGTTATGTGTAATGATAAAAAATGTGTTTGTTAAATAAAGTCAAACGCCAAAATTCTAAAAAAGTTATGTACCAAATATAAACACGTTTTGCTTTAAACAAAATATTTTCAGTCTTCGAAGCACATCTTAACTGCATGAGTTTAGTCCTATACGGACCAAGTCGTCTTTAAACATGAGTATGATTTCTTATCACGAAAAAGGGGAACGATTTCTCATCGAAGTAATAAGGCTTTGCAAACTGACATAAATAAGTTCTGAGGCATCACTTACTACATAAAAAAGTGTTTCTGTTATGTATGATGGTAAAAAATATGTTTGCTAAGTTTAAACAGACGATTCAATGATCCCCAACGCCACTACGAACATGCGCGTTATTGCCTTGATTCACCACATGGCAATGGCTGACATTGTTTATACTTTTTTCATCTTTGTCTTTGCTGTTGGAAGAACATAAATTGTCTAACAAAGTTAACTTACGACAGTAAAGCAAAGCAAAGCTCTTTCTTCGTCTTTGCAACGAGGGTGAAAAAGCCAAAGTCAATCGTACTATATATTGTGAACTTGTGCATGATATGACATGGAAGGAATTTTGGTTCTGTCTCGTACACTTGACATGTTGTGATCGAATTTGCATGTCTCTCGTCTGGCCGAGTGGTACAGTTATGGGTGCTGTGATAACACATCTCGGGTTCAAATCTTGTCCTTTTCTTTCTCATTTTTCTAGTTAAAATATGTTGTATACTGAATTTTATGGGTGTAGGTATTGCACCGTCTCGGGTTCAAGACCGACTCGTTTTCTTTCCCTTCAAACTAATAAAAAAAATTGGCAAATACGCCAAAAAACTGACAGCTTTCGATGATGAGCGCATAGCTCAACTGGCCGATGTTGGGCGCTTAGTTTGACATCAATGACCTCCGGTGCACAAGATCCTTGGTTCGCCCCTCTGCCAACACACTTGGCAGGTGTACGCGGCGGATGTGGAAGACAGAAAGTCGAACTGAGGAACGAGTGCCACGAGGTAAGAAAGGAATGATTAGGGCGTTCTGTTTGCTTTTGGGTTTCCTGACTTTTCAAAATTTAAAAAAATAACTCCCTGATCACAGGGAGTCATAAAAAAATTTGAGCAAAAGACTTAGTTTTTTTAAGAGTGGTTTTTTGCATGGATTCCTATCTTTTTTTTTCTTCGCTCTCCTCCTTCTTCTTCTTCATCGGAGAGCGAGTTTTTTCTGAAATTATACTAAGTGTCGCATTCCATTCTCGAAAAATACACTAATAGAAATGCCATTTTGCTACTGTTAACCAGCACTATTTTCCCATTTCTCAGGTCATCCTATGTATAGCCTAACAACATCTTATTCCAGCCAGGGTTTGAACCTCCACTTTCAACCTCGAAAGGTTGTGTCTTCTGACGAGACCAGAGAGTTCGTTGGAGATTGATGTTTAATTTAACGTTATATTCCTGCTTTGTAGTAATTAATGCAAAAAAAAATATGACCATTAAAGGTCTCGAATCAATATTATAGGAGAATTTCGAGCTAAAGATAATGCAACAAAGCAAAAACATAATTGTAAAATTAAGACGTACAAAGATTATAAATAGAAAGAGTGAAAGTCTTTTTATACATCAATAAAACACACGAATTGCTTTGATATCTGCACAAATTTGTCATATGAAGCACGTATCCAAACGGTCGGACAATAACGATTTCCTTTAGCAGGTAAGGTCAATATTAGTATAATTAATTCATTAGTACTTGTCGTAGTTAAATATAAGGATGACACAGTATTGGCTTGGCTTTGGTAGATCACGCTTTAAACCAGTTGATAATTTCTTCGAAAGGATTCATGCAAAATGGCAATTTTGAGCTTATATAGCTTTTTAATTTTGTTATCGTCCACTTTTCATAAGGAATGTCGTCATACCATCCATACACGAAGAACTTGTGAAATGATCAAGCATATATTAACACTTTTAATTGTATGTTTGATGTTAGTCATTATTCCTGTTAATGTAGACATGGAACCATTGTTTAAGGTCAGGATGATGTTCTACAACATCTGGTTTGTGGCGTTCCCGTACCAACTTAATGTGATCGATCGATGATCTTCAATGTTGGCTTTCATACGCTTGGATATCGTGCGGTATGAACGCACTGACAAATGGCTTTTTCTGGTAGACACTATTTTTTCACTGTAATGATATTTTGAAATGTTGGCGCAATGCTTTCGTTGAGAATCGCTTTTGAACTTGACTTGCTTTCGCTCTAAACCTTTCTCATCGTATTTTCTGTAAACAATGTCTCAATGCCCAATTACACGTATCAACCTTCTCAAATTTTTTTGTCTCCATCCATTTTGCCCTCGCGCTAGTGTTGAACTTGCCGTTACTGTTGTTGTCGATGAAATAAAACATAAGTACTTTCACCCCGACTTTTATCTGATTATTTTATAGATAATTAGGTATACATAATTGAACACCGATTTGTCCAAATGACATGGGTCTTAATAATTCCCACAACTAAATATTTTTGAATAATAGCTGGCTTTTAAACAATACCTCCTAACTCATAACAAGAATAAGTGGATTAATTTCATTCATTGACTATAAAGTAGTTGCCCGCGAGCAGTGAACACAAAAGTATCTTTCAATAGCCAAGACCAAATTTGTCGACATCCCAACGGCTCCTAGAAAATTATTCTGTAATGAAGTGTCATGACTAAAGCAATGAAGTTCACACGAGTGAAATAAGCATGTAAAAGACTTTTGTTTCTTTTACCATAGAGGTTTAACAAATACCAATTATTCTTTTCAATCTTTATTTTCTTCTTTAATCTTATGTTTAACTCCTTTAGTTAAGATTGTGTGCATGTTGATGATTCTTAGGTAGTATGCTTTGTTGATTGTCTTTGTTTAATCTTTTGTCTTTAATTGCTAGTGCTTATGCTTATTTCACTCGTGTAAGCCAAGCTCAAACATTAATCCTTACTGTTAAGTCTCGTCGTTTCTCAAAGATACATGTCAACAGGTCAAGGTCACCACCATGTTAAGCCAAATAGATCTCCTATAATTGAGTAAGATCGAAAATTTTTCTTTGAAGGGTCAAGCAGGTGAAGATGATTCAACAAGCAATGAAAGCGAATTGACATTCAACAAACAATGAGAGGCAATTTCATAGAAGATCACTTTCGGCAAATTAGGATTTGTGCCAAGTGCCAACTGCCACCGGTTGAACTGCCTTCCTTCCAACCCCCCTCGTGAAACAAAACCTAAATATTTTACAGGGGGGGTTATTTTACTATGTTACGTTATCAAAGCGGAAACAAAAATAGAAAGTTAGTACCTAAAATACAAACAGAAAAATCTAAAATTGTAATAAAATGTGAGATTTTCATTTGAAATACAAGAAAACACTTCACATATGTTTGGGAATGGCCGAGTCTACCCAAACATGTCAACAAGACAACGTAAAAAATTATCTGGAAATTAATGGACGTCTTCCTGTTGATTGTGAAGAAGGACAAGAGCCAGGAGCTTGTGGCGGGTTGGCAACGTTTGAATTTGTCAGTTTCTAGTCTTGAAAGTTCTTCGACTGTATGTGCATTGTTGTGCTTCTATTAAGGAAAGCAGCGCCACTTTTCGAAGCTGAAAATGAAGATGAATTTGATCATGTCTACGAAGAAAAGAATGGAATACAGAAAAGCACTAGTTGTGGACGTCTTGCACATTTGTGTAATTCTGAGGAAGAATATATTCTCATTGACGAGAATACTAACGGAATAAATACATCTGAGTCAAGGTTTGATTTATCAGCTAGTGCATGGGAAAATGAACCGTTTATTTATGGATGTTTTGTTGTCTTAACTCACAATTATTTTCACGTGAATCATAATCTTGTCATTTTTAAATAGATAATGTTTAAGCCATATTCCTTCGTCATATTTTTCTCTGACATTGACAATATGTCTCTAAATTCTTTAGTAATAATGAGGAAAATGAAACTGGTGAAGAAGATGTTGAAGTTCTTGTTGGGGAGATGACGCTTGCAGATGAAAATGATAAAGAAGGGAAAGGTGAATTGAAACAATGAGCAAGGTTTAACTATCTATGAAGATCATCTTAAAAAGTACCAATGATTATTTTATTAAGAAGCAACTGCTGTCATAGAAAATGGAAGAAATACTAGGAAGTACTTTGAGGAAGGTTGTTTTATAGTCTAGCATTGATGGGTCTGCTCATATTGTAGTAGGAACAATTGCTATACTTCATTTATGATTTAAAGATGTGAATCATCCAGATTGGATTAAACACAAGAAACACATTTTTGTACTTAGCAGTGCAGGAAAGCCTATTTACTCCAGGTAAAATGCATTTGACAACACACTAGTGTACTACAGTCTCTGTTATACTAGAATGACAATCTTATACAATAAAGAATGTTCACTTTACTCAGTATTTGATGAAATTCAAGGTATGGCAATGAAGAGAAACTTTCAACTCTCACAGGAGTCATGCAGGCCTTGGTTTCATTTGTTGAAGATGATAAAAATCAATTAAGGTTTAGTTCATTTGTGCCTAATTCATACACATTGCTTTTTTTACTTATCATGTGTTGTTCTTCAAGGTCTATTGTTGCAGGTGATCACAAATTTGTATTTCTTGTGAAAGGTCATCTTATATTAGTAGCTATTTCTTATGCCAAGGAATCTTCAGCCCAGGTAACAAAAACTTAACAATAATACCACCATTTTTCTCCCAACTAATTATTATATTGAAAACTCTTTTTACTGCAGATGGCCGTGCAACTAACCCACGTTTATCATCAAATTCTCAGTGTGCTCACCCATAAACAACTGGAAAGGATCATGAACCAAAGAGGAAACTATGATTTACGACGTTTGTTGGGAGGTAATATAAATTATTCAAGATTTTGTATTCTATTTTGTATTTACCAAATATATAACTACCCTCACAAATTTCACAATTTCTTCCCCATTATAGGGACTGAGAAATTTATTGACAGTTTATTAGATCTAATGGATCATGAACCTAGTGTGTTACTAGGAGCTGTATGTAATTGCAACATTTGATACATGACCATGTGCTTTTAAATAATTTATTTTCCAAACTTTCTCAGGTGCGATGCCTTCCTTTAAAAAGTTCTATAAGAGAAATGATTGGACAAAGTTTTGTGCAAGCTAAAGTTAAGGTGGATTTTTTATGTGTTATGTCTTAACAGAACAATATTGATACAAGATAATTTTTTCATTTGTTTGTAGGAATTAGTGTTTGCTGTTTTGATTGCCAACAATCAACTTATCACTTTAGTACGACCTAAAATGTATAGTTTACATCCTGGTGGTTAGTGAACTCATTTACACTATGATAACCTACACCAAAAACACCTCAAATTATTTATAAAAAGTGCCAATAAACTTTAGATTTGCATTTAATTTTGAATCTTGTCAATGGTTCGACATCATTTCAAACAGCTGAGTCATGGACTCCAATATGTCTTCCTAGATTTGATAACAGGTACATTTCAAAGTTATGGTTGTCTTTTAAAAAGTTGAATAATTCTGAACTGTTTTATTTGGTAGTGGTTATCTTTATGCCCATGTCTCATATCTAAGTGAAGAGTGTCCTGCTTGTTTGTTACTGTTATCAACAGTTAGCGATGCCTTTTTTATTCTATCAGAGTGTAGACTTAAAGTTATTGAGGTACTTGACTCAGTGCATTCTGTTGTATACAGAGTTGACTTATTCCTATATAAATTGTGATGCTTTATTTTGTAGAAATTACATAAGTATAAGTGTTTTCAAGCCATAAATGAAGCAATGGGGAAAGAAAGCTATAGGATAGGTTAGCATATAATACCTACTCTCTTTTTTTATATTGCGGATCACTCACAGTTTTCCTTTATTTTTCAGGTGATATTGGAATTCTAATTTACTGCATTTTGTATATAAGTCTAGAAGTACATCACAATACACTTCACCTGAGTTAGAAGCACCATATAATAATCCAGATGACGAAGAAAGGTTAGATGAGAGGTTTTCATTACATTGACTTCTTCCTTGTTCATCATACATACATGTCTACATTTTTGCAGATTATTTGATCTCTATTTATATCTGCATCACCATATTCATTCATCCGTCAACCATTGAAGATTCTTTGTCATGTTGGCTCAAAAGAGATGCTACTTGGATGGGTAAGACCAAAGTAAAGTAAATGGTTAATTATAGGTTAAACTCTGCTATAAACACACAAAAGCTGATGATTTCTTTAACAGGTGACATCAGGGTTTGAACTTTATGCAACATTTAATCCCCTTGTAACCAAGCCGGCTGCAATAAATGCAACCAATAAACTTCTTAAATGGATATCAGTAAGTCACATGTACTAAGTCAATGAATTGGGTCATGTGAAATCATGGAAATGCATAAATGTTATGTGAGTTGTAAAAATATTTGAATTGATACTAGTATTCTTTTTTGCAGAATGAACAAGACAGACTATTCATTCTTGAATCTGCAGTGTTTTGACTGTATGCTTTATAATAATAGGTAAAATGTTATGAACATTTCTAACTAAAAATGTTATGAACATTTCTAACTGATGGAATATAACTGTACATAATATACATATATAGTAACACAAAAGGAAATTTCAGCATTTTGATGAATAATCCTACCAAAAACCATCTATGTCTTGTTTTATGACACTGTGTTGATTTCTACTCTTGGAAGTAACTAAACCTGCTTCACCTCGTTTAGTCCTTCGTGCTTTTGCTGTTTTTTGCAATAGATTGCTTCACTTTCTTCAATTGTTTCAGGATTTATCATGTTTCTTTCCATGGGTCTATTTATTTTTGACTCCATGCTCACAGAATCAATCGGCTGTTCATCTCTGTAAGGTCTGAATCCATGATTTTGTTCACTAAGATCTTCAAGATCAGATCCACCACTGGAGATACAATCTTCTTCATCAAACATATCACAGTAAAAACATTAGTCAACTCATACATTAATTGGAAATGCAAATTACAAAATCCTACAAGTTACCTGTCTCTTCTGGCTCAGGATGTCTATCATTGCTAGCCTCTTCACTGTTTAAATCCTCTGCTGACATTTCCCCCTTATTTTGGTGACAATGTTGTTTGACATCTTCATATTCCAAAGACTCACTTTCATCACCCCTTTCCTCTGTATTTTCTGCTATCTCACACAGTGTTTCAAACTGGTCTACAGACTATAGATTTGAATTGTTACATGTAGATATTAGGTGAAGAAACTTTAACTGTTATGTTTTTCCTATGTATTCAATGCAATAATCACATACTTCTTTAAGTTCATCTTTTTGTTCCTTTGTAAATCCACTCACTGCTATATCAACATCTAAGTAATGCAAGCGTCTACACACATGAAGATAGTATGTTAATAAACATATGATAATATTGGAATTTGTTGGACAAGATTACCGTTCCATACCTGACATCACTAAATTTGGGGAACAGTTCACTTTCATAGTCAAATTTTCGCTGGAAAAATGTTCGAATACATTTGACATCACGATCAAAATACCTAAGGTTGCAATAACACAGTTGACATCACGATCAAAATACCTAAGGTTGCAATAACACATTTGACATCACGATCAAAATACCTAAGGTTGCAATAATACAATTCTTATCTTCTTCTTTTGTATTTATCAAATGAATTGATAATCATAACTTACCATTCAGCATTCATATGAGAAATGGATACCATTTGAGGGAAATCAATGACGGTGATTTTTCCAGTATCGTTAATCATAATATTAAATTCATTAAAATCACAATGAATAAGACCATAACTTCCCAGTTCACATATGAGCTCCATTAATTCATTGAAAATTGTACCAGGGTCATCCAGGTTTTGCACGTGGCATCTGTATTGTCACATAATTACAAAAATATATGAAACATGGCAGACTTGCAAGTATCATTGAGAAGAAAATATGTGAATAAATTGATTACTTACAAGGGACTACCATCAATTAATTCCATTACCACACAATGACGATTAAAATCAATTGGCTTCGGAACTGGATAACCATTGTCAAAAAGTGCCTAAAGAATGAAAGAGATTAAAAAATGAACAATGAATAAAGTTAATTACAAACACACAATGTCATTTATTTCTTTAACCTTCATGTATGAAAATTCTTTTATAGCTGCTAGCCTTGACAAATAAAGCCATGAATAGTTTTTGCGATGCTTTAAATAATCTCTTTTTTCTTTTAATTTTCTAAATGATGTTCTGCCTAATCTGAGAAAAAACCAACAAACAAGAAATGAATTGGTTAGTTTGTATAATGGATATTGACTAAATATATCACAGAAAAATTTTTTTCTAGGTATTTTCGATTTACATAATTGTTGGGAAACAATGCTAGTTGTCAGGAAAGCACATCATAGGAGTTGTTTAAAATGACCATTTTGTTAAAATGTTTTGCAAACTGTAACTGAAATACCTACCGATGTAATTTTAAGGCAAACTGTTTTCCATCTTCATTGGCAACAATATAAATATCTATTAAAAAACATTCATATCACAAAAGTTACTGCATTATTAAGTCAACCAAAATGGCAACAAATTTTTATGAACAGTTAAAATACCAGATTCTTTTCCAACACCAATTTGATTTCCGACAGAATGAATACTGTCTCTGTTTGTGAGAGCTTTTAATGCTAGGTAATCATATCCACTAAATGTGAGTCTGTAGCCTTCATCTGAAATATTCAGTTTTAATACTTACTAATTTGATTGCATTACTACTATACAATCTGCATTTGGTGTATAGTATTTACATGATTTTCCCTTCTCGTAGGCAAGAAGTTTGTGTTTCACCAATTCTCTGGTAATTTTATGACATCCGCCATGTTTGAGATTTGCAATTGAAGCCAGCAAGGATGTGGGAACAACTTCATGATTTTTCATTCCCATTTCAACCTTAATTTGTTAAAAAACGCGTACAATAAACGACTGGCTGACCACTGGAAGCAGCTAATATGCTGGCACATGTATGTGTAGAAGTCAAAAGAACTGTTCGATTACGGCCACTGAAAACTACCTTTGTCAGGTGTGAATTCAAAATAATTGATAATAAATAGAACATAAATAAAATTGTGTAAGTTTTGAGTTCTTACCGCAGTTAAAACTCTGAAATCTTCAGATGACAAGTACCGTAAAACAGACACGTTTAATTTCACCATCGTGAGAAGAGATTTTTAATATTACATTTATATATTTAGATTATCCTACCACCAAGTTTAAAAAGTTTTCTTACTTCAGCTGACCAACAAGTACTGCACGCTTCTCTTCATTTTCCTGAAAAGTTGCTGTGGAGCGAATTTCAGGTAACTGGACCAAAATAAACTGGGAATAAAATCAGTTCTGAAATAAGAAAGCGTTTTTACATGCAGTCTCGTTCTATATAAGTTAAAATTGGTCTTCAATTGAATAATGACGAAATTTTATTTTTATCACCTTTACTAAGAATCGCTACTCTTGCTTCTTCAAGTGGATCAGGAATTCAATCCAATAACCATACAATCTCTACTGCAGGTCCCAGACATGGCCACCCTTTTTTGTTATTCTTTAGAGTGATTCTCTAAAGATGAGGGAAACCGGCGTATCGCCGGAGGAAAACCCTCAGAAATCCAACAAGCTAAAAAAACCATGCAAATTTCCTGGGATCACCTTATCTATTTTTACTAGTTATCTTTACAAAAAATGATGTTTACATTTTTAAGGCCTTAAATATGTTTACAAAATCTATTAGACTGCCTCTATCTTTACAAGGCTGTTGAAAAAGGTGACTTGTGCAATTTGCATCCTCGAAACATTCGTTGTACGCCATTTTTTGGCCGCTTTCAGCTGCGTCATTTTTGCCTAAGCGAATTCTTGGCTAGCCCTGTTGATCAGTGGCATGAAATAGCCGATGGAACATCTACCTACGAACTACGCTGCACAAAACTGATTAAAACACACCTTTGAACGATGAGACACCTGTAAAGCAACGTTAGTACCCGAGCCGAAAGGGAACCTAATGAATGGGAACCACCTCCCTGGGCCCTTATACATTACCAAACGGCGTGCCAACCAATCCTTCTTGTGTCCAACACTCGATCACCTAGGTACCATCATGGCACCATTTATGATTATTCCTACCTGGAACTACACTAAATGTATCGAATTAGTTCGTCTCTCAAATCATCTTCCATGAATAAAATAGATGAAGATATTCGACTTGATTTGTTTGAGACAAGTAAACCCAATACATCATGAATAATTAAACTATCTTCCTGCTCTAGCTTAATTCAAGTTAAATAACAGTGAGTTATTTAACTTGGACATGCCACTGTCATAACATTGATTTTGCTATTTAGCAAAACCAAAGCGGGGTTTCGTGCACCTATACTGTTTCGCTCTTCTTTAGACAAAGAAGACATTTTTTGTTGCATATTCTTCTTGATGAAGCAAATCGCTCATTTTTTTTTCAATAATATTTTTAGAATGTTGACTTGCTTTTCTTCATTTTCCAGTGTTTGATCAACATTTCAAGTTTTTCACTGTTCAAATTGAAACAATTCGAACAAAATGTGAAGATTGTTAATGAAGCATCATCAAGCAAGAATATTTCAGGCGTTTATAATTTTAAATAAATTTAATTTACACTATTCAGCTTGCATGCCGTATTGCGCCATGTTTCTAACCGTGATTTTCTTGGTCTTTTAAAGTACAAGCTGTAATTCAGATTTCGCTATATTTCGCACAAAAAGTTTCTCGTTAATTTTAGTTCACAAACGTCGCACTTTATAAATCATGCATTTAGACTCTTAATGTTCAGTTACAGAAATTATGAATATTATAATTAAGTATGCAAATTACACGACCAAGACTCAAAGAAACCCATGCTTATTTCCTTGAACTTGGAATCATGTATCCTGGTGATCAAAAGAACAAAAAACTTATGAAAACCGACATCAGACATGTATACCATTTTGGTTGTTTTACTTTGAACATCTTACATTACACGACAACAGTCACATAAAAGCATTCGGCAGTATAAGATGCATCATCATTCGCAGGCAAATGTTTGGACCGCAAAAAGCACTGCGCCATGTGCTTAAAAAACCCCATAAAAACAAATCAAAAGAACTAAATTTGTTATATAAATCAACCAATCTTCAATCATCTTCATGTTAGTGCTGATCACCAGGATTTCAACTCAACTGAACACCACAAACCTGAAACGTCGTTTTTTGTCTTCATTCGTAATATTCGCATATTTCCATCATGCAACAGCATAACAAACCATGGTTAGACTAAGTACCATAACTCGTGACAATTGCATGCTTTTTGCTGAAATTCAGATGGTATCAAATAAGTTTTAACGTCAATGTCCGCGTGCATCATCTTCGAACTTTCATCTTACCTTATAGCCATCCTTCATCCGGCGTCAACTGCAGAATCTCTATCGATTTACTTGTGCACACTTGCTCGAAAATCACGTTCAAGTCAAAAACAAAATAACATAATTTTTTTTACAATGGCTAAGTTATACATTTCTTATAGTCCGGATTAAGTTGGTTGCAATAGCTTATTGAGTTAAGGTAAATTGTACATGGGCAATAAGTCATGTCATTTACGCTAGACATTGCAACCATAAACAGAGAGCAAAATTTAAAAGAACATTGCACAAAAAAGTTGTAGAGTTCATATAATCTTTATGCTGCATCATTTCAATTTATATTTCTTCACAAGACTGCAGTCATTTTTTTCTTGAACAATTTCATCTTATTTTTCTTCAGAAGAGTGCAATTTCATTTTTTCTTGTGCAGTATTTTTTTGATAACTTATAAATTTCAAAAGGAAGTCGTATAGACTTCTTTATTTGTTCTTGAACGTCGATTTCGTATCGATCGATCACAACAATAATTTTGACTTGTTTAACAATCAAAATTTACTCCTAACCTTACCCTAAACCCAGCAGTATTTGTTTTAAAATTTACACAAAATTCACTTTCGTCTCACGAGTAGATTTTTTTCCATGAATATCTTTTTTGATATTTTATAGACTTCAAAAGAAGAAAGTCTTATAGACTTCTTTATATGCGGTTGAACGTCGACTTTAGATAGATCGTTCATACTTGCTTATTTAATGAAAAATAGCAGACAAATAAAAACCTCAAGCTGTCTTATAAGGACAAGCACAACATGCACGTAACATTTATTTTTGTCTCACGAGTATATTTCTCCCAGTAATATTTCTTTTGATATTTTATAGATTTCAAAAGGAGTCTTATAGACTTCTTTATCATTTTATATGCCATTGAAAATTTGATAGATCGTGCACTATAGTTTTGACTTATAGTCCAATTATTCTTACCCTAAACTTATATATCTGCATTTTGTTTTACAATAGTACTCGTGTACTTGCAGCAAATTATGAAGACAATAATTGTGTAATAAAAAATGTTATGACAAATTTCTTCATGCAAAAAGAACATTTTTGAATGTGTGCACAAGTAAATCCCTAAAAATACTCTCAGTTCGATTGTCTCTTTCATTTGAGGTATCCTACCAATTCAAACCAAAGGATTTCACCCATTTGACGTTGCACAATATTATAATAAAATTTTCAAAAGCCTTTTCATTATGTACAAGAACGTGAAATCATTAGCTCCAAACAAACTAGGCAATCAATGAAAGTTTTAACGACATGTCATTTTGAGTTTCATACCTTACTTCTCTTTAGTTCTTTTCCAATTCTTTCCAACACTTTTCGTTTTATCTTTGTTTCAAATTTCAACTTCAGGATACGACTTTGGTTGCATTCTTTATGAGTGCTCACAGTCAAGAGAAAATTGGCATCTTTTTCTAGAGAATTGTATTACTCCTATCAGAAAAATACTCCAAATATAGTCACTAACGTATTGAAAAGGCTTTTGAATGATATCTTTTCTAAATTGTACTAAAGTAGCTTGGATATATTATATAGGTGTTTGATTTAAAATCTTTATCGCTGACTTAAATTGCTGTCACTCGAACGTATTCAATTGAAGAGCCAGTAGCCGTCATCACTCCTCAAGGCTTACACCTTTCAATTCATTATTAAACTTTCAAGGCGAAATTTTTTTGCCTGTATCCCACTCCACTGAAAGATTTTTAGGTGTTTTCGATCAAAAATTTGTTGTCTATAGTCTAGCTTTGCTTAATTTGTGCCCAGTTTCTCCATTTTCACGCGGAACAAAAAAGGCGCGAATTTCATTGTAAGTCTAACGTCCAACACGAACCACCATTTTCATATTTTTCAAATATCTTCAAAAATTTTGTTCAAAAGAACACTTTTCACGGACAAAAATCAACCCAATGAACAAGAAATACCCTGTTTATATCTCATTTTGCCATACTGTAACTTTTCACCTAGAATTTGTTCATATTTTTTCGTTGAAACGAGAAAGATGCGGGTCGCACAAGTTTGTCGCTGAAAATTTATCAATTCACAAATACACGTTAAAAGTCAAAATATTTAACAAAATTTCCCTTCGAAACATTCAAAATAGGAATAGGCACTAGCAGTAGGCAACACACTAAAGCAAGAGTGAAAGAAAGACATTAAAACATACAATTCTTGTCGTTTTTATACTGACAAAGGGTCCTCTTGCGAAGTAAACACATCGACGAAGGCAAGCAGTTAAACGCCGAATTGAACAAAAATAAACAACGAAATGATTTACAAGTAAAGCAATACGTAACTGTATATGAAACAAGGCTTTTGTCATCGAATTTATCGACATTTGAAGTACTTTTTTACATAAATAATAAAAATTTCGAGAGACTTACCTTTCATTGTTGAGTCTTGTCTTGGGGCATCTTCTGTGTAAAAAGTGATTGACGTGTATATTAAGATCATTTGGTGGCCTGATTTCATTGGTTGATTTCGATGAGATTTCACCATTGTTATTGGTTCCATTTTTGTGAGCTCTGCTCTGATTGGCTAAAATATGAAATAATTTATTCCAGATTTTGATCCCATTTCAGTGTGATGGTCATCTGTGTTTTTTTCCCACAGTTTCCTTTGAAATGAAGATAGTTAAAAAGTCTCCTGTTTTCATCACAAGCAAATAAACTATTGACAGATGAAGTACAATCGTTTGTTTTGTATTGGGCTGATAAGAATTCCCTTAAATTTCTCAAACATAACGAAGAACCAATAGCTCCATGTAAACAGATTTCTAAATGAATAATGACAATGAATTCCAGTTTGAGCAGCAAAAGGGCTTGCAAAAGTAGGCAGTAGGCACCGTTAAATATTTTGGAATACTGGTAAAATTTTGGGGGGACTGGAGTGGAGAGAGCTTCTAAGCGATGTGGTCAATATGAGAAAGTGAATTAAATTACACACGATTGAGTTAAGACACAAAAGATATGCATTTCTTCGCATGGCTTCGTGGATACTACGGACTTCGCCTCGACAAAAATCACAAGTCAATATTAATTAAAATTCATCCACAGAAAATAATTGATTTTAAAGGAACATAATACGGAAGAACAAGAAAATATGAATATTACCCCCCCCCCCTACTCGATTATCGAGCCTTGGTATATTAACAAGAAAATTATAGAAATGCCATTCGAATCTTGAACTAGACAAGTTAAAGATTGAAAATAGCATGATACGAAATAAGGACACAGCGTCCTTATTTAAATACAAACAGAAATAAAATCATTGCGCTGGTATGGATAGATTTCACGACGCGACGAAAAAATTGTTTCGACAACTAAATTTATATAAGTAAGAGCAACAATTGGTGTTTATGTAAAGTGGTGTTTATGTATTTAATACATTGAACGAAAGGGGGGAGCGGCCTACCGCGGCGTTGAATATTTATACATGTATATTATACACTGATGTTTTGATGTAGTTCATTTCCAAGTCAGTTGGACCTGTCTAGCAAATTTCCCCAAATCAAACATTTTGTGTGTGACATCCTTGTCATCAATCGATGGAAGTCTCCCTTGTAACGCAATGACGCGACAAAACATCAAAACTCATCCTATTTAAGTTAAAAGGTTTGTAGTTGAACTTATCCGACAAAAGTTCACTGACAGCGTCTCTCCTCGACAAGAAATCTTGGATGAATTTCCCTCTCTCCTATACAAAACAATATAAATAGATTGATGAGAAACATCAAGTTCAACAGTAAAAACATAGATAAGCCTTTACAAAATATCAGTGCTGTAGAAGTGGGGGCGCTTGGGGGAGGAGCCCCCTTCTACCTTTGAGATGGGTAATTTTAAAAAGGGCACTATTGACAAAAACGTAAAGAGAGCCCCCTCCCCCCAATCTGATAAATTTAGTTCTACAGCACTGCAAAATACCATTACGTAATCTAACGTAGAAATGGAAAATGCCCGGGTATCTATTTCGTGTCATCGAAGATCACAAAATTGTAAACGCTGGTTATGGTGCTGACAAAATAAGAAGATGATGACAATTGACCTGTGATAGATGGTGGTTGTAATTTCGATCAAAAAAATATGAATATCTTATCCTTTTTAATTCTATCTCCATTCTCCTATGTTGTCTTTCTAACTCACCTTCATCCCTAAATATAGTTCCTCTCAACTTGTTCAATTCTTACCAATCATGTTTAAAAATTACGTCATTATTATTACGGCATTACCATTACGTCATTACTATAAAAGTATCCGTTTACAATAGTGGTCTTTCAGAAAAACACTTAAAGTGCTCCTTTCAGCAAAAGGTTTTAACGGACCTTGTCCGTCGTTCGAAAAGTCTGGAACGACATGGGAACGACTTACTTTTGTGACGTCATGCAAGGGATTCCTCAACACAAGACATATATACCAACTACCTTGAATGACGTCGGAATTTGACTTGACTCAAACCGCAATAATTATTAGAAAAAAATTTAACTAAATTGAAAGATTTTTCATTGATTGGTTAGATATTGCACCTAGTTTTGATATCGCATATAAAATTTCTAAAATTTAAAAGCTTACAAGAGTAGAGAAGATAGAACAAAAACAAAACCTGTTCATAAGAAGATTGACGTGATGCAAGCGAAGGAAGATTGATCAATTTCAATAACGGAAATACAGTATTCATGTATATGGTACGAAAAAACTTTTTCCTTTCCTGTCGATCCCGATGCTAAAAGAAAACAAAAAATCAACATACAGGATTACCGAAGCATTGTTTGACAAAGGATATGTAACAGACTTCAGAATTTCTTCACTTTCACAAGTGTCAAGAAAAATCATATTGACGTAGGCTGGTTATTCGTGCGCCGTTCAGATTAAAAAGGGCAAAACGTTTTAGCCCACTTCCTTACCCCTCCTCCCTCCACCCACCCCCCATTGCCGTCTGCGAATAATTATGAAGTGATTTTGAAGCCTCACTTATTGAGCGTGAGTGAGCTTTAACAATACGGGAGTAAATCGCAAAATTTTTGAAAAAGCCGCGTAATTAGGGAGAGACCTTTCATTTTACCCCAAACGACGTACGGATATTCGTTGTTTATGCTAAGAATTACCCTCATTGACTGTCGTATTGATTTTTTTGATCCGTCATCCCACGATACCTTAAAGTCAGAGATATGTTTAACATTTTTACAAAATACACATCGACAAATAGTTATTCATTTCATACACCCACACTCACCCACCCACCCACACTCATCCACCCAGAAACACACTCACACACCCACCCATACCCACACACACATACACATCTCAGGGTGATGAGTGAGCAACACGAAACAGGCTTGTCGAGATAAAATTGTAGTTGTTTTTACTTTTTTCTTCTACAAATATATTTAGCTCTACTCATATGTATTGAGCACTATATAAAGGAAAAAATCACAATTGAAAAACTTCCTATATAAATATGCATGTATTAAATATTCACAAGATTGCAAATTGTAATATTAGGTCTTCTACAAGAGGAGTCGGTATATAAGAGGAATTATATAATATATAAAATTGTAGTAATGCTGTATAATCATTTAAGACATATTTCATTACCTTCAAGGCATCCATGAGATCAAACTGGGATACGGCTTTTGGAAATGTACTGAGTACAGGATCAGAAACTAAATCTAAGATTAAATCATAAATATTTATGTATAAAATTTCAAAAATATAAGCAAACAAGTTGTTTATCATAAAAAGCGAAAACCCACCAGTCTGATTAATGCAGTCAATATTTTGGACAAATTCATCTGCTAAAAGTTCTCTGTACTGTGCAATCAATGGTGTATATTGCATGGGTGCGACGAGCGTCTCAGGCAATAGGCTGTCAATAAAAGATTAATCTTCATCATTGAGTCCTTATACACTCCAGTCTAGTGTCTTCATCAGGAGTGATCTGATGTTAAAACTTCAGTCTTTATACACTTCAATGTAGTGTCTTTATCACGAGTGATCTAATGTGGAAATTTGAATGTCTTTATATACTCCTGTCTAGTGTCTTCATCAGGAGTGATCTGATGTTAAAACTTCAGTCTTTATATATTTTAGTCTAGTGTCTTTATCACGAGTGATCTAATGTGGAAATTTGAATGTCTTTATACACTCCAGTCTAGTGTCTTCATCAGGAGTAATGTGATGTTGAACATGAGTCCTTATGTACTCCAGTCTAGTGTCTTCATCAGGAGTGATCTGATGTTAAAACTTCAGTCTTTATACACTTCAGTCTATTGTCTTCATCACGAGTGATCTGATGTTAAAATTTGAGTGTCTTTATACACTCCAGTCTAGTGTCTTCATCAGGAGTGATCTGATGTTAAAATTTGAGTGTCTTTATACACTCCAGTCTAGTGTCTTCATCAGGAGTGATCTGATGTTAAAATTTGAGTGTCTTTATATACTCTCCAGTCTATCGTGTTCATCAGGGTGATCTGATGAACACAATAGTCTAGTGTCTAGTCTAGTGTCTTCATCAGGAGTTTTTTAACAACGAGTTCTTAAAAATTACTTTAAAAACAACGATGCTCCTAGATGTTATAATATATGACTTACTCGCACATATCTTTTTTTGGTTTCGTGATAGGAGCCAGTTTTACTGTCAATCTTGGTTGACGATTAGCTTTGATTAATGACTGCATCAACCCTCCAACTACAACAAATCAAGAAAAATTATTGAGGAGAAATGCAGACAGTACGTACGATTTATTATGTGGCAAGCGTCACTTCCGGCTAAATGGCGCGCTTTGATTGGCTCAGAAACATTTTTGCCGGTCTATTATTTTCCCGTAATCGACCACGGTCCAAAACGCGTAATTTTACAGTCAAGTGTAAACAAATTTCGTAAAGCAAACAGCAAAAACGCAAGAAAAACGAAACAAAAAACCATTTGCGAATGTGAGTCGAAGGAAAAACACTTGGAAAACAGTTCAACTTTCCAGACGATACAATTTTAAACGATTTAATTTTTACTGACGAAAACTATATGAGTGAAAGCCAACCCGTACAATACAGCAAGGACGAGAAAGAAAGCAAGCTTCGTTTCTGGTGAAATAATGCCATATAATAAACCTTTTAATAACCTCGCTTTCTCGTCTTTACTGAGAAACATCGGACCTCTGTCTTTTTGTACACACTTTGCCCTACGGGCTCGGTCTGTACAAAAGACCTCGGTCCGTTATTTCTCCGTAAAGACCTCGCGCTAGGTCATTAAGGGCTTATTAATTATACTGCACGTCATCATATTTCGTACCTCTAGCATTAGCAGAAGGTTCCAGTTGGACGCCATGATCATACGGAGTACCACCATTAAGGAGAAGCTCAAAGTTGCTAAATGAAGGAAGGATTTACTCTTACATGACGATGAACTAAAGAGTGATGAGGATAAATGAATATTTTTTAACTTGTTTTCTGTCGGTGCTCCTGTTTCTTGAAACAACTTCAAGACACACCATCCACAACTAACTTCACTTTCTTCACCAGTTTTCTGTAGAGGGAATAACATCAAGATTTTCGACGATGATTACGAATAGAATCAATCATATTTCTCAACTAAAGCTTATGTACGTACTTGACGAACAAAACTGACAGTCAACTCGAACAGAATCCCTGCGCAAACATAATAAAACAGATAATTATCAAAATGGCATTCCGTGAGAACACTCATAATCAGGCTTCTGTTGACTATGATGATACTGAGCACTCATAAGACTTGAAAATGAACGAACCAATGTTGGCAAGTTCAGAGTTAGATCGAACCAAGATATCCCCATCAAAACTACTTAATCGAGGATTCTAAAACGTAAAAGAAATGAAAATTACGGACAACAAAATGTTTCGAAGTACATAAATACGAAATTATATTTTCCACCGCACACCTCACAACACAAATTTAGTCATAAGAACTATAATCACGGACAACCCCTTCAAACGAGCAATGACATTGACACCGCACACATTACAACAAAATTTAGTCATAAGAACTATAATCACGGACAATCCCCTTCAAACGAGCAATGACATTGACACCGCACACATCACAACAAAAATTTAGTCATAAGAACTATAATCACGGACAACCCCCCCCTTCAAACGAGCAATGACATTGACACCGCACACATCACAACACAAATTTAGTCATAAGAACTATAATCACGGACAATCCTCCCCCATTCAAACGAGCAATGACATTAAATACATGTTTGAACAAATAAAAAGTAGTCTGTCTAGTAATAATGTAGTCGGGGAAACTTCGCACTACAGCTAGCTGTTCTACTTCTTTCAAGTCCATACTGCAAAGTTTGGTTGGTCAAAAAAATACCTTGATAACATTCCAATGCATCAAATCTTTCTCAGCAGTCACAGTTTTTATCGTGTGAACGTTACTAAGGACCTAAATGTATGTAAACATTACTCGCGACTTAAAGGTGTGTGAATGTTACTTAGGACCTTAATGTGTGAATTTCTCTCACGACCTTATTGTGTGTGAATTTCTCTCACGACCTTAATGTGTGTGAATTTCTCTAACGGCCTTAATGTGTGTGAATGATTTTCAGGATCTTAATGTTAGGAGTAATTCATCCTCTATTTTTCATTCAACAATTAACTAGACCATAACTAAGGTATTCTAAATACAATAAAGTTAAAAAAATCGTCGAGTGCAAGACACGAGGATTTCGACGCACAATGTGAGAACTCGGAACAAAAAGATTCGCAAGCCTTATATTGATGTTTGAGTAAGAAATGTTAAAAATCAACACACTCCTTTTTGTAACTTTCAGGTTATTCTGGCCACACACAATGGCATTGCTCTCTTTAAAATAATTTTTTAAACTCATTGTTGTATAAAATCTTATTCACCTTGCGTGCAAGATAGACTGACCTGTTTGCTGTCCCATAATGCAACGTGTATTTGACGAGAGATGACGTCGACACCTGATTGTAACATAATGAGGTTTGTTGTAGTATTTAAGATAAATCGATTTAGTCCAGAAACTTCACATACCTGTGCCAACCTTGGGAACCATTTTTGCTGACACAATTGAGCAAAATCGACTTATTCTTACGGGAAAATTTCTCAACTATGCGATAAAAATCATACGTATTCCAAATAAGCAGATAAAAAAATCAAAAATCAAATAGTTATGTTTTGTCGGGAAAGTATATTTAATACAACAATCTTTAGAACATTACACGACAAGACTATGCTGTACCTTACTCTCAACAGGATCCCAGTGTAAATCTCGAAACGCGAGATGTGATTGAGTGAGTTTAGGATAGACCCATGATCCGATCCCATAATCCTCTAAACGAAATACATAAATCATACATAACATTGCATAAAACTGATTAAAGGATTGCAAGATTTAAATAATCAGTATAGAGTATGACTATATGATATTCTTCATACATCATTATCTATTGACGCAATTTCCACCATGTAACGAAGAATAGTAGTGGAATATCTCCATGACAACCAGCCAGATAATGAAACTTTACTTTATGTATGACTATTCCGTAGAATTAAATCTCATAGCTACTTCTACTCAACAACAATACAACATATTTTCGTTTCTATTTTCATCAAAAAGATCCTCACCTTGCTTAACTAGTTTTCCTAACGTTGGTTGACGAAATCCAGCCGGCATTGCTCCCATTGCTTTCAAAACGTTAGTGACACTGGTTTTCTAGAATAAAAATGTAAAATACAAAAAATTGTACAGACTGATAAGTAGTATAACCAGTAATCTATGTATTCTATATGAATTATTAACCTGTGGTTATCTAAAGTATTGTAATCTGAAAATAGTTCTAAAGATAGCAAATACCATAGTGAATGGTAAAAGTAATATAATAAGTTGATAGTTCTTAAAAGAACTGTTTTAAGTAAAGAGCACTTCTTTCAAGAACTATCAACTATCTATATTACTTTTACCATTCACTATGGTATTTGCTATCTTTAGAACTATTTTCAGTTTTGTCACCACGACAAAGTCGCTATTTTAGTATAGCAATCTATGGTTATCTATGGTAACAAGTAAACTATGGTTATCTATGGTAACAAGTAAACTATGGTTATCTATGGTAACAAGTAAACTATATGGTTATCTATGGTAACAAATAAACTATATGGTTGCCTGGGGTAGCAAGAAAACTATGGTTATCTATGACAACAAGTGATGTATGGTTATTAAAGAGAACCAACTATCAATGGTTATCATTAATAACAAGTGAATCGGAATTTAAGAAAATATGACTAACAGAAAACACATTTCTTCACCTTATCAGCGTTTCCATCTTTCATTATTTGCCAGAGTTCTGTACCACTGCAAATGACAACAAATCATGCAAAATAGGAGCACCGCAAACTTTTATTCCCATAAAAGACGCATTTGCTATGGTTTCCGTGACAAATGGCAAATATTGCCTGGCTAATTGTAAAAGAACTGCAAAAACAGAAACATAAGCCAGCCGTACGATATAAAATACTTCCGTAGACAGCTCATCATACAGGTATATCAACAGCAAAAACAGAAAAATAAGCCAACCGTAAGACATAAAATACTTCGGTAGACAGCTCATCATACAAGTATATAAACAGCAAAAACAGAAACATAAGCCAACCGTACGACATAAAATACTTCGGTAGACAGCTCATCATACAGGTATATCAACAGCAAAAACAGAAAAATAAGCCAACCGTACGACATAAAATACTTCCGTAGACAGCTCATCATACAGGTATATCAACAGCAAAAACAGAAACATAAGACAACCGTACGACACAAAATACTTCGGTAGACAGCTCATCATACAGGTATATCAACAGCAAAAACAGAAACATAAGACAACCGTACGACACAAAATACTTCGGTAGACAGTTCATCATACAGGTATATCAACAGCAGCTAATTATCCCAGGAGGACAACGTTATGACACCGACAAGTTTATATATAAATACACGTTGAAGTTCGTTCTCACAAACGTCAACGTGTATTGAGTAGTCTGTAGAAGTCAATGACATCGTACGTAAAGTTATTTTATGTTATGTTTTTTCTTTTTTGCAATACTTAAGTTTGGACTCTCCCTCGGTTTGGAGTCAACAAGAACATAGTCCACACATCTGGAGCCGGTTGCACGAAGCCTTGATAGCGTTATCCATTGGATAGCGAAATTTTTCTGAACGTTCATATAATCTCTTATTAGAAAAAAGTATACGATTTGACTGTGAAAATAAAATATTGTTTTGAAGCTCACATAATTTCTTTGACATAAGAAAAATATAAACACCTTTTTTACAAGTTTGAAAATTTTCGCTATCCATTGGTTAACGCTATCCAGGCTTCGTGCAACAGGCCCAAGGTCTTTAAAGTAGATATTTTTAATTTGCCATACATTTAGATTGTATCAATTCAATACAGATCATTTACTTGGATCTAACCTTCTCGAATCCTTTTTATCTGTTTTATTAGGTGACGACGAAACGTCGGCTATACAAAATAAATTTCGTGAAATGTTAGTTCCTTTAGGCATGAAGAAGCATGAAAATTAGATTCTTACACATTATTCAGTATTTCGACGAACCTTTTTCTAATTCACTCTCTCCTGTCTTTTTAGATTGTGTTTTGCTACGAATTCTCTGCATAAACACAAGAAAACAAACTTATGTAGATTATTCTAAGAAAATGTGGAGCGTAATTAGTTAATAATTGACTAAACTTGCACTGTTTTTAGGAAATATACCTCAACCAAAGTTTTCGGAACAACTCCAATATTACCATGAGCGTCTTCAGCAAGCCACCAACCATCCTCTCTAAAAAATTATAAATATCCTGTAAATCAGTCATAGAGAAATGTATGTTGTTCTTAAATCAACCATAGAGAAGTGTATGCTATCTTTAAATCAACCATAGAGAAGTGTATGCTATCCTTAAATCAACCATAGAGAAGTGTATGCTATCTTTAAATCAACCATAGAGAAGTGTATGCTATCTTTAAATCAACCATAGAGAAGTGTATGCTATCCTTAAATCAACCATAGAGAAGTGTATGTTATCCTTAAATCAACCATAGAGAAGTGTATGTTATCTTTAAATCAACCATAGAGAAGTGTATACTATCTTTAAATCAACCATAGAAAAGTGTATGCTATCCTTAAATCAACCATAGAGAAGTGTATGCTATCTTTAAATCAACCATAGAGAAGTGTATGCTATCTTTAAATCAACCATAGAGAAGTGTATGCTATCTTTAAATCAACCATAGAGAAGTGTATACTATCTTTAAATCAACCATAGAGAAGTGTATGCTATCTTTAATTCAACCATAGAGAAGTGTATGCTATCTTTAATTCAACCATAGAGAAGTGTATGCTATCTTTAAATCAACCATAGAGAAGTGTATGCTATCTTTAATTCAACCATAGAGAAGTGTATGCTATCTTTAATTCAACCATAGAGAAGTGTACGCTATCCTATAATCCACTACAAAACGTTCATGTTATAATAAGTAATCAAAAGCGCTAAAACATGACCACGTCTTAATTCTATGAAAACAATCAATAAAAAATACATTAGATGAATCACCACCTTCTTTCCTTGATCGTTAAAATATCTCCCTCCTTAATGTCGAGATCATCTTTATATTCACCAACAAAGTCACTCAGTACACGTACTTTATAAACCTACACAAAAAAATGAAATGCTTTCAGAGATTTAACTATAACACAGTGAAGCACATTTTGTTACCTTGTCTATGTATAGTCGATAACAATAAGCTAAGATTTAGTATAGACAATATCTGGGAGTTTATCTATCAACTTCATGAAGTGGGTCGTAACCAGAAAGTCTAGCAGGGTAAGCTAAGATTTAGTATAAACAATATCTGGAAGTTTATCTATCAATTTCATGAAGTGGGTCGTAACCAGGAAGTCTAACAGGGTAAGCTAAGATTTAGTATAAACAATATCTGGAAGTTTATCTATCAACTTCATGAAGTGGGTCGTAACCAGGAAGTCTAACAGGGTAAGCTAAAATTTAGTATAAACAATATCTGGAAGTTTATCTATCAGCTTCATGAAGTGGGTCGTAACCAGAAAGTCTAACAGGGTAAGCTAAGATTTAGTATAAACAATATCTGGAAGTTTATCTATCAGCTTCATGAAGTGGGTCGTAACCAGGAAGTCTAACAGGGTAAGCTAAGATTTAGTATAAACAATATCTGGGAGTTTATCTATCAACTTCATGAAGTGGGTTGTAACCAGGAAGTCTAACAGGGTAAGCTAAGATTTAGTATAAACAATATCTGGAAGTTTATCTATCAACTTCATGAAGTGGGTCGTAACCAGGAAGTCTAACAGGGTAAGCTAAGATTTAGTATAAACAATATCTGGGAGTTTATCTATCAACTTCATGAAGTGGGTCGTAACCAGAAAGTCTAACAGGGTAAGCTAAGATTTAGTATAAACAATATCTGGAAGTTTATCTATCAACTTCATGAAGTGGGTCGTAACCAGGAAGTCTAACAGGGTAAGCTAAGATTTAGTATAAACAATATCTGGAAGTTTATCTATCAACTTCATGAAGTGGGTCGTAACCAGAAAGTCTAACAGGGTAAGCTAAGATTTAGTATAAACAATATCTGGAAGTTTATCTATCAGCTTCATGAAGTGGGTCGTAACCAGGAAGTCTAACAGGGTAAGCTAAGATTTAGTATAAACAATATCTGGAAGTTTATCTATCAACTTCATGAAGTGGGTCGTAACCAGGAAGTCTAACAGGGTAAGCTAAGATTTAGTATAAACAATATCTGGGAGTTTATCTATAAACTTCATGAAGTGGGTCGTAACTAGGAAGTCTAACAGGGTAAGCTAAGATTTAGTATAAACAATATCTGGGAGTTTATCTATAAACTTCATGAAGTGGGTCGTAACTAGGAAGTCTAACAGGGTAAGCTAAGATTTAGTATAAACAATATCTGGGAGTTTATCTATAAACTTCATGAAGTGGGTCGTAACCAGGAAGTCTAACAGGGTAAGCTAAGATTTAATATAAACAATATCTGGAAGTTTATCTATCAGCTTCATGAAGTGGGTCGTAACCAGGAAGTCTAACAGGGTAAGCTAAGATTTAGTATAAACAATATCTGGGAGTTTATCTATCAACTTCATGAAGTGGGTCGTAACCAGAAAGTCTAACAGGGTAAGCTAAGATTTAGTATATACAATATCTGAGAGTTTATCTATAAACTTCGTGAAGTGGGTCGTAACCAGGAAGTCTAACAGGGTAAGCTAAGATTTAGTATAAACAATATCTGGGAGTTTATCTATCATCTTCGTGAAGTGGGTCGTAACCAGGAAGTCTAACAGGGTAAGCTAAGATTTAGTATAAACAATATCTGGAAGTTTATCTATCAACTTCATGAAGTGGGTCGTAACCAGAAAGTCTAACAGGGTAAGCTAAGATTTAGTATAAACAATATCTGGGAGTTTATCTATCAACTTCATGAAGTGGGTCGTAACCAGAAAGTCTAACAGGGTAAGCTAAGATTTAGTATAAACAATATCTGGGAGTTTATCTATCAACTTCATGAAGTGGGTCGTAACCAGAAAGTCTAACAGGGTAAGCTAAGATTTAGTATAAACAATATCTGGGAGTTTATCTATCAACTTCATGAAGTGGGTCCTAACCAGAAAGTCTAACAGGGGGAGGGGTGTGCACATGTGAGAACAACAGAGTCATATTTTATTGGCATTTTAAGTGACAATAATGTTTTCTCTGTAGCAAATACCCTTGGTTAAAAGTGTCTAAACGTGGTACATTCGTTATTTATGAAATTCGCGATTGAGTTCAATAACGAGGATTTTAATTCAGGGAAGGATTTAGGAAAGGGGTGCGGGGGTTTGTGCGTGTGTGCGCAACCCCCTTAGGGTTGGTTGGAAGGGGTGCAGAAGTGGTGTAAATTTCCCAATGAAATATTAATATACCAACCAATTAAGCTAAAACAACTGTCAAACTACACATTTCCCAGGTTCTCACGTCAAACTCAGAAAAACTCTGATCTGTGAATGACATAACGACACCGATAATGGAACTACCGTAATCTAATCCAAACAAGACTGACCAAACGACATCTTATAGAAACTAGAGCACAACCCTTCCCCCCCCCCAAAAAAAAATCATCCCGTATCCATCCCTGTTTAAATTATTTTTAATTTAACCAGAAAATTCTAATTATTGTTTATTACTTTTTTCTGTTATTTTTTTGAAAAGCGGACTAATTTATGGGGGTGTGCCCCCCTGGTTACGGGGGGTACACAACCATAACCACTTATCCTGTAGGTGATTGGTGGAAAACTACACGTATCTTCAATACTTGGGAATAACTATGATCACCTACTTCACACAACCATAACCACTTATCGTGTAGGTGATTGGTGGAAAACTACACGTATCTTCAATACTTGGGAATAACTATGATCACCTACTTCACACAACCATAACAACTTATCGTGTAGGTGATTGGTGGAAAACTACACGTATCTTCAATACTTGGGAATAACTATGATCACCTACTTCACACCTCCATAACCACTTATCGTGTAGGTGATTGGTGGAAAACTACACGTATCTTCAATACTTGGGAATAACTATGATCACCTACTTCACACCTCCATAACCACTTATCGTGTAGATTGGTGGAAAACTACACGTATCTTCAATACTTGGGAATAACTATGATCACCTACTTCACACAACCATAACCACTTATCGTAGGTGATTGGTGGAAAACTACACGTATCTTCAATACTTGGGAATAACTATGATCACCTACTTCACACAACCATAACCACTTATCGTAGGTGATTGGTGGAAAACTACACGTATCTTCAATACTTGGGAATAACTATGATCACCTACTTCACACAACCATAACCACTTATCGTGTAGGTGATTGGTGGAAAACTACACGTATCTTCAATACTTGGGAATAACTATGATCACCTACTTCATCTTCATCTTCGCTTTCAAATTCACTAGAAAGAAATCAAACAATAATGCCTGCTTTAACACAGACACGAAACAACATGAAAGAAATTAACGTTATGAGGAGTGATTCTGGCGAAGAAACAACGAAAATAGCGCATTCTAGTGACCATATTAGGGCCTGTGTGAACATAGGCGTACGGGAGCTATCATTCAGGGGGGAGCAGTAAATATATTCCCAAACTCACAATGAAGGTTCTGCCATATTTTTGCCCGACTAAAGTTTGAAATTTGCCCAACTTCTCAATCTTCAAACATTCTTGAGTGGGCAGCTGCCCCCGTCCAATGTGTGTGAATGTGCGAATAAAAACCGTGTTAGGATTTATATTATGTAGGATGTTTTGATTAAAGGAATTTCAAAAACTCCAACCTTTCCTCTTCATCGTATTTCCGCGAAGTCTCTTCCTCCTCGTCACCAGTCTCATCCACTTCGCTGACGTCATCCTCTGATCTTTGATGTAACACATAAACACACATTTAAAACATAACATGTTGTACTGCTATAGAAAATGTCGCTCTCTTTACCCTAGTAAACGTCACAAAAGAATACAAGAACAGATTTGCTTGATCAGCAATGTGTTATGTTCGCATCGCCTTCGTTGCAACTCTCTCTCCTTCTAAGAGTACTGGTGTACAATACACTCGTCGAAGGAATCATCTCTATCGGTGCAGTAACAAATGAGAATCTTTAGTTATTTTTACATGCTTTTGTTTCGAAGGATTCGAAACGATTTTTTAACGATACTTGTTAAGAAAAACGCTTTTCCTGTCATTGTTAATTTTTCCATTTAACTATGTTTAATACTATCATTTATAGTTTTAAAATTTTTCGTTGCATACTTTTTCCCAAAGGTGTAAATTATCACTTTCTGTTAACGGGTTTGAATAAAGCTCCTATTTATCTAACTTTCTATTTTAAATCAGGCACATTTGAAATAAACGAATGATATATTCCGTTCTCAAAAACATTACCTGTAATGTTCGCCTTCGGAATTTCCTGAATTGAGTTGTTGCAAACTCTTGGAACGTTCGCTCGTCTCCTACACAGAAATAATCAATTCGTTATGACACAAACATTTCCTGTAAGCATTTTCCATGAAAATGAAGGAAAATGAAAAATGGATGCTTCATAAACGCTAACACAGAAACACAAAATGCAGACTGTTATTCCGCGTCACCGTCATATTAAACTGAATACACGAAACAAAAATATTGATCCTAATAATGTACATTCTGTACTCTTCCGTAAAGCGTCTTAGACACGATTGTAAACAATGAAATTCAGTAAAAATTTAAAACACATATCACACCGGATTGCAAAAGACAACGGATTTCTTCATGGGAGCACAATGTCTGTTTGACGGTATATAATCCCGATAAACAAAACGGCGAACAAAATTCAAATTTCTTTAAGCATACACGCGCTCTTTGAGTAAATACAAAGTTTACATAAGTAATACAGCATGGTAATGCCATTTGCTGAGCGATAATTTTTTATTTTGCGAGGAACATTTCATTTCAAGTTGAAACTTAATATCAACTATCGTTCATTTTTTGTAAGTGAACAGTACAATGGACTTTGGATCGTGTACACACAATATCAGTCATTCATAAATTGAGCAGCAGACGTGTCACAAAGGAAAGCAAGAATGTTATTTTAGATAACTGCGTCAAGAATGCCAGATTTGTAAAAAAATGATCATTTTCACTTACTACTAGAATTATTACCTACTTGACGCAATATCGAAAAACAATAAAAAGATCGACTTGTAGGAAAACTACAAGAATTTGATAAAGTAAATTGCAAACATGTATCAATAAGAAACATTATATGACGAATGTTCAATATACAGTAGTACAACTGCTACAGCTAGTACTAAACTGGCTAACACTGACTGGATGTTATATGACGAATGTTCAATATACAGTAGTACAACTGCTACAGCTAGTACTAAAATGGCTAACACTGACTGGATGTTATATGACCAATGTTCAACATACAGTAGTTCTACTGCTACAGCTAGTACTAAAATGGCTAACACTGACTGAATGTTATATGACGAATGTTCAACATACAGTAGTTCTACTGCTACAGCTAGTACTAAAATGGCTAACACTGACTGGATGTTATATGACCAATGTTCAACATACAGTAGTTCTACTGCTACAGCTAGTACTAAAATGGCTAACACTGACTGAATGTTATATGACGAATGTTCAACATACAGTAGTTCTACTGCTACAGCTAGTACTAAAATGGCTAACACTTACTGGATGTTATATGACCAATGTTCAACATATAGTAGTACTGTATATTTACTGGATATTCAGTAAATGTTTTTACCTTTGATTTCTTCATTGATACAAATACAAGCAATCAATTTAATGGTAGAATTTCTACAAAAGTGAAACAAAATATGTATAAAAAATAAATTCAAATCGTTATATTAAGAGTTATCCAATCAGCAGTCCTTCATGTGTATGTCACATGAGATGTATGAGGAACTGTTCCTGTATGATATATGATATTTGCAATGGTAATACAAGTATATTTTTTGGGGGGGTGGAGGGTGTCCGTGTGCACATGCCTCATAGCCTTGGTTTGAGAGGTAAAGGAGGGATGTCAATTTCCCTACAAAATATTAATACACTTCCAATGATGAAATAAAGGCAAAGCAACAGTATTTGTGTTAATGGAGCACATGTACGAAAAATATCTCCATCCATCGTATAAAGTAACAAAACTTAACAAAAAATTTTTGATATGGCACGGTGACATTCACTAAGTAGCTACTGAAGTCTAATCTTAACTTGACCACCCCCCCTAAAAATCATTCTTTATTCATCCCTGTGTATGACAAAATGATTTTAATGCACGTGAAACATACTTGAGGAGAATATGAGAAAATGAGAAAAGAGTGACAAAATATAGAAAAAATTTCATGATCCTGAATTATGTTAAATACTAGCTCCGGACAGTGGCATAGCCAGCCTGAATAAATTTCACATCATTACTATTCATGTCTTGAGGAATCTACAAACAAAACATACATAGTGGGACCAAATTTTCGGGCTGGATACGTTAGTGGCTCCAGATAATACAGCATTCGATGTGTAACTATTTGATGAATGATGATGATTTAGAAAAAGTCTGGTCCTACACAAGAATCAAGAAAATGCACTCCTAATTATGACTGCACTATAATAATTGGGAGAACTCAAGGACAGATCATTGCAAGCCCGAGACCAAAGGTCGAGGGTTGTACATGCTCAAAAGTTCTTGCAAACGTCTCCGAGGTTTGCATAAGCCAGTGCAAACACGAAAAACATGTTTTATTTCTTTTATAAAATAAATTAAAGCAAAAGACAAACATTTTAATTTTTCCTCTAAAATGTATTCATGATCGATTTGCAATTTCTCTTTGACTGATTGATTGTTTTGATTGATTTGATTGGTTGAGCTCAGATGTGTTTTGCACAGGCTGATGCAAACACGGCTCTAGACCAATCAGCGCAAATGTTTTGTTGTTTTTATTTTATACATAAACATCAATGGTGGTATTATTATCTGTATTTCATGAGGTATTAAAACTAAAAACAACTTATTCCAGGGAGCAAAGTGGATAAGGAGACTAAACTGCCCCACTCCCGAATATTTCCATCTTAATATACAAACATAAAAAATGCATGTTTTTCAAGTCTAAATGGAGGTGGGGACGAATTCATTGATTGATCATTTCTGTGCTCCAAAATAAAAATGCTCTGCTGTCCTAAATTCACATTATGCACGAGAAATGATTTGACAACGTGATAATGTAAATCATATTTTCATCAAACTACAATAATGCCATTTCTAGGTCACACACCGTGAAAAAAACAATACATTTCCAAAGAAATGAATGATGTTCAGAAATTTACACAGCAGGACCAAACATAACAATAGAATACGAACGTGAAACATGAATCAAATAGTACTCACTTCTAATTTCAAGTTTTTCAACCATGTTGTTTTAACATCGTTACTACTTGCAATAACTCACAACAATTCAGTAATTCACAGCAACAGCCAACATCTGTAAATGAAACGAGAAGTCGACACTATACAACCATTGTCTACAACAAATTCTGATTTCATAACATCCTTCAAAAGGCTAAACTTCGCACTTTGTTTACAACTCATCAAAAGCGCTTTCTTGAACCAATATTTTTGAGTTATAGGCAATGCAATTATATACCGTAAATCAAGAACTTTTAATGATAAATATTGTACTAGACTACTAGTATATTAAAGAAGAACAGAGCGATTGATGATTCAAAGTTAAAGTTGTACTAATCCTGTTCCCAGTCTTTTTCATTTTCACGCGGAAGAAAAAGAGCGCGAAATTTCTTGAATGGAAAACGAAAGTAAACATTTTATGGCCAAAATATCCAAACCTTTATAGAGTATTGACGTTTCGTCACAATAAAACTCTTTAGTTACATTCTTATTTTTACAATGGCAATTCATATTATTGCAATAAGCTGGGCATAATATTATCTTATCATTACAGTAAGAAACAGAGAAAAATGAACACAATAATACTCTTGACAAAATAACTTTGATTTTCAATAAATTTTGATGTTGCACATCAGATTGTCTAGTCTAAATATGACAAAAAAATATATATATAAAAAATACCTTATAACGATCGACTAACTTTGTTTGTACTATTTATGTTAGCTTTTTAAGCTTGATAACAATTAGAAATATTTTTTATATTTCGATTGTAATAAAGAGTCCTTTTGATAGCCCGCCTAAATTTTTTCCACAGTTCGTGTTGATTTGATTTAAAATCATTTTTTAGAATAGCTCTATCTCTTTTAGATTATATTTATACAAAATGTTTAAGAGTCTTTCTATCTAGGACTAATAGTTCTTAACACATAACGTCACAAAACATGGAATTGTATAAAATACAAAGACAAAAATCAAACAATGGCACATCGAACAATTTTTAAAACCACATGAATTTTAGTTGGACAACAGCAGAAATGAAAAAGTCAAACAAACACCCATATTCTAAAAGCTCGCTCGCACTCAACGAGTGCTTTATAAAACTGCGCACCCACTTATTAATGACAAAGTCCTTCCTCCTTCAATGGCAAGGTTTTAACTAAAATACTTCAAATCAAGCAATCAATGGAGTGAAAATGCCGCCTTCGAATGATTAGGAGGTGATTTTAAAGCCGAAGTGAGCGAGCTTTTAGAATACGGACGAAAAGCATTTGAGATGTTTAAAAGCAAAAGTTTACAGGTGCGTTATTCAACCATAAAATAAGCAGGAATTAATAAAAGTTGTTGATGCGCACTTGCTTGTACATTACATATAGCAAACACCACTTTACGAACACACACAAAATGAAATTTTGATTTTCTTATATTCTTCCATTGTATCATTCACCTTCATAATGTCTCATATTGGGATGTCTTTAGCTATACCTCACGACTCTCATGGCCATGTAGTCGGTGTACCCGAGAACAGCATGTCTCTGAGTAGTGTCTCGATTGGCGTCTTTCCCACCAATCTCACAAAGAACAGTTGTTCAATAACAGAAGAATTTATTGTCCGCAATGACGGTAGACGAAGTAGCAATTTGCCAAAACGTGTCGGTTGACTGGGATACTGAGCTTTGGAGTATTCCTCTAGTGCACACTGCGTCTTCTCTTGAAGGCTGTCTATATATTGCGGGTCACTTAGACCGGGGCATCTATGGATATGAAATGATAAAGTACGTTAAAAATCTCCAGCACTCTCGGGCGGAATCTATGATGGTTTCTTCTCATTGGAAAATTCCTAAAGCGCTTTTGAAATTTCCAGTTTTATTACCTGAGGTGAAAAGTACAATTGCTTTCAAACACGAGTATTCCGCCGCATCGACGTGGATATTCCTAAGCTTCTCAATCTGATCCGTAAACACTCGAATGTTATCCATGAAGGAAACCATGCGGTCAGAATTCATATGGTTGGCATGGACACCAGCCGTCGCCAGAAGAGTTGGGTTGTTCAGAGGCATGGGACATTGTGCTGCATTTAGCACGAACAACTCACTCCAGGTCAAGCGAAGAAGTGCAACTTGATCAGTGACAGCAAGATCAGGGAAAAGGGGAATATTTCGAGCCCATTCCACAGCAGAAAATAATAACCTGTACATGAAAAAAAGGTTACAAGCAAAGCATTATGGCAGCTTATCTTTTTCTAGACCGGTTAAGTCAAGGAAATCTGTATGCAGTTACTAGCAAGAAAAGAAAGAAACTCTTACCACATAAAAATTAAAATGGCAGTTTTGCCGGGCAACCCTCCCCACTCCAAATAATCTTGAGAGCCAAGTGAAACCACTGTGCAAATGAATTTGCTACCAGTTGCTAATGCATGATGGGAAATTGATTATTAAAACATTACAAACCTCGCTGCAATCTCACAAATATTTTCTATACCCACAACGCCGTACGGCATGTTCAACCCGGCTGTTGAAAACGCCCGGTAGAGAACGGCTCTGCACGTAACAACAGGGTTATATAGCCAGATATCAATGAACCTCCATTCCCTTCGCCATTGTTTGTCTGCGCTTGAGGGAGAGCTGGCACTTGGGATGTGGGAAGGCGACCACGCTGTACAGCTTGATAAACAATTTAAAAACAATCTCAGTTTTGTTGATGATTTTGAATGCAATGTCATAGGCAGGGTTTTGGTATAGTACCGTCGATTTGATGCGCGGTTTTTATTAATGATAAGCTGTAGCCAAAATTCCCTATCTATTTTATCATTTGGGTATGAATTTATAGTTTGAGTTTACAACATGGAACGTCTGTAAATTTTATGGTATAGTTCGAAGGTTAAAAATTGAAACGAGTGTATTTTGTCATGAACTGACCACATGGTGTCTGTTGACAGATCAACCCAGCGGTTACATTATTACAAGTCACGTATCTCTGCGCTTCTCTAATAGCGTATCTTTTGCATCTCGAAATTTCTGCCATTTGCTTCGAAAGAACCCTTCTCCACACTAAGTTTTCAATCAATGCGATTCTTAACTCAGGCTATGATAATCGGACAAAGGCTGATAGCCGTGTTTACTTAACCAGTTTTTAAAATAATTTTAGACGGGGTGTCAGGACTTGTTTCTTCCAACAGAGAGTTGTACTAACAAAAAGCGATCGACATCCTTTCTTTTATGAACTCTTCTCACAAGTCAATTAACCGCTTTTCTAGATTTGATGTTATTTCACGAAAGATGTCTGGCGCATGCTTTCTGCTTCATTAGCACCTCCATGCGTGTACAAATTTATATTTGACAAAACGTAATCCCCAACAAAACATCCTTTTGTTTTTGATGTAAAACTTTCCCGTACACGAAATACATTCGTCCGATTTTTATAAATTAACGCTTAATCTTCTAATCTTTTTTGACACATTAAATGAGCCATATGATCCGCGTAGATGCCTGCAGAGGTTCGAAATTATGGCGGTACCTTGTTGAACTGTAGCGATTTCCAATCAGACAAGGTTACCGAAGTTCAGACAGGGTCGATCAAAAGTCCTTATTAGTTCACTCTTTTATGCTACGGTGATCCATACATGAAGGGAATCGCGTTTCACCGTTCATGTCGAGTTAGACTGTAAACATGAATTACACAAAAAATTCCTCAATTGTTAAAGCGGTCACATTGTCCCTCGATTTAGCACAGCGTCGCATCAAATTACTTCGAGCAGCACGAAGGCATTCCAATTAAAGTCTAATGAGCAAAATATTTAGAAAGATTTCTCGCGCATACTGAAGGCAACTTCGAAATCGAAACTCATTTGAAAATGATTTCAACTAGGCATCATTAATAGGAAACCAACTGTAGTTTTCTTTAGCTCCGCTTGAGATTAAAAATTTGAAACACGCGCACAGTCTTTAATGCGTCTGCTTTGCCACATGGGCGGAAGGGCACTGAATACTTGCATTGATAAAGAGACTGAGTAATATCTTTGGCGAAATGTAATTTATCGTGTTTGATGAAACGTACGGTGGAAGTGAATGTGCTCTCGACCCTGTAGTTTGAGATATAACTATTTTATGTTAGATTTGGCAACAAAGTTATTTCTTTTAAGCAAGTACTTCTAAGGGTGAAAGAAAAACTGAAAATAAATGAATATTTCATTACATTCTTCACTGCTGTTGAATAAATGCGTACAATAATTCAATCTTTATACATCGTCATGGTCAATGAGCATACGATATCAGGTCGTTTTCAACTTGCGTGCTTCAAGTTTGCAAGCAAACCATATATCAAATCAAGTTCAACAACCGAAGAAAGCTCTCAAATTTTAGCTTTGAAAGACAAACGTGAGCCACACGATAGTTTTCATACGATACATAACTTCTTCAGACATGTAGAAGTGCTAGCCAGCATTACAAACCGCTTGGCGCTTCCTCTGCTTGCAGTGTATAATATATTGAATCATATAACGTGTGTTAACATTTGTTTCAGGAAGTTGTACTCAAGGCTCCCGAACTTTAGATCAGGCAATACTTCAAACATTTGTAACAAACAGTCATATCGTCATATGTCATTTTGACCGCACGATACAGCTAAATACCTAAGCTTTCACATGTCTGGTACGCGATAACTACATTTACAATCGAGACATGAAAATTTCCCTTCGTTTATAAACGTAAACCGCATCTGACACCATGTTGATTAAGGGTCAGACAGTTTTGTCTGAACTTTAGTGGGAGCAGTTTTCGGATTGAAGTTCGCAGATTTATATCGAATTGTGTAGAAACAACGACGTTATGATAGTGCTAAAGTCGAGGACGGTGGACATTAGCAAGATTTGATACGATACACTTCTTGTTCATTCTAAAATATCTGCTTCGTTAACAGAATTAAGGTGTATATAAGAACAGATTTTACTGGTGAATATGCAGTAATGCCTGTTATCCCAATAGGCGAAACAAACTCTAAATAACAAAATCGACATGAAGCTACATTCATCCGACTATTGAAGTAATTTCTTTGAACAACCTTTCCGTTCTTTCTCAGAATATTGGCTATTTAACAGCTTCGTCTTTTGTTATCATGCGTTATACAAAAGCTGTGGTGTCTCCTACCTTCCCGTCGCATGCCGACTTTCAAGCATTTTTTCAAGCGACAGAACTGACATTGGTTGCGATGATGCTGGTCTATAGGACAGGCTCGCGAACCACGACAGGTATAAGTAAGATTCCGTCGTACACTGCGTTTAAAGAACGACTTACATCCCTCACAGGTGAAAACGCCATAGTGCTTTCCGCTGCTTTTGTCACCACAGACAGCACATTCGACTGGAATCGATGCAACACCAGCATTTGCATTGGTACTAGTTGCTTTACTTGCAGTTATTTCCGAAGCAGTTGTCGTCTGCGCGGTTCCTTCACGCCACGCGACTACGGCCATAACCTCGCTGCTGTTAGGATACAGTCTGGGAACACAAAAAGGCGAAAGGTTAAGGGTTGGTTATAGACACAATAGCTATGTTTGCGTGACGAAACAAATATTACAGAGTCCGTTCAAATGAACTCATTTGCTTAATCATATTTGCATAAAGTCGTCCAAAGGCTAATTCTTGTATACGTGTTTTCTATAGCTTACTCACCGTCGTAGCGAGCGTTTTTAACTCTTCTCAGCTCACACCAATGGCTCTTGCGTGTATTCACTGAAGCTCTAGTCTTCGTCTTGTAATTCCAACTGAATTTCTTCAGGCGTGATCTCCGCTGACTGGCAATGCAACTCAAAACCAATCAAAGATGGCGTGACCCATAATATCCATTAACACTCATTGTGACATGATATACCGTGATTAAGTGTCGTTGCCACGGCAACCACCTATATATGGTAAGGTTCCTGTCAAGAAACTGTGCAGCCTTCTATTAACAGAAGATAATTAATCAGGTAGTCGGTCAGCAGATTTGTGAATTATAGGAACAATATGAGTGGCTGTGTGTTATATGACCTGGACTCGCATGATGTTATCTATGGACTTTTCTTTTGGACAAGAAATCAGTGTCATTAGCGATATATTGTACAGGAGTTTTGTCAATTAGAATAAAACCATAGCTCTCTCATTGCTACATGCGTAATAAGTCATAGATATTCATGGTCGTCGATACTGACTTTTTTGTTAGTTTTTGCTCAAGATGAAACAACAGACGTTCTCTGATCTCTAAACGTGTACCCGAATGATTAATGAAGGCAATTTATGATCTGCAAATAACGAAACAACTCGCAAGTGATTACAAAATAAATAATAGTAATTAATCTCTGTGTCATATCTTACAGAATTTAAGTCAGTATACTGACTTGTAGACGACTCACTGAGGATGAACACAGTCAAATCATCATCTAAAGGTAACACACCTATAAAGAAAAGGTTAAAGTACGATAGTACGACACTGAAGTACTGATTTTGTTTACTAGCTTAAAGGTCAAAGTCGTTGTAATCGTTAATTGGTTTGCCGACAAGGTCTTCTTCGGAACCTAGAACCTGAACTATGGAGGGCAAATTTTTGGACTCCGTGTTCGAACTTCACACTCCGCGTCGTCCAGTTTCTCTCCTCGTTTCTGGCATCGATCAGATGGCACTATTTCAACGTGTGCCATACACATAACTAAGTATCATTTTACGGTTTTAAGTATGAGCTGTACAAACAGACTTATGAAAATGAGTAAAGCGCATTTTACAACTTCAGTTAATGACTCAGCTCTATAGAGTTTTCAGAAAATAAGTTTCAAATTTCGTACGAGCGAATTTCTATAATGTATATGCAATGTGTTTGCGACGAATCAACTCGATTCACATCATTTGACAAAGCTTTTCCACTCGAAATAAAGGACAGGTCAAGTTTTAAAAAAGAAAATCCACTTCTGTACTACACGGTCATAATTACCATTTCATTATGTATATTCATACGAAATCGTGCTGTGGATCAGCCTCCCGTCTGTTAGTGAGTTTTTCCCCGGTTGGCCAACAAAACTTCCAATTTTGTAGATGTTTGCTGTTTTATAAATGACTTTATATGGGAAAGTGCGTTAAGCTTCCCACTGATTGAAAAATTTGAACGGAATTCAAAGAGATGGGTGCTCAATGCAACCGACTACCGCATTCTTCAGTGGCGAACGGTGTATTAAATATCTATGAATTTACACCCCGTAGAGATGTTTTTACTTTTCTCATTGAACCTGTCGTTGTATCGCAGTAATCTACTTTGATAAGATTTTCGTTTGTTTCCCATATCACGCGGGTTTGTGCAGATTCGTAAATGCATCATAGACCTAATTCGTCTGGTGAACAGTCTGGGGTTGTTTTTACCCAAGTTCGTTAAAGGTTTCCTGACAGAGGACGTAAGACCTGATGGATAACACAGGGTATAATTGGATTATTGAACACAATAGGTCTCTCTACCATATTGGAAATTTTCGACATGCCTAGATATCACTCGTTGATCTAAGAATGCGTCTAATCTTGACTGATGTGTCTTCGGTGTCTCAAGGTCAAGCATTCGTCAATAAAGAATATTCGCGTTGCTATAAATGACAAAAACTGGCACGTGTGTCTCGCTGGCGTGCTAACTTCATTAAGAACAGGATGTTTGTGTATATTAGACCAATATTAGATACAAATATACGAAAATTAGAGCGTTTTATTACCTAACGTGCGGTCTTTAACTATTCTCAATCTTCCTTTTTTGCGATTCGGTTTTTTCAATAATCTATGACAAAACATATTATTCGGTGAACGACGTAGTTGATTACGTGTTGTGTAATTCATTTCGTAAGCATTACGTAAGCGGAAGAACTTTGTATTTTATCGTAAATCCTATTGAACGTGTAAGTTGTTTTTTTGTCGCAAAATATCTTAGAAAATCTGGATCAAGGTGATAAGAGAAGTTTTTGGTGAAGTTAAGGAAGATAAACTGCGAACACAACATATGCCTATTTTCCTATTTTCACTTGCACACTTGCTGTGAACATATTTCGGTGGAATTTTAAAACACAAGTACGCTGCTTTTGGTCTTCGGCAAGACCGACACGTGAATATGACACGAAGACTGTAAAGAAACGAAACTCTAAAGTTCAAAACAGATAAACTTCACGTCCATCACGAGTCGTTTTAAGCAACTAAACACAAGGTCACAAGAAGTAAGGACGCCCACTCTTGTAGTGAAATTCATCACAAGTTATGATCAGGTTCAAACATACAGCAACGTGTATTTCAACGCTGTGCAAAAAACATATCTCTCTACTGGAGACATGAGAAAACCTATGACTACGACGCCTTGTTAAAGATCATAAGAAGCTTTTTTATTTTCCTAAACACAGCAGGTTCTCATTGTCAATTTTATAACTTCATTCATCATATTGTAAATTTTCCTATTTGCAGGGGGCAGGCATTAAGGATCGAACCGTGAACGAGGACCTTAAAATGGAAAGTGAGGGGCAACATTGTCAAGAGAATTGACAATAAGGACGGCTGGGCGGAGCACTCAGGCGAAAAAGATTGGTTTACAATTAAAGATGTTGAATGCAGTATTTCAGTGACGTTTCAAGCAAAAGTTACTTTACAAGAACGTAGTTTTTGAATTCATGAATTTGCACTTCTTCATTGACAGACGAGTTCTAAATCGCTGAAGTTACTAGGATATAAAGGTTAATTTCCAACATGGGAGTATTATCGGAATCCCATTTCTTCTATGTCTATATTAAAGGGCCAGCGAAACGAAACTTTCGCTGTTTAAGTCATTTGTTATTGAATAGAAGTCTGAAAATGACTGCGGATTTTCGAAAACAATTCACATCTCAATTCGTTTAAGACATTGAAGGCTTGAAGTTTTTGTAATGTCAGATTCACACAACGAATGACGTCACCTCGCACATAGTAAATCGCTGCAAATTTGATGAAACTCCTTTTCTTTTCCTGACAACTTTTAGATGAAATACTTACGCAGAATTTTATACCATTAACACATCACGAAGACAAGAACTATAACATCTGAACTAGCTTATCGGCAAATATTGTAAATTAATTTAGTAAAAAAAACTTTAACTTAATTATCTTGTGTAAATTTAGACACGCAATTCAGTCTGTAGGCTGCCATGTGTTAATTTTATTAAACTATCTATCTTCCTGTCTATAGGGAATTAGAGAATTTGTCGTGGCGACAAATTGAAAACAGTTTTAAAAAGAGCAACTGCCAAGGTGAATGGACTAAATAATAACGTAATGGTCCTAAAAACAGCTGTTTAAACAGTTCTTTTAAAAAGTGTTCTGGTTTCAAACAGTTTATTCAAGAACTACTACGTTGTTTTTTTGACCATTCACAATGATATTTGCTCTTTTTAAAACAATCTTCCTGGCTAGCTACCTGTCCATCATATATCTAAATAGTCTTTATCATTCAATTTCTTCATTATGCAATGTGACATTATTGGATGTGTAAATCACACATCAAAAAAACTCCAATAACTTGAGAATGCAAAGAGATATGACAAACTGTTTAAGAAAAAAACTCCAATAACTTGAGAATGCAAAGAGATATGACAAACTGTTTTAGAAAAAAACTCCAATAACTTGAGAATGCAAAGAGATATGACAAACTGTTTTAGAAAAAAATTCCAATAACTTGAGAATGCAAAGAGATATGACAAACTGTTTCAGAAAAAAAACTCCAATAACTTGAGAATGCAAAGAGATGACAAACTGTTTCAGAAAAAAACTCCAATAACTTGAGAATGCAAAGAGATATGACAAACTGTTTTAGAAAAAAACTCCAATAACTTGAGTTTGCAAAGAGATATGACAAACTGTTTCAGAAAAAAACTCCAATAACTTGAGAATGCAAAGAGATATGACAAACTGTTTCAGAAAAAAACTGTCATTTTACGAGTTCTTTTAAAAGAAACTATAATTTTAATAGCATAATTTTCGATCCGCTGGCACTTTAAGTCAATTGAATTCAAATTTCCTTAAACGTTTCTTGCGAATCAATGTTCGGCTTTATAGGTAAATGATTTTCGTTTTCGAAAAAGGTAATCCACACACAACTGAACAAAATTCTTTGATATTGAAATTGATTTGTTAAATTTTGCTTTATTTGAGAGAAAGGATTTACTATTTGAGTATTCTAAAAAAAATTCCTCAATGCCATAGCTTTTCATTAATTTATACACACTTCTAGTTTTTTCGCTTTTTTTGTAGTCATTTTTAGTTCCATTTTAAATTCCGTGATCTAAATTACGTTGCACGAATGAACATTTATGTATTGTCAACTACACATGCATGGCATTGTGGGATTTTCTCAAGGTTATAGCACAGAAGAGATATCTTAACAGAAGGTCCACTCGTGTCGGAATCTTTGATGTTCGTGTCCCCCACGTTTCTGAAGCAAATTCTAAGCAGACATGCCTTCCAGCAAGATACTTCCGCTGGATCGCAATAGAAAATATAGATGTTTTTATAAATATATCGTTTTGCACTACAAAAGCTTGGAACCTTATCGTCTTCGCAAGATGGTAACATTTTGTAAAAATTCCGGTAAACTTTTGCTTTAAATGTGAATTATTAGTAAAATAGCATTCTCGTGCTACACTATTCCATATTGATTTGGTGAAAGTATCTTGCTGGGAAGTCACGCATGCGTAGTGAAAAAATACGCCCCGACTTAAGCCGAGTGAGCCTTCTGTTAGATGTCTATTCTGTGGTCATAGCTAATCCTGACGTGTCCATAATGTCCAATGCCGTTTTACTTCACAGAACCATCTAAAATGGATGTTTAGAACCATCTTTTAAAAAATAACAATACAACGCGTGCACTGATTGGTCATGTTGCTGAGTTTGCAATAGCCTGTGCCGCGAGCACTGATTGGTCAATAAATGAGTTTGCAATAGCCTGCGCCGCGTGCACTGATTGGTCAATAGCTGAGTTTGCAATAGCCTGTGCCGCGTGCACTGATTGGTCGATAGCTGAGTTTGCATCAGCGCATGTGCAAACCCATCCGAGGCCAGTCAAATAATCAATCAAAGAGAATTTACAAGTACATAAATAGATGTTAGACGAAAAATTAAAACGTTTCTTTTTAAATTTATCTTTTTTAAATTTATCTGTTTCGCATTATTGCTATCTTATAAAACGAATAAAAGATGTTTTTCGTGTACACAGGGACTTATGAAAGCCTCGCAGACGTTTGTGAGGGCTCTCGAGCATGTGCACTGATCTGCACTCGAGTTCTTCAAAAGATCTCCCACGTTTGCAAAAGCCTGTGCAAACAAAGTAAACATTTTTTATTTCTTAATTACCAAAGCGCACGAGTAGAAATTTTTCCATATCTTCCGAACTTGCAAATGTAGTTTAATGGGGGAAATACTCCGCATTGTTCAAAATCCATGGTAGTTATGAAACTTATGACAATAACTAATCACTAACCGTTACATCGATAGAAAATCTTTGACCAGCTGACTTTTTCTTGTGAAAATGACATCACTCCAATACGACCCCCAGAGTAGGTTTTGTCATGAAGAACTCCTGTGTCGATCACCATCTTTTTTCCATCAAATATCTTGAGCCTGCGCACAAAGAAATAATTGGTAGAAACTGGTCTATAGGAAATCCAGTCAAAATTTGAAAGCATGGAAAAATTCTTAAAATGAAATGATCAAATGATCCCCAACATGGGCACAAAGTTTAAAAACTAGCCTGTATCGCGGTTCGGCTAACTCATCTAAACAAAAGCGCAACATTTCAAGACGACTTGATATTTCGCTCACAAAGTTGACTATATTCAACGTGTTTGAAACTTCCTATGCAGAGCTTCTTAGAATAAAAAAAGGCAAGGAATGGTGACATAACATAGTGACTTAAAACATTCTGTACTTACTTAACAAATCCTGCTTTTATCTAGTGTATTATGTAGTTACCTAATGAATCCTGTAGTTATCTAAAATACCCAGTAGTTACCTAATGAATCATGTAGTTATCTAAAATACCCCAGTAGTTACCTAATAAATCCTGTAGTTACCTAATATACCCTGTCGTTACCTAATGAATCCTGTAGTTATCTAAAATACCCCAGTAGTTACCTAATAAATCCTGTAGTTACCTAATATACCCTGTAGTTACCTAATGAGTCCAATGGTTAACTAATATATCCTATAGTTACCTAATGAATCCTGTTGTTATATTAAATACCGCTGTCGTTACCTAATGAATACAATAGTAATCTAATATACCCTGTAGTTACCCAATGAATCCTGTAGTAATCTAACATACCCCTAATGAATCCCGCAGTTATTTAATTGATCCTGTTGTTACCTAATATATCCAGTATTCGGACGATATCTTAGTTGCCAATGATAGGCGGTTTTCTCAGTCCAACCAAGCTCTCTTGTATCATGCCATAAAGTTCGCACCTACGAAATTAAATAGTAAAGTTTTGTGCGTAAATCATTGTTGCTGCATTTAGTAGAAAATAAGACGCTTATCTATTTACCTGGTTTTCAGTGCTGTCTGTGTTCCACAACGCATTGCGCAGCTCGGGTCCAGGTCCCGTGTTTGAATTGACCACCTTGTAAGATTGAAATAAGTTAAAAGCAGTTGGTTGTAAAAGAGCAATCATTAAACCGATGGTTATTTCACACCTCAAACACAATTCTACCTTACCTTGATGGACAAACCAGTTCTGCCAATGGCTTCAAAAGGTTCTTTGTCCCAGTAGATCTGACCAAGTTTCTTCCACATCACAGCATAAAACTTACTGCTGCTTTGATAACCAAATATGATGCCAAAGTAATCATTATCTACGTTCGTGTCCACGTATATGGTACCGTAATAATCCACTCCGCGGAATGACTGCTTTCCTGAAAATGCATTATAAAACTGTTAGATTCCATGATTCGACGATCCAAGAGCACTTTCATTATCGTACCTATAGCCATTCCGGGATCGCTATTTTCAATTTGAGAGATTTCTTTGCCCTATAAATATGCTTACTTAATGAAAATTTCTGTTAAGCCTCGCTCGCACTCACTGAGTAAGATTTTAAAATCCCCTCAAAACTCTTTGAGTGCTGAGTGCGGTGATTTCACTCCATCGATTGCTTTATTTGAAATTTTACAACAAAAGTCTTGCCACTGACGAGGAAAGGTCTTGCCACTATCGATTTGCAAGAAAACGAGATTTCTGTGTGGGACTCAGTGAGTGTAAGTGAGGTTTTAGAACACTGGCATTAGACTTCTTGATAGAATATTTTGTATGGGACAAAGATGCTTCAAACGGTCTCAATATTCAAACACTTACATGATCTAAAACTTTCCATACTGGATCGATTTGTTCTTCTTCTTTCGGGTCCAGGTTAATAGTCTGATAGTCGACGAAACTCACTGATCCATAGTTCTTGTTTTCCGGACAACTGTCTTCGTTGTTCGTGATATTGTCGCCATCGTAATCGCCCTGACAAGCAATACCGTATTTTCTGGCTGCAGGATACAATACATAATGTTGTTAAGAGAGGTTTGTAGAAAGAAAAAAGTAATACAGATAGATTACATCGTCTGGCTGATAATCTGGGTTTTTCAGAAGAGGGAAATTTTCTGAAATTGAGCCTACACGTGTCATATAATGTTAATATATCTTATTGGATGTAGTGTTTTATGTGTTTTTCATTACTTTGCCGTGCCAATGTTCACAAAGCGTGCATTTGGTCCAAAAGACCAAAGGAAGACCCACACACGACGCGCAGCACATTTGCCTTTGCATCTCGGAGAAAAACTTTAAAAGACTGTGAACAGTGACAGAATAGATTGTTAGGTAAAGTCACACTAAGACACAATAAATGTCCTAGACTTTTTAAGGTCTTAATTATTGCCTACGCTTAGAACCAAGAATGACAACAGTATCACAATGTAAATGTCAGACACACGAGACGCGGGAATCGCCCGTAAGATAAACAAGACTTTCTCCCATGGGTGCAAAAAGAAACATTTTGTAGGAAAAATAAGTTGTAGAGGTGCGAGAAAGAAAATAAAGGATTCTTTTCATCACTTACAGAGTGGATCAACTTCTTGATCTTCGTTCTTCGTAAGTCTACAATTGTCTACATCATCTAATATTCCATCATTATCGTCATCCGGATCACATTCATCACCTTCATAACAAATAAAAACGTCGCACTATCTTCATGATTGCAAACATCAGAATGCTTTGAATCCATTGTTTAGTTACCCATTCCATCCAAATCTGTATCTAATTGTCCAGGATTGATTGTATTAACGCAGTTATCATCATCATCGTTAACGCCATCTTTGTCTCTAGGAATTCAAATCGATCACACATATATAGAAAGTTATGTGCTCTGGTGAGGGGAGGGTATGAAACTCCATGAAAAGTTGTTGTGTTGGATATTCGGGGGATACATGAAATGTTAAGTAAGGTCATCGTTTATGTGTTACGGAGGGAGGGAATTTCAGGCAACGTTGTCGCTCGAAAGTATGAAATAAAGAGAAAAATGGTCATTACCTATCTATATTTGAATCACATACGTCACCAACTAGATCTTGGTCAACATCTTCCTAAAACACGAACGAATTTATAAAATTAAAATTGATTTTTCTCCTTGAGTATTGATTTCCAATCTCAAAATATGGTCGTTGGTTAGAAAGTGTACATATTTGTTGTTTTAAAGACGTGTGAGATTATATAAAATCATCAACGCTGACCTGTCCTGGATTAGCTTCAAAGGGACAGTTGTCACATTTGTCTCCGTGACCGTCGCCATCTGAATCCTTTTGATCTTTGTTCTTTATCAAAGGACAGTTATCTCTTTCTGTGATTTCTAAATGTTTATGAAAGTTTCGTAAAAGGACAGTTGTTTCCTTCAATTCTCAATGTTTAGTAAAGCTGCTTTACATTTGTCTCAAAAGTAAACACTGTTTCTTCGTGAAAACGATACTACCATTTTTTAATATTCTGGTTGGTCTGGTAAACGTGCATTCAGAGCAAAGCGTCATCCAGGATTCCTGAGACCACCCCCCCTTAATCCAGGATTCCTGAGACTCCCCCTAACATTCTCTAACTGACCAACACACAATGTGATTTATAAATCAGGAACTGTGTTCTATAATATTCTTTATTTATTTAATATATTTTCGTCATACCATCTCCGTCTAAGTCTTCAACGCAAGCATCTCCTCTGCCATCTCTATCAGTGTCTACTTGATTTCGGTTTCGAGTATCGACGCAGTTATCGCAAGCATCGCCAATTCGGTCGCCATCTGCATCATTTTGACTTGGATTGTAGTTAAATGGACAGTTGTCCTTAGTGCAAAAAAATTCATGAAATAGGTTTTTAAACACGAGTAAACTTTTGGAAGAAAAACAAAGACACCTTTCCATTCAATAAACCATCGTTGTCAGCATCTTCGTCGCATGCGTCTCCCAACTCATCTTCGTCAGTGTTTTCTTGTCCGCTGTTTGGTTTACTAACACAATTATCCTAAACGAGGCCTCAATTATAAGATAGAAATAGCATAGTAGCCTGCTAGACTAGACAAGAACTTTACATCATCGTGAATAACCGGAAGTACAGGTGAAATTTCTTCGGGGAAGTTCGGGGATGTTCGTGGATCGCCTTACCTTTCTGCATTGTTTCTCTTTACAGTTTGGAATATCTTTGTCAGGAAAACCGTCCAAATCTGTGTCTTTAGCACAGCTGTAGCCATTTCCAGCAAAGCCCAGCTTACACTGAAAGTAATGGTATGATCACTAACGTGGATTGTGATTGGCTGAAGATTATTAAACGGTGTGCTATTGGTTTGTTATCATAACTGGTAGAAGTCATAATTGCCTACCTCACAATGATTGCCACCCGCAAGGACATTCGGAACACACGTTGCTTTACGATGACAGGAATTGAGTCCGGGTGGACATGGTTCTTCGTCCACTTGGTCTTCTATCGTGGTTTTATTTGGGTATGGTTCATCTGTTTCTGTTGTCGTTATGTTCGGAACAGGTTCGACGATCGGTAATTGACTTTTGTCGCAAAGTCCACAGGATTTCAGCGTCATTTTCATGTTTTCCATCAACTGATCGTAGGTCGAAAAAAAGTTTGAAGATCGAACTAAGTGCAGTTTTATTTCACAAGAGTAAGGAGAATTACCTTGGCCATCGACTTGTCGCAAGCAGCAGTTAGACTCTCTGTTAAACGCACTTCCAGTGCGTTCATGTCTGCCTTTGCGATCACTAAGTTAAAAAGACCGAAACTATGAAGTGCTGTTACTTACATATGCGGAATGAATGATGAGTCTGGGAAAGATAATTTCACCTGTGGAATGAGATTTGTCACTGATACCGCCAGCAACCTCTATTATACTGGTAAAAATCTTCAGTTGTTTCATGCACACCTATAAACAGAAGACTTCATCAGAATTCCAATTGGATGATTCACGATTCTCTTTTCGTGAGAAAAAAAAACAAACACGACTAACCTTTGGAGCTGAGTATTTATCTGTTAACCCCCACATCTCGGCGACACGAACTTCCAGGTCTTTCACGTTTATTGTGGATTTATCACGAAAAACATTCGTGAGCACCTTCCTTCCAACTTTCGTATCGTTTACGAAGAGCTCAACAATCGGTTTGCTTTTGAGGAAACCATCAAACTCAAGCTTTAGCTCAAACCACCTTTTCGCTTCCAATGGGACATTCGAAAAATAAAGTATCCTCATGCGTTTGCTGTTGTCCATGAAGGAAATACCGACCAATTTCCGGGAGACATTTATCCACCAGACGAACAATTTTTTGCGGTCCGTACGTCTTTGCACGGCGAACAAAACAAACTGTGCTGTACCTATATGTTCAAATACGTCTTTGCACGGCGAACAAAACAAACTGTGCTGTACCTATATGTTCAAATACGTCTTTGCACGGCGAACAAAACAAACTGTGCTGTACCTATATGTTCAAATACGTCTTTGCACGGCGAACAAAACAAACTGTGCTGTACCTGTATGTTCAAATACGTCTTTGCACGGCGAACAAAACAAACTGTGCTGTACCTATATGTTCAAATACGTCTTTGCACGGTGAACAAAACAAACTGTGCTGTACCTATATGTTCAAATACGTCTTTGCACGGCGAACAAAACAAACTGTGCTGTACCTATATGTTCAAATACGTCTTTGCACGGTGAACAAAACAAACTGTGCCGTACCTATATGTTCAAATACGTCTTTGCACGGCGAACAAAACAAACTGTGCTGTACCTATATGTTCAAATACGTCTTTGCACGGCGAACAAAACAAACTGTGCTGTACCTATATGTTCAAATACGTCTTTGCACGGCGAACAAAACAAACTGTGCCGTACCTATATGTTCAAATACGTCTTTGCACGGCGAACAAAACAAACTGTGCTGTACCTATATGTTCAAATACGTCTTTGCACGGTGAACAAAACAAACTGTGCTGTACCTGTATGTTCAAATACGTCTTTGCACGGTGAACAAAACAAACTGTGCTGTACCTATATGTTCAAATACGTCTTTGCACGGTGAACAAAACAAACTGTGCTGTACCTATATGTTCAAATACGTCTTTGCACGGCGAACAAAACAAACTGTGCTGTACCTGTATGTTCAAATACGTCTTTGCACGGCGAACAAAACAAACTGTGCTGTACCTATATGTTCAAATACGTCTTTGCACGGCGAACAAAACAAACTGTGCTGTACCTGTATGTTCAAATACGTCTTTGCACGGCGAACAAAACAAACTGTGCTGTACCTATATGTTCAAATACGTCTTTGCACGGCGAACAAAACAAACTGTGCTGTACCTGTATGTTCAAATACGTCTTTGCACGGTGAACAAAACAAACTGTGCTGTACCTATATGTTCAAATACGTCTTTGCACGGTGAACAAAACAAACTGTGCTGTACTTATATGTTCAAATACGTCTTTGCACGGTGAACAAAACAAACTGTGCTGTACCTATATGTTCAAATACGTCTTTGCACGGTGAAGAAAACAAACTATGCTGTACCTATATGTTCAAATGGTATTGAAAGGTATTTCAATACAGTACATTCCTCCCATGATGGGGTCATATGAAAGGGTGCATCTTGGATGTAGGTCAGAATACATTTTAGTTCAAAAATTGAATTTTAAATAACAACGATGCGGTTGGCTGGTTGGAAATCTCTAATATATATATTTAAGGAAGTATAATATAAAGCAAATTCCGAAGAAACGAGACATCTTGAGATTGCAAAATATGAATCAAAACAAAACCAGAAGTAAACTGTAAATTTTCGACTTTATTTCAAAGTCATCCTCAGACAGAATGAGGATGACTTATATATTTAAGAACCGTATATTACCAACATGATTAGTTATAAAATATTTTGAATTGGAAATATATTTATGTTAATGTACTCTGACCTTTCCAGGATGAATCCATTACTTGTCATGAAACATCTGTCGTGACAATTTAAAAAAAAGCTACTTGTATACATTATACGTTTAATAGCAAGCTGAGAAAAGTAGTAAATATTACATGAAGTACCTCTTAGCTGCTTTATTTTGATTTGTGACGTAAGTGAGAACATATCGCTTTGCATGACTTTGATAAAGCGATCCCTGATTTGCGAGCTTGCCTTTATTTTACTGTTCGTATTTCCGTTTCTTCTACGGTAACAGTAACGAGTCACGTTTTCAACTTTTTGCAAGCCCAATGATAAATCTTGCTCGAAATCGTCCATGAGCGAAACCTCTAAAGAAAATTGACTGTGGGGATAAATGCCGGGGGGATAAATGCAGCTGTGGTATATCGTCAGCAACTTGGCTATTTTTTTACATGCGAGGGTTGTCTGAAAATTCGTGAAAAAAATGCATTTAATGAAAACAGAGATGAGCAAAACACTTTTCGCGATGACATCAACAATCTTACGAATGACGCAGTCAGCACGTTCATACAATCCGTTCGTGCACAATTTCACTTTTCATTCGATTTCCAAAGAAATTTATTCATGAGAGACCAAGCTCCCAGACTGGCTACGTAACTGGTACTTACGAATCTAGCTTGCGTCAGCTTATACTTCATTTCATTTTGCTTGAAAGTTCGCATTTGCTTATTTCAATAACTACTGCATGCATAACGATAATACAAATACAAACGTACCATTTGTGTAGACCGTACTTAAGCAAAGGAATGAAAGGACTATCGTTAGGCAATTCATCTTCAGCAAATACTGTTATCTCGCTTACTTCTCTTCTCTTTTCGCGCTGTTCACATTAAAGTCTAACCTTAGCAGTCTGACACCAGTCTTATATGTACACCTGTAATCACCTACGAGCGGCTAGAATTTTCCAGACGTCAATCGAGTCTCTCAGCAAGCATGGAAAATATTTTAATGACATCCGCGATGTGAAAGGTCGAGAAACACACTGATGCATATTTTAAAGGAGAAAAGATTGACGGCATTAATTGAAACAGAACGATCGACTCAGCAGAACATATGAAAAAGGTCTTGAAAAAAATTTTCCCTACACCTCAGCTGTTCTAGATTTTGAGAGATCCTATCGTCATGCTAAATTACTAAGAAATTCTTTTATATTGCTTTCTCAGCTGTCAATTATACTTCAATTATACTCAATTTCGCACTTCATACAAGAATTGATAGTACTTACATGGCTAAGGATTATTTGCTTAAAAGAAATTATCTTTGCTACCTGCTGCGGTAGGAAGAAAATTCTCGAAGGAAAAACGAAAATTGAGAAAACAAACCTGTACTGTAGACGGACATTTCACCGCACATTTGCATAGTCTGCGCAATTTTGCATCAGGTAAAGCATTCAAAATTGAAGTAGTTTGGACTTTTTGGCATATAAACGGCGATAGACACCGCACATTTGCATAGTCTGCGCAATTTTGCATCAGGTTAAGCATTCAAAATTGAAGTAGTTTGGACTTTTTGGCATAAAAACATTTCACCGCACATTTGCATAGTCTGCGCAATTTTGCATCAGGTTAAGCATTCAAAATTGAAGTAGTTTGGACTTTTTGGCATATAAACGGCGATGGACATCGCAGCAGTTTGTTGAATTGTCACTCATTAGCACTGTGGAAGCCCGGACCTTTTAATTGTGCTCCCTGCAAAACAATACGTGAATTTTTCTCAAGTCATAAACAACAACAGCGTGTTATTGCAACATTAAATTCCTAACAACAAAATGTGATTATAACTTACATCACAATGTGAGCATTTTTTCAAATTTGTAAAGTGCAATTTACAAACGGTGTTTCAAGTCAACTCTGATCAAATGCGCTTACACCGTTTTTATGTATAAACAAACAGACATTAGTTATCTTTACGATCTTTATTTCCCCTAGAGTATGGGATAGATATTATCTCTATTATTCAATTAAATGACTACCTTAAGCCCGTAAACTTAAGACAATGCAACAAAGTTACCTCTGCAAGGCTGACGTTGCTGAATAATTTCTAGAACTAGAAAAGACAATAAAGAGTTGTTTGCTGTTTAATGTAAAAAACGCGTTAAGATTATGTCAATTCAATTATCTCCCAAAACCTGTGGTATGCATGACTTTATTATCTTGCACAAGTGTCAATCGACTACTTAATAAAAACTTCCTATACTTAAACTACTTATGTTGAAGAAGCCGAACCCATTTGTCGCTTCTAAGAACTTCAACGTAAACAATTTCGCTATTCGATTTTTGTCCATCCCAGTGCCTCGCTAAATTTTCAGTTACAACGATTGTAATTTTAATCAAAGATATGGTTGTCGTAACTTTTAGCTAAGAAATATTCAAATGCTGCTTTGAAAAGCGTCTTCGTCAAGGTAGATGACAAGAGTAACATTGCTATAGTTGTAAAAAGTTGTGTTGAAAACAAAAATTAAGAAAAAGATGGCTTTCAATTTCAACAGTTCTTTTTACAACCAGCAATGTTGTACATTTTGCCATCTACCTCGACAAACATGCTCTTCAAAGTTCAAAGCAGCGATTCAAATCCTCAACAAAGAGTTTTGTGAGGTTTGGTAAATGTTTCCTTCCTGCTGTTTGGCTCCAGCATAGAAAAATTGACCCTCTTGCGAAGTTTAAGTGTGTCACTTTGCATGGAAGTTTTTGGTCAGAAAACTAATCTGGCAATAAGAACTAGTTATGTTATAGTCTCATGACGAATTTCTGACAAATTCGAATTATAACTTTTCAAATAAAAACCTTCTTGTTTCTTTTTAAAATATTGAGTTAAACACGAGTCTTCCATTAGGAGAAGCTTCATATTATACTACAATTGTCGGCTGGTAATCGATTTTAAAACTGGTTATGTTGCTTTAAACATATCTGATGATTCCCAAGTATCTCAATGATTGCTCACCTGCAAACGATGAAGTGAATACAAGGAATATCTAACAGCAAACGACAAGGAAATTCGTCATGGACACACAAAAAGACAAGACTTACCAGCGAGAAAAACGCTTTTTGTATATTTAATAAAGATACCAACTAATGACTTTTGTACAAAAACTGCTTTTCACTAAAATTGTATCGGTAAAAATTTTAAAGAATTTTATTCACTAGTTTAAACAATAAAACCAACCTCCTTTCAGTGGATATGTGCTGCATTTTCGATGAAGGATAAGCCTCTTACAAACGATGTCATTACATTATTTCCTTGAGAAACAAAGGGGAAACGATTTACGTTAACTGACGTACGTCTGCCAGGTAATAAAGATTACAACATGTAACGACAAAGAAAATAAGATTACGATTAGAAAGACACTTCATTTCCTTTTTTCTTTGGTCTATTTTCATGTATAGGAAAGGCTTTTCTTGAGTCTTTTAGTCCTTTAAGGGGTTTGCCAAATGAGAATAATTTTGGCTCAAAAGTTTACTCAAGGTTAGGATAAAATACTTTCAAATATTACCAGCTAAAAAGTATTTCACGTTACTCATAAAGCTACATTTCTTACATTTAAGTGATAAATTTAGTTCGCTGAATTTTGTATGAAATAAACAAATCGCTGGAAAAAATTTTAGCAAAGATTATAACGTATTTAGCATTTTACTGATGACAGAGTTGAATGAAACACGAGGAATTTGATCATGATTTTGTCATCTTAAAATGAGAACAAGGAAGATTTGCCTTATCTATGTAATTCTGATGGTTTCTATCAATTATCAGTCCAGACACCTAATAAATCTTGGGTCATTTTTTGTGCCATTTACGTGTACTCGCTATCATGTGATTATCTAAAGGTGAAACAAACTGCGTCTAGAACTTGAAAGAGAAACAAGTGCTTTGATAAAGCTGTCTGTTGTTCACGTCTGTTTAAATGTATGAAAGCTGTCACGAATTAGCAAATTTTCACGAATTAGCTAATTCCGTAATTCTATAAATCATTCAGATGAGCCCGACGTAATCACTTGATTAAATCTAAGCTTATCTCACCTTGGATAATCCCTAATCTTATTCAGCAGGATTCAACAAACATGGCGTCCGTTTCAAAGTCGACAACGATAATCAAACCTTTGCTATCTCAATCATCCGTAGAAGCAAGAAGACGAGTTATGAATCTATATCGTGCATGGTATAGAGAAGTAAGTTCTGTAGTAGATACTTTTCATTACAGTTTGCGTGAAATAGTTTTATATGATTATTGATGAATGAGAATTCAAAATCACAGCTACGTTGCTCAAGTAGTTTGCTTTGAGGCATTTAGTAGCATATTTTTTCATTTTGTATCCATAGTTAACTATACTTAACTATTGCAGCGATGTGCAATTTTTTTACAAACAATAAAAATGGTGTGATACCGCGCAATTTTTCCTTTGTACGGTCGTTTAAATGAAGACTAATTCCTATTACACAATTTAAATCGTACCCTATTTCTTTCTGATAAAATTTTCCAGATTCCCCGAGCCGTCAATGCGTACGCTTTGGATATAACTGTTCGTCAAGGGCGGGAGAAGCTAAAGGAAGAATTTAAGAAATATTCACATATTCAAGATATTAAATCCATCGATATGATGGTCATTAAGGTTCGCATACATCGTATGGTATTTCAACATTATCACATTGTTCTTTCGTTTGAAAATTTGTCGTGTTTACAGGGAAGAATGGAGCTGGAAGAGACGCACAAGATTTGGAAGCAAAAAACACACATCATGAGGTATTTTAAGGAAACATATCCAGAGAGAAAGACAGACTTCTTGTCACGATTTTATGATGGCTCTGATTGAATTAAGCTACAGATGAACAATTTTTGTGATAGTGAAGATCCTAAATCTATACAGTATGAGAAATGAACTTTGCCATTTTGTAATTATGTTTTTTCCCTCTAAAGTTATAGAGATTATAAATATTTTTGTTTAACTTTTCGACAAGTAGTGTTTTCATGTTAAACCAAGAAGTGTTTTCACGTTAAACCAAGAAGTGTTTTGGCATCTTGACTCTGTTGCATTAGCGTTTCACTAGCATATTTCTCCAGCAGTTCCTACGAGAAAATTATATTTTGAGCTTAAGCACAATACAGTGTATTAATTATTACAGGTATTATTATATGCGTACTTACCATTTTCTTCCTTTGAACTAACAAAGCTTCAACCTAGTCAAGTAGTCACACATTAGGTTTTGTATGAAATAGTATTATGTGGAATTTATTTGTTGTATACATGGTTGTGGTCAGTGGCCCCAAAATTTGGTTAGTGTTCTATGCTTTTCTGTTTGATAGAAAAGCTCACAATTTTAGTTGGATGAATTTTTTGTTCTCTCAGTTTTCTGGACCAACTTTTTTTTACATGATGTACAAAAGCTGGAGGTGTCTAATTCCCACACTCCACTAAAGTGTGCCTCTTGTTATGCTTTAGATAACATACCTCTTCCTGCGATGGTACGGCTACATGTGAGACAAATTTGCTTTCATCTTGTTCTTCACTTTCCTTATCTTCATCACTTTCCTAAAATTTTGCCATTTAACAAATTGTGATGCTGTGGTGTATGTCCATGAAACATGTCACATTCTTGTTCACTTAAAAAGCCATCGAAACTGAGGACCACAATGATAAATTCTTCCTCATTTAAAATGACAGCACAGCATGAAAACCTTTTGTAAACCCATGCATCCAGATTTTTCTTTGACATGAAAAGAGTATGCTTACATTATCTTCAGCAACAGTAGCATATATGTCTTCTTCTTCTTCAACTTGAGCCACCTCTCCTGTGGCTTTTTGCTTCTCATAATCTGACATGGCCTTTTCCAAGGCTGAACAAAATAAAACACCATGAAAGAAAATGGACTCGCAGTTTTAAAGTCATTAAACACTAAAACAGTATTGTTTACAAACAAGTTATGAACACTTGACAAAATATTAAGAGGATCAGTCAAATAATTTTGTCTCAATACGTAAAAGCTATAAACAAAAGAGTCACTTCACTGTAAAACTCATGGCTGAATATCCAATCACATTGCTGGCTATGGTTGGGAAGCTTAGTATATTCCTATTGGTCAGAAAAGGCAACTGACCTGGTGGAATCATGCTAATCACATGTAATGTTACCCTACTATATGTTGCCTATACAGGGATTTTGTTCAACGTATGAAGTTTAAATCAATTTGTTCGAGAAGTAAGAAAACTTGTAAGAAATTTACTTTGAAAATTATTAGGGTTAGGGTATTGTGCGGCTCCATTAGTACTTCATTTAAGAAATGAACATAATTCAGTTCGTTTAAAATAGACTTTTCCAGATGGCGGAACATTTTTCATATACCAATCTAATTTTGTACCTTTTTTCTGAGCTTTCTCTTCAAGAGGCACCAACACTCCATCGTCTTCATCCCGGTATCCATAGTAATCAGCGTCAATATTTCTCATAAGTTCACTTCTTGTTTTACGAGGAGGTGCGGGAGCTACAAAAGAAAATTAAATAAAATTATCAATATTAATTGAGTGATTTAAGATTCGACTTAAGAACATACGTTCTTGTTCAAAAAGCTCTCGAACACCAGGTAAATCTTTTGCCGCTCCGAAGTATCTAGGAATGAACACGGAAATTTATCAAATATTGAAAACATTTGTGATCAAAGTAATTAAATTGGTCGTGATCTTACTTATATCCTCTGTTGCCTGGAACTTCCTTTCCTTCATGATCCAACATTCTTGGACCAACTCTCTAAGAAATGCACAGAACTAATGAGCAAAAATCAAGCAAACAGTAAGACACGAAAGCATTACCTTGTAATCTGGTCCACCTAGCTGTAATATCCTATCTTCCCAATGTCGTTTTTCACGCAACAATTTGTTAATCTCATCATTTAGGTCTCTAACTCGAAATTCTCCAAGACCAGCTACAAGTCAAACATGAAACTTGAGAATTTTAGAATCATCCTTACATGTTAGAGGTGTCTATAAATAAACTTAATCATAAATCACCATTTTGGATCTGGGCAACTTTCTTCGAAACTTCACCAATAATCTATACAAAATATGGCCATTCATGTAGTAAAAATATGTTACAAATATTTGAAATAAATTAATACAAACCTGTCTTCTCCATTTCTCTGCCTTTGGCAAGTCAGAGCATTCAGTTGCAAGATAAGGACGTCTTTCCTATCAAGAATTTGTAATAAAGTAAATGGTTTGAACCCGGGAGTATCGTTACATGTATATGTGGATAGTCCAGTTTAGTATAGTCCTGAGAAAGACTGTTTTTGTTGTTGTTGACTGACGTTTCGACAACCTTAGCAGTAGTCATCTTCAGAGTCAAAAAATGACTACCGCAAAGGTTGTTGAAATGTCAGTCAACAACAACAAAAACAGTCCTTCTCAGGACCATACTAACCTGGACAATCTACATTTACAAACATGTAAGAATTTGTAAGTTAAGGCGTTTGCAGTGATAGAGGTTTTAAATACAAAGGTTTTTTTACATACCGTAACTTTTCCTTCGTCTCTTACCATGGCCGTCCATCTGGACATCATGGCCCTGAAATGAACAACTTTTTTAACATCAGATTTGCTTTAACTTTGAAATGCAAGTTTCTGTAGGTTTCATAATTCACAGTATGATTGCGTGTAAAAATGCTGTACTTTTGTAGTGTACTTACATCGCTTTTTCCGCATTACGCGCCTATAATAAAGAAAATTGGCATAAAACATAATTTGAAAGAGATTCGACACTGGAGAGTGTGATACAGGGAATCATTTCAAATCTTAATGTACAATCACGAAAGTACACTTACCATTACCAACAATTTTCTCAAAAAGAACTTATGCAGTAATAAAAAAAATCACTTAATGTTGCCGATGCGAAGAAAACAGACGAGACATTTGTTAATCTTTTACTTTATCACTTTGATAACAAATGTATTCGACTATCAAGGACGCCATGATGAATTTGAAAGCGACTAATTTCCATCGACGAGGATTACCCAGGACAACATATACCGAAGTGAGCTCAAGCAATAACTTATATACAAAACCTAGAAAGTAATAATTTACTATTCATTCATCATCGATTTGAAACCTTTGTGCATAAAAGTATTTAAAATAAGTTAGTTATGTGAATCAAACGACAATCGCCCCCCATCATTATATTCCAGTTAATTCACTATAAATATATGGCTCAGCCATATTTGTCGAGGATTAGTGCCCCAGACTCGCGCGTGCGCAAAGCACGTATTTCATCATGATAACCAAGGTCAACCGCGATTTTGTAACGAGATATCATGTCTCTTTCACGACGTAGCACCTTCTTCATGTTTGCTACGGCTGTTGAATTTCTTTGAAGCTCAGTACGATACCTGTGAAATGAACAAAAAAACTTTGATGTCTGTCTCCATGCAAGATGATGATTATAACAGAAAATAGTCCGCAGTCAATGACGATGAAACCTTGAAATTGGAGTAAATTTTTGAACAGTTGCTAACATCAGTAGTCGGTAACTACTTTTTAAAATCCCATGAAAACATTAGGTTGACAAACACGATCATTCTTCGATACGAATAACGTGCTAAACTCTAATTCCCCACAACCTTGCCAACAGGAAAGGAGGCAGGGGGGAGGCGGGATAAGGGGGAAGGCGGGGGCAGGGGGGGAGGCGGGAGAAGGGGGAAGACAGGCAGGGTACCAATTTCCATGCACCATGCTAATGCACCAATTGAACAAAACCAATTGCAAATAGTGTTAAATGGAGCACACTTCCAAAAGTCTCGGTAATAGAATTTCACATAAAAAAATTTACAAGAAACGACAACACGAAGCCAATGAAATCTAATCGAAATTTGTGCACACCCCAACCAAACGGTTGTAGAACCATCGTTATCCGAAATGATGGCATATTTTTAACCATACCATGATGTTTATCAATAGCGCAAAGTTAAAGCTTTGCCTCCCACCCACCAACTTCATCATTAGAAATAACCAAAAATCCATGTGAACGAGCCTATTTCATTACCTTCGAACTAACTCAGATAAGATCTCGTTAGAGATGGGAACAACAGTCAACATTTCGTTGAGGTATTTTGTATCTCCCTTGAGTATAACATGATGGAAAAGTGGCTCGATCCAAACATCGAATGATCGTTTGTCGTATGCATCGGCAACGATGAACGCTTCGAAAAAGTTGTTGTATTTCGTTAAGAAATCCTTAAAGGACTTCTCTTTGAGATCTAGGATCACCATGCCCGTAGGTAACAGTTGCTTCTGTAGTTCAATCAACCGATGTTTCTTTGCACATTCCATTGCTTGTAGCAAACATCCTTCCTGAATGATAATGAATGAGCAGGATGAAACAAAGCAATCTTGCACGACCCGAGAGTCAGAAAAGAATGATTCTTACCCGCTTGAAATATTCCATGGCGTAAGTGTAGGTCTGCGCTACGGACGCAAGCTGAGTGCGAACTTCGTTACTCGGAACTAAAATGTGAAAACAACCCCCAAACGACAGTTTAGAAAGGAAATAAAGTATTCGTTGTTTTCGTACAAGTGTTAATTACGTACAGTGACTGAAACATAACAAACACAAAGCTCGTATTTTCATCTCATTTCCAACACTTCCGTAATGTAGTAACTCTCATTCAAAGCGTACAACATGGCTACATTCGTACCTAGTCCTTTTTTCAAGAGCTTGCGGATTTGTAATTCAGCCGACGCAGTGAAGCTTAAGGCGACCTCACGATGCATGTTGAAACGATAGGCGACCATTAAATGCTTCTCCGTGTCCTCAAGATGATACTTATCCAAGAATTTAAGAAGAGCAATCTTCAGCTTGTTCTCCTGAAAACGATCGATTAGTGTATACAATTTAGCAGATCGTACAAATATATACAGTAGTCACAGCATCTGAGCATCTCGGCAGTCATGAACAATCACTATAGTCTCAACTCAAGATCACCAATCTATGGATTGCTACAAATGTTTGAGCAAAGGTAATTAAGATAATTAAGGCAGGGGAAGCTTTGGAAAGTTTTGGGTGTTCCATGCTCAACATGTGATAACACACGACAGTTAAAACTCAAGTATGAATTAATAATCCGCTTTCTTCTTTTAACCGCATCACGTAGGAGCGAAAACTCTTTTCGCCGATTTGAAAAATTTATACACTTGTAAAAACCCAACATTCGCATATCACAAATTTTCAAGCAATAAGTCAAATTTGTGGGTGTTCTTCCTACAAGGGACAACGACACTGCAAAATAATTTGTGTCCGCCACCCGGGCATCTATAGCTTCCCAACCCCCTAAATTCAAGCAAATTTAATAGAGTAGAGATTTATCTGGATTCAACCACTGAAATTAGTAATTCTATTGAGCTTTGAACTCGGTAATTTGAGCCTGCTTCACAGCAAGAAATGTATGATTTTTTTACAAAGATTTTTGAATAACAAGGAATCTCGACTGGTTTAAAAATGAGACAATTGATTACTCACATTTTCGACGCCTTTCCTCACCAACAACTCAAAATGATGATGTTCTAATAACGTTTGAAAAATATACGTCATCTCGGAGAATCTCCCAATGCCCGTTAACAGTCGAACCTAAAGGAAACACAGGATATTATCTTATTAAATATCATGTACATAACGCGTGTTATCATTGGTGGAAAGCAGTTTTGGATTTCGTCGAGCGTACTTTGGAAGAACTTAAAAATGTACGTTGGGAGAATTTAAATGTAACACTTGCGTTGACATAAAAAATACATGAAATAAGTTTTAAGACATCTCAAGACAAATAAACTGCAATTCTTACCATTTGTTGATATTCCTTGGCGTCAGCCAAAGCACGCGTACACAATTGAGCCAATCTAAGTACAGATGAGATACCTTCCATATTACACGCCAGGGTTTGACAATGATGGGCGGTAATAAGAAGTTCCACTTCAATTTTCAAAGCTAAAATTCATCAATTATTAAGAATTAGAAACAAATTTTGCACTTCTCGGAAAATTTTGTCAGTAAACTGCTATATTAAGTACATGACAAGAAGGATTACCTGAACTTTCAAAGCTACGAATTGATCGAATTTTGCACTTCTCAAATTTTAGGTAAATAAACTTTTTCAACCTAACTTACTAAGTACGTGTTAAAAAAACCATAACAATAATGCTTCTGAGTACACACCGGCAACTGACAACGTTTTTTGTTCTTTTCTCTGCCGAGCAAACTTCAATGCTTCGTCAAACAGCAAACCTCCAAGAATCAATTTGCTCTCCGCCAAGCTAATCATGTTGTTCATATCGTCTTTTGAAGATGTGTTGAAAATACACACTTTAGCCGTCAAAATTTCTAAGAAGGAAAAAACTGGAAGTTAGCCAATTGTCAAACCTTATGGACGAAAAGGAAAATGTAAAAAAGTTTTCGACCTGTTCCATTATCAACTTGCAGTGACATCGTGATTGAATGTGCGACAAATTTAGCCACCTAAAAAATACTCTTAATTTAAGGTAACTAAGGGTTCGGCATCTACCTATATGACAGGGTTTATGATTGGTTTGTACCTATATGACACGGTTTATGATTGGTTTGTACCTATACGACATGGTTTATGATTGGTTTGTACATATATGACATGGTTTATGATTGGTTTGTACTTTGTACCTATATGACAGGGTTTATTATTGGTTTGCCTTATATGACAGGGCTTTTAAATATAAATATAAAAAGAGAATAGTTTTATGGTGTTTTAAAGTATGACACCAAACTTTACGATAATGTTATCTGATTGCACTGTAAAGACGATTTAAAATGATTTAAAAGCTTCTTTAATAGAAACGTGTTATTTCATTACTTTTTGGAGGTATGTAACTTTTCTTCAAAAGGCAAATGACGTCATTATGACGTCCCATTGCATAATTAGCATTGAGAAACAGCAGTTTGTGACGTCAGTTAGCATGTCGTAAATTGACGATCGTTGAAATGTCGTTATGTTCTGTGATGTCATAACGATGTTATTTTTAAAATGAATAAATTTAAATATCTCCAGAAAAGGTAAAAAAAGTTATTTCTACTGAAGAGGTTGTAAAGTCCTTTTATACGTTCTTCGCAAAACAATCAACTAAACTCGTGACAAAATTTTCGTCTAATAAACACTTTCATCCTTTAGGCGATGAATTTTTTCAAAAGTTGTTTGCCTTTTCTGCTACATTGCCACAGAAAAGGTGAAATAATCTCTATTGTCTTATTCATCCATTTGGAAAACTCATTTACATTACATAGGTACTTAAGGCTCATTTCCACGCAGCTGCATTTTACGCATTGAGGAAAATGCTGGGACGTATGTTGCTCTCAATTGTGAAGGCTTTTCCACGAGGCGGAAATTGTACTGGTGCGCTTTGTGTTGAGAAAAGAAACATGGCTGCTGTCAACAAAAGATAGTTACTTCTCTAATGCTTAAAAAACAACGTAATTTTTATCTATTTACTTCGTTAAAGAAGAAGGAACATGAGAAAATCACCGCTTTATTGCAGTGATCTTGAAGGCTGGAGTTTTAGAGCAAGACAACGCACTTAAAAGTAGAATGAATTCAACTTTGTCGCGTTGCTCTATCGAGAGCACGCAAGTGCTACTGACCTTTTGAACCTCACGCAGTGGCGCATGCGTCATTCAATAAAAGTGCGAGCATTTTGCGCTATAGCGTAAAATGCAGCTGCATGGAATTAGCCTTTAAAAATTTGCCAGCATAGAGAACAATAAGATACGTTACCATAGTGACATCCAAGTCAAACGTCCTGATGTATTGAGAGGCCAGTTGATAGCGATAGTCCCAAGTTGAATCAAGTAGTTTGTACAGCAATCTAATTGGTTCTGACTTAACGACATCATTGAAGCTAAGAGTTAATGTCTAAAGAAAATATGAAGACTTTCAGATGAAATGCTACTGGGATTGCCGGGGGTTGTTTATGTACATGTATGAATATAACGCAATAATTGGGATTCGCATGTGCTGTATAAGGACATATACAGACATATCGCAATGATCTATGGAGTTCTTAGGGGTTGTATGAGTACATTGGGATTCTTAAGGGTTGTATAAGTACATATATAAATATAAATTGCAATGATAATTGGGATTACAAGGGGTTGTATAAATACATGTAAAAAATATATAGCAATGATAATTGGGATTCTTAGGGGTTGTATATGTACATGTATAAAAACTGATGTCCCCTTGGCTCACCTGACAAATTTTGTAAGCGACAATTACTCTAATGCAGCAGATCTTTCCTGCCGTACACAATTGAGCGAGGTTTTGTATCGCAGCCAGATTATCGCTAAGTGCAGTCCACGAAGACTCAAATGAACTAGTTGTTTTTAAACTTTGACTTAAATTGACAAAAAGATAGTTTTCGGAAGTCGGGTCGGACAGCTTTCTCTGCCGTTGAATGGCTAATTGTGCTTTGATTTCTTCGTCTATGTCGTCCGGGGTGATGATTTCTCGAGCAAGAAAAATGCATGTCTATACGAAAAGTTTAAATCAGTTCGTTTACACTGTTACACGTGTTACAACAGATCGCCTTTTCACTGATAGACTTAGATAAATTGAGTTACATTAACCATTCTTAGGGACTGTTTACAAGAGCCCTACCAAGCGAGATCTCACGGGCAATTTAAAATCCATATAAAGTTGTTTTTCGTTTACACGAGAGGAGGGTCAGCCCTGCCAGCCGAGATCTCGCTATTGTTCACACGAGATCTTGCCAAGTTGGGCCATAAATTTTCCTGGGCATCTTTACATGTTGGGCAAAAAATTAAACGCATGCGATAAGGCACCGCTTTTCAGCAATGGCGAAAAGAAAACACATCAACGGAAGCTTACACACAAAGTAAGCGTTAAAAGCAAAAAGCAACAACTATTTTGGTTTGTTTCCCAGTTTGTATTTAGCACCAAAACTCGCTGTGCAAGCCGAGCTCTTGATGAATGGTTAGAATTTGAATGAAAAACAGAAGTAAAATACAGCATTACAGTGAGGGCTAGTCCTTCATATAGGGCTCACGTAAACATCCTCTAAGTTGTAATAACCTTAGATAAGAGAAATTTCATACATTATAAACATGCCCTAAGTTGCAATAACCTTAGATAAGAGAAATTTCATACATTATAAACATGCCCTAAGTTGCAATAACCTTAGATAAGAGAAATTTCATACATTATAAACATCTCCTAAGTTGCAATAACCTTAGATAAGAGAAATTTCATACATTATAAACATGCCCTAAGTTGCAACAACCTTAGATAAGAGAAATTTCATACATTATAAACATGCCCTAAGTTGCAACAACCTTAGATAAGAGAAATTTCATACATTATAAACATGCCCTAAGTTGCAATAACCTTAGATAAGAGAAATTTCATACATTATAAACATGCCCTAAGTTGCAATAACCTTAGATAAGAGAAATTTCATACATTATAAACATGCCCTAAGTTGCAATAACCTTAGATAAGAGAAATTTCATACATTATAAACATGCCCTAAATTGCAATAACCTTAGATAAGAGAAATTTCATACATTATAAACATGCCCTAAGTTGCAATAACCTTAGATAAGAGAAATTTCATACATTATAAACATGCCCTAAGTTGCAATAACCTTAGATAAGAGAAATTTCATACATTATAAACATCTCCTAAGTTGCAATAACCTTAGATAAGAGAAATTTCATACATTATAAACATGCCCTAAGTTGCAATAACCTTAGATAAGAGAAATTTCATACATTATAAACATCTCCTAAGTTGCAATAACCTTAGATAAGAGAAATTTCATACATTATAAACATGCCCTAAGTTGCAATAACCTTAGATAAGAGAAATTTCATACATTATAAACATGCCCTAAGTTGCAATAACCTTAGATAAGAGAAATTTCATACATTATAAACATGCCCTAAGTTGCAATAACCTTAGATAAGAGAAATTTCATACATTATAAACATGCCCTAAATTGCAATAACCTTAGATAAGAGAAATTTCATACATTATAAACATGCACTAAATTGCAATAACCTTAGATAAGAGAAATTTCATACAATATAAACATCTTCTAAGTTGCAATAACCTTAGATAAGAGAAATTTCATACATTATAAACATGCCCTAAGTTGCAATAACCTTAGATAAGAGAAATTTCATACAATATAAACATCTTCTAAGTTGCAATAACCTTAGATAAGAGAAATTTCATACATTATAAACATGCCCTAAGTTGCAATAACCTTAGATAAGAGAAATTTCATACAATATAAACATCTTCTAAGTTGCAATAACCTTAGATAAGAGAAATTTCATACATTATAAAATGCCCTAAGTTGCAATAACCTTAGATAAGAGAAATTTCATACATTATAAACATGCCCTAAGTTGCAATAACCTTAGATAAGAGAAATTTCATACATTATAAACATGCCCTAAGTTGCAATAACCTTAGATAAGAGAAATTTCATACATTATAAACATGCCCTAAATTGCAATAACCTTAGATAAGAGAAATTTCATACATTATAAACATGCCCTAAGTTGCAATAGCCTTAGATAAGAGAAATTTCATACATTATAAACATGCCCTAAGTTGCAATAACCTTAGATAAGAGAAATTTCATACATTATAAACATGCCCTAAGTTGCAATAGCCTTAGATAAGAGAAATTTCATACATTATAAACATGCCCTAAGTTGCAATAACCTTAGATAAGAGAAATTTCATACATTATAAACATCTCCTAAGTTGCAATAACCTTAGATAAGAGAAATTCCATACATTATAAACATGCCCTAAGTTGCAACAACCTTAGATAAGAGAAATTTCATACATTATAAACATGCCCTAAGTTGCAATAACCTTAGATAAGAGAAATTTCATACATTATAAACATGCCCTAAGTTGCAATAACCTTAGATAAGAGAAATTTCATACATTATAAACATGCCCTAAGTTGCAATAACCTTAGATAAGAGAAATTTCATACATTATAAACATCTCCTAAGTTGCAATAACCTTAGATAAGAGAAATTCCATACATTATAAACATGCCCTAAGTTGCAACAACCTTAGATAAGAGAAATTTCATACATTATAAACATGCCCTAAGTTGCAATAACCTTAGATAAGAGAAATTTCATACATTATAAACATGCCCTAAGTTGCAATAACCTTAGATAAGAGAAATTTCATACATTATAAACATCTCCTAAGTTGCAATAACCTTAGATAAGAGAAATTCCATACATGATAAACATGCCCTAAGTTGCAACAACCTTAGATAAGAGAAATTTCATACATTATAAACATGCCCTAAGTTGCAATAGCCTTAGATAAGAGAAATTTCATACATTATAAACATGCCCTAAGTTGCAATAACCTTAGATAAGAGAAATTTCATACATTATAAACATCTCCTAAGTTGCAATAACCTTAGATAAGAGAAATTCCATACATTATAAACATGCCCTAAGTTGCAACAACCTTAGATAAGAGAAATTTCATACATTATAAACATGCCCTAAGTTGCAATAACCTTGATACGAGTAATATCATAGATTCAATGTCTGCAATACAAAGAGTACTTACCAATACCATATGAAGATCAACAGTATAAACATCAAACAATTGTGACAATCGTCGAGCTTGAGATATTTGAGCCATGTCCAGCAGTTCCCCAAGCATGTCTTTGAGTATAGCCTGCATCTGAACACGCAGAGAACGAAATACTTAGTTCAACAAAGTTCGCAACATGAATTTTAAAACTTTACTTTTCATACTTGTTCGTCGTGTACTAAATGTGAGAAGTTGACGTCAATGGACACGTGACGTTCTTGTGCAAAGTTTTTCTCGTTTTTATAGCAATTAAAGTCGTTAAGGTCAATTTTGCCTTTCATTTTCTTGCTAGAACTCATTCTGTTGTTGATGACACACAACCACATTTCACACTCCAGTTTTGCGAGATCTTCCGAGGACCAAGGAACCATTTTACAACAAGGACGCTTTCCAGAGTGCCATTTTAATGCAAGGTAGAGCAATGTTGCTTTCTCATAGTCGGATATGCAGCTCTCCTTTGCTTGTTCCTGTGAAATAGAATAAAGGTAGATATTTATGGAACATATATGTTACGGTATTATCGGCAAAAGCTTTCACTCAATTTTTTCCAAAATTCAATGTTCACCTCGAAGAACTGACCAGCAGTAGAACAAGCTTGTTCGACAAAGAATCGATCACAATTTTCCCAGAATGCAATACGCTCTTGTTGGTTTTGCCAAAGGCACGATGTTTGCAGACTTTGTTTCTTGTATGTAATCTAAAGCACAATTTACTTGGAACATAAATTCTTATACTACGAATCGCCCAATTCGAATATTCAAAAGGAAAACTTCACACATGTACACAGGGTTCGTACAATGCTTAAGTAATGAAATTCAAGAACTTTTCAAAGACTTTCAATGAGGAAGAAAACCTCGAATTGCACACAACTACACAAACAAAACTAAAGTAAGAAAACATTGAAACAAAAGCCTGAACTGAGACTTGAAAGATGACATGTTACTCCAAACTGCTGACATTAAACCCCTTTAGCACGCGAGTTACATTTTTGTGCAATAAAGGGTTAAGATGCAATTTCAACACAACTTTAGAAAAAAAAAATAGTGCGATGATACGTCTGCGAAAATTCGATGAAACAAATTTGAATTCAGGCACTTTCAAGCACGCTCATAAGGCTTTGAATTTTTTAATTAAAATTGAAGAGCATTCAAGGATATTCAAGGACATTCAAGGACATTCAAGAACATTCAAGGACATGTGTCATTGTTTCCTACCAATCCAATCCTGGCTCTTCTTCTTTCCCACTATTTATGTAATAAACGTTCCCCAAAACGACACCTTCGCAAAATCCCAAATTAAAGAAAGTTTAACTCACTTGCATTATGGTCACTCTATCACACGATATATCCATGAGTGTCCCGTACTGTCTAGCCAAATCAAATCTTTTACGCTTAATCAGTTTATCCATGATCAACGATCGCTTTGTCTCATCCAATACGAGATCCAAACACTGAGCAAAGACTTCGCCTTCGTCGAGGATACGCGATATTTCATAAAGTTTCTTGAAATCAGGAACTAGACAAAACAATGAGAAACATTTATGATTTACAATGGTAACATGTTATCGCTGACGTTGTTTCTCTGTCATCACGTGACTGTAAATTAAACAACCTACCAGTAATAGCAAAACTGTTGCCAAATTTACAATGACAAAGAAGTTTCGCAACTTCCACTTGCATAAAAATGGTGTCACATGACCGCAGAATATTCTGAAGCACGCCACAAGCAACACGCTCGCACCAGGATAGATCTCTGATAACCATTTTGTGTTTTGAGCTGTCGTTGACTTGGATCTGAAGGAGAAATTTGTGTGCTCAAGTGAAGTCAAAGGACACAAAATTAATAAATCGTCGCTCTGACTGCGTAGGTGTACTGAACGGGGGGACAGGGGCAGCTGTCCCCCCCGGGAAGAAAGATTAGAGTGAAAAGTTGGGAAAATTTTTAACGTTAGTCGGGCGAAAATACGGTGGAATCTTCTTGGTGAGTTGGGGAAAATATTTGCTGACCCCCCTAGAAATGATCAGAGCCATTGGCGTACAGCCCCTGTACGCCAATGGCTCTGAGCATCGTCTTTGTCATGGTGAATTACGATGAGTAGTTCTCAAAAGAAATGTTGAAAACCAAAATTAAGATAGCTATAAGATGAAATGGCACTTACTTTAATTTGTGATTAGAACAAGGAAGAATGACATCACCTCGAAACAGGAAGGTGACGTTTAAAATAGGGACAAGTCACCCTCCTCTTCGTTTGGGAGTGACGTCAATTTTGCTTGTCTTCAAACAAACGTCATACCTGAGGAAATGTCTCCCGACAAGCTACGTGTCATTTAATGTTATAGCTATCTTTATTTTCGTTTTCAACAGTTCTTTTACGAACCCACTCAACAGTCACTCACCATGACAAATACGCCATTCAGAGCAAGCTGCTTTAAAATATTTATGTATCAAAGACGCTTCGTAGACTCGCACTTTGATCAATGTCCTTACCCATTTATGTTGTACAACAAATTCAGAAAGCCGACAAGCAGCTGCTTCGAAATCTTTATGCATCAATGATGCTTCGAAGAATCGCATGAAAGGAAGTAGAATATTATTCTGAAAATGAAATGAAATCAAAACACTGTGAAATGTTGGTGAACTCACGATTTCTTTGCTAACAAACACCCCGCCACATACTATAACTACCTGCAAGCCTGACCCTAACCCTCCCCTTAATTTTCATCCTAATCTCGCCCGATTTTTGTAGGCAGTCGATATTCTATAATCGCGCCTATAAATCTTGTACTCACGGGATCAAATAAATAAAATGCTCTGCTCAAGGTGTAAACGTATAAGTAACCATGACTGGATATCGTTAATATTAAGGCGAGAAGATCGTCCAAGGTCCATTGATGCCATTCAAGATCTGAAACATAACAATATTAAATAAATGTGTTATCCCTTTTCCATGTAATGTCATTTTCAAGTTATCCAGTCGGGAGTATCACATGGTCATTTTCAAGTTATCCAGTCGGGAGTATCACATGGTCATTTTCAAGTTATTCAGTAGGGAGTATCACATGGTCATTTTCAAGTTATCCAGTCGGGAGTATCACATGGTCATTTTCAAGTTATTCAGTAGGGAGTATCACATGGTCATTTTCAAGTTATTCAGTAGGGAGTATCACATGGTTCTTTTCAAGTTATTCAGTAGGGAGTATCACATGGTTCTTTTCAAGTTATTCAGTAGGGAGTATCACATGGTCATTTTCAAGTTATTCAGTAGGGAGTATCACATGGTCATTTTCAAGTTATTCAGTAGGGAGTATCACATGGTCATTTTCAAGTTATCCAGTCGGAAGTATCACATGGTCATTTTCAAGTTATTCAGTAGGGAGTATCACATGGTCATTTTCAAGTTATCCAGTCGGGAGTATCACATGGTCATTTTCAAGTTATTCAGTAGGGAGTATCACATGGTCATTTTCAAGTTATCCAGTCGGGAGTATCACATGGTCATTTTCAAGTTATCCAGTCGGGAGTATCACATGGTCATTTTCAAGTTATTCAGTAGGGAGTATCACATGGTTCTTTTCAAGTTATTCAGTAGGGAGTATCACATGGTCATTTTCAAGTTATTCAGTAGGGAGTATCATATGGTTAGGTTGCCATTTCTTAAGGAGAAGATCTACGTTCGTGTGACAGATATTTCAAGAGGTGTACATTCGTGTGCTAACAAAGGGTTTGCCAAAGGACATAGACTGTTGTAGACTGAAGTTTTAAACTGCACTCGGTGGGCTAAAAAATGCTGGGGTTAAGGACCTACTACAACCCCCCCCGAAAATCCAACCCTGCACTTCTCTCATTCGTGTAGAACAAGAAATGCTTTTTCAATCAATCTTGTGTGTTTGTACATGTAATTACTCCCGAAGACGCAATTCTAAATGGGTGGAGGGTGGATGGGCTCGATGTCACAAAATGTAAATTAATTTTCAAAAAAGTGGACATGTCCCACCGTCACTTCAGGAAATACGTCATTGATTACATCAGATCCTGTCTTACGCATAATTAAATATTCATAAAACAAACCGGGTATATGTTGGGTGACAGGATTAAGCGTTTCTCTCTCGAGAACCGAACAAAACCAGACACACATACAGTCAACCATCTTTGCCTCCTGTAAAGGACCCAAACAACGTTTTAGTCAAAACAACAACAACAACAACACGTGATCAACAACAACACGTGATCATTCAATTCTCTAACCTCATAACAGGCAGCCAAAATCGCAAATAAAGGACGCCGTAAGACGATAGAATGTGCAAGAATTGCTCTCCATGAATCTTTGACTTCGTCACACAATGTTAGCACATCGAAGAGATTATCAGGAGACGTTTCTGGGTTTATATCGTTGACTAGAGGGAAACATATATAAATTATTATAACCAGTGGGGGGGGAGTTGGTTTGAGACTTGCATTCTGTATATCATTGACTAGAGGGAAACATACATAAATTATTATAACCATTGGGGAGGGGTTGGGTTGAGACTTGCATTCTGTATATCGTTGACTAGAGGAAACATACATAAATTATTATAACTAGTGGTGGGGGTTGAGACTTGCATTCTGTATATCGTTGACTCGAGGGAAACATACATAAATTATTATAACCAGTGGGGGTTGAGACTTGCATTCTGTATATCGTTGACTAGAGGGAAACATACATAAATTATTATAACCAGTGGGGGGGTTGGGTTGAGACTTGCATTCTGTATAGCGTTGGGTAGAGGGAAACATACATAAATTATTATAACCAGTGGCGGGGGGGGGGTGTTGAGACTTGCATTTTGTATTCTATGTACGTACTGTTATTATAATGTTTATTACTTTTAGGTGCGTCAAAGTCCACTTCATCTTCCAACGTTTCTTCATAATCGCTATCCAGGTCAAATTCGAGATCAGATTGTTCTTTTTCTGCATTTGGAGAGACCGTCGCTGTCTGCTGCTTCATTTCCGGCGCGTGAACGATTCTTTCCTGCTTAGAAGTTGGGGATACGGAAGCGCCAATCACACGAGAAAGGTACTGGGAACGAATGTCTTTTTTTCCAGAGGACAACTAAAACGTTAAAGTTTGCGAGGCTTAATTAATCAATAAAAAAACTTGACAGAAAGAACTATACAAACGTTTGTCCGACGTTTTTTCGTTTCGGTATCTTGAACATCAACTCGCAAAGTGTTCGCCACAATGTGGTGCATGTGTTCTTTGAGGACTGGGTTCGAGAAATGATCGCGAATAATGCCGAGCACCTGGTACATAGTAAATAATACGATATTTAACTCAAAAGCACGAGATTTATTAAGCATTTGAAATAAACGACAAAATTTTTCATCATAAACATATTTTGACTTACATTAAGTCATCTTCAGTATGAGAATGAAGTAAAGTTGTTTACAACGCTGAATTCATAATAGGATACATGACACGTGTTCATTAATAAAAGTAAGAGGATAAGGTGTGATAAAATACTTGTGATGACTTAATGTAAGTCGAAACATGTTTATCATAAAGAATTTTAAAGTAAATGATTTGAGCCCGGAAGTATCGACCGTTACATGTTTGTAAATGTAGATCGTCCAGGTTGGTATAGTCCTGAGAAGGACTGTTTTTGTTGTTGTTTACCAGTGTTAACAACAACAAAAACAGTCCTTCTCAGGACTATACCAACCTGGACGATCAACATCTACAAACATGTAATAAAGAATTTTGTCGTTTATTTCAAATGCTAAATAAAACAATATTTAACTTAAGAGTTCAGCCTCTACTACATACATAAAATGCACAAAAAACGCGGGGCTGATTTTCTGGGGGATACAAGAGGGGGGTGGGGTGGGGTGGGGTGTGCAACACCTCAAGAAAAATTCTCAAATGGTATTACGTACTGTGAACGATTAACGTGGCAGTATTAGAGGCATTGAAATTGTACAGTAAGACTAAGTAAAGATAGAACTTCTCATTTCAAATGTAATCACATATTATATACGACCACCATTTGCAATTGAGTACTACCATGCGCGTTCTCATTGAAACTTTAAAATTGAAATAGATTACTAAGCGCGCATTCATTAAAAAAACATATAATTTTTAAAAAAGGTTAGAACACTTTCATCACGCTAGCTTCACGCATCCGTAAGCCTATAAATCTACAATAGGGCCCTTCTACGCATCCGTAAGCCTATAAATCTACAATCAAGCACATAAGGCCCTTGCACCTCTGCACCTCTCCTGTCATATAAGCTTTGACCCGCCCCACAAAAAAACATACGAGTAGGCTGGAGCAACTAGGGGCTTTCTTCAACGATACTCTGAGTCTGAGTTTCTATTTCTTTCCATAAAGTGAATCAAAGTCAATGCAATTCGCGGTCGAAGTGTTGACCTCGAGATAAACCCTTTATTTACCTTCGTTTTAGGAAATTGAGCAAATTGCGCGTGAGTTAAAAATGATAACCATTTGTCCGCGACTGCGCAGTCTATTAGGAAGACTGGCGTCAAGCTCAGATTGTGTGAACGACAAAACAGCAAAGGTAATGTCCAATAGTGACTAGCTTCTCTTGATGTCCTGGAGACAAAAGAAAATGAAGTAGTGAATGGTTTGAATCCAAGACTATAGTTACATGTTTTTAGATGTATATCGTCCATGTAAGTGCAGTTCTGAGAAGGACTGTTGATGTTGATTACCGCTAAAGATTTCGAGTCAATGCTAACACCAACAGCCTTCTCGGGCAGGGCAGTAACTAGAACGTTAATTGGCGGAGGGGTTGCATGCATATTCATTTAAGTTGTTAAAAGTGAAGTGGCTTTCAAACGTAATCGGTCGGGCATAACTGAATAAATGAATACACACCCACCCCTCCCTCCTCCCAATTTACGTTTTAGAATGCACTAGTCTGCGCTATCTACTACAACCAGTTCCAACGAAAAGATCCTTTCAGGAAAGTTCCAAGGAAACTGTATCTCACCTTTCCAGACCATCTTTACTTATCAGGCTTCTTGTAGACGATTCCAAAATCTTTATTAAGATCTCCGGTTTCTGCTTTTTATCAGAAGCACATTTCAACAAAACCCCGGCGATTTCTCCTCTCAATTCCTCGAGAGTAGCACAGTGAAGTTCCTGTTTGTTTCCCGGATGTAAACAGCGTCTTGCAGCCGCTACGTCAATGCGAAGGAAAATTGAATTCACAGATAAAAGTTCGAGGAACGCGACGCAACTGGAGACAATCCGAGTATTGTCAAAATGAGTGATTGCTATCTCGTAAGCTTTCCTCGTCGCACTCCTTTTGCTGAAATATTTTAAAAACACACACACATACGTTAACTGGCTCTTGGAGAAGTAATACACCAAGGTTTAGGCGACTGAACGTGGTATTTCAATTCAGGAATGGATTTATTAGAGCATTGGCTAGATGTGTTTTAAGAGAGGTGGGAATTTCCTTAAGAAAGGAATGGATTTATTAGAGCATCGGCTAGATGGGTTGTAAGAGAGGTGGGGATTCAAATTCTCACTTTGCAATGTTACGTCACTTTCTTTATAAATCGGAAATAACTCGAGAATGTACAAAGATATGAATAAACTGTTTTAGAAAGTCCACTGTCATTTTACGAGTTATCTTCAATATGGCCCTTTGTCTTACAGACCCTTTAAGAAAAAATTTAACATGGAAACGCGATACACAGTTAGTAGCCACCGAAATCGACTCAAAAATAGAGCACCCCCTAGATATATCCCTGATCATCCTGGGTCTATCCCTGATCCTCCTGGGTCTATCCCTGATCCTCCTGGGTCTATCCCTGATCATCCTGGGTCTATCTCCGATCATCCTGGGTCCATCCCCGATCATCCTGGGTCTATCCCCGATCATCCTGGGTCTATCCTTACTTTAGTTCGGAAAGAATAACAGTTTTTGAAATCACTATACTGCACCTTGATTTTGGGATGGTTTTCCTGTGTTCATATTTGTCCATAAAGGTTGCAAACGCGAATCCTGGTCGACCGTGTTTCAGATAATAAACATAGCTTAACGACTCTTCGTGACCAAATTTTTCCACCAAAGGTTTGTTGGAAAAATGAGGCATTTCTGTCGATGAACCTATACGAAACGATGACATCGTTTGTCGATTCTTACAAAAGATGCAACACAAGTTTATTCCAAAGCCATCATCAGAGTATATACATATATGTACGTTTATATATATATACGTTTGTGTATATACTCTGATGATGGCTTTGGAATAAAGTCGAAACACGGTGCCATCCAGTAAACTGTTATAGTGGCGAGAATCTCTCGTCCATACGCAGTTTAAAAGAGATTTGACTCGTCTCCAATCCCTGTAGGCTTGGTAGCTCAACAGGTAGAGCGGCGGACTAGTATCCCGAAGGTGCGAGTTCAAATCTCGTCCAAGTCACATGTTTTTCATGGGCATATTAAAAACCGTGTTAGGATTAATATATTATGTATGCAACACAAGATCTCTTACCTCCTTGAACAGCCAGCTTGTTCGTTGATTGCCATTTAAAGAGGCTCGAGATATCGAAAGAACAATTTCCCTAATAATTGAAATTAGAAATAAATTTATAGGTCATTAGGGGAAATTCGTTTACATTGATTTTGTTTCCATGATTTAAGATTATTGATGTAAATAAACCACATATTTAACTTACAAACAACGTATTTCCACTATTTAGCCCCCATGCCCAAGCCTTATATTAGCTCTCTCATTTCAATGGAAGCAAAATTAAAATAACCCCCACAAACTATTTATTTCGCACTTTTCGTAACTTAAAAAATCGTCGGGAAGTCAATCTCGCGATGAAATCATGACAAAATACGCAGGCTATTGTTTGAAATTTTCTCGTGTGAAAATAAATTAGTAACATTGAAATTTACACGTGTAAAAATAAATTAGTAACATTGAAATTTGCACGTGTAAAAATAAATTAGTAACATTGAAATTTACACGTGTAAAAATAAATTAGTAACATTGAAATTTACACGTGTAAAAATAAATTAGTAACATTGAAATTTACACGTGTAAAAATAAATTAGTAACATTTAAATTTACACATGTAAAAATAAAATATTAACATTGAAATTTACTCGTGTAAAAATAAAGCAGTAACTTATTTTTGCGTAAAAATTTCAGACAAAATTATAGACATGTGTTTAAGTTTTTCTTTAAACTTTTTTAGTTTAAACTTTCAAAGTACAATTATAACCTTTGTTGCGTGTTATGTGTTGCGTGTTATGTGTTGCGTGTTATGTGTCGCGTGTTATGTGGTGCGTGAGTCTAGATTTCACTTTCGCGTGAAAATTAATTCACCACAAGGCTCTTTTTAGTTCCTCCATCTAATAACCCCCCCCCCCGCTTGAATAGTAGCAGAATAAAATACCTCCCCCCCGCCACGCAGGGAGCTAAACTGAGGAAATACGGTATAGATCACATTATGCAGTCGTCTGTGAATACCTGTAACAACTCGTAAAGTGTTATGTCAGGATCTTGGGTCAAATTACGAGAAGTTGGAAATAAAGCCGACAATAATCCAGGATAATCATTAAGAGAATTTTTCAATAATCTCTCGTCCAGCTGCCACGCATCTTCAAGCTCATTTTGCCCACTTGAATTAATGATCTGCGAACATAACCCGAGAATGTTTGTAAGTTAAAGCCCACACTTCGCCAAAAAAAATCCTACATTCTTTGATATTTTCAAGTGTCATATAAAAGAAGGAATTTCACGTACTTGCGCAATGTCTACGGGGGCATAAAGACATGTCGCCATCGCCATGATTGGTCGGTTGTGTTCGAGCATTTCCGTCAAAGATGACGTATCAGATTTGAAAATCGTCTTGCTGTTTGAGAAGCTCATGGAACTTATAGCGGTATAATCTAAAAAGAAAGGATAGGTGAAATAAATAAATATTGCTTTAAAATGGTTCTTTCAACTTCTTTGGACTTTGAAAACTTTATTCAACGTTGCATAACTCATAACACGAATACCTGAAGGATGAAAGCCGACCAAACGAAATCTCAGCAACATTTCCACCGCGCTATCTACATTAGTTGTGGCCAAGAGCGCGTTACACTCGTCTATTGTCTGAAACAATCTATATAAGATGAAATATAGCCATGGCGAACCAGTTAGTATTTTTCTGGTGGGGTGGCTCAGCAATTTGCCAAAAGTGCCTGTGTTACTAGAGGTGTAATTAGCAAAATGCCCATCAAATATTGTCCAAGATCCCCCTCCTATCTGGCATGCATATGCTTATAACCACATGGACTCCATACGATGCTGTAAACCGAAATTCATTCTCTTCAATTCAGTTTTAAATGAGCCGACATTAAACCAATTCTACTCACAACAATCCCGTGAAATCAATGAAAAATTATCAAACAAACCTGTAGTAGTCAAGATAGTAATACAAGAAAATAACTATATCGTTCTCGGAGCAATATTCAATCATCCTTTGATGAAATATTTCCACTGACGTGACTGTCTTCGATCCAGATTCCAACTCCATACATGATCCACAAGTCTTCGCGACGTCATGTAAAGGATGGACTTCGGCAAAAAGACAATTCGTTCGAGCAAGATGACGTATCAGGAGGGGGAAATCTTGAAGCAATGTCCTCGAGAATAGTTTGCACCTAAACCAAACACACAACAGCACTGTAAATATACCTACTAGTGATACATGGATCATTGTTCTCTTACATACTTGACAAGCTCATCCAAGATGAGTTCTCTCGCAAACTCAGTGCATTCGCTGAGGTCACTGCGAGTTTCGAAACTCAAAGATGGATAACCCATTGATTCTTCGGATGAACCATGCGCAGTTTTTTCTATCCATTTTGTAATACGCTCGATTTCACAATGAGCTTTGAGATATTGCCATAAAGATTTCTGGCATATCTTTCCAATCATAGCACGCAGCGCTGCGAAAAAGCAAAATATTAATTTCGGTGAAGTCAAAGGTAGGATTTATGTAATCATTTCATCTTCTCGGCTCTTATATATTGGCCAAAAAAACCAATCCCGTCTCTCACCAGCAACGTGGCCAGCAAGAAAGTTTTGGTCCTGCTGTGTAAATTTCTGGGGCCGAATAGCGCTATCCACTGTATAGCAAAGTTTTCTGAACGTTCGAAAAATCTCTTAAACGGTAAAAATATAAGACTTAAAAGGAGGAATCATCGAAATAAAATACTGCTTCTAAGATCCCACAATTTCTACGTCGTAAAGAAAATACAAGAATATTTTATACAAGTTTGAATATTTTACAATCCAATCGATAATCAACGCTATCCAAACTTCGCGAAACCGGATAAAGAGCATTATCACTATACCTTTCTCTAAAAATCTATGGTTTTCAAAGTAAAAACACTAAAAAGAATTTACATGGCAGGAGTTAATAGGCAGGCTGGCCACACTGCTGTCCCTCACCTTTTTCATCATGGCACAGAGCCTCGAGTAGAATTCTATCTCGTGTGATACCATCCCAAGTCAAAACCCAGTCCAGTAGAACCTCAGAGTAGCCTCCAGAAAAGGTTGATTCTGACGGATGGTATTGAGGGGCCAGACTTCCAGTTTTTTCTTCAATATTCTTTTCCTGTGCTTCTCCATTTGAATCTAATGAGCGCTGCAGCAATCCAAGATCGTCAAAACTAAAAAAGGAAATTGTATTCATTCGTGGTAAGTTTAACAGACTCAAATCACAATTTAAAAGATGCGAATTCTCGTCACTAAAGCCTAGTTCCATTTAGTTGTAATTGTTGTAGTTTCATCGGCGACACTAAGTCACAAACAGACCAAATTAAAACACCACACGTTCCCATTCAGTTGCAATGGTTGTAATTCAGAAAATACGTGCATACTAGTGCTAAAATGACGTGCTCTTCTCGTCGCCGGTATTTAAGATTGATATTTGATAAAACACGCTTTGGTGAAAGGATTTTGATCGTGTATCAAAGAATGCTTGCTCTTTCTTGCGAAAATTGCGTAAGAAATCGAAAGAAAGATAAATTGCCATCGCCGATGAGCGCTCCCATGTGAATTTCTTATGTCGGCAAGTGTCGTAATTATTGTACAAGTTGAACCGGATTCAACTTCTACAACAGCTCCGGATTTGTCTGCGATTTAACTACAACAATTACAACGCGTGTAATTGTTGTAGACCTTCATCGCCGATAGAATTATAACAATTACAACTACATGGGAACTAGGCTTAATCACAATAATGCGAACTCTCTACAATGAAGCGCTGCAGTGTTAAAAATGATCAAATGATCGTCTCACCAAAATTCATGTTGCTGAGAACGTCGCCTTGCAAATGATTCAAATGATGGATTGTCGTAGATAGTTTCGAGCCGAACAAGATATTCAACAGATTGCATTTCATCTTCACGCAGCTCTCCCCAGCTTTGCAACTGCTCGAGAAGGAAATCTCTCAAAGAGCGATTGAACGTGCCGAAGGAAATCTTTCTGATCAATTGAACGACATCTTTACCCTAAACACGAACATGTAGAACTTGTAGATTCTTCATTCCTTTACGATGTCCGTAGTTGTATATAATTTCAAGTTACAGTGCAAAACTAACACTTACTCCAGTTGTCATAATAAATTCATACAAAGTGTATAAAAAATACTGAACAGTAAGCAAAACGTCACTTAAGTCATCAGCGTTCAACAGTTACGAAAAACTTTTGGTGAAATAAGTTAGATGATAAAATAGACACTTTAAATATGTTGTGGTGACAAATCTGGAAATCTTTCTAAAGATCGCAAATACCATGGTGAATGGTAAAAGTAACAAGTTCATAGTTCTTAAAAGAACTGTTATAAGTAAAGAGCACCAACCATATAGTTCTTAAAAGAATTGTTATGAAACTAAACGACATGATGCATTTGACACGAGTAGTCTGCCGAAATGCATCATGTCGTTTAGTTTCATAACAGTTCTTTTAGAACTATTGGGTTGGTGCTCTGTGCTTAAAGCAGTTCTTTTAAGAATTATTTAACTTATTACTTTTACCCTTCACCATGGTATTTGCAATGTTTAGAACGATTTTCAAGTTAGTTAGACTTCCAATAGTTCATCTAACGATAAAATTGAGGAAAAAATGTGCTAATTTTGCTCGGATGGCAACTTTTGAGACTCTACAGCATAGTAATATTAAAACTATGGCGATCGTTGGACAAATATCCACAAATCCATCATCATTATGCAGTTGACTTATTCCTAACTAAGGGTCTGTTCAAATGAGCCCGCTAACCGGGATTCAGCGGGGCGTGAAATGATTCTGAGTCATTGAAAGGAGTAAAAACTTTAAGGGCAAAACTTACAACTTTTTCTTACAGTCATTTCACTCGTAATTTTTAAGTCAGGCTAAATTATTTGTTTTCAGTTTAAAGGTTTTGTGAATTTACAAAGTCAGAGCATAGAGAAATGACTCAAATAAGTTTTTTGTTGTGATGTATTTGACTTTTTCCATTTGCCAAAGTGATTAAACGCTGCGCTGAATCCCGGCTAGCGGGCTCATGTGAACAGTCCCTTAAAGTACCACAAACCATATTCCTTATCATTTCCGTTGCTGTTGCAACATCTCTCTTCGTCAATATTTCCAATACAATCTGCAATCCAGTTTCAAGAATACATTCGAGAGATCCGTCATGCGTTTCATTGGAGTGCATCTGAGATAAAAAATACACTTGAACGAGAGAAATCTGTGAACTACAGATGGCATCCGACACAACATCTTTGTAATCCATCGTGGACCATTTGTCAAATATAGCATCATGTAAATCGTCCACTTCACTTTGGGAATTTTCTCTTTGGGAGCCTTTGAATTCTGGTATAATGTATTTATATGATCTCAACTCCATCATTTTCGCAGTGAGGTATATTAAAATATCTTGCGCATGCGTTCTGTCGACGTCACTCCCCATATCTTGTTCTATATAGCTCAGGGCATCTTGTATCAGGCCATGGACGTAGTCTGAACTCAACTGCAGCAGTTGACTGGTAAATTGAACGCTGTGCTTGCCTGTCAAAGACGCACAAAAGAAAAAAATACTCGTTTGCAATATTACTGAAGGAATGCGTGAAACTTAATACAAAAGAAAACCCATGATATCATCCAGCAACCCTTACCATCAACCAGCAAACCTTACCATCAACCAGCAAACCTTACCATCAACCAGCAAACCTTACCATCAACCAGCAAACCTTACCATCAACCAGCAACCCTTACCATCATACAACAATACTTACCATCATCCAGCAACCCTTACCATCAACCAGCAACCCTTACCATCAACAAGCAACCCTTACCATCAACCAGCAAACCTTACCATCAACCAGCAAACCTAACCATCAACCAGCAAACCTTACCATCAACCAGCAACCCTTACCATCGCCAACAACCCTTACCATCGCCCAGCAAACCTTACCATTAACCAGCAACCATTACCATCAACCAGCAAGCCTTACCATCATCCAGCAACCCTTACCATGAAGCAGCAACCCTTACCATCAACCAGCAACCCTTACCATCAACCAGAAACCCTTACCATCAACCATCACACCTTGAGGATCAACAATCAAATGATATCAAGGAACTTTGCTCATTGAATGTATTGGTCCAACGCATGACATTAAACATTGAACTTTGCTTAAAAGGAACCAAGTAATTTCATACAAAAAGCAGTTTGTCATGGGCATGTTGCTCGTGTTCGTTTATTCACAACTCAATAACAACACATGGTAACCCCTCGATATCAACAGGTAACACTTATATGAACACGCAATCCTTTGTATGAGCTGCTATCCCAAATTATCAACAGGTGTATTACTTACGTTTTGAGCTGGCAGCAATAGTGTTCATGAGGAGATCCATAACAGCTTTGATCTGTTCTGCCAAGTCTGCAGTTTGGCTTTCTTTTGTGCTTATCAACTGCTTAAAACTGAACGTTGCAGGAGGCGATTGCGGAGAGACGATCCTGTTGGCCATCGCAGTTTCATGTTCAGTCACTGTTATTGTAAAAGCCTTGCCTTTTGTTTTTAGGTAAAATGCAACCGTTTCTAACTGTCTGTGTTTCAAGGCGGATTCAAGTGCGGAAATTGGAACGGCAAAATGATCCCATTCATTAAGAAAGCACAGTTTTTCGGCCATTGCGACATTTTCGTAAATAATTATCTACAATGACAAGATTGGGTGAAATGAAGCCATTTGTGGAATTCCCCACGAAGACATCTTTTAATCGGACAATATTCAAGATGTACCTTATTGACCAGCTCATTTTGGGTGTTGTCAAACACTGCCGATCCAATCGAGTTATTCGTTAGAAGATAAAGAGGTTTCGTTGATAATCCACCAGAAACAACAATTGTTCTTTCCTGAAAACTTAAGAAAAAAACCCCAACGAGTCGTACCTAAATCATCCATTCACTAATCAGGCAAACTTCAGGTTGCGAATGGACATGTCGTAATTCGCAAAATGCGAAACACTTTTGACGACTTTCTAAAGCCGCACTAAATGCCGTAAATAGCAAAAGCTGCGATACACAAATCTAGATAACTTAACCCTTAAACATAGATTTTAATTGCCTGTGTAACTTTTTATACTCCTAGGATTTTCAAACCAATGATAATTCCGTACGTTAAGAAAGCCAGTAATAACGACTAACGAGTTGGAATGGCTCATTAAACCACAACAAAAGTATTTACTGTATACTAAATTGCAGACGTTTACATGTTCACTTAGCGGAAAAATGTATTAACAGATTATAAGTATTGCAACAACTACACATTACAAAAGCCAAGCATTAAATTCCTTTCATTAACGTTTACGTCTCGTTGGGTATCGATCACAGTTGACACATGCGATTGTTAAACTTCTGCTGATTTTAAAAGGTTGCAGTCTAGATACACCCTGTAGCTTCACAGTTGATACATGCGATTGTTAAACTTCTGCTGATTTTAAAAGGTTGCAGTCTAGATAAACCATGTAGCTTCAAATTATGAGTTTTCATAAATTTTCCTGCTTTCATGAACGTCAGTGAATCAGAAAATGCACCGTACAAATTAAATGTTTTGTTTTAGTTATGCCAGCCTCGTATGAAGATACGAATTGTTGGGGAAGGGGATGGTCTCGAGGAAGGTTGAAATCTTTCAGATTTTCTGGGAGTATGCAGGGGGGTACACCCCCAAAATTCTCTTGCACCCCCAGAGAAAAATTCTAAAGAGGTATTACGTATAGTAGACGATTAATATAACAGTATTAGAAACGATGAAATTGTACAGTAAGACTAAGTAAAGGTAGAACTTCTCATTTCAAAGGCAATGAGGCCCTAGCATCTTTAGCTAGGATAACGATGCACCCCCACCCCGAGGAAATCCGCACCACTCCTGTCAAATGTATATTAATCCACCCCTGATCTTTCACGACTAAAATCGTAATGCATATTTCCAGACATAATTTGTGAAGTCCTGAGAAGGACCACTTTTGACTCTGAAGATGACTACCGCTAAGGTTGTCGAAACGTCAGTCAACAACAACAAAAACAGTCCTTCTCAGGACTATACCAACCTGGACGATCTACATCTACAAACATGTAACAATACTCCCGGGTTCAAAGCATTTACTTTATAATTTGCGAACTTACACATATGCTACATATTCCTTCCTCCAATCAAGCCAACAGCATATGGTGCCATGATTTTCATTTGTGGTATCGTCCGCCTGAAGCCACACCATGTGCGAGTCATGTGAAGTGAAGACACCTTCACAGTTACAATCACTCATCCAGGGTGGTGAAGGAATGATAAGTGAGCAGGGGGGTTGAGTGCTGGATACAACACTTGATTGGCTTGCTTCTTGAGGTGGTGATTTCACATGTGTGTCAATTGTTTCTAGGAAATTGAAGTCAAGTTTGAATAGTAGAATACCTAGAAATTCACGCATCAAAGACAATATTGTGTGCTGTCTTAGCTTACAACATATACAGGCCTTGCGCACGCGCGCGCACACCCAAACGTGCCCAGTCTCCTGAAGACAGCGATCGATAGCGGGCGCCAGTTTATCACTTTTTTGAAGAAATGATGAGCGAAATTACAAAAAACAACCAATGTGTTGATGAAAACCATTAGTGAGAAATAGCTTTAAATGCGTTTATGTAAGGAATTTTCTAGATGCAGTTTGCGCATGCGTTTGCAATCACTATTTGAGGGTCGCGCGCGCCACTGATCTACCACTGATATTAGCTTTACATGCGTTTATGTAAGGAATTTTCTAGGTGCAGTTTACGCATGTGTTTGCAATCACTATTTGAGGGTCGCGCGCGCCACTGATCGGCCACTGATATTAGCTTTACATGCGTTTATGTAAGGAATTTTCTAGGTGCAGTTTGCGCATGTGTTTGCAATCACTATTTGAGGGTCGCGCGCGCCACTGATCGACCACTGATATTAGCTTTACATGCGTTTATGTAAGGAATTTTCAAGGTGGAGTTTACGCATGCGTTTGCAATCACTATTTGAGGGTCGCGCGCGCCACTGATCGACCACTGATATTAGCTTTGCATGCGTTTATGTAAGGAATTTTCTAGATGCAGTTTGCGCATGCGTTTGCAATCACTATTTGAGGGTCGCGCGCGCCACTGATCGACCACTGATATTAGCTTTACATGCGTTTATGTAAGGAATTTTCTAGGTGCAGTTTGCGCATGCGTTTGCAATCACTATTTGAGGGTCGCGCGCGCCACTGATCGACCACTGATATTAGCTTTACATGCGTTTATGTAAGGAATTTTCTAGGTGCAGTTTGCGCATGCGTTTGCAATCACTATTTGAGGGTCGCGCGCGCCACTGATCGACCACTGATGTTTTGCGCACGTGATCGATCACTCGCGCTCAATTTTCTTAGAGCAAGGCCTGCATATACACTCAATGATAACCCCTACCATTTTCATATTCCAGGGCGATTCTCGATAGCTCCATCTCCCAAAATGGATCATCGTACGAGCACTGTTCAAATTCTACATTTCTAAATGTCTTAGGAGTTCTTCTATCTTTCAAAGCGCCATTGATGTGAGTTGCCATGGTGATGTTTTCTGGGAAGTCTTCAATGTACTTTCCAAAATCAATCTTAGTGACATAGTTCCTCTCATCACAAACAAAGATGAAGGAATTTTCTTCATCAACACCGAGATGCATTGCGTTTGGCCTTTTCACAGTTTGTTGTTCAATTCCTGATGGATGTGAAAAAGAGGCCATATGACATATCAAGCTATTTTCACTTCTTATAATTGCAAAGTTTCGTGCAAACATCAAACCTTCAGAAGCCATATCCTCCGTGGATTGAAAAGCATCAATCCAACCACAATAGGACAGATTGGTGGAATTATAAACAACAATCTGTAATGAAATCAACCAGAAACTTGTTAATATAATAGCTGTACGTAAATGAAAAACTTTGGAAGGCCTCTCTGCAACATAAACAGTTCAATATGTACATACCATTCCACTCTGATATAGAATGAAAAGATTGTCCTCCGCCACAGCGACATCTGCAATTGTCTGCTGAGGCAACAAAAATGGCATGTCTATATTTTTGATAATTTCACATGACTTCACAACCAATGGTAACTGTTGAGCTGCAAATGATAGCACAGCTACACAATAACCATTCAAAAGCAATGTTACATTTGTTGCTTCTTCATTATGTTCATTAAATATTTGTTGGCAATCCAGAAGTTTTAATGCTCGAAGAGATTTGTCTAAAGAGTTCTCCTCCATGTTTTCAATGATTTCCGCAAGTGTTATCAACCCTATTTGAACAATGTATTTCCCAGGTTTAGTTTTATCAGTGGCTATCACATTCAATTGAAATACTTCGACGGATCCATCATTATGAACGACTGCAAGGAAATGCTCTTTGCTTTTTCCTTTCAAATCTTTCCAGTAACTCCACATAAAGCTAAAACGAGTTATGATAAAGCAATGATTAACACCTCTGTGCAACAAATGGCAAATTTCAACTTCATTTTTTGTGAAAAACTCTATGACAATTGCATAGATATTTTAAAGCTCTTTGCTTTTTCCTTTCAAATCTTTCCAGTAACTCCAAATAAAGATTTTCCCATCATGGAATAAGAAATATATTTTGTAATGGAGTATCCATTTAAATTTTCGTATAAACTCTGAGCTCTTCTCGCCATCATCCCAGGTAACATTACAAAAAATTAGTTCAACCTCAACACCATCACAGTCTTATTAATTTTTTTTTCACTGAAATCTGCAGTTTCTTAGTATGTAAAAGTTGAGACTTGATGCAGTTTGATCTCTCAATATTTTTAGGTGGGTTTTTCTATCTAAACATGTGAGACTCATTCTCAAAAATTACAATGGGAAGTTTAATAATCTTATGGGAAAAGTTTTTACATGTGACCACGTGATTGATATATAAATTTTGTGGATTTTCTACCCACAGTTAAAGATTTCGTTATTTATGGCAACCACAAGCAAAAAAATCCTTACTGCCTCTCACGGTTGACATAAATTTAATGTAGAAATCTTTTTTTAAAACGGTAGTTTATTTAATTGCAAAGCCGACGACAACTTACTCTCGAACTTCATCACAAACGAAGCAGGTTTCGCCAGTTTTCACAAATAAACCATGAAGGGACGAATCTTTCCTTCCTACTAGAAGACACGAGCTATCCGGAGAGCATTTCACACATGTTACATTACTGACATCGAGCTCCTTTTTTAATCTTTTCGTTTTAACAACGTGAACGCTTTCCTCGGAGACCGCCATTTTTAAACAATTCCCGGCAATGTGCTGGCGAGTTGCGAGAATGTTGCACATGAAGAAAGGAATGATGACAAATATTGATTTTAATACATATAATAATTATTACATTACATATAAGTACATATAACAGAATAATATATTTATCATGTTATGGCTATATATTTATTTCAATGGCTGGAATATTTTCCCAGTAAATAATTCGTGGGAACGAGTCTCAACATTACTTGATGTATAACTTTTTTTAATGGATTTGCACATCATGTAAGAAAAAGCAGAAACTGCATTAAACGTAATCTGTGAATGTATTTACTTTGTAACATTTTCCTATCAACACCTCTACACATACATACAAACATTATTCATATTGAAATCGATTTTTCCAAAAGAGACACCTTTGCTTGCCTTTTTTCTTTATACTGTCCGGCCAGGATCCTTGCAGCTAAAGTAACGACTTGTCTTTTTGAAACTCCTATTAGGAACATAAGACACATAGACTGTGCATATTTCAAATGCAAGAGTAGTTATGGAACTTGTGCGGTCATATCTACTACCTGCAGTAAAGTTGGTCCAGTCATTTTGCAATACTTCAGAAAGAGTAACGGAGTAACCAGACCATCGAAGGCTATATGAGCTAGGTGAGAGCTCTTCCAATTTCTTCACGAGATCACTGCTCAAGGCAATAGCTTGAGAGAACGTTTCTGTTTCAACTGTGTGCATTGAATCTTCCAAGCAAAGAGCAAACATACCAAACCACCTATGATAAAAGTAATTAAGAAATCTTCAATTATGAACTTTAAACAGAAAATACTAACTTTCCAGACATCACTTCTGCGATGAACTCTTCAATCGCCACGACAACAACTTCAGGTTCGGGAGTGTGAGAATGCCGAAGATTTAATATCTTCTGTTTTGCACTTTTTAGTGCAGATGAAAAGCTACTTGGTAGGGGCGCAAGACTAGAGTGTGATTGATAATTCTGAAGGTGTACATGTGAGAAAACTTGTTTAAATCCGTCTTTTATTCCTTCAACAATAGCCTCATCTGCTGTTGTAACCATTACGCTGACTGTTTCTGAGCTGGTCTTGCCTTAAACATGAGAATTTAGTAATTACAGTATTGTTTCAAGGTTTATGCACAACAACTTAACATGACTGAAACTCACTTAAATAATTTTCCATTCCTGGATCCAATGTTGTTATAACACTATCCATTGAGTCCTTTGATAAAGAAAACAAGAAGTTGTCAACTTATAGCAACTTAAATGCTTACAAAAAAACATGATATTAACTGAATGCAAAAACAGGAATCGATTACCTTTGTTTTTTGAACAAGGTTTCTACCAATTCTCTGAGTAGTTTCAACAAAATCATTACCAACAGCACTGCTTATCCAACTCCACACTCCTTGATTGGAAACTTCACTGCTATCGTCTTTTATGACAGGCCCATCAAAACTTAATGCAACGCTCCCTTGTCCTTTTGTTTCTTCTTTTGCAGTAATGGTAACGAAACTGTCGTCGGATTCACTTGTGATAAGTTTGCTCGTAACTTGACCTAAATCTCCTTGTTCAAAAGTGGAGTCTGTCAAATTAATTTTTGTTGTGACGTCGTCAGCCATTGCACTGGCCATTTCACGCTCAATTTCCTCTTGACTTGGAGCTTCACCAGAGCTGACATTCATTATAGGTACGAGTATTCAAGTTCAACTTTAGTCAAGTCCTTAACAATTTTCATGTAAGTCCAAGACATGTTTGCTGTTGATTTTATACGTGGATTTTAGTACCCAGGCCATGCACTACAGAGCGCATTCCCCCTCTTGCTTACCCTCGATCTAATTTACATGATGATGTGAAATAAGGACTCTTTCTTCTTCTGGTTTAAATGTTTTTTGGGGTAGTATTTTTCTTCATCTTAATCAATATCAATTAAAAAAAAATAAGTGATAATTACAATGCATTTTTTATTCAAACAAATAAAGTAGAAATACAACAAGATGTGTTTCTAACACAGGAAGTGTTTCTAACACGGGGGGTGTTTCTAACACAGGGGGATGTTTCTAACACGGGGGGTGTTTGTAACACAGGGGGTCTAACACAGAAAGTGTTTCTAACACGGGGGGCGTTTCTAACACTTCTGAAGTATCAAGGACAAATGGGAAAAAAATCTCGCACGTCATTAGCATGATAGACACTGGTGCCATCTCCGAAGAGAAAACTTTAAATTCATAAGTAAACTTTTTCCAAGGGCCTCCCACGTACCCTGTTTCATATGCCTGTGAACTTTATTAACGACTATTTCGTAATTCTCTTTAGACACCAACACTCCCTGCAAACCAAAGAGACTGCTCTAGATTTCCCGGCTTTACGTGACTCAACTCGTTCTCCAACTGTCGCCATCTCGTCTTGTAGTTTCGTTGTCGTCGCTCATAAGACGACCTCCTTGATAACGAAAAGAACACGGCACAGTGTCGATGAGACATAATTAATCTTCTATCAGTATTTGTGATCTACCTTTCCTCGAGAAATGTGGCAGTTTTTTGACGAAAACTTTGCAAAGTTCTTATTTGCTTTTCTCGGTTCGAACCCTCTAACTTTACATTGTTAGACAATAGGAAATTTCGCAAATCCAACTTGTGAAGGCAGACACTCTGTTCAAAACATCAAAAGAGACGCTATAATTGCAAATTAAACTACTATAGTCCTTTCAGAAAGTAAATTGACTCGTGTAAGCAAGGCAGCCAAGCTGCAAGAAAGTACCTGAAGTGTTATTTTATAGGAAAGTGTCAGCTAACATGAGTGCTGTTACTTGTTAGACCAGCAATGATCAATGGTGTGCTATGGTATAGTATGGTATGGTATGGTATGGTATGGTATGGTATGGTATGTTAGGGTATGGTATGGTATGGCATGGTATGTTAGGGTATGGTATGGTATGGTATGTTAGGGTATGGTATGGTATGGTATGGTATGGTATGTTAGGGTATGGTATGGTATGGCATGGTATGTTAGGGTATGGTATGGTATGGTATGTTAGGGTATGGTATGGTATGGTATGGTATGGTATGTTAGGGTATGGTATGGTATGGCATAGTATGTTAGGGTATGGTATGGTATGGTATGTTAGGGTATGGTATGGTATGGTATGGTATGGTATGGTATGGTTAGGGTATGGTATGGTATGTTAGGGTATGGCATGGTATGGCATGGTATGGTATGCTATGGTATGTTAGGGTATGGTATGGTATGATATTGTATGTTATGGTATGGTATGGTGGCAGTGATTGCTAAACAAGTCAAAGTGCCAGAAGTAGCAGAGTTGAAAATGGTCAGATGTGCACTTGAAGTGACTGGAAAGGTGAGAATAGGGAATAAGTACATTCGAAGCACTTTTGCGAAATTCACGAGCTTTAAAGAAAAATTGAAAGAGACGATGTTGCGATAGTTTGGAAAAGTAGTAAGGAGGGAGACTCATGTTGAAAATAGCATTGCCCCGGTAAAGAAAAAGAGAAAGGAGGACATATACGAGATGGATGGATGTAGAGGGGGTGATTTGAGGGATACGGCGTGATAGATGAGGATGTAATGGAAAGATCATATTGGAGAATAAAAACGCGCTGTGGCGATCCCAAATAAGGGAGCAACCTAAAGGAAAAATCCTTTCAACCAAATACACAGACACATTATATGAAAACAATCAAAGAATTTACTACCTCAGGTAACATCTCTTCGTTGTATTCATCTTTGCGTCCACCTTAATTTTAATCGTAAGTATTTTGTGTTACCATAAAGGATTTAACGTATTTTCAAACAATTATTCTACCTCTGACGTAGAAACAGGATAAGGATTTGGAAAAACAGAATCCCTTCAGCAATAAAGTGGGTTTGGGAAGAGCGATCTGATACTTGAGTGTTTTGCTCGTAGTGTCTAACACAAAAATTTTACCACACATTTTTTGAATGAACGCCTTGAAAAGATGAAACACGATCATTAGAATACAGTGTTAAACACGATCATTAGAATACAGTGTTAAACACGATCATTAGAATACAGTGTTAAACACGATCATTGGAATACAGTGTTTAACACGATCATTAGAATACAGTGTTAAACACGATCATTAGAATACAGTTTTAAACACGAACATTAGAATACAGTGTTAAACACGATCATTAGAATACAGTGTTAAACACGAACATTAGAATACAGTGTTTGACACGATCATTAGAATACAGTGTTAAACACGATCATTAGAATACAGTGTTAAACACGAACATTAGAATACAGTGTTTAACACAATCATTAGAATACAGTGTTTGACACGATCATTAGAATACAGTGTTTGACACGATCATTAGAATACAGTGTTAAACACGATCATTAGAATACAGTGTTAAACACGATCATTAGAATACAGTGTTAAACACGAACATTAGAATACAAAGTTAAACACGATCATTAGAATACAGTGTTAAACACGATCATTAGAATACAGTGTTTAACACGATCATTAGAATACAGTGTTTAACCCGATCATTAGAATACAGTGTTAAACACGATCATTAGAATACAGTGTTAAACACGAACATTAGAATACAGTGTTTGACACGATCATTAGAATACAGTGTTAAACACGAACATTAGAATACAGTGTTTGACACGATCATTAGAATACAGTGTTAAACACGAACATTAGAATACAGTGTTAAACACGAACATTAGAATACAGTGTTAAACACGATCATTAGAATACAGTGTTAAACACGATCATTAGAATACAGTGTTAAACACGAACATTAGAATACAAAGTTAAACACGATCATTAGAATACAGTGTTAAACACGATCATTAGAATACAGTGTTTAACACGATCATTAGAATACAGTGTTTAACCCGATCATTAGAATACAGTGTTAAACACGATCATTAGAATACAGTGTTAAACACGATCATTAGAATACAGTGTTTGACACGATCATTAGAATACAGTTTTAAACACGAACATTAGAATACAGTGTTAAACACGATCATTAGAATACAGTGTTAAACACGAACATTAGAATACAGTGTTTGACACGATCATTAGAATACAGTGTTAAACACGAACATTAGAATACAGTGTTAAACACGAACATTAGAATACAGTGTTTAACACGAACATTAGAATACAGTGTTTGACACGATCATTAGAATACAGTGTTTGACACGATCATTAGAATACAGTGTTAAACACGATCATTAGAATACAGTGTTAAACACGATCATTAGAATACAGTGTTAAACACGAACATTAGAATACAAAGTTAAACACGATCATTAGAATACAGTGTTAAACACGATCATTAGAATACAGTGTTTAACACGATCATTAGAATACAGTGTTTAACCCGATCATTAGAATACAGTGTTAAACACGATCATTAGAATACAGTGTTAAACACGAACATTAGAATACAGTGTTAAACACGAACATTAGAATACAAAGTTAAACACGATCATTAGAATACAGTGTTTGACACGATCATTAGAATACAGTGTTAAACACGATCATTAGAATACAGTGTTAAACACGAACATTAGAATACAGTGTTAAACACGAACATTAGAATACAGTGTTAAACACGATCATTAGAATACAGTGTTAAACACGATCATTAGAATACAGTGTTAAACACGAACATTAGAATACAAAGTTAAACACGATCATTAGAATACAGTGTTAAACACGATCATTAGAATACAGTGTTTAACACGATCATTAGAATACAAAGTTAAACACGATCATTAGAATACAGTGTTTAACACGATCATTAGAATACAGTGTTAAACATGATCATTAGAATACAGTGTTTAACACAATCATTAGAGTACAGTGTTTGACACGATCATTAGAATACAGTGTTTAACACGATCATTAGAATACAGTGTTTAACACGATCATTAGAAAACAGTGTTAATACTGCGGAGATAAGTTTTAACAGTACAGTACATATTTTTCTATAATTTTACCGAACAATTTTTGATAACAATGTTTACCAGGTGTGGGATGTTTTGCAGACACTTTATTTCAATAACCGGGTCTTTTACCTTACTACAAAAAAATTTTTAACAAGATAAATAAAAAATCAAGATTTTTAACATTACAAGAGATGAAATATCTTTGTGGACATTCTTCAAACAAATGGCTAGTGGTTGAGAGACTTGAAAAATGAACCTTCAGCTTAAAGATGAAAGAGCTGCCTGTTTGTCCCATGTAATGGAATACAGAATCAAAGCAAGCTTTGGGACCCAGTTTTCCATGAGTATGAAAACAGGAATCCAAGCTTTGGGATCCAGTTTTCCATGAGTATGAAAACAGGAATCCAAGCTTTGGGATCCAGTTTTCCATGAGTATGAAAACAGGAATCCAAGCTTTGGGATCCAGTTTTCCATGATTATGGAAACAGGAATCCATCGAGCAAGATTTATATTTTAGAATTCATTTTGGGAATCTAGAATATGGTAAAATGCATAAGGTGGATTGAATCTGGAATCCCAAAACCACAATGGATTCCTTTACATAGCACTGCGTACGCTGTTTATGTTTTAGGACAATTGTACAAAAATCCTTGTGATTAAAGCAATGATCCTACTTGCACGCGATCTCACAAATATAAATATCAGCAGGTTGTAAAAATAGCGGCTATTTTTTTTTGTTTTACCTTAATGATAAGTTAATGATTGTGGCATTGATCTTATGATATTCGACCATGCTGAGATTGCCATCAGAAAAGCTGACTAACACTCGTTTAGAGTCATCTTCTTTGATATTTGGTAGATATTGAAGCAAGGTGATTTGACTAAGATGATGTAGATTTACTACTGCTAAAGGTAGACCTAAAAACAAAAATTCATTTGATGAAATCAGTGGCATGCATGGAACTGTTATACCATAAAATCTTCCCTTACATGGTCCTGACTCACTATGAATCATAATTACATTAAGTGTTCTGATTAATCAAAATTATGTAATTTATAGTTTTAATTTATTCTACCTGTCAAATTATCCCATGTAACAATGTTGTTATTCTCCAATCCAAAAGAAATGTATGAATTGCAAATGCTGACATTGCATGCAAGAATCCTGGAAGAAGTTGTCAGCAGAAAATCAGGTTTCCTTTGGATATCTAAGGACAATTGAAATAAGTATCATCATTATCCATAAACCCTAGAAAATCTGGTTTCCTTTGAATATCTAAGGGCAATTGAAATATGTATCATCGTTATCAATAAACCCCAAAACATCTGGTTTCCTTTGGATATCTAAGGACAAATGAAATATGTATCATCATTATCCATAATACCATCTCTTGTACAAAGAAATCAATTGAAACTTAACTCACCTTTTGAAGGTTTTACTAATGAATATATCATAGCATGACATGTTTCTGACCAATATACTAGGACACTGTTCGATTGATCTAGTTGAATATGCATTTGATTCTATCATTGGCATTGCTTATTTACTATAGTTCTGCCATGCATATTTTATACAATGAAACATTACAAAGTCACTGATTGTGGTTGAAAATTTCAAGACAGTTTATGGAATATAATACCTGGAGATTTAAGCATTCCAGTAGAAATAAATCGTCCAGGAGTTAAGTAATATACACTAGGTGTTCTGCAAATAAAAAAACGAACAAATCTTTCAAAGGAAATCATTCAATGGTTGAGTGTAGCACTCAGTTATACCTTTTTATGAAATGAATTTCTTTTTTTGGCAGATATTGCAGGTACTCTTCATGCAGTTTTTGAAACACTTTTTCACTATTTTCAAAGTAATTTGGCAGCAGCACATGATTAGTTCCAGTTCCTATAACATCACAATCCTGATTCATACCCCTCATGGCTGACATAATATTGCCAGCGGAATTGGGGGTGACATTCAATGAAGGATTGATTCTCAGAAGCAATGTTGGTTTGGTGAAATGTATCTCTTTAAGATAGTCGAATTGTTCATCCACTTGAGTGACTGAGACAGACAGTGGGGTATGCAGTAGATCATCCTGTATAGGTATAAAATATGAATTACTTAGATTCTTCTGAAATGTGAGCAAATACACTTGCCATGATCAATACGATCGAGTCAGTTTTATTAATGTGACACGTAACCTCTGAATCAGATGATTGGTTTTCTAAATTTTCAGCTTTTTTCTCATTCTCGTCACCTTTTGAATTAACTTCCTTAGAAAATTGAAAAGGAATGTTGACTTAAGCATTTTTTGTCAACGAAGGGGATACTGATGTCAGGATGATGTTTCATACCTGATCAAATTTTAATTTTTCTTCCATTTCATTCATTTCATCCATCCAAGTATCTTTTGGGACTGTATAAACATCAAGCCAAACGGAGTCCACATCAACTGAATTGAAGAATTGAAAATTCCAATTTTTGCTTCAAATTAAGACAACCAGTACATCAAGCAGTATCACAAACAGCTAATTATTACACTTACGATGCGAGCAAAGAGCAATAAAATTTCCATCGAAGGACATAAAAACACAAGATATATGGGAGCCTTTTACCGTAGTGTGTTCATTGAGCAAACTCACAAGATGAAGATAAGTTCCGGAGAGAGCAAGTATTGCTACTGTATCTATAAATTGGAGGATTTTATCCATTGAGATTTGAATACCTCATGATTGCTTATGGAGTTTCTATTTCAATGATTATATCCTTGTAAAACAGCTTGAACAAAACAAATACTAACCATTTGTCATGTGCAAGCATATCAAATATTTGCTGTCGATGAGATTGGCAGTTGAGATATTTTTTATAGTCATGCTTTGGACTTCATCGTTTTTAGCGACAATGACAGTTGTTTCAGAATCAACAGCAAACAGTACTCCGCTTTTGGCCGCGACAAACAGATATTTTCCATCAGAACTTGAGCACATTAAGCTCGCTTGTAATAGATGGGGTACCTCTTCGCTAACTTCGAAAATCGGAAGCTTACCGCCAAGTTCAATAGCTCTAAATTCCAACTCTAGAATAGCTTCCCAAGCTCGGTCAAAAACATACTCAACCGTCTTATCGATAAGTCGAAACGGCTGAGGTAATTCGTCAAATATTTCTGCTGGATCTAAGACAAAATCAGCATCATGAGACAATTCATCAAACTCAAAATCATCTATGCTATATTCCTTTCTGAAGGAGGCCTCCACCGTCCATGCCATGAACGAAAAAAGCCTTTTAATTATCTGCAAAATTCAATAATAAAGTGTAAAAATGTGCAATGCTGTAATTTTGGTGATGGCGTTTGTCGTTGCTTAGTAACGTTCAGGGGGGTAGAGATAGAGGAAGGGGGGTGGGGCAGAGGATTAAACGTAATGACCAAAGTTCACATCATAGATTTGAAGATTGGTAAACAATTTGATTGTTTTTGCTAGCGACAATTATTTTACTTTAGAAAATGGAACTGATCGCTCCTGTCGTAAAATACAATGGGCAAACAATTGGTCGAGATAAACTTTGTCGGTACGTTAAAAAAATATCTTTTTGTAAGGGCACATTTTGATGGTTCGATGTTGGAAGTACATTTCGCTCATACTTTGACCCTCAATTGACACGTAGGAATGCCTTTTGAGCAAAATCATGTGCTCTTTGGATGAAGCCAAGACTCTTTACTGCCACTTTTCTTTGACTTCGTGATGCTTGTCATTTTATAATTACTGCTCGAAGTGAAGATTTTATCCCATTATTCCCTACAAAATACCTTGCTATTTGTAACTCATCCGTAGCCAATTGGACAGTCATGTTGAAACTAATTAACATTTTCTTTTCTGATCCAAGGACTTTACAATATACATCAAAGTTATTGGGCTATCTCCTTCAAAAGCAAGGTGCTACAGCAGAGACACTGAAATTGATAAAAACTATTGAAGTTCACATAAGCACATCTCGAAAACGTGAGTATAAGAAATATAATCACATACAATGAAATAGGCTGAAAGAAGTCGACAAAAATGTTCTTTATGTTGTCCTTTAGTGTTTCGCATTGGCAAATACTTAGATATGCTTCAGGGAGCTGCTCGAAGCATGAATGTAAAAGATACCACACTGAGGTTTCTTGCAGTATCCATACGATTAACTAGAGTTTTATATTTTCTTGTTGACCAAATTGTGTGGGCAACAAGACTGGGTTTGTACAAAGCAGATTCCAAAGCATGGTCAAAATTTCAGTCGAAAATTTGGTGCGTTGCTCTAATATTCTGTGTGACACGTAATATCTATGATATTTACACACTTTTAAAGTCTACAGAGAAGAAAAATGATGATATGGAAGTTTTGCCATGGCACGAAAGGTTCAAATCACGTCCTGAAGTTTTTGTTGATACTGTAAAGAATTGCGCGGATTTCCTCATTCCACTTAATATTATTGGTGTTATTTCAATAAATAATGGAGTAGTCGGCATTTTAGGGTTGATATCGTCATTGGCCGGTGCATCAACTGCATGGAATCCCAATTTAAAACTAAAACCATGATACTCTAATCATTTGGAACTTGTGGTAAAATTATTGTCAAAGGGACAATTAAGTCAAGGGCTTGTGGTGATATGTATTTTATATGGAAATGTTGAAGTAAATATAATGGGGGAAACAATACGTCTTACAATCAACAATTTTTTACAGGTGTACGTATTTTTACATTTAAAAAATCAAAAATCAACATGTAGAGATGTTCAAGTGTATGCCACTAGAATAAAAAAGTTTTTCTTCATTTTGTACGCGATCAGTTTTTCAAACCACCATAAAGAATACCAAATATGTTTGGTGAATCTGAGAACAGCAATGTCTTTATCTTCTTCTACTTCTATTGAAAAAACCATCAGATGAAAACTAACTACACATAATTGTGGAAATCAAACATTCATACAGTACACAATAAAACATAATACGAAAAAATACATCTTGTAATCAATTCCATATACAACAAGACATCGGCTCAGGCACACACTTGTGCTTTGGTGATGAAACAATTTCCATTTTGAATGACCTAATGCAAGCATGAGGCAATGTTGCCAAACACTAGCCAAAGGCAAATGTTTTCTATGGTTTTCTTAACTCTGGCGACATTCCCAAGTGTTAGGATTGGGCCATCTAACTGTTCAAAACACTTATGTAATTTTAATAAATACCAAAAAGAGGATAGTGCTACAAGTATTATTACCAGAAGTATAAAAGCTAAATTCTCACAAATGCCAAATTGCAATGATAAATTTTCCCACCAAAATGGTAGCTGTAAAAGTTTGTAAACAACAATGTCTCCTAAATATGGAAGCACTTTATTTCAAATTTCTCAAATCTGAACTCCATACTAAAAGCAAGTAAGGATTTCACGCTCATCTTTTAATGAACTTGTTGCCGCAATTATGAACATCACTTATCTTCCAGACACTAATGACTAATTGTAAATAACCAATAAAATGCTTTGCATACATACAACTTCAGCTTGCAAATATCATGCTGTATGTTGATAGTTTTGAAGTAAAACGAAAATATTATAGATTCAGTTGCATCTTGGTCATTGCTTAATTTGAGTTTGGAAGACATATATTTTTGGATTTTGTTTTATTTTATACTTCATGACATTGTCATCTGGTCAAGATCTAAGAAAAGCATTCATACACATACCTTGACTTCTTACTAGATCCACGTACAAATGCCCAGTCAACTGATATCTTTTGCTCCAAAAGTTCTGACCCATTTAGACCGTCCCTTGCTGCCTGCGCCTCTTTGAAAGTTTCAAATTCAACAAGTGCGTATCCCTAATGAAAGGACCAACAAACTTGACACATATTTCAATCTATTTTTACAAAATTCTTCATTAAAGTACCTTCATAAATCCCGTGCGGCGATCAAGATTAGCTTGAAGATTTTTTATGTCACCAAATTCCGAAAAGAGATCATAAATGTCATCTTCCTGTGCTTCTTCATGGACATTTGTCACGAAAAGAATCCATCCTTCGACAGCTTTAAAAAGAAGATGTAAGATATTACGGTAAATTCCTCTATCAAATCAATAAAATTCATCGTAAAAGAAAACTGCATTCATTCATCGTGTTTTGGTGAAATACATGAATAGTTTTAGAATACGCCACCACTTATTAACCTAGATGCATGACCCAAAGCTTGACCTTATTCCTAATCATAAGTTAGCCTAATTATTGTGTAGGTTTATTCTAAAAGTATGTAAAAGCAGGTAGGGAGAGAGAAAGGTAAAACTTAAATTGCCTTCTGTGGTATGTTCTACATATGCAAAATTCTATGTTCGACATTAACAAACAATGAAAAACTAATGAAAAATTAATGCATACATCTTTGTGGTCCAGTTTCACCTCCTTGTTCAGTCTCTATAGTATCATATGGTTCACTAAGTGAAGGATTCTGATCATCTACAAAAAGATATAAAAATAGGTGTAGAGGAAGAATGATGTGTGGACTGCTGACAGTTCAAACTGAAAAGTATGAGACTACTGACCTTTGAATCCTCTGCCTTTTCGTTTCGTCGCTCCCTTCTTCAAATTTTTAACACCCTCTATAAGGTTGAAGTAAGGTGAATAATTTCCATTACTGAAACTTTTATACATTCGCCAAAAACATGTGTGAGTCCTAACCATGTGACCATAAATTCATTATTTGATTGAACGTATTTCCTTTCAATTTGTCTTTTAACTATCGTTCTCAAACACCTCATGATAGTATGTCTTAGTATCCTACAGTTCACATGTCTCAAAACTGACCTTCTCCAGCATCTTCAGTAAAATCGGCGCGATCGTCAACTTCTACCTCCAAAACATCTGTCTCGGCCATCTTGAAAACGATTTTATGTAAATTTTAAGAACTGTTACGCGCATGCTCGTTAAAATGATGATACAGCAATTTTTGTTACAGCAGTTTTCTCCACAAGAGAAAACAAAAGAAAAATTAATAGTTCATATTACATAAAAATGCCTTACAGTATTTTCGATTCAAGTTTACGGATTCAGCGTTCAATTATGTAGCATGAACTCATACAGCACGTTCATTGTTTTTTTTGTTATGCGCCGGCTCGTTAAAATAATGTTTCAGCAGTTTTCTACATAAAAGAAAACAAAAGAATTTCATGGTTCATGTACTCATAAAGAAACATAAGCACTGTATGTCATAAAATGAAAAACCCAAAGAGGATGCGAAAAATAATTAAAGCGAGAACAAAGAGGAAAGTAAAAAGAAGTGAAAGAAAAGAATGATGTCACTTCCTTTCGGATAAAATCGCGAACTAATCCTGGATCATAGTGGGATTATCGCATCGTTCTATTTCCGGATATTTACGATTGCTAACGAGTCTGATAATGACATCATATTGTTTTGTAGACAAGCTTCGAAGAACATGGTGAATAAGATTTTGTTACAGAGAGAAAGGTTTTGTTTGGGGGAAATGTGAACACATTGGTTATTTCTAGTATCGTAGGAAGCAATGCAGCGAAGCACTAGTGGTATGTTTTTTCTAACTATGTTTTTCTATATTTCGTACGTGAAAATTCTGTTTGTTGTGGTACGATTTTCATTTTAATATTGTCTCCTTTGTATATGATTCTTATGAAAAACGTCGTTTTAAAATTGGGCAATATTCATCATATGCTAGCTACTCCTTATCACAGAAAAAATGTTCGTAAATTTCTTTTAGTTTATGGCAGTTCAGTTGCCCTCAATGGTGTTCAAATGAAAATAGGAGAAAAATTCAAAGCCATAGCGCAGGTGATTTCTCATATTCGTTCTACTTTAAAAAAATTACAGACCCTTCACAGGTTGATTCACTAATAAATCTTCCAAATAGACTCACAAAAGTATCATCACACTTCTGTGTAAGGGTTAAACATTGAACAACTGCTAATGTTGATCAAATTATATACTGACATAAAACATCAAACGACCATTTGCTATCTTTTACAGTTACATAAGCAAATACATAAGTTTGATTTTAAAAAAGTTACATTTTTGATTACTTCATAAAGCATTTAACCTCTAGACTGTTTGTTTAAAATTGGCTTCTCATTCAAATTTTTTCTTGACTTGTTCGTTTGTCAGGTGACTTTACCTGTTGGTTGGAAGACAAGGGATCAATCACTACTTTTGAGTCTCACGGTAGGAAATATTTATCGTGTTATTCAATTTTTTCATGGTGACCCTTATACCTCCCCCAGACAACAGGAAGGATAATTGCATCACCCGAGATATGTCACATTTTGACAAATTTTAGTGCCCCAAGTTTTTAAGCAGAAAAGAAAAAATTTAAAGTGTGTGGGGGAATTTCTGTCCTTGAGTCAGCCCCTGGATCAGGGGCTTGGGAAGCCGTGAGTGTCCGGGTGCCAGTGCACCCACAACTTTTAGAATGTTGGTGTTCTATATAGGAAGGACACCCACAAATTTAGCTTCTTGCATGAAAATATATGACATATTGGGCGCTGAGTTTTTGCATTTTTGACAATTTTTGTAATCAATGCCAAAAAAGGAAGAAAAAACTATCAAAAATAAGTAATATGAAACAGTTTCATTATTATTCTAAGTTTCTCACATTATCAAATTGCAAACATGGAACACCCACAACTTTTGAAAACTTCTGAAGCCTCTGCCCTGGATTGATATTTTCCAGCTTTCTAGGCTTGGGATCTTAGTGAAAATAGACATACTCAGTAACATGGTACCTCCCTGTCTATCGACATCCTTATTGTCAACATTCATGATTATAGAATTTACAGTGTAGCATTTTGTAGGTTACTTTGTGCTACGTAGATTGTTCCTTTAATTCTTTGAGAACTTTTTATCAACTATCGGATGCTTTTTTGAATGGGAAAATTTTATATTTCTTTCGTTAAGTATGACTTTGCTCTGGAGCAGGAGGTTATAAAGAAGTACAATGCTGAAAAAGAAGCGAGGCAACAGCATGAACAGGCAGAAAAAGCCAAAACACTAAATCCCTTCATTGCGAACATTGGAAATGAGATCTTGCAACCGATATCAACATCAAGCACTCCCGTAGCAACAAGTGTGAATGGTAAAACCAGTGAACAGTTCAACTATAAAGATTTTGAAGACAATACTGACACACCTTTTGAATCAGTTGAGCGGCAATCTATCAACGATATGGATGCATTGAGAAGTATCTTGCAACCAAAAGCAGAAGGAAATTTTAAGATGAATGTTTCGAACAATGCTGGTGGTATCGCAGAGAGTTCTCAAGGTGTAGATGGTGTAGATGGTAATACTGACACAAGTAGCCACAAATCAAACATGTTGAATACAGTTGGCAATGGTAAAGCTACAATTCATCAATCTTCCAACTTGAATGAAACACGCTCTGCATCACCTATGAATGCCAATTCTACTGGAGAAAATACATCAATGAATGGTGATCAATTCCCACCACAACATTCTCAACTAAATGCCGAAGGAAATAGAAGAATTTCCCTCCCGGGTGCTTTAAGGGTCTTTCCACCCGGAGCAGTAAACCCTCCACCTAGACATCGTGTAAGTGATCCAAATAAAAGTGTTCCTATGGAAACAGAGTCCGCTTTTCAAAGTCGAACAGAGGAGGCAATAACTTCACAAAGTGGTAAAAAACCAGTTCCCAAACCTAGAAGTAAATTTCCTCCAATTGTTAACAGTCAAGATACATTAGCTACAAGTGAACCCATATATGACGTCCCTCCGCCTCCTTTACCTCCAAAGAAAAACATTGGCAAGAGCAAACAGGCCAATAACATGATTTTTCATGTAAGTTTGACTTACCTGTATATGAAGGAAAATTGTATGGAAAATAGGAAAATGGTACATTAGCAAGAAAAACACAGAAATTTTCTTGTCTTGTGTGTGTGCAACATTTACACCATAATTCTTTGTTTTTCTTGCCTCTCTAAGCATAGACCATGATTAGCATCTTACAAAGCTTAGGATATCAATTGTGGTCAATGGTAACTTTATCTAAAAACATATGCTGCCGAAGTTTTTTCTCTGTTCTAATCAGAGTTGCAAAGGCAAATTTGTTACGTACGTCATGTTTATGACGTCATGTTACGTACGTCATGTTTATGACCCACACTTGTCTTTTTAACCAGGTGAATATTTAAATGACAAAGTAATGAGAAATACATAAAATACTACGTCCAATGCACATTACATAACACATCATAAAGGTACCTTTAAAATGTTTACATGCAGGCTTAATTTTAGAGAATTTCCCTATGGTGTTTCATGTATTTTAGGATGCACCCTTTCGTCTTCCGCCAATTTCACCTCCAAATCATGTAGCCACGCCCCATATTAATGATCCTCGTTCCTCGCTGTCCGTGGAAGAAAGAAAATTTGTTGATCAGATATCAGGCATTGGATTTGACGTTGGTCAAGTTGCCCGAGCAGTGAAACATTTAGGATGCAAGCAACAGGAGGTGAGTGTTAATAATTTCACTTTTTTAGATTCCGTAGGAAAGTACAAAATTACTTATGAATCGGTGAAGGTCAGTTGAACACTAAATTAATTATAATTGATTAGTTGATTGATAATGATAAATTATTTATACATTGTGGTTAAAACTTGTTTATTTTCTTTCTGATGAGTTTTATTGTTGTCAATTTTTTTTTTTTGGGGGGGGGGCTAACGCGAACATCTTCATCTTTGTCTACACTTTGCCACAATCCCTCTTGTCCACTTCAATTTGTCTTGAAATGCATCATCTTCAATACTTTATGTTGTATAGGTTATAGAATATGTTATATTGGTGAATGATTTGTGTAATGATGGAGAATTTTCGAGCAGTCAGGTTGAAATGGTTTTAAAGGAAAACACTGACAAAAATAAGGTGAGAACAAACATTGTATGGAAATAGTGTTTCTTGACGGGATACATTTTTTTCTGAGGTACAATTTTTTCTTCAAACACATGTTCTATATACTGAAACATTCGTTCTCTATACTGAAACATTCGTTCTCTATAATGAGACATACGTTCTCTATAATGAGACATCCGTTCTCTATATTGAAACATTCGTTCTCTATACTCAAACATACGTTATCTATACTCAAACACACGTTCTCTATAATGAAACATACGTTCTCTATACTCAAAATTACGTTCTCTGTACACAAATAAACGTTCGATAAATTAAAAAAAAGCTCTCTATACTCAAACACACGTTCTCTATAATAAATCATACGTTCCCTATACTGAAACGTTCGTTCTATATACTCAAACAAACGTTCTCTATACTCAAACATACGTTCTCTATAATGAAACATATGTTTTTTATACTGAAACATACGTTCTCCATACTCAAAATTACGTTCTTTGTACCCAAAGTACCCAAACAAACGTTTTATGTACTCAAATAAACGTTCTCAATACTCAAACACATGTTTTCTGTACTCAAACATAAAAAGTACAAAAAATCGATGGCAAAAGTCTGGATTTAGACAAATACTATTATACAACTTCCTTATGACGACTGCATTGACTATTCTGCGAAGGTTTTCTTGAAGAATTAACAAGTACTGCGTTGTTTTAATGTATAAATTTTTTCATCGATTAACTTTTTTATTTAGGCGAAAGAATTCCTCAAATTAATTGTAAAGTTTAAAGAACTGGGCTTCGAAGAAAATAAAGTTTTCGAGGCGTTAAAAAAGTCGGAATGCGATGACAATAAAACGCTTGATATTTTAACAAATGCTAGCTAGAACAGTCTAATATAAGAAGCGATGAGTTTTTGATTGTTTATAAACAGATTATGTGACTTGTACGAAGATACTTAAGTCATATTCTTATGTGATATTTTGATTGTAGATGACGTGTTTAGCCTCACGCAGTTTATTTTAGTAAGAATTATTTCTTCTATAACACGAAAAGAATGAAAAAATGTAAAGAACATATCTTCTACAAAGGTGCATTTGTGCAAAGTATGATGTGAAATTACATTACTATTTATTGACGATGCGAAAAAAGGATTTATTTCAAAATTGAACTTCCACGTACCTCAAAGATTTCTGATTTAGTGTAGGCACCCCCAGTTAACTCATTAAAATAGGGGCAACCCCCCGTATTAAATAGTCATTTTCAGTCACCCTTTTTATCTATGATGTGACCCGTCCACACTTTAGTAGTTCATTTATCACCTCTTATGTACCCACAAGATCATTCATCACCTCTTATGTATCCCAAGATCATTCGTCCCTTCTTCTGTACCCCCAAGATTATTCATCACCCCTTATGTATCCCCAAGATCATTCATCACCTCTTATGTACCTCCAACGTCATTCATCAACTCTTATGTACCACAAGATCATTCATCACCTCTTATGTACCACAAGATCATTCATCACCTCTTATGTACCACAAGATCATTCATCACCTCTTCTGTACCACAAGATCATTCATCACCTCTTATGTACCACAAGATCATTCATCACCTCTTCTGTACCCCCAAGATATTTAACGCACTTTAAAATTTGAATACACCTTGTCACTTGCGGTATATAATGTAAAAAATTTTTAGATTTGTTGTGATGTTCTAGTTCAACAGCATTAAAAGTTCAACTCCTTTTACCACATACTTTTTAAAGTCGGAACCATGTTTCCCTCTTCATCAATTCAACTACACCAATCAAACGAATGTTGGAAGTCGAAGATTTACGCTGTCGACAATCTTCGTTATGTGAAGTGATGTCATGAACAAGCATGGTTTTCTATAACATTATAATTTCATTCTCTCTGTGTGAATACGTTTCAAAAGCCCAGAAGATGATTATCAAGCCCCCAATTAGCAGCTTTGCATTTAAAATCTTACTTCACTAGTTATAGTATTTAAACTTACGTAGGCAAAAATAGAGCTGATTCTATTGCCGTGTTTTTTTTCCCACCTATGTTGATATATGCGTATGAATATTTCCAGAAAAGCAAGGGTTACTGACTTTAGGAGAATTTCACACTGTGCGGTTTCAGAGGTGTTACAAAGGTTGCAATTACAGAGTTTACAAGGTCATTAGGGTAACGTTGACTACATGTTTTACAAGTGTAGCAGGGGTTTGAAATTGTTTCAAGTTACAGAGAATGACAGTAGTTGAGATGATATTACTGTATAACTGTATGACCCATTGACATGTATAGGTGTGGCATAATTATGTAAAGTGTAAAGCACTGATTGTACTCTACCACTGACCGGTATTAAAATATGGAGTGACAGGTGTTTCGATTGAGTGGTTTGGGCATCATGGCCGCCGATTCTGGAGATACTATTTTCGGGAAAATAATTCGCAAAGAAATTCCCTCCGATTTTCTTTACGAAGACGACCAGGTAAGGCATTCAAAACTTTCTACAAATCTTTTTTTATGTTAGTTTTGCCTTCGTTTTCGTAATATTTATAGTCAAGTCTCACTGTTTGAAATTCAGAAATTGTGCTTTTTAAGTGCATTGTGATCAAAGACATAAGTCCACAAGCTCCTGTTCATCTTTTGGTTATTCCAAAAAAACCGATCATTGGTCTCTCAAAAGCAGATGAATCTGATAAACAGGTTTGGCTACATTCATTCGAAGTTTTTTTTTGACTTAACTCCAAATTTAAATCCAAATGTTAGTGAAATTAATTATAATATATAATTTTTTACAATCAAAGATACGGAAATGTTAGACTAGGCATCTTCAAGGACATATATATATAATCCGTAAAGCAGAATTTTGCAATTTGCATGCATGATTATGGGACCCCTCTGTTATCAATCTATCTTACACTACCAAGGATCACAGAAGATTGATAAGCTTATTCATATTCTTAGCAAAATATTTTTCATGTTTATAGATGTAGATTGTCCAGGTTAGTAGAATCCAGAGAAGGACTGTTGTTGCTGATGTCGAATTTTTTGACTCTGAAGATGATTACTGCTAAGGTTGTCGAAACGTCAGTCAACATCAACAACAACAGTCTTTCTCAGGACTCTACTAACCCGGACGATCTACATTTACAAACATGTAACGATACTCCCAGGTTCAAACCATTTACTTTAAAATATTTTTCTCTATGGTAAGTGTAGAAATTGAAACAAAAATTTGATCATTTTACAGGAAATATGTATGTAGTATAAAACATATACATGTGCAAACTGCCAAAATTATGTGAATAATTGCGAAAACTTATTTTAACAATTAGCTTCTTGGTCATCTGTTAATTGTTGCTAAAAAAGTTGCTGCTAGCCAAGGTTTGGACAATGGGTATCGTGTGGTGATTAATGATGGATCGGATGGCGGTCAGACTGTCATGCATCTACATATACATGTGCTTGGAAAACGACAGCTCGTCTGGCCACCGGGATAAATCCTTTGTAAATACATTTTATTAATGTAATGCAATAAAACACTAAAAAATAATTCATATCTCATTTATATTTGTTGTTTCATGAAGTATCGAGCAGCACTTCACTAAATGCAATGCCCATTCATCGTTAATAGATAGTCTTCAATGGAACTTACAAAAAAATCCTAACTACAGCCCATATTTGTTCCCTGGTTCCCTTCTACTGAAATTTCTACATCTTAAACTTCTTGTTGCCCGCCATTGACGCCATTAACGGTTATTCTTTCACACTCCATTTGAACGCGTTTCTTTCTTTTGCAAAAAAAAATTGTTCGTTAAAGCTTGCTCTTGTTTGACTGGACGTAAGATTCAAAACGATCGTGTTTACAAGGATCTAACTGACGCTTAACCGACTGTGCACTCAAATTCTTGAGTAGCAAACCCTCTTTGGAATCTAAATTCAGTAGAGGTTAGGATCTTGCAGTTTTGTCTTTTCCTGTCCTGTTCATTATCTGTCAATTGTTCTTCACCTCTCTCCCTAGTCTCCCACTATTCTCCAAGTCTTTAGACCCAACAATCTCTTGTGGTGCAGCGATGTTAATATACTGGTGTCGCTGACAAGGCAACGAGTGAATTCGTGTTCTGCTGTGTTACTCTGTTCACCGTCTGCTAAAGTACGTGCATTCCACTCATCAAAAAATTTTCTGTAGGATTGTTAGACCGTGTTTAGTGGAACCTAGAGGATCATTGGGGTAACTGTCTAACTACTTTTCAGAAGCTTCTATTCCAGATTGTACTATACCCTACCTTCCTCCCCTGTATCCTTCGTTGCTGTCTATTAGTCATCGTAGGAGATTTACGAGAGGTTGTATTGGAAAGAGATAGCGCTGCCTTTTTTTGAAGGTCTTGTTTTTAATCGCAACTGGGTATTGACTGCCACAGGAAAACCTTTGTAAGTTCTTAGAAAAGTATATACTAAACTATGGGCGGGGGGGTTGGAATTAAGCATAAGCTAAAGGTTATCTTGACATTACCTGACCTAAGGTTCACTGTATATGAAGTTGACAATTGGAATCGAATTGAGAAAAATTCGTTTCCCATCAATTTGCAAGACCTCTGAGCTATTTTAGTAAGTGACAGCTATTTAACTGATAGTGAATTGTTTTACCTGTCAGTCAATATCACGCTCGAATGCTTTGAAAAAACAAGGAGAAATATTCAAAAATGGCGGTCGGGATCACGTCTCTATTGAGAACTGTTCTCTTTACTTTTTGTACGTTACAACGGTTTTCTTTTTCACTACCTTTTGGCAAAAACTATCTGAATAAAAATCTTGATTCAGCCGATGGAGATATCTCTCTAGGTAACAGTAGTTCAAGGGAAAGCCAAAATGGCAAGGTTTGTTCTGACAAAGAGTGCGTACGGGTAGCCGCCTCGATCAAGGCGGCGATAAACGAAAAAATGGACCCTTGCGAGAATTTCTATGAATATGCGTGTGGATCTTGGATGAAAAGTCATCCCATTCCAAAAGATCAACTTCAAATCTCCGCGTTCACTGAACTGCGCGATCAAAACAAGGAAATGATGAAAAATGCTTTGGTTGAAGATGGCGATCATTTTAATGATGTTGTTCCTATCAGAAAACTTCGAACGTTTTTTCAATCCTGTGTTAATATTCAAGCAATTGACAAGTTGGACAAGAAGCCCGTTTTGAATTTTATAAACGACATCAATTCGTGGGCGGTTGATGAGAATTCTGGATGGGCTTCCGAAGAATGGGATCTTTTTGATACGCTGAAGAAAATTCAGAAGGAATACTCGTCCAGGAACTTGTTTTTTAGTGTGGAGACCATCCCAGATCCTCTTAGAAATGACACGGACGGGCGAAATATTTTATTGGTAATTAGATTAGCTTTTTTACCCATTGATTCAGAAAATGTAGGAGGAAAATACGTGTAGTCTTATGTATCTCGGGAATATACTTTTTTGTAGATTGACAAAGCTCCGCTGGATCTTCATCCTTTGTTCTTCATCTTAAGTCCAAAGGTATTGTCTGGACGTTTCCAATAAAGCTTGGAAAATTTGGAAAATTTTGCTTAGATAAACCCTCGGTTATTGATTCGGAACAATCTGAAAGGAAGATGAACAATTTTCGAACGTAGGAACTATATATAGGATGAGCATGTATTTGTCTAGCACCTTTACTCTTCTGCATTCGCTTGTCAAGAACCTTTTCAAGAACTTGTTCGTCCATCTTCTAGGCTTTCGTTAATCATCATCAGTGTTTTAATAAACTTAATTGTGTCCTCCATTCTGTACAAATTTTAGATGATACGCTTATTGTACAATTACATGACGAATGTCACCGAACTGACTGGAGTTGAAAGACAAATTGCCAAATCTTCGATGAAAGAAGTGCTTCGCTTTGAAGCGAAACTCGCTTTGGTATCCAAGTTTTTCTTTGCTCGTGTGCACTGTAAATATTTTACAAGAAAAAGACCTTGCTTTCCTTTCTTTTTCACAGATTTCTTTTGCTAAGCGTGGTAAACTATACGCTCGGCTGCCATTGAGGAAGTTAGCCAAAGCCATACCTCAGGTAAGGTATATTCAAAACAGCAATAACTGAAAGGAACAAAGCATTATAGTGACGTTCGAACAACCTTACTATTTTTTTCAATAGTTTCCTTGGCTTGAGCATCTTCAAAGTTTAGTTTCTCCGAACAAGCTAACGGGAGATGACCCGGTTCTCGTACTCGCCACTCCGTATCTGCCAACTCTCTTTAAGATTCTGGATAAAACAAAGAAAGAGTAAAATTGCAATGAAATTATACGAATTTTTTTTCCTTTGAAGAAATTGTACTTTTGTTTCCACTTCTTCTAGAGTTCTTTCAAATTTCATCGTTTGGCGAATGATTAAAAGTTACGTCCCCATGCTGGGCAATGATTTTCGTAAACTGTACTCAAAGTTGAAAGGTGATCACGAATCTCGTTCGGAGACATGTTACACCTATACCAGCAAAATGCTCAGTAATCTGCTTGGTGCTTTATTCATAAGAAAGCGATTCTCGGCTAAGGTCAAATCTGATGTAAGTTTGTTTGTCGTTAATGTGGTAGTATGATTTTGTTTAAGGGAGTTTGTCCCGTCGCTCGTCGGACATTCACACTGTAATTCTTTTGCTATTCCCGGCTCAAACGTGCGCAATAACTGAGATTTTGCAAAGTATTTATCGTTTCTGTGTTTATGTTTTAGTTTTTTTTACTTTCCATCTCAGAGATGTAAAGGCAGATATAATGTATCTTGTCTACTACACACAAAAATTGAAGAGTCATCTGACGAAGTGCATCATTTTGTGTACTTTGATAAAGTCATAAGTCTTTATGTATTATAAGGATCAATGCGTTACATAGAATTTAAGGAAGGAAAAAGTTCGAGGGTATTGATAAATATGCATCTACTACCTTGCTTTTGTTTTTTGTATGGCCCCCGTTAGTCGTCTTTGTCAGTCATGTCTGAGCTTCTTATTTGATTCTTGTAAATAATCCATAATTCTACTGTTAGCAAGTCTACGACGCTTTAAGACCAAATCTCACCGTTGATGAACCGCTGTCGTTAGAACTATATGATTGCCATTAATATTTATAACGAGCACTCGCTTCCCGCTTTGCAAATCATTGACTGCAATGTTTATGCAGTGAATTCAATGTTGTCGTTTAAAGGTGGAAGAAATGATGAATGATATCATCAAAGCTTTCAAAAATAATACGCAAATCGAGACGTGGCTGAGTCAAAAAAGTAGACACGCCGTAGAAATAAAGGTAATTGCGATTTTAGGATATCAGGATTGAGGATGGTCATTTCTATCGCTGGTTTGATCTTTGTTTTCATTCAAATTGCAGTTAAAAAATGTCCAATCTAAAGTCGGTTATCCTGATTATCTTTGGAACGAAGAAACTCTAAATTCAAGATATGAAAATGTATGAATTAGTAATAGCTAAATTTATCATTCATTACCAGGCCCTTAGCAAACTGGTTGTCGCAGGAGGGCGAGATGGAAAATCAATGTTAACAATGCGTGCAGTTATTGAGCATGGTCTTTGAAAACAAAAACATTTCTGTATGGATGGTGTTAATGGGAATCAGGATATTGTTTTGCGTTTACTGAAAACAGATCTACGGGGCAAATTTCGTTTCAAGACCACATTATTTCTAGGGAGGGATGCACGCGTTTTGCGATGGCCATGCTGACTGCTGCACAACTAATTTTCGCAGTCAAGCTTCGATCTGTTCTTCTCCATTTTCTTTAGTTGGATGTAGAACCGAATAAATGGTTTCAAAATGTTGTCAACACACAGAAATATTTAAATAACATCGAGCTTCATCATGTGGGCGAAAAGATTGACACGACGCAGTAAGTAGGTTCAGAGAAATCCTTCGTAGTTCTTACATGTATGATGTATTCAACAATCGTTTCCATTTGCTGTCAGCTGGTTAGCTCCACCTCAAATGGTTAACGCTTTTTACGTTTTGACGAAAAACGAAATCGGTGAGTGAAGCGTGTGTGATTTTACAACAAAAGTCACTCTTTTCGAAAATGCTTTTCTTCTCTTTTTTATTCAGTGATTCCTGCTGGTATCCTCCAGGAACCCTTCTTTTACTCCGGTTCTATCCCTAAGTACTCCTCACAGTCTCCATTCTTGCATTTCCATACATACACGCGCTCACTTCTTGACCTTTGATTGTAGAGCGTTAAGTTATGGTGCCGTTGGTCATGTTTTAGGACACGAGTTGACTCATGGTTTTGATGATTCAGGTAGCTTTCCAAGTCTGTGTGCAGGCTCGTAGCATTGACTGAACTCAGGCATGACGTATCATGTCTTTTTGTCTTGAAATTCCCGTCATTGCTATCGATTTATTTGTGTTTACTCGTAGGAAGAACTTTCAACAAAATTGGAAAGAAAGTTTCGTTCAACGAGACCGGATGGAGTAATATTTCTGATAAAAATTTCAAAAACGCATCCAAGTGTTTGGTGAAGCAGTTCAGTGAATTTGAAGTCTTAGGAAAGCACAATGTTAGTTCTCGTTTGGCTCGTTTCTTTGCGTTAATGTTCATGTCATCATGAAGTAGTGTAATTTTTCAAGGTGGATGGTAAAATGACTCTGGGTGAGAATATCGCGGACGCAGGCGGTCTTAAGTTGGCTTTCAATGTAAATGTTTTTTCATTCACTCTTCCATGGAAATATAGCTTTCAGAGTTTACCATGTTTTTGTATTGTTTTTCTCTCATCAGGCTTATAAAAGATGGATTATTGATCACGGAGAACAGGAAATATTGCCAAACTTGGATAAAAGTAACGACGAGCTGTTCTTTATTGGATTTGCACAGGTATTTATATTTCTCGCTTACCATTTACCATTAAATATTCAGGTACAAGGAAATATTCATGTACCATCAAACATTCATGTACGATGAAACATTAAAAATACCATGAAACATTCGAGTACCATCAACATTCAAATGCTATCAAACATTCATCCACCATAAGACATTCATGTACTATCAGATATTCAAATACCATCAACATTCAAGTACCATCAAACATTCGTGTACCATCAGACATTCAAATACTATCAAACATTCATGTACCATGAAACATTAAAAATACCATGAAACATTCGAGTACCATCAACATTCAAATGCTATCAAACATTCATCCACCATAAGACATTCATGTACTATCAGATATTCAAATACCATCAACATTCAAGTACCATCAAACATTCGTGTACCATCAGACATTCAAATACTATCAAACATTCATGTACGATGAAACATTAAAAATACCATGAAACATTCGAGTACCATCAACATTCAAATGCTATCAAACATTCATCCACCATAAGACATTCATGTACTATCAGATATTCAAATACCATCAACATTCAAGTACCATCAAACATTCGTGTACCATCAGACATTCAAATACTATCAAACATTCATGTACCATGAATTAAAAAAATACCATGAAACATTCGGTACCATCAACATTCAAATGCTATCAAACATTCATCCACCATAAGACATTCATGTACTATCAGATATTCAAATACCATCAACATTCAAGTACCATCAAACATTCGTACCATCAGACATTCAAATACTATCAAACATTCATGTACCATGAAACATTAAAATACCATGAAACATTCACCATCAACATTCAAATGCTATCAAACATTCATCCACCATAAGACATTCATGTACTATCAGATATTCAAATACCATCAACATTCAAGTACCATCAAACATTCGTGTACCATCAGACATTCAAATACTATCAAACATTCATGTACCATGAAACATTAAAATACCATGAAACATTCGAGTACCATCAACATTCAAATGCTATCAAACATTCATCCACCATAAGACATTCATGTACTATCAGATATTCAAATACCATCAACATTCAAGTACCATCAAACATTCGTGTACCATCAGACATTCAAATACTATCAAACATTCATGTACCATGAAACATTAAAATACCATGAAACATTCGAACCATCAACATTCAAATGCTATCAAACATTCATCCACCATAAGACATTCATGTACTATCAGATATTCAAATACCATCAACATTCAAGTACCATCAAACATTCGTGTACCATCAGACATTCAAATACTATCAAACATTCATGTACCATGAAACATTAAAATACCATGAAACATTAAGTACCATCAACATTCAAATGCTATTAAACATTCATCCACCATAAGACATTCATGTACTATCAGATATTCAAATACCATCAACATTCAAGTACCATCAAACATTCGTGTACCATCAGACATTCAAATACTATCAAACATTCATGTACCATGAAACATTAAAAATACCATGAAACATTCGAGTACCATCAACATTCAAATGCTATCAAACATTCATCCACCATAAGACATTCATGTACTATCAGATATTCAAATACCATCAACATTCAAGTACCATCAAACATTCGTGTACCATCAGACATTCAAATACTATCAAACATTCATGTACCATGAAACATTAAAAATACCATGAAACATTCGAGTACCATCAACATTCAAATGCTATTAAACATTCATCCACCATAAGACATTCATGTACCATCAGATATTCAAATACCATCAACATTCAAGTACCATCAAACATTCGTGTACCATCAGACATTCAAATACCATCAAACATTCAAGTACCATCAGACATTCATGTACCCTCAAACATTCAAGTACCATCAAACATTCATGTACCATCAGACTTTCAAATACCATCAAACATTCAAGTACCATCAGACAGTCATTTACCATCAAACATTCAAGTACCATCAAACATTCATGTACCATCAGACTTTCAAATACCATCAAACATTCAAGTACCATCAGACAGTCATTTACCATTAAACATTCAAATACCCTCAAACATTCATGTACCATCAGACTTTCAAATACCATCAAACATTCAAGTACCATCAGACAGTCATGTACCATTAAACGTTCAAATACCATCAACATTCATGTACCATCAAACTTTAAAATACCATCAAGCATTCGTGTACCATTAGACATTCAAGTACCATCAAACATTCAAATACCATCAAACATTTAAGTACCATCAGACAGTCACGTACCATCAAACTTTGAAATACCATCAACTTTAAAATACTATCAAACATTCGTGTACCATCAAACATTCAAATACCATCAAACATTCGTGTACCATTAGACATAAGCGTACCATCAAACATTGACATACATGCTGCACATGCTCTACGGAATATCTTGTCTGCTTTAATATCTTTTCTAACATTTTCTCTCAATATAGAAAAGTTGTACTAATACCTCTCATCTTGGTCAGTTTATCGCTGTGAATGACGATGATCATGCCCCGTCAAAATTCAGGTATAATTATACGCTTGACAGAATTGTAAATCCCGACTTGTTGATTACAGAATTGTGTATTCTGATTGGTTGATTAGTGATGGGAAGTAGCAATTGACCAAATAAGTGAGGTCCATTTTAAACATGAGACTTTTTCATACTTCAAATGCATTAGAGATAAAGATAATTAGCTTAGATTTCTTACTCTCTTTTGTTTCTAATGCGTTCGGCACTTGAAAAGTGCGACAATTAAATTGTTGTGCTAGATTTTTCAAGCTTGAGTGTTTTTAAATTGCCAATTTAAGCTTTCGTCAAACATTTTTTTTGAAATTTGCTACAAAATCAACAACGCGCCCGTGTTTGTGTTTCAGAGTCAACGGAGCGCTCTCCAATATGCCGGAGTTTTCGGAAACATTTCACTGTCCCGTCGATAGCAAAATGAATCGTAAAAAGAAATGTGATGTTTGGTAATTTTTACAGTTGTAAGTAAGTGATAAAGTTGAAAACTACGATTCTCGGTGTCATGTTTGGAAGAACTTCAAGAGGAAGCAACTTGAGCTGATGAACAATATACAGTTACAAAGAAGAACTGCCTTACGACACTGCCATTTGCTGTTTTTAATCAATATGGACTCGACGGGAATAGTGTCGTAGCAGTTTTCCTGTGAATCTTTTTCATTAGAAAAGATTACAAACTGTTTTTATTAATAAAGTCTCCACAAGGCGTTTTTATAGCTTTGATGAAGACCGCAGCGGCAAATTAGCGGCAATTAGTAAATTTTGGTAAAAACTTTTGAGTTTTTATTCTTCTCGATGAAATAAATCTTCTACAAGAACTACACAGTTCACACACGCACACACACGATAATTTTAAAGGCAATTTACGGTTCCAGATCAAGAAATGCGTTGATGTTTTGTTGTCTTTAAAAGACAACTAAAAAGAAATTAATTTAATTTAATATTTCTCGACAAAAAGCCCAACTTAATATTGTTGATATGCTTGCAATCCATAAAATACTATCATTCCGGGTTTCATCGCGCTCCATTCTGCCATACAATTTATTGCGCATGCTTAGTTTATATGAAGCAGATTTGGAGAAGGAAAGTCTTAATATGATATCTTTGTAAAAGTAACTCGTGCATAGCCTCGAGTCAAAGTCGCGGGCGATGGGACAAAGTTTTGAGGCGCAAAGGGCTCTTGCTTTGCTGCGAGCTTACTTTTGAAAGTACTTCAAACAAATTTGTATTTTTGCGTCTTCGCGTACGATGGCGAACATTGAAACCTATGTCTCATATAAAGTTGTAACATTTGCGCAGTTTATAATGTTGTTGGGTCTGTATCATCGTCCAAACACCTTTTCCCAATGTCAGGTCGGATGTGGGTCGACTGCTCTAACGTTTATAAATTAAATTTACACAATTACACTACTTTATTCTTATGAAGAACATCTCAATACCCTTTGTAAGACTTTGATCGTAGATTTTGATCCATAAACATCAATAAAGAATCATCACTACACGCGGACTATAGTATCAAAAGTTTATATTACTAACACACATATATTGGTGTTTAAGTAAGGCAAGATGTTCTGGTCGGCACAAAGTAGCCAAATGAATTCATTTCAATGACAAACGAATTGAAAATCAATTAGGTTTTATCATTTAGACATGTTTGGATTTGAGTGAGACACCTGTCCTTACGTGAAGTATAAATTATGTCAGACGCAACACGATTTTTCTTTACTAAGTTTAATAGCTGTACAACGAGCGGGAATCCAAGTCAGCAAGTGCATTTCTGCGGATAATGTCCTCTGTTTTTTGGTGTCAAAGGTACAATTTTAATTTGATGTTAGAGGTAAAATTTTAAATTTCAAGGCATGGCGTGTAAGATTTTTTTCTTTTGGAGTTACAAGCAAAACGACGCGTTTAAATTGAAGCACTGCCTGTGTTAGGGGTAAAAGCTCTATTCTGGAATATACAGTCTGCTTTCGTAGGATGTGTGTTGTATTTGGGGAAGATAAAATTATTTTCTACACGATTCAATCTTACAAAATGATTTTCATCTAAAATTTCATATAATAAGCGCATGCCTTTTATCTCACATAATTAGCACTTCTTCCTAGTCGCATTAATGTCATGTTATCTACAAGACCATTGCAATATCACAGTATTTGAGAAAACAAAATATTTTGTCGAAAACATCTGCTAGCGTCCCACGCCTTTTGTCATAGTGCTTCATAAACAAACAACGTGTTTCATGGATTTGTTTAATCCTTTTGATGGATGGGAAATTTGAGGAAAGTGCTCCGTGGAAAAAAGTTGGTTCAGATTTTTGCTTTGGCCATTAGGAATACACCAAAGATGTTTTCTATGTATGACTTTTCAGGATAAATGAATATACTTTCCTTCGTTTTGCATACGGTTAATTTATTGTAAAATGGAATCAGAATTATCTTCAACTGATTAGAAATTTAAAGGCGTAGTAGCCAATTCTCCCTGCCATTTTTCTGTTTTTCTTAAGAATAACAATTCAAATTATGTGAAATAATTCCCTTTTGATAGACAAAATACCTAAGACCGAAAAAATTGTCGTTCTCGATGAACTATAAAAATTTTCCATAAAAATTTCTCGCTTTATACAAACCAAAGACCTTCGCTTCTCTCTCCGCATTCTCAGCTACTTTAAGTGTAATCTACATTTGATGACGCTTAAATGAGTAAACAACACGTCAATGCTGGTTAAGAGGAACTCTTCTTCCCCTCGCACTCTTGAAAATCTTTTTGTGAAGGTGAGATAACGCGCTAATTGGACTAGTTCGCTTTCTGATAAAAAGAAAACGCCAGATCCCACCTTGGACATTGTAGCCTGATGTTTAATCAACGCTTGTTGAGTATTTGAGTTTCAAATTATTGTTATGCGTGAATATAATATTATTTCGCTTCTTCTTGTAGTTTAAATTGAAGGAAAGACGGCTTCTTGCGAAGGTGTATTTGGAGTAAATTCAACGTGGACCAAGCTTAATAGAGAATACTTGCCAACAAATCGGAAAGGATTTTTATCAAATTCTAGCAACAGAAAGAAAATGCCTCGTTTTGATGTTGATTATCATATATCGTTAATCGCTATTGCTGTTCTCGTCGTTATTTCAAACTCTTTCGTTATTTTACTTTTCGTTTGCAAGGAAAAGCTCCGTACGGGGGGCAAGCTCCTTTTGTTCAGTCTAGCGATATCTGACGTCACCACAGGACTTGTTACCATTCCCTTGAATATCGGATGCGAGGTGACCTTTTCTCTTGAGTTGTGCATGACGTCAGGAATGCTGAATCGTTTCTTAGCCGTTTCTACTGTTTTTCACATTCTGGCGGTAACATTTGAAACGTATTATGCTATTCTGTGGCCCATGGAACACAAAGTGAAGGTAGAAAAGAAAAAGATTCTCGGCATAGTTGCAGTTATTTGGCTTGTATCCCTCATCATCTCTCTAGTACCCTTAACCTGGGCCATTGGTACAATTACGAGTATTACTCAACGTCCCACAGATCAGTTTTATTTCAAGATGGCCGTTTACGAAATATTCGTCATGTCATTTGCGTTCTTTATCCCGCTCGTTATGATGTTTGTCGCGCATGCGCGCATGTTCAGAAGGATCGCAAAGGCGCTGGACCTAATGCGACGTCGCTCACCTAACGCTTGCAAGAATAGAGTGACGAGGAATAATTATAAGTCAGCTGTTCTTTTGCAGTGTTATTATTTGTGTTTACTTTGTGTTGGGTATTTTGGTTTATAACTAGCTTGCTAAAGACCCTCCGTCATGTTCGGCATCCCTTACCGCTATGGTTGATCGACGCGCTCACCATTGTACGGTATACGACCTCCTTCATAAACCCGCTGCTTTACACATTTTTCCGACCGGATTTTCATACGGCTTTCAAGCTTTTATGGATTGGCCGTAAAAGGCGAATGCCAAGCATCACTGTTACGTACATTCCTAATAACAATAGTAACCGAACTAATAGAGAGTCGCAAGTGACCGGAACATTTTTTCAGGAATCAAGCACCACGCCAATTTTGTTTATAAATACAGTTCAAGAAGGTGGTATCAAACCGATATTGTCGAGCACTGACCACCAAGAAGCAGATGCTACTACACCAATGTTATCTGGTAACGATTTTCAAGATTCGAGTACCACAACAGTGTTGGTTATCAAGGATGCCAGAAAATCGAGCACCATACCGAGGGTGACAATAGATGAAAGCCAAGAAACCGATACTAAACCGATGTTATCCATCAATGGTAGCCACGAATCAAGCTCCACATCAACATTTGAAATCGATGAAAGCCAAGAAACCGATACTAAACCGATGTTATCCATCAATGGTAGCCACAAATTGAGCATCGCACCAACTTTGACAATCGATGAAAGCCAAGAAACCGATACTAAACCGATGTTATCCATCAATGGTAGCCACGAATCAAGCTCCACACCAACATTTGCAATCGATGAAAGCCAAGAAACCAATACTAAACCGATGTTATCCATCAATGGTACCCACGAATCAAGCTCCACACTAACATTTGCAATCGATGAGAGCCAAGAAACCGATACTAAACCGATGTTATCCATCAATGGTAGCCACAAATCGAGCACCACGCCAACATTTGCAATCGATGAAAGCCTAGAAACCGATACTAAACCGATGTTATCCATCAATAGTACCCACGAATCGAATGCAACTCATATGTTGTCAACCTACGATTTGCAAAGTGCCGCGTCGTTTAAGTACGAAGGAAAAACTACAGACGTTTGAACAATTGATGTCAAAACACCTTCATGTCAATGATGACATCGAACTTACGCTTACGTAGCACGCCAAAAAACAGACTTTCGGATTGATTCAATACTTTTGCTTGTTATAATTGATATATAACTGCATTGTATTTCTTATTGATTATTTTTTTCGTAATCCTGCCTTAATTTTGTTTTATCTTTACGGAGAAAAGCAGTCTGTGGGAAACTAAAAAACGATTTATTTTGATGTTTGAATTTTATTCTTTTGTGAGCTAATAATAAACAATGTACTAAAATTTTGTTTCCATTGCTACTTTGTAAGATTTAGCATTGTCGGACACTCGTGAATGCTCGTGAATGCTCGTGAAAACACTATTTCATGTTTTATCTGGCTCCTTTAGTTATAATGAATAAACTAACGTATTAAGTTTACATGTAAACAGATTAAAATACTCTGATACTTTGATTCTTCAAATTTCAAAGCCTTAAATTTATAATAAGTACAGAAAACTACAGATCTCCTGTTTCAAAATGATTTAGTTAATCCAAGCGATCGGGAAGGTACGTTCAATTCTCTTTAAAATCCATATACATGTTTTCCATTTGGAAAACATGATGTTAAACTCTTTTAAAACTGGGATACTCCAAAGGAAAAATCCATCGAATCATGGAACTGACGTTTTTCTCAAAGCACTTAAAATTTTTAAATTCATTACTATTCTTCTTTCCTTGAACAGGCAACAATAGTTGTTTATGAAATTCAAGTAGAAAATAGGAAAGAGTTAAATAACTAGTTGACTATATTACTATCAAACTATGCAGGCCAAGCCGTCCGCTTTCCACTTCATGCCCCTAAAAAACTTTAGGTCTGCCCGTCTGCCCCCTCCTCTGTTCAAAATTTTGAATGGTGGAAGCCTGGAAGGTCACTTCACTGGATGGAAATACGGTAACTAATGCCGTATACGTCATTCACCGCCATAACAACAGCGCCATTTTTAAAGTCCTCGAAGCAGCTAAAAGATTTTCTTTCGTTAACTTAATATTTTACCATTAAACCTTGATTAAAGATGTAGTTTGTGCAATGGAAAGATCTCTTTTTGAGCTCGATGAAAGATTCAAGTCACATGTAGGTTGAGATATTGTTAAATTTAGGTACAAAAAATACTAAATTTCAATTCTCTTTTCTAGACCATATTTCATTCTAAGTTCTCCGAACTTACAGCTTCTACAAACACGTTCAACACATGGGGAGAAAAAGGTAAACGTTTGTCATAAAACTAAGGAAATGGCAAGCATATTTGTAATTTGACAACGCACGCTTTTAACAATGCAGAGTTGAATGAAGTAGAAGCTCAAGTAGAGAGTGATACACGATCATTAACACCCATCAATGCAAGTTTGATGTTTTATAATAATTTTGAAGTCTTGAAATTGTTTATTCAGTAACTTTACCTAGAATTTCCATTTAAGAAAGACCATATCGTTTGTCAGGAATCCATTAAATGCTCGAACACGTCTGTCAACGAACTTTGTCGTATATTACGGAAGAGAATCAAATTTAAGTCGCAGCCTTTGGATGTTTTGACGCCCAGTCAACAGCAGGCTTTAGTGAGTTTGGTGAAATTTCCTTAAAACATTTTGTTGATGGTAATACAAGTATGAAAATATTAGTTTTATGTTAACGATTTTCAGTTAGATGTCATTTTGTCAGAGTTCAGCAGTGCATGCTCCGAAGTTGCTCATCTTCCTTTCGATCCATTTCTTGTGAGTACTTATGTATTATTTGTGTTTGTATAAGAAATGAGTATTTTATGAACTTTTTAAATTCAACTCCTATATCATCCTGCTTTTGAAATTTCATGATTACGTTGTGGTTTTTGGTTTAGTCTGATGATGAAAACAGGGAAATCATCAGGTGACAATTATAACGAGCCTCTTCTGTTTTATTTTTAATATAATTTTATTCATTCCTGTTCCGACTACTCCCATATGAATACGTTTATTCCTCATTTAGATATTTGGCAATAGAACTTGTCACCATTGCTGAAGAATTATACTTCTGCACTTTGGATAAAGCTAAAGGTAAAGATACCTAAAGTTTGGCAAAATTTTCCATATTTATTCCTTAACTATACATTGATAACATATTGATGAATTAGTTATGTTTCAGAGTTATATGACCGTGGCGTATTCACTAGTTATGCTAATATCACTGACTCAAAACTCAAGTTGCTTTGGAGGCTAACGAAAGGTGATAGTTACACTTTGAATTGAGTAATTGTTTCTACACAAAATTGAACCATGAGTCTATGTTTTGTAGCCTTGATTCGAGGAGGATTCAAAAAAGTTTAACATCATGTTTTAAACAGTCTTTTTCCAAAGGACAAACCAAATTATTGTCTACTGTTGACTCTAATCATACTTCTTATTCACTTCCCAAAAGACATGTTGACACAAAGGTGTTTATGAATAAATCGAGCAAAAGCATTTGTTTTTTCTGAATTTTGTTTATCTTGTACTCAAACTGACTTTTTCTTCTTGATATGGTTAGCAATTTAGGAAGAAAAAGCATAGTATATTGGAAAAACTTGTAGTCCTACCAAGGTTGACACAAGAGCAAAAGGATAGAAAGAAAAGGGAGGTTGATATGGTCCAGGTACTGTTTTGTAAGACTGCCAAAGTCATGTTTGAGTTATGACCTGATGGACTCATGTTCAACGACAACACTGGTGTAAAAACTAACTCTTTACTTCGCTTTAAGCTCCAAACTCAGATGCCCGACATCTCACTGGATAAATTGGAAGAAGCCTTTGGAATATCTCATCGTTATAATTTTGTGAGGAAGGGCAAAGTTCAAGATGGTGGGTGCAACATCGTTCTTAAAAAAATGTTCATCGAAAGTTTGTGATGTTTAAGCAAGTTGATGATATATTGTCCTATCTTTGACATAGAACAGGAAAAGACGTTGGCTGACGCTGAAAGCTGTGATAGCAGCAGGTCAGATGTTTTCATTAATGTCGTATCTCTTTCCTTAAATTATGCATCAGGGAAGGTGATGAAGAAATGTTAATACTCAATAGAATCGATACTTAAGCAAATGGTTTGAACCCGAGAGTATCGTTACATGTTTATAGATGTAGATCATCCAGGTTAGTGGAGTCGGAAGGACTGTTTTGTTGTTGTTGACTGACGTTTAGACAACCTTATATAACCCTTGACTCTGAAGATGACTACCGCTAAGGTTGTCGAAACTTCAGTCAACATCAATATCAACAGTCCTTCACAGGACTATACTAATGTAGACGATCTATGTACATACATGTAAAGAATCAATAAATACTGCTGTCGCCAAATATTGACGTCAATTTAGACTAAACCAACATTTCATGTGTCCATTAGCCAGGAGCGAGTTTCCTACATTCGAAAGACGACGGAATAACACAATTAGGTGTGCATGTCCATTAAGAGTTCGTATAGAGATGAGTTTACTTCGTAAATGAGTAAAAGTTTTTATGTATATATTGTTTAGAAGTGATCATTTTTCATTGAAATAATCGTCTTCGATTTCTGCATTTCCGAAAAATTAACTGCGTAAAATCTATTACGTATATATTGTTTAGAAGTGATCACTTTTTATTGAAATAATCGTCTTGGATTTTTATTTCAGCGAAATTTTTACTGGAATGATCAATCGCGAAGTAAGTGTCATTCTTTGACTTTCATCTTGAAATACAGACGATTCCATTGCAGGTGTCTTACTAACTGACCATCCATGATCTTTTTTCTTCCGACAGAGGCGAAGCCAGTCACTACCAAATCTTCTCGTTGGCGAATCAGTACTAGATGAACTTGGCATTGCGCTGGATGTCGAGTCAGGTTTGATGTTAAAAATGACATGATGTTTGATGAGAAGAAGTTTTAGCGACATGTTCATGGAATTTATGTTGTAGATTTAAAACGTTGCGACAGTATCGACAAACTCGAGGTTTGATCACTCACGTTTCTCGTTTTTATTATATTTAACGACGCCCATGCTCTAAGAGATCACTCACAGTTAACGAGTGTCGTAAAAGTCACGCTGTTCCTAATCAATGACGAAATCATATCTCCATCAACAACAAGATTTTTGCTAAGATATTTTCAGTTAAACAATGTGATGCTGTAATAAAAATGCCGTCTATGAGTGTTTATGAGGTGATTTGAACATTGGCGTGCGGGAACTATCATTTCTTGGGGGGGGGAGGGGGAAGTAAATATTTTCCCCAACTCACCAAGAAGGTTCCGCCGAGTTTTCGCCCGACTAACGTTATAAATCTACCCAACACTTCAATGTTGAAACTTCTCCCCCCCCCCTCATCCCGTACGCCTATGATTTTGAAGCCCCTCACAATTAGCGTTAGTACGAGTTATATTTTACAATATGGGCTTAAGAGATCATTTTGGGTGAAGTGTGGCTCACAGAGGGAACTTTCGAAAAGTTGTTTTACTCATTGGAAAATTTTCAATCAACTTTTAATGTTAGATAATCTATAAACAACATATTGTTGTGTCATTTCTAAGGCAAAAATTCCCGAAATCGGATAAGCTTATGATAAAACAATCCATTAATCATGAAGGATATGTTCCTCTGACCCAGGCTTTTTACATTGATTTAGAACGCGCGACATTTTACTTTAGAATCAACGCGTTATATCTAAGAACGTTTGAAAGTTAACTGTGTCTAAGTTTCTAACCTTTTACAATCAATCCAAATAGCCGAAAACATTTTCTTGTAGTTTCACAAACACTTTTATGAATATTTAAATATTTTTAAAACATCGAACAAAGTGTACGTTTATACAATCCTTTATGAACTTTAGATTAACCTTGCTGTAAATGGTTGCTCAACTCGTTCATCAAACATTAGAAAAACTCATCATACAGAAAGGTAATTCCTTTCGTTGAGAACTGTTCATGTTCGCGAGTCGCGTGATCGTTTTATCTGTTTTGTTTTGCCAACAGTGGTCAGATGTTGTGTTTATCTGAAGATTTGAAGAAATTGGTGTCGAGTGAAAGTTTTACGAATAAAGTAAATATTTGTTGCCTGGAGATCGTTAACTTTTTTCCACTTCAATGTGTTTTTTTTATTTTTCCAGAATTTAACACCGGAGGAGTATGATCTTCCACCATTGTTTCAGGTATTTTTTTATATAAATGACAAATTGAATTTAATTCGTTCGAGAAGAAACTTTTATCATAAAACTTTTAAGGCGATGAGCCATCAGAGTGTTAAACGAAAACATAAGAAACCATTACCTACGAAGAATGAAAGCATGGACAGAAAGATGTTTTGTACTGTTGAGTCATCGCAAGCTTCCATTCAAGAACACGACGTTCAAAGAAACTTTTGGTAAGTTGATTTATTTGGTCAATACTTCATTTCTCTTTATATATTGTGTACTTCATTTAATATAATACTTAAGAAATAAAAGATGTTTACTGTGTTTGCACGGGCTTTTGCGTGCAAACCGAGGAGACCTTTGGGAGAACTCGAGAGCTGATCAGTGCAAGCCCGAGACCAAAGGTCGAGAGTTCTCACAAACGTCTCCGAGGTTTGCATAAGCTTTTGGAAACACGAAAAACATCTTTTATTTCTTTTATAAAATAGCAATAATGCGTATCAAATAAATTTAAAACAGATATTTTAATTTTTCCTCACTATTGATTTGGAAATTTGCTTTGATTGATTTGATTGAATGAGCTCAGATCGGTTATTGCAAACTATTGCAAACTCAGCAACATGACCAATCAGTGCACGCGGCACAGTCTATTGCAAACTCAGCAACATGACCAATCAGTGCACGCGGCACAGGCTATTGCAAACTCAGCAACATGACCAATCAGTGCACGCGGCACAGGCTATTGCAAACTCAGCAACATGACCAATCAGTGCACGCACAGACTATTGCAAACTCAGCAACATGACCAATCAGTGCACGCGGCACAGGCTCTAACAAACTCAGCAACATGACCAATCAGTGCACGTGGCACAGGCTTTGCAAACTCAGCAACATGACCAATCAGTGCACCTGGCACAGGCTCTAGCAAACTCAGCAACATGACCAATCAGTGCACGTGGAACAGTCTATTGCAAACTCAGTAATATGACCAATCAGTGCACGCGTTTTATAGTTGTCGTTTTATATATAATACATAACATACATAGTCTTAGTACTGAACAAAGGAAAACTGTTTTGTGAACGGTTTTTTTCATGTTATTTAGCAGCCAACTCCTCCCATACAACCTGATACTGTATCAACAAAGCTTCCTAACGAGGTAAATAATTCAAAGAAAGCTTCCTAACGAGGTAAATAATTCAAAGAAAGCTTCCTAACGAGGTAAATTATTCAAAGAAAGCTTCCTAACGAGGTAAATTAATTCAAAGAAAGCTTCCTAACGAGGTAAATAAATCAAAGACACATCATTCAAAAGATGGTTATAGAACGAGACGATTTAACGCCTTCAACTTTATAGATTAATCACTTAATTCAATTGATCGAACAGCAATCGATCAATCAATTTATCGATTAGCTATATCGATATATCATTACTATCATTAGCTGTTAGTCACTATTTCTCTTCACGTGCCTAACATCGTCAACATTTTGTTTTTCAGAGTATTGTTCGGTTGTCGGACGTACGAGTGTCTAATCGTGTGAACAAATGTGATTTGACTTTAAACACTTATCCAACTGTGTATAACGATCTTATTGGAGAGGTCAGTGTTTCTTCATTTGTTTCTTGATCTAACATCAACATCAGCTGGCAATTCTTTCATTTTCAACAAAGATTGATCCTGCCACAGTGAGGTGGCTCGACAGGAATCTTTATATTGGTGAAGAAATACGCGAAGTTTATGAAGAAATCAATAAAACAGTACGAAAGCCTCATCTACGATTTGATCAGGTTAATCGTTCGTTCGCTTCTTTATTATTCCAAAGCTCTCAAACGGTGTTTTCTTGTGAAATCTTAAGCATTTTATAATCAAATGTATATGTTTGTAAGTGCATTGTGTGCATATAGAGTATCGTAGCGTGTTTGTAGACGTCGATGGTGTTGGTGTGTTGGTTTTGACTGACGTTTCGACATCCTTAGCGATAGTCATCTTTCTAAACGTCAGTCAACACCATTCAACTAAAATACATGGAACGCTACCTGTAATAGAAAAGTCTAATAATTTTTTGAAGCCAATTCTTACACCCAGCCACGCGAGACTACACTCAGACAGGCGTGTGTAGTTTAATCAATTTTCACCCCGTTGAGAATCTCGAAACACTAAACACGCGTGTCTGGGTGTAAGATTTGGCTTCAATTATTTGCTTCAGGTAGCGTTCCATGTATTTTAGTTCAACAACAGTCCTCGCGACTGTACTAACCTGGGCGATCTTCATCTATACAAACATGTTCAAGTATGAATCAGTTTATTAAGGTTTGAATGTGTAATCATTCGCATTCACTAAGACGACGAGTCGTTTCAGTCGTACCAAAATTTCACAGCCGACCCATAGAACTGTATGAATACATTTCAAAGGCGACCGGGATGACTTTAATGACTCATACGACTGAAACAACAAGGTCGCCTGATAGAACTTTGCTCTGTCCGGACTACCGAAACGACCGTTGAGAAATGCAAGCGACCTTTTTATGGCGCAAAATGATTTTAAGAAGCAAATAACTAGCCAAAAAATTTGTCTTTAATATCAGCAGCTGCTATTTTTAAATGTTTCGCGAATAAATTAACTAAGCAGTCTCTTGGCAGCGCTAGTATGAATATATGAGAATTCCATAGCTTGATATGTAGTATAAAGCAATTTCATTCACAGTCATTCTGTCTGAGGAAGACTTTGAAATAAAGTCGAAAATTTACAGTTCACTTCTCGTCTTGTTTTGATGCATATTTTGCAATCTCAAGATGTTTTGTTTTTTCGGAATTTGTTTTATACTATATTTCTTTAAATTGTCGGCTGGTCATGTTTTTCCATAGCTTGAGTCGTCCCAGGCGTTTTGACAAACAATGAAACAAGTCGAAACGACTCCGATGACTCAAGCGACTTAATGAGAACCTGGCATAAATATTTTCCTCAGAAAGTTATTACCATACGACAGCTCCATATCTCATCAAGGTGTTGATGTTCAACTTTCAATTATTCCAGGATAAGCTTGTTGAGGGTCATGCTACTGGAGTGACCTACTCCAGTACGTCACAATCTTCAGCATTGATAGCAGGCAGTAAGGATAATCATGTGATCAATCCCTCGTTGTACCGTGATATCCCCCCACCTTGGGGTAATTTAAATGTTGAGGAATGGAAAAACAGGTATCGGAAATTTTTTCATAACTTCCATCGTCTTTATCTTCCCCATTATCACCTTAGTTGATAATAAACATATGTTATACTTCATTTAGTCCGATGTTTGGTGGACTGGGTCGTCAGGACCTTTTGAATGTACGTATTTTTCTTACCATGCTCAAAGATTTATGTTTACAGAATAACTGGACAGAAAATGTTGACTTTTACTTGTTTTTTTTAATATCTTAAACATGTCAACTACACCGAGTTTTTCTCGTACTAGATGGGTTGCAAGCCAGCACCTGATTTTCCTAGTAAGACCAGTAAATTATTCAACTCTTGGCTGGCCTGGTGGAGATCCACTCTTACGACCGAAGATTACTTCAAGTATATAACAACTCAGGTAGCAAGTTTGTATCACAGTATAGGAATATACAGTAGGTCCACTTCGCTGTGCAACTGTCTGCTGTATATTGAATTAGTTTACTGGATGCCGCTCACCATATCGTCAATCCTATTGGTCACACAATGCAATTTACTGGCTTCCACTAAGTTAGTCACGTGCGTAATAAGATATGCGTGGCACGAAAAATTTCAATGGAGTGGCCTTACTGTATGTTTTCTACACTGTGTTTGTGCTTAGTAATCGTTTTATATTCTTAATCTACTCACGTGGAGAAAGGCGGGTCTAACATTGCTTGACAAACCCCGTCTAAATCACATAGATTTGTGAATCTGATTCCTTGTAAGATTTGCTGTACTTTTTTGACAATTTCTTGATGTTGTGATTGCTAGGAAAACGACTACTTATCGTTGGTCTATCATCTTTATGACTTTGACAGCGACGATGCAATTGATGGCGACAGAGATCGTACATTGAACGCCAAAGAACTTGAATTGAAAAGGTGAGTAACTGCATGCTTTATGACGGTACATCTTGCTACTCTCGGTGTATCTTTTGATATAGATTGATATATTTTAATTTCATTGATTAATATGCATTGTCATATATTGACATGGATTGATATGGATTTATGGTGATTGATATGGATTGGTTAGATTGAAATATATTGATATGGATTGATATATACTTTAAAAATATGGATTGATATGAATTAACGTGAATTGATATAGACTAACATGGATTGATATAGGTTGAGAGACGAAAAAATAGCGGAGATGAGAAAGCTCAAGGAGAAGTATGAAGTCGGTTTTTGGAACGCCAACAGTGTTATGCTGGGAGGTCTTGGAAAGTATCCTTATATATCTGGTGAGTCTTTTGTTTGGAGTTCATAAGTGAGACACCCTCCCTTCCCTCCCAGCCAACAGTGTTATGTTGGGAGGTCTTGGAAAGTATCCTTATATATCTGGTGCGTCTTTGGTTTGGAGTTCATAATTGAGACACCCTCTCCCCCTTCCAACTCCAAAGAAAAAGAAATTCAAATGTAGATTCAGTCGCCAATCAATTGGTTGTCACTTTGCAAGAATTGCAGTTATAGCGTAGTGTTGCCATTCAGTTTGTTGAAATAAAGCTTATCACCCCTTCCTGGAGACCCACAACCTTTTTCTGGTCATGCTTTAGTGAAATATAAATATTTATTATTTTCTGAAAACTATCGTTCTTTTTTCTTTTGTTGAACCTCGTTTAATGATTGTTCTTCTTTTTGTATGTGCAAAAATAATTTTCTATAAAACTTTAGATGAAGAGCTTGGTTTCAATGTTGAAGTTCGTGAAGATAGTTTACCAACGCGAATTGGAGATCACAGTTTGACTCCTTCAAGTTGTTCTTCAATGCACAACAAGGTTAAGCTTCTTGTTTAGGCTCTTTAAGCTCCGTTTACACTATTCACATGATTTACTGCTAAAGGCATTTTCGTTCGTTGTCAAGGGAGCAATAACCGATAGCAAGCTTTAACGTGGGTCCATTTGGTGTTTTCAGGTTGAAAATCAATTGAGTTTACAAGATCGTCTTGAAAAAGTTTGGAGCTCATTGTGCATGCCAGAAAGTCTAAGACTGGACATGGCCATTAAATACAGTTCGGAAAAGTATTGTGATCTGCTAGAAGAGGTAAGATGTATGAAGTATTGATTAAATGTACAGTCACATCCATGTTCAAACTCCAAACTGAATTTCCAAAGAAGAATATCTTGCCAATGGAACTGCTTTTGGGTTTTTTTGAATTGTACATACATGTAAAAATGATTAGTTTATTTTGACTTCTCTTAAAGCTGCTAGCGCTGTACAACTCACTTTTTTCAAGCGCATATTCATCAGGGAAGTCAAAAGTAAATATCTTGTCACCATAACCTTTAGAAATTGACAATGTCACAACAGCACCTTTTGCCGAAGTTCTAATACATACAAGGCCTTTTTTATAACAAAGAAACAAAATATCCGTTATGTAGAGTAATCCGACAGTAGATTGATGATTTAGGTTATACAATATTGGGAAAATGCTGTGAAATTGATTTTGTCACGCGAGAAGCTGATCGCGAAACTTGAAAATTTTGAGCGTCTCGCATCGGATCCTAATCGATTCTTTGAAAGAGGTACACAACACATTACACGTATCAGTAAAAAGATATAGAAAAGATATAGAGGGATACACGAGGTATACTATGGATGTTTAAGGTAATCGTTGTTTATAATCGTTGTTTCCTTTTCAAGGTAAAGCTGGCTCTCCGCATTTAAGAATGAAAGAAGCCAAATCAAGGAAGTATTTACACGAGGTATGATATAAAGTTTGTGGATTGTGTCTCGTACATCTTTAATATTTAACAATAATACATTTTTTGCCCTTTAGAAACTTGACAGCATCGACGTGCGAATTAAGAGAATCTTGAAGATTGTTCATGCATTTAGTGGCGATGTGATAACATTTCAGGTAAAGAAAGGCCAACGTCTTCTGTTGCACATTTGCACTTCTGTCAGAAATTACTTCATAACTTCTACACGAAATGCTTCAATTATATCTGTTTGAACCATTTTTTCTGTCGCAGGGTCGTTCATATTCGGAGAAAATATCAAATGATCGTACGGAAATGTTGTATTGGCTACAGCAAGAACGTCGCCATGCTGCATTGGAAATCGCGAAAAAGAGCATGGAACTGAAAATACTCGATGGTTCCACTTCACGTCCACCGTCAACTTCAGTTGCTGAAAGCTTGTATTGACTGGTAAGAAATGCAACGAAATTAAATCATGAATGTCACATTTGTACGCCTCAATCAGGGCCGTAATGAACTCGTTGTTCTTTGGGTGGGTAAGAGCGGTGGTCTTGGTTTGGGCGCAGCTACTGAAAATGTATTGAAATTTCGTGAAAATTTACCGATAGATTTACTGATAAGGGGTCTGGCACCCCCTGACCCCCCCCCCTTATTCACGACTAAAATATGATGTTAGAAACAAACAAGTTCACAATGGATGTTTGTTTCCATAAATCACTTGCATTTTTGTTAAATCATAAAGGAAAGAGAGAAAGCTATAACCGGCTTAACTCTCAAACACAATGATTACCATATTTTTATTTACTACCGCTTCACAACTAGACCAAGGAGTCATTATCTCCTTTACAGGTAGAAGAAAAAAAACGCGAATGACTAATATGTTTGGAAGAACTTGACCAACTTAAAATAATCCCTCTGTATCATATTGTAATATCCATCTCCGGCATGTTCGTTTTATAAACGATTAAAAAATGAAGCAATTTTTTGTGGTATGGGAGAAAAGTTCCAACACAATGATCACACTTACCCATTTATGTAATATGCACGACTATATTATACCATCATACTGTGCCCATCTAGAAACATCAAATTACCATTCCCCTTAGCTGTCGGCAAAAAGAGTACAAAATTCCGTCGTTTATAATTGATGTTATTTGAATAATCTTAACTATTCACAAATACGTCATTATTTGTTGAATAATACGAAATGTTCAGTATAAATAGTATCTTTTGTTTGATTGGCTTACGAGATAAGCCGAACGTTCTGATTGGTTAGTGATGACGTTTTTTCTATTTCGAGGTATATTGCACCACAATGTTGCAATGTCGCGTCTACAAAAGAAACTCGTAATAATTTCTGACATTACCTCATTTTAAAATAAAGCATTGCAGGGTGAACTTCAAACTAGTGGAGTTCCCTAATTTGTCGGCCATTGACTGTTTGCTGGCGAGCAGCCTTTTACAGAAACTCTCCCGCGTGTATAGCACACGTTGAAAACGGCCTTTAATCCCATACATAACATTGATAAAAATCCAAAAAAATGTCAGCGTTTAAATTGTCTGGAATTGTTGGTCGACGAATTAAGTTATGGTCTCGAAATGTATCGAGAAAAAATTCCATACGAAAAAGAAATACAATCGAGCAAAGTAATGGGTACTCTTGGAAAAAACGAACACAAGATGTTCGGATACTCAAGTCTGAGGGAAGAAAATTTGGAGAAGTCATTTGTGGACATGGACAGTTTGTTCGACGTCAATTTTTCATTTGATTATTATAACGAAGGTAAGATAGAGTTTAATGTTGTGTTAGTGGAGATTTTTTGATTAGATTGTATGTCAATGTGTTGCGATAGTTTTATTGTAAAAACTAATTGATCGTACAAAAGTTCGAGTGTTGCATTCTAAGAAAGCAAATGATATTCTTTTGATAAATTGGAATTCCTTTTTATGATTCTTATGTTGCTATCAATTTAGATACTTAACATTTTTGATGTATTACCTAGATTCTGTATCAAGGAAACAATGGAGTGAAGCAACGTTCTTAACTTTGGCCCAAGCGATGCAAGATGGCGTAAGTGAAAGCTTCACTGCACAAGAGGTTTTGGAAGAGACAATTTTCTCACCTTCTATCTCAAATGATAAGAACTTCTTTCATGGAATAGAAGATTGTGGTAATTTCTCTCCAGAGGCTTTCATAAACATTCATCAAATGCATCTTGACACAAGTATACTTAACACACATACTACCACTGATACTATAATACCACCTGACACTACATTAGATAGTACATTATCTCCTGATACTATTGCTGATACTACAATACCACCTGACACTACCATTGATACTACAATATCTCCTGATACTACCATTGATGCTACATTATCTCCAGATGGACATAATATTCTCATCAACTTCAATAATGCACAGGAATATCTAAGTTTACCACTCCAAGATAACCTAAACATTGCCAATGCTATCATTGATGAAGATACCACAGCAGTTGTCCCTAATGTAATCCCTGAATCACCCGCACCTATCCCCAACAGTCCTGTTGATTCTACTGATATTGGGGATTATTCAAATACATTTGAATTTGAATCTACTTCTGCCATCATCAAATTCCTTGAAACATCTTCAGAAACAAAATACCAGAGTAAGAAAAGGCAAGTGTTAGATAATGTTGACACATTACCGCCAAAGAAACAAAAGCTTCTTCATAAAGTTTGTGCCAATGAAGTGGAAGACAAGGTCGTGAAACGACGAGTGAAAAACAATGCTGCATCCCGGAGATGTCGGGCATCTAGAAAATCTTGTCATGAAGCACTTTTCAAGAAGGAAAAAGAGCTTATCAGTCAAAATATGGAGCTAAAAACACAAGTGGAAACACTCTCTGCTGCTGTTGATTTTCTACGTCAGCATCTTGTCAGCAAACTGAGTGGAAAATCCTGCTAATTACCCATCATTATTATTCATAATTGCACAAAATCATAATGTATATATCAATTCAATTCATTTGTGTGTTTATTTATGTTCATAAGATTAATCAATCCAATAAAGGAAAAAAAATACTTATAATTCTTTACATGGTGCATTGTATTCTTTCAACTGCCCGTTTGCTAAAAAATGTGGTGGAAAATTGAACAAGCCTTACAATGATACCCTTTAAAACATATAAAAAGAAATATACATTCTTTCTTCAGTTTAAAATATCGATTCCCATGTGATGTCATTTGATAGGAAGATAAAAAATTCCCACAAAAATGTTTGATTGATTGATACATCTTTATCCTGATGACAAAGATATGCAACTGATGAGAAATTGATCAAAGCTGTTTCATCTCTTCTAACTGCCCATTTTCTTTTTGGCTCTTTTTATCATCTTTTTTGTATTCCACTTGTCATGGCTCAACATCCAATGACCATTGTACACGAACAAAATAGTCATTCTGTCTGAGTAATGCAAATCTGGCAGTAACTATGTTGAAAGAAGGAAATCATCTAAGTATTTGATGAATTATGGTAAGGCTGTGCTAACTCTGGTTTTTCAGCTCCGGCCTTTTGTCAAATCTCAACTCCGGCTTCAAACTCCGGTCAATTTTATAACTCGAATCACTGGTCGTGGCTAGTTAATTTTGCAAGTCACTGTTCAACAGTTTAAGGTATATTATTAGTAAAATTTTTATATGTAAAGTTAAATTTCCGCACTCCGACTTTCAATCATAAATTAGCATGTGTGAAGCAATCTCGCGTCATGTCGTGTTATGCATAAAATGTTTTATTTTCATGCATGTTTTTCAATTTTAGCCGATAGTTATCGTACGTTGATAAAAAATGTTTTGATCAGACACATGCACGAAAGTTTGACGGTATTTTGCAGCACAAACGACTGCTGCCGGAGTTTTTCCGGAGATGAACAAACTTCGGCTCCGACAGGCAAAAATAACTCCGGTGCCCAGCACAAAATTAGGGGATTAAAAAGGTTCATCTACCTTTGGTGACATTAAGAAGTGTTGTGGTGTGTTTGGTCTTGTCGACGTTTCCACCATCAATTCAAAAACCTTCCTTTCGTTGATGGGATCCATTCCCTACAGATATATACAATGTAAGTACCAGAGGAAGATGGCAGCAGAGGGATTGCAACCTAAAATGGGTAAACTTGGCCACACTCGTTTATGGGGATGATCAAAGTTGCAAAACAAGATGAACAAGGTATCTCCTCCAAATAATGAAAAATAACATTAACAAATGGCCAAGTAATCTTCAATCTCAACTCCTATTGCTCATATTTTGAAACTTCATTGGCATTTGGCAAACCTGATTTATTTCATCGACAACTCTGAAAGGACATTGAGTCAACTCTTGAAGGGACATCATGTATAAAATTGTTGAAACGCTCTTTTCTCCACCACTCTGATGGAACTGTGTAAGAACATGAAGACTGTCTTTTGAGCGAAACTTTACTTTTATTTGCACTCCGTACTTCTCGTAGTTTGCTTCACCCTATTAAAAGGAAATATCGTCAGTAAAAATGCAAAAACTCAATGAAAAAGGTTTCGTAATTTCCATTAATACAAATTGCCACGAATAAATTGTTTTTCGCTTCAATTTTCTTCCCATACGGACTAGAAGGATTTTATAAACAAAAGTTTGGCCATCGTCGGTTTCTTCGCATAAAAGGTTTTTCTCGCAATAGAAGTCTACACTATACAAAACGAGGTTAAGAAATGATAGATCGTCATTAATTATTAACATACATCTTCAGCAGCCAAAGAAACTTCGCCGGCACATTGGAGCTTGCGAAAAAATCCCGAGTATTTTTCGTTAATTTTTGCGAGCAGTTCCTTAAGGGGTTTTAACCAACTACATGAATAAAAACAAGTAATTCAAGTTTCAACCAAACTACATCGTACACACAGAAACAATAGTCAACCGTATAAACAGTGAAATGGAAATTCCTCCGCCCCCCCCTTCTCGTAAGCTTACCTTTCTTTCAACGTCTCAAGTTGGGTGTCTTTATTTTGGATTTCATGAGAATTATTCGCAATCTGCAGTTACGATATAAATTGGCGTTGATATGTTACGTATTGTCACCAAAATAATTCATAATAAAAGACTTCTACACGGCTGCAACATACAATTTGAGTTAACTCCTCAATCTCTTTTTTTCTTCTCTCGTACTCCTCAATCACCTACGTAAGAAAAAGATCGATTAATAAACCAACATTGCACAACTTATCTTCGTTTAGAGTTTACTACTTTAAGACTACTATTTGAAAATCTCTATGTCATTGGAGTCTACAACTTTAAGACAACCATCTGGTAATCTTGCTTTGTTTAGAAATCTACTACTTTAAGACTACCATCTGAAAATCTCTATTTCATTGGAGTCTACAACTTTAAGACAACCATCTGGTAATCTTTCTTTGTTTAGAAATCTACTACTTTAAGACTACTATCTGAAAATCTCTATGTCATTGGAGTCAACAACTTTAAGAATACCATTTGACAATCTCTATGTCATTGGGGTATACAACTTTAAGACTACCATCTGGCAATATCTTATTCAGTGGAGTCTACTACTTAAAGTCCACCATCTGACAATCTCTCTTTGCTAAGAGTCGTCTACAACTTTAAGACTACCATCTGGCAATATCTTATTCATTGGAGTCTACTACTTAAAGTCCACCATCTAACAATCTCTCTTTGCTAAGAGTCGTCTACAACTTTAAGACTATCCTCCCGCGATCTTTCCTTGAAATTTTTATAGTTTCCATACTTGAGGATTTGTCTGATAGTTACAATCTGCCTTCGCTTTCTCACTGTGGATCATTTCTTCAATCTCTTGCACGGTGTCTGGATAAACGCTGAACATCTACAACAAGTTATGATGGAATAACACGATGAGGTTGTCAATTTGTCACTAAGATTATGAAATTTTATCATGGGTTTCTTTCTGTCAATTCAACTCACTTTCTTGTAGTCATCGGATAGCTCACTTCCCTCTGCTGTATCCGTAGCTTTCTTAGCTACCCTGAGTTGTTGCTTGGCCTGCTTTCGAATTCCGTCCACTTCAGCTTGGATTGCTTGAAACTCGTTCTAAACACAATCAAACAGTTTAAATACTAAATAGAAGAAGAGAGAGAGAGAAATTAATAAATGCAGGGTTACTTCTATGTATATATCATTTACCTCCAAGTTAACCTATCATTCCCTAGCCTGACTCATAGAAACAAAGAGAGAGGTACATGAAAGTCTACTTCCGTTGATCATTTACCTTCAAGTTAACCTATCATTTCCTAGTCTGACTCATAGAAACAAAGAGAGTACATGAAAGTCTACTTCCGTTGATCATTTACCTCCAAGTTAACCTATCATTTCCTAGTCTGACTCATAGAAACAAAGAGAGAAGTACATGAAAGTCTACTTCCTTTGATCATTTACCTCCAAGTTAACCTATCATTCCCTAGCCTGACTCATAGAAACAAAGAGAGAGGTACATGAAAGTCTACTTCCGTTGATCATTTACCTTCAAGTTAACCTATCATTTCCTAGTCTGACTCATAGAAACAAAGAGAGAGGTACATGAAAGTCTACTTTCGTTGATCATTTACCTTCAAGTTAACCTATCATTTCCTAGTCTGACTCATAGAAACAAAGAGAGAAGTACATGAAAGTCTACTTCCGTTGATCATTTACCTCAAAGTTAACCTGTCATTTCCTAGCCTGACTCATAGAAACAAAGAGAGAAGTACATGAAAGTCTACTTCCGTTGATTATTTACCTCCAAGTTAACCTATCATTTCCTATCCTGACTCATAGAAACAAAGAGAGAAGTACATGAAAGTCTACTTCCGTTGATTATTTACCTCCAAGTTAACCTATCATTTCCTGACTCATAGAAACAAAGCGAGAAGTACATGAAAGTCTACTTCCGTTGATTATTTACCTCCAAGTTAACCTATCATTTCCTATCCTGACTCATAGAAACAAAGCGAGAGGTACATGAAAGTCTACTTCCTTTGATCATTTACCTCCAAGTTAACCTATCATTCCCTAGCCTGACTCATAGAAACAAAGCGAGAGGTACATGAAAGTCTACTTCCTTTGATCATTTACCTCCAAGTTAACCTATCATTTCCTGACTCATAGAAACAAAGAGAGAAGTACATGAAAGTCTACTTCCGTTGATTATTTACCTCCAAGTTAACTAGTTGTTCACTGGCCTGTCTCATCACATTGACAATATTGGCTTGCTCCATCACAGCTCTCGCCTGCTTCATTCCAATAAGAAGCCTTTCCTTGGACAGTTCCAAACATGTCTAAACATGCGTTGTTTGATAAGAGAAACTTCATGTTAGACGAAAACATAACACACGCTACGAGGTGTCAGAGTAAGAAATGAACGCAGTTGTCAAACCTTTACATCAATTTGCATTTTCTCAACAAACCCAATTCTCTCCTCGTGAATTTTTTTGATCGCCAAATTAATGATCTCTCTCTCTACGTCTATATCTGGCATTTCTGACTTTTTCAACTCAATACTATACGAAATATACATCAATCCCAAATACACTAAACTTGGTTTTCTCAATTTAAATGTGATAAAACAATAATGTGGTTCCCAGTCCTCAAACCTTTTCTCCTTCGTCTCGATTTGATTAATAACCGTTCGATGTCGACTTTGTTTTTTTTGGAGATCTTTCTATACAAAGATGGGAGTAATAAGTAAGTATATTTATATTACAGTTGAAAGCCGTCTTTAATTCTAAGTCAATTATTTATGACGCAGGAAAGTGTCCGAACGACAAGCTCAGAAACATATTTATCTTTCACCTTAGAGCTCACAAAAAGTCGATTGAAAACGTGAATGAATGTTCTCATGGCATGACCGTGTCAACTGCATACGCTGCCCAACATTCATAGGGTAGAGTTGTTGATGCTCAAAGCTCAAGGAAATCTGCCAATATAACTGTTACCTTTTCGTTCCGCAGTTTTTCTAACTTTACATGTTCGTTTTGGTCGGCAGTTATGAGAAGTTTTAAACCTTCCTCCGATTCACGCAGAGTTTTCTCAATTTCCTACCAAAAACCAGCCATAAATACTCAACTAACGCTGGCACTCTCTACGCCACAGCACAACAAACAAAATATAACCTGTTTCTCGAGTTCCAGACGTCTTTTCTGTTCCATATCCACGGAAATACTGAAAATTTTTGCCGGCCTAAGGATGGGAAAGTTTCTAAATGAGCTCTAGCAAAATATTATACACCTAGGAATATAGTTTACAAGCTTTATACGCTGTTCTCATTCATGTACAGTTTCTGATAAAAGGCATCCTACACAACGAAGAGGTTAGTGACGGTTTGGATGAAAAGTTGAAGGCTATCTTCTTTGTACACTAGCTACCATTCTCCCCACTTTCTTCGGTAGTTACTTCATCTGACCCATACTTAGCTATACTTACAACACCTTAGCTATGCTTACACCACCTTAGCTATACTTACATTACCTTAGCTATACTTACATTACCTTAGCTATACTTACATTACCTTAGCTATACTTACATTACCTTAGCTATACTTACACCACCTTAGCTATACTTACACCACCTTAGCTATTACACTTTAGCTATACCACACCTTAGCTATACTTACACCACCTTAGCTATACTTACACCACCTTAGCTATACTTACATTACCTTAGCTATACTTACATTACCTTAGCTATACTTACTTAGCTATGCTTACACTACCTTAGCTATACTTACACTACCTTAGCTATACTTACACCACCTTAGCTATACTTACACTACCAAAGCTAAGCTAAGGTTAAGATTGCGTAGGAAAGCATTACGTGTGCTCCTTTAAAACAACATATTGATACACTTTATGAAGGGTCAGATAAAGTAACTACCCTTTCTTCTTATGAAAGACCGCTGACATAAGTAGAGCTCTTAGTTTGGTTTTACTTTGCTGATTTCGCTCAATCTTACATCAGACAAAGTAGATATATTGAAAGATTAAATACAGTATTTCATTGATAGGAATTAAAAATACAGGATGGAAACTTGTTTTGTACATCATACATCAACAATAACCATCGGATGCACATGCCACCTCATCGTTACTCTTGTATGGTATATAAGTGTTCTGTATAGGAACAGATAACAATCACAAAATCTTATGAAAACAAGCACAGAATTTTTCATAATTTCTCACTTACTTTACAGCGGATGTTAAAGTTGATTTCTCGCGGTCACCATAACGTGACGTTTTTACTGAATACTAATTAACGAAACGGAATCACATATTTAATATCGTGGAGACAAATGCTTTTGAAAATCCATTGGAAACATTTAAAAATGAAAGATAATCGTTACCCTAAGCAATGGCGTGTAGAAATGACATAACCCGGAGTTTCTGATGACCTTTTAAAACAAATTCAACATCGGTTTTATTATCCATTGAATCACTCATTCCATATAATGGTTTTACGATATTTTACAATATAATTCATTTTTTTATCAGTGAAGTCAAAGACGATGGCGGCCATTATTGATAGTATCACACAAACTTTCAGGGGCCCCATGCACGAAGACTGAATAGCGTTATCCATTGGATAGCAAAAATTTTCAAACTTGTAGAAAAGATGTTTATATTTTCCTTACGAAATTTTCGTATTCTTGAAAGCAATATTTTCTTTTAGTGAATGCTCATTTCAAGTATTAAATTTTTCTCTTTCAAGAGGTTTTTCTTAAACGTTCAAAAAGAATTTGCGATCCAGTGAATAGCACCATTCGGTCTTCGAGCGACCGGCTCCAGAACTTTAGAAAATTTATCCTATGCGTTTTGTAAACATCATTGCCCATCATCAATCTTTAAAATAAGTACAGCACGGTATACATTGGCAGCCAAGTCATTGCCCTACCATCCGAACTTAACTTACTAAGGAATATAATGCTTGAAGCACCGAATCGAAAGCTCAATAAAATTATACATAAAAATCCGGAGAAACTTCCATTTTTAGAGATAAACATTCGTGGATTACCAATCTTTAGGCTTATATGTATATCTATGTGAAGTATTGTTACCTCGTCAGCGTGTTTTTCTGTGTGGTCATCCCCCAACGGGATCTCGTGTATTTTACAGTTCTGACACAAATAGCGCATGACCGGATCGGGTGCGGTGAACAATTCGTTCAAATAATGATGAAAACCCCATCGTCTAGATTGTAAAAATATCGATTGAAAAACTTTGCAATTCTAGTAAATGAAACGTTCGTTTGATTTCTACCTGTATACTGACAGATTTCTCAGTCTTATATTTAGTTTATAACATCCCTGATGTGCATGCCTCAAGTGGTATTCTCTGAATAAATATTTTCAAAATCTTGCAAGTCCTTGTAGGACAGTACGGGGTCTGATAGGATCTTACTTAGGAAAAAAAATTTTTTATCAGGATCAGATCTTAACATGGATCCCATTCCAAATAAAGATCAAAGCTCCACAACATTGAGCTAAAGATTGAGTTCAAGATTGAGTTAAAGATTGAGTTAAAGATTGAGCTCAAGATTGAGTTCAAGATTGAGTTCAACTTTTGATCAAATTATCGGATGACATAAGTATTTTTATAAAATAATAATCGTAATATGCTAAGGTTTACAGCGGGGCGTAAAACAGAGATTTTTAGATTGTTTAAAAGATGATTTAAAGCTACGTACCTGATTTGTTCAATGCTTCGATGTGGTTGAAAACTTTCTAAAGGTTCATCAGGTGGGGCGACCGCGTTGACTCGTAATCCTTGTTTATCACGGACCTAAGGAAAGATAAATATTATGGCTACATAGTGTTAAAGCAATTTACTAGCGAGGCAAGGCATGTTTCTTCATACTTCCGAGAGAAATAGTAGCAGATCCTTTCTTGTTTCACAAACAAACGATCGCATGTCGTTGCCCGGTATGACCATCTCCAGAAATTTCGCGTTGTTGATATCCTTCATATTGACCTAAATAAGAAGATTGGGATAAACTTCCCGATCATGCTTTTCCAGTCAAAGGAAGTCTCTAAATTCTTTTTGTATTAAAATGAAGCACGCCATTAATAGAAAACACGAAATTTCAAAAGTAAAGTCTCTATGCACGATGAGTTAGAAAAGCAGAAACTGGTCGATTTCAACCGCTTACCAACAACATGATAGGCTCATGTACACAATTCTCAAATTTCTGTTGGTTTTCTCTGAGCCACATGATAGCGTTATACGTGTCCTTGAAGTGAGACCTTAAGAATTCCAGGCGCTGATTCTTTAAATCTTCCAAACGAGCCAGCCTATCCTTCACACCTATACATTATATACAATGATGGTAAGCTAATTGTGGGACACAGTGATATGATGAGGAACATTAATGGATTCAGCTGATGGTAAGTTGTTTGTAGGACACAGTGATATGATGAGGAGCATTAATGGATTCAACTGATGATAAGATGTTTGTAAGACACCGTGATATGATGAGGAACATTGAAGGATTCAACTGATGATAAGATATTTGTATGACACCGTGATATGATGAGGAACATTAATGGATTCAGCTGATGGTAAGTTGTTTGTAGGACACAGTGATATGATGAGGAGCATTAAGGGATTCAACGGATGATAAGATGTTTGTAGGACACCGTGATATGATGAGGAACATTGAAGGATTCAACTGATTACGACAGAACACTAAGGTTATTAATTCTTCAGTTTAAAACATACAAAATGTTGTAAAAGTTTCTTACTTTAACAAACAGGGTGTCTAAAAAAAGTGCTCATCTTTGAAATCAGCCGCCATTTAGAAGTTGCGTGATTCAGCAATGCAGATTTGTAATGTACAGTAAGCTGAAATATATGTATGTATCATTGCATTCCATTTCGTCTGAGGTTCTTTGGGAATCAATTGCTGCTGAATCATGCAAATTCTAAAAGTCGGCTGATTTCAAAGATGAGCATCAAATACGAAAATCTCAAAACTTTATCTTAACCGTGACTAACTTCGTAGCTGCAGTCCAGCGTTCGTTCTTTCCTCTTTGATGTTATTTGCATCAGTTTGAATTTTGTTTATTTCTAGTTGAAGAGCACGCGCTTCGTTATTGATTTCCAACAATCGAGGCTAGAACATGTGAAAACAAGTTAAATCTATTGCGATTATTACTCAAGACTAGTTGGGACTATTATGGATGTGGTGGGGATCAACTTTCGTTTTGCTTATTTCTAGTTGAAGAGCACCGCTTCATTATTGATCTCCAACAATCGAGGCTAGAACATGTGAAAACAAGGTAAATCTATTGCGATTATTACTCAAGACTAGCAGGGACTATTATGGATGTGGTGGGGATCAACTTTCGGAAAAGGCTACCTTTCTAAACTCAGATTTTTATGTCATGCATCCACATACCAACGCTGACGATGGCTGATTGAGATAACGAGTTCACGTGATCAAAAAATTAAAATGCATTGTCGACAGAGATAAGTGGAAATTACGAAGTCACGAAAAATTTTTATGTCTAATTATCTCTAGAGGAGAAAATAATTTCGTGTGACTGCGATCTCTGATTTGTTTCAAAGACTTGAACGTATGTATACATACCTGAAATGTTTCTGGTGCAGGAAGACCTTCCAGTTCTTCTTTCAAACCTTCAACTATTCCTTCAAGCGATGCAATTCTAATGAAAAGATGTTTGATGTAAATTCTATAGGCTTTTGAGGAATTCTAATGCTTCTGTGCTTCCATGTGTTCACAATCGCTAGGAACGTCAGCATAGAGTACGTGAACATTGCAAATTGTAACTGATCAGACTAGAAAATCAATACCAAATCCTACATAAGTTTTCTTACTTATTTTGAAGATTTTTTTGTTGGTCCACCATTTGTTTGAGTTCGTTTTCCTTGTCTTTGACCTACAGTTTGTGACCATATTTAAACATGACATCTTCGCGATGCATTCGAACGGTTGTAGATTTGGGAAAGCTCAAACCTTATCTAAGGATTCGTCTAATTTATCCTTTTTGTTCTTGAAGTTTTGATGCGCAACTCTACCTCTGTTTCCCTACGAAGAAAATACACGCAAAATCAACTCGCGACTCGTCGATAAAACTTTAGAAAAGAATCTACCGCCAATGTTGATCAAGATCTATCTTTGGAAATTGGAACAAACAAATACAAAGATTACCAAACGCCGCACTTTTTGTCTTAACATGTTTGCAGATGTAGATCGTCAAGGTTAGTGTAGTTCTGAGAAGGACTGTTTTTGTTGTTGTTGACTGACGTCTTGACAACCTTAGCGGTAGTTAGCTTCATTTTTTTGACTCTGAAGATGACTACCGCTAAGGTTGTCGAAACGTCAGTCAACAACAACAAAAACAGTTCTTCTCAGGACTATACCAACCTGGACAATCTACATTTACAAACATGTAACGATAGTCCCGGGTTCAAACCATTTACTTTATAACTGGATTGGTGTAGTTTACATTTCAAACTTCCAAGAGTTGAACTTCTTGCAAATGTTTCTTCGACCGATGTTTTTTCATACAATCTTTGATTATTACTTATAAATAAACACTGTTATTTTACCATTTCTTTGGTGTCTTCGTTACACTGTTGTACTTTTTTCACCGCTTCGTTTTTCTTCTTTTCTAGTGGAGCGTTTTGTTTTCGTGCTGCATCGACATCTTTCTTCAAAGCGTCGCGCGTCTTTTTCTTGTCGACAAACTGAACTCTTAACTCTTCATATTCCTTGGAAATTATCAAGATTTTTCAGTATAGTTTCAAAACTTTACTACGACAAAGTCATATCTCTGTTGTTAAAAACCAATTTACTTACAGCCCAAGGTTTTTTCTTTTGTAGTTGTCTAACTTTTTCCAAGTGTTTCTCTCTCTCCTTATATCTCTTTACTTCGTGTTCTAAACGGCTGTTTTGTTGTTGTAAATTCTCTAAATGTTCTTTTTTCTCACTCAAAGACGCCTTCAATGAATCATTTCAGAGATGACGTGTAAATCACTGTGTAAATTACTGTGTAAATCACTGTGTAAATCACTGGGTAAATTACTGTGTGAATCACTGGGTAAATTACTGTGTAAATCACTGGGTAAATCACTGTGTAAATTACTGTGTAAATCACTGTGTAAATTACTGTGTAGATCACTGGGTAAATCACTGTGTAAATTACTGTGTAAATTACTGTGTAAATCACTGGTAAATCACTGGGTAAATTACTGTGTAAATCACTGTATAAATTACTGTGTAAATCACTGTGTAAATCACTGTCAAAACCTACGCATGTCAAAATTAGGTAGAGATTCCAAGTGCAGGATACAATTACAAGTTTATGATGCATGTTTTAAGTGGGAGATGCAGGCTGTAAGTATGAGGTGCGGGTTATAATTGTGAGATGCAGGTGGTACATGTGAGATGCAGGCTGTAAGTGTGAGATGCAGGTGGTACATGTGACATGCAGACTGTAGTTAAGAGATGCAGGTTATAATTGTGAGATGCAGGCTGTAAGTGTGACATGCAGGCTGTAAATGTGAGATGCAGGTTATGAGTATAAGATGAAAGCCTCCAACCTCCATATCTTTGCCACGCTTTCCTAAAGCTATTAAATCTTGATGATTTTGCCACATGTCAGGCGGACCAATCTAGAAGAAAAGACAACGTAATTTCTGAATAAACATGACAAAATTATGGCCTGAATATTCAAACTCACAGCTTTTTCAGTAGCAACCAACAATTCCTGTGGTGACATTTTGGCAAATTCAACAACCTTTTCCTAAAATGACACACAAGACTATCGGATGAAAGGAGTTTGTTGAAAAATGGTGTGTGAAAATGGCAAGGTGTGTGGTGGATAGAGGGTGTGAGGAACAATAGTGTATGAGAATGACAAGGTGTGTGGATAGAGGTGGAGGTGTGTGGAGATGGGTGGAGGAACAATAGTGTATGGAATGACAAGGTGTGTGGTGGATATGGTATGGAATGGCAATGGTGGTGGATAGAGGGTGGGAACAATGGAAAGAATGGCAAGGTGTGTGGTGGATAGAGGGTGTGGGGAACAATAGTGTATAAGAATGGCAAGGTGTGTGGTGGATAGAGGTGGAAGGTGTATAAGAATGGAATGGTGGTGGAAGAAGGAATGGAAGGTGTGTGATGGAAGGAGGTGGGAACAATGGTGGGATGGAAGATGTGGAAGAAGGAACAAGGTAATTCAGGAAAGATAACTTCAGAATTTCCTTTAAATACTATTCCTCCTCCTAGATGTGATTAGATTCATCTCGAAACCATTTAATGGAAATATAAACTACGTATACTGTAAGCTAACACGATACCTGTGGTAAAAACTGACATAAATTACTGATTTGGATGTTCAACTTGTTCACTAAATCTTGGATCTACAAAGCAACAAATTAAAAATTGAAATGAGTCTCAAGAACACCACAACTTTTTCTAAAAGTTGACTCCCTAACTTACATTCTTTTGAGCAACAAGTTTTCCATTAAGTTGCCATGACGACTTGTTGTCACGGGATATAGTCCTTGTGATGACCAAACTACCATTTCCTTCACAATTTAATCTAAAAATCATATCATACGTATATTTCAAGCAACAAGCAAATTCAGCTCAATAAAAATATTGAAGAGTTTCTTCTCTATTCCATCACTTACAATTCAAGTTCAACCATTGCCTCCCGTTCACCATGTTTGATAAATTCCCCAACCTAGAATGTTTGAAATAATAGAAAATGCGAATCAAACTATGATAATGTAAGCATTTGTTTCTCTACAGGTACTAACATTATCAGCTCGACCCAAGAGCTTTGGAGAACCACCCAATCCAAGACATATAGCGCAAACAAGAGATGACTTGCCACTTCCTGAAGTGAAAATATTTAATATAATCGCGATTATAAAACACATATCTCATATGGTAATGTAAAATGTACCTACCACACTTAACTAACTTTATTAAGCAAACAACCAATTCTAAGGTGTCTAGGCAATATAAATCTTACCATTTGGCCCTAGGATGACATTTAAACTTGGTCCTGGAAAGTATTCACATTCATCGTAAGTCCTAATAAAACAACAACTTGTTTGTTATCATACAAATGTGCTTGAAGTTGGAAAGAAAGTATGTTCAAAGTCTTTAAAATCATGCTGAAGATGCACAATCTTTGAATAAAATGGTGACATGATTTGTCTTTTGTGATCTATCATGATGCAGTTCTTGCATAGATAGATTGTCAAATTTTTACCATTGTGGTGCCATAAATTGCATAAATATGTGGAGATCAAGTGGCAAACAAAATTATTAAATATAAAGCTTTAGCAAACCAGGGTAGAGTCTACACTTTAAATGAAATTGAATGAGATGGTACTGCCCAGGGAATGAACTTAAATCCCAACATTTAAAAACAAAGGACTTCAACTACTTCAAACAATAACTACTTTAATTTAATGGAAGGGGCGATGAAAACTGAAAATTGCCTGTTGAACCAACACCCCTCCTGCACAATCATAGAAACCGTTTAACGAGTTTTTGTATAAAATGATTAATTTGCGACAATGACTTCGAGTGACCATCACAACCTAAAACCATGAAATATTTCTAGAATTCCTTTCAACATAGTCAAACACGTAGCATACAACACATAACTGGCTAAATTAATTCGTTTCTTTGCCCATTCACGGTTCAAAGAATGATTCAAACATTTAAAAACTCCATCTAGCCACGGAACGCGTTTGACGTATATTTTCGATGAAAATTTGCATGCAACTTACAGGAATTTGACTAACTTCATCCGAACAATAGAGCCAGGATAGTAACTTGCATTCTTTCCCATAACATTGTTCAGCACTTGCGGAGTCTTCGTGGTTTTATTTAGCGTTTGTTTTCCCATTCTACGATTCGACAAAACTGCCGCCATATTGTTGATTTAAAAACGCGCGCAAATATTCATCCGAGGAGCTTGGGGAGAAAAAGGACACCGTATTTGACCATAGACAATTTGACATTTCCTTTCACTTGAGACTTGACCACAGAATAGATACATACAGAAGCGCCACTCGATGTCGGAACCTTTGATGTTCGTGTCCCCAGCATCCGGGCAACTTTACACGGCGGCCATGTTTCCAGCCAGATAAATGCAGCCAGATCGCAATATAATATATAGTTCTACGGATGGGTTTTGGCAAATAAACCCAAATATTTCTATAGATTGGCCATTTTTTTAATATTTTTTTGTGTGGATACAGTTAACACATCAAGCTCTCAACAATTTATCATTAATTCGACGTCCGTTTTGATAAATGAGGGTTTATTCGGAATATTTACAAAGTAGATATGTATCTGACGAGATGCGTACTCGGTATATGGTTTGTCGTCAGTTTTAATTTTATCATATAAGAATTCTGCAGAGAATCTTGAAGACATTTGTTCTAACATTTGAAATCTCGGTCGTGGCTGAAACAAGTGACAAATCAAATTATCCTCCAGTTAGTTTATATATTGCAAACAACGTTTGGCAGGACATTCGAATCACCAAAATTGTCTACCCAGGTGTTTTAAACTATCAGAAGCGATGCTGCATGGCCACTATGAAAGTCATCTGATGCCAAAATATTTTGTATTCATCACAGTTGTGACTTGTGAAGCTTGAATGACTTTTGAGCAAGTTGGAACATAAGCAGCATGTTGGCCTCCACCAATAAAGTGCTTGAATAGCAATTTGTAAAACATATACTGCCATATGGTCGACATGACTTAACTTTGTTATTTCTGCCTTTTTAAATTCAATCAGGAGATTATTTATATATTTGACATGGATGCTTATTGATGATGTGAGAAGTGAACATAAAAATGTTTGACATAATGGTAAAGTTGTTAATTTAATTGTAACAATTTATCAATAACTTCATTCTTTAAAAAATTGTAATTTCATATATTGTTAATTAAAAATAAGACAACAAAAAACATCTTTATTTGTAAGTTGATACAAATTTGACAGACATGATAGCCACAGGAACTCAATATACAATTACAAATAAAAACTTTCAATTACAATTATGCAGACAAGCTACATTGCAAATAAAAAGCCCCGATTCAAGAATCAAATATAAATTAGTTTAGTCCAAATTTTATACTAATAACGTCTTCATCTGAAGAACGTTCTTTACGCACAGTAGGTCGTTTTATTGCTTCTATCAAATCCGTTGACCATTCTAATAGGAAACTCTTTACTAGAAAATACAGAAATGGAATCACACTAAATATACTTATTACTTTTGTCCTAAATTATAAATTCTTAGGGCAACTGCCGTTCAATATAAGAGACGTTCTAAACATGGATCTCGCATACAATTCAAGGCAAGAAACTATAAAACCCGTAAAATTATATTTGACGAACGTATTTTACAACAAAAATGGTTTCTCACCTCATATGTTTGGTATCCTATCCGATGGCATTAAAAATTTTGTCCATAAGTGAATTTAAATTCGTCAAATTTTCGAAAAACAACTCTTCATAATATTAATCTATATACATTCTGGCCAGTTTATCTGGCTGGAGTAATGGCGGACGCAAAAGATGCGCACTTAAGAACTGGGTACAAGTAGGGGACAGATTTTTCGCTGAGTGGCGCTTCTGTATGTATCTATTCTGTGACTTGACACTCAACGAGCATGATGAGGGATCATTAATAGCTTTATCGATTTCAGCCTTACAGGAATTTATGACTGACGTCCCTGTTGTGTTTGTATCTCTATGCTGCCAATGTCATCTGTTTTTTAGTACGAACATCTAACGTGTACTCATATTTTTTTTTCAAACGTACAAAAGGAATGTGTTTTGATTACATTCTCTTGCATTCATTGTCTCATTTGTATCCACACTCACTGAATGGCACATTTCTGTTTTTGCCTGTTCTTGGAGCGACTATTCTTATGTCTATTATTTCTTGAATCCTCAAGTGTTATGCTTCAATATCCGCCTATTAAATTATTCCGTGTTTAAAGAATGGGAAAGGTCCAATGTTTTAATATTTTAATTGAATAATATAAGCGAGACTTTAAGTCTATAACCATAAATCCCTATCAACCGAAACCGAATCATCAGGTAATAAATCCTAGTTTGTTCTCAATTCCACATTACAAACATGATAAATCCATAATCCAATTCGTCGATCTTGGTATTAATTAGTATATGGTTGTACATATTTAATCTACAGGAAGCACGAGCTGGTTAATTCTTAATCCATAATCCACTCATTGTGAATGTTGTCAGTTTTCTGTTGTCTTTCGTTTTCTCAGAACTAGCGTCTGAATAAAGTACTTCGTTATATTGTGAAAAACGAAACGATATTTTGATTGCGGTTTTTTTATTTACTTAGTATGCCGTGTACGCTTGTTATGTTCGTGTGATGCAGCAACAGCGGGAAAATGGTAAGGCACGCGTCCATTGTGGAGATTTCTGTATTAATTTGAAAGGCAAATTTTTCACGCCTGGGTATATGTAGATGTGCTTATCAAGGAAGTAGAAAAGAACCATTGTTGTATCGTTGCTCAAAGGTTTTTATATTTTAATGACAATAAATGTCGTATCGTTGTAATCTTCATTGGTACAAAGTATCAAAGTATTACATATATTTATTATTTTTCTAGAAATGGATAAGCAGTTTATGAAAGCCTGCGAGAATGGTAATTTGGACGAAATTCTTACTATATTATATTATCACGACAATGGTCCGGTTAAGCTGCTTCAAACGGATCCAAACACCTTGAATCATATGCATTACTTTCATGCAGTGTGCCTTAATGGTCACTGTGATGTTTTAGAACAATTGTTCAATTTTAATGTTGATGTGAACATGGACTCTCCATATGGTACGCCATTAGCTGTTGCATGTCAAGGTGGCCATTTGAAGACTGTTGAACTTTTAATACAACATGGAGCTGTTGTATTTGATGGTAACTCAAATCTGATGCGAACACCATTTTTTTCCGCTTGCAAGAATGGTCATTTGGATGTTTTGACTTATCTCATTGAAAAAGAACCGAATGCTCTGTTGACTTATGGTCAGCAGCTGTTAGTTGAGGCATGTCGTGAAGGGTTTTTGGATATTGTGGTGATGTTAGTGTCACAGCACATCAACATAGACGGGGAAGATCATTGTCGTTCCCAATCGTCCCAGGCGATCTCCTTTGATATGCTATTGGACACTCCTTTACAAGCAGCATGTTCACAAAATCAGGTTGAAATCATCAGATATTTATTACAAGAAGGAGTTGAAGTGACTGTGAACATTGTCCAGCAATATTATGAAGCTCTTGGTGAGGCATTACAAAGGTAAAATATGGCAGTTTATCTTGCAATTTGTTTTCATATTGATCATTCTTACCATTCATTTCTTCAGGAACTTTAAGGAGCATTTTGGTAAATATCACAGAAAGCAAGAGAAAAACATGAAAGTTTATCAAGCTGAATTTGTCAACGCAATATTTTATGAAATTCACAGCAGTTGGTTCACTGCTTACGGAGAATGTCTGGTTAAACTTGATCTCTCCAAGAACCAACTTGCAAACATTCCCAAAGAAATAATAAACTTACCAGCACTTAAAGAAGTTGATTTTTCGGATAACAATCTTTTTGAACTGCCCGAAGTATACAATCTGGAAGACTCAAGGTAATTGTTTATATTATATTATCTACTGTAGCAGCATCTCGTCCATACTAATAGTTGAATTAAATAATTTCTAGACTAGAGGACATCCGTGCAAGTTCCAACCGTCTTCAAACAGTGCCATTGTCATATTTTCAACTGAGGTTGTTGATTCATCTCAATTTTTCCAGAAATGAGATTGTTTTCCTTTCGGGTGGACATGGCACGGATACATTTGAAATGGATGATTTTTGTCGTGAAGAAGTAACTTGGCATTGTCACTTGTTGAAATCATTGAATCTTATGCACAACAAACTTAAAATCCTCCCCGCTGCCATTTCTGCTTTAACAAGTTTAGAGATGCTTCAGCTGTGTGACAATGAACTTTCTGACTTTCCCATAAGCTGGCCATGCCCATTGGTAAGTCATATCTAGTGGCATAGCCTTTAATCCAGGCTTTTATTTATGCTATGCAAATATTTTGTGATTACTGATGGCGAGAACGATAGATTTCTAAAGAAATGAGTGCTTACATGATTGTTGATGTCGATCATCTGGGTTTGTGGAGTCCTGAGACTGTTGGTTTTAAGTGTTGACTGATGTTTTGACAACATTAGTCATAGTCATCTTCACAGTCAAGTGGCTTGTAGTGTCAGTCAACACCAGCAATCTTTCTCAGGACTTTACTAACCTGGACAATCTACATCTACAAACTTGCAACAATATTTCCTGGTTCGAGCCATTTACTTAAAATGAGTAACAGTCATAATACTTGGCGTGACGAGAGTAAATCTTTGGTATAAGTGAATAATTACATAAATAATACGAAGTTTATACAAAAGTAATATGATACATAAATTATAACAATAATGAGGAAATGAGATAAATTAATGGGGAGCGTCCGAGCTTGTTACAAACTAAATATTGTGTTGAATCTAAAAACTTGAACATTGAGGTCAGGGTTGGTATTGTTAATGTGGAGTGCTTCTTTAATTTTAAGGGAGAATGAGGTGTTGGCAGTGTCGATGATTTTGAAGCAAGAGGGTGAATAGTTGCTTTTACATGAGTGAGATTTAAGAAGGTGTCGGTAGATATGATAGTTTTTGTCTGTTGTGGTATGTTCAAAAAACTCTTCGAGAGTAAATCTGCTGGTTGCCAATGTTAGCATGCTTATTTTGAAATTTATATCATATTTACAAACTGATATTTCTTTAACGTTTTTCTTGTGCGTTTCTTTGGTATTATAAACATTGTTTTTTTTTGTCGTTAATTTTAGCGTATCCTGAACATCGCACAGAATCAATTGACTGATTTTAAGCAGTCCGTCTTTGCGAATTGGTCGCAGACGCTTGTGGATTTGAATCTCAGTGCAAATCAACTCACACATATATCTTGGGATATCTGTCAATTACAGATGCTTCAGATTTTGGATTTGAGTCGCAATTCTATCGAAAATATGCCAGCAAAAGGATTCTGGGCTTGCTCCAATTTACGTAAATTAAATCTTTCAAATAACAAGGTTTGAAACTAATTGTTTTTACGTTTATTTTTTCATAAATAATGTAGAAAAAGCTTGTTTAATTTCACGGCAACAAGACAGGAAAATACGTTTACACTCGGGAAATTTATAAGAATTAAGATAATGCGTTTCAGTGTTGGTAGTGTTGAATGAACAACAGAAAACGAGAACAGTCTTTACACTATCTAAATTAGAGACTAAGATGACCTGTTTCAGTGTAGATAGTGATGAATAAACAACAGAAAACGAGAACAGTCTTTACACTATCTAAAATATAGACTAAGATGACCTGTTTCAGTGTAGGTAGTGATGAATGAACAACAGAGAAAGAGAACAGTCTTTACACTATCTAAAAGATAGACTAAGATGACCTGTTTCAGTGTAGGTAGTGATGAATAAACAACAGAAAACGAGAACAGTCTTTACACTATCTAAAATATAGACTAAGATGACCTGTTTCAGTGTAGGTAGTGATGAATGAACAACAGAGAAAGAGAACAGTCTTTACACTATCTAAAATATAGACTAAGATGACCTGTTTCAGTGTAGGTAGTGTTGAATGAACAACAGAAAACGAGAACAGTCTTTACACTATCTAAAATATAGACTAAGATGACCTGTTTCAGTGTAGGTAGTGATGAATGAACAACAGAGAAAGAGAACAGTCTTTACACTATCTAAAATATAGACTAAGATGACCTGTTTCAGTGTAGGTAGTGTTGAATGAACAACAGAAAACGAGAACAGTCTTTACACTATCTAAAATATAGACTAAGATGACCTGTTTCAGTGTAGGTAGTGATGAATGAACAACAGAGAAAGAGAACAGTCTTTACACTATCTAAAATATAGACTAAGATGACCTGTTTCAGTGTAGGTAGTGTTGAATGAACAACAGAAAACGAGAACAGTCTTTACACTATCTAAAATATTGACTAAGATGACCTGTTTCAGTGTAGGTAGTGATGAATGAACAACAGAGAAAGAGAATAGTCTTTACACTATCTAAAATATAGACTAAGATGACCTGTTTCAGTGTAGGTAGTGTTGAATGAACAACAGAGAAAGAGAACAGTCTTTATACTACCAAAAATATGAACTAAGATAACCTGCGTCAGTGTAGATAGCGATGAATGAACAATAGAAAACGAGAACAGTCTTTACACTATGTAAAATGTAATCTAAGATAACGTGTGTCAGTGTAGGTAGTGATGAATGAACAACAGAGAATGAGAACAGTCTTTACACTATTTAAAATATAAAGTAAGACAACGTGTGTCAATGTAGGTAGGGATGAATGAACAAGAGCGTTTGCCTTGCCTTTTCTCTGTACACAACACCTTTCAATTCTCACAGCTCAAATTCTTTTTCATACATTTCCGTAGCTATGTGGAGTGAAAGTGGAACGCAAGCAAACCATTAGACGCTTCACAATGTCCCGCTCTCCTACGGAGGATGACGTAGAGATTGAAGACGAGTTCCCGTATGAGGTGTTTGGTGGCTCACTGGAGATTTTGGATCTGAGTTATAACAAATTGCTGGCTATCCCTGACTCGTTGTGTAAGCTCACATCACTAGAGGATTTGAATCTTTCATGGTAAGTAAGTCTTCCATTTATTGCCTGCTTTTGTTATTTTTCTTTACCAAATGGTTTGTAGACTGAAATTCAAAAAAAGTATGTTTTGGGGGTTAGTTTAAACAGACAAAACATTATTAAAAAGGCTCAAGCGCAATGTGCAGTCATTACAACTTGATTTTAGATAGCTAACCTTCCTAAGCGCGCTTGCTAATTTCTGCAATTCGATTTTTTACACATTTTATGTATTTAACAAACATCTCTACTTTCTAAGGAATCGTAAATTGAAAACGCTACCAGCAAATTTGGGCAACCTCACCGAGTGTTTCCAACTTGGTTTGGATGGTCTAAATCTCAATGGCATACCCAAATATGTTAGAACAGGTATGTTTGTATTGGGTGTTAGAACAGGTATGTTTGTATTGGCTGTTAGAACAGGTATGTTTGTATTGGGTGTTAGAACAGGTATGTTTGTATTGGCTGTTAGAACAGGTATGTTTGTATTGGCTGTTAGAACAGGTATGTTTGTATTGGGTGTTAGAACAGGTATGTTTGTATTGGCTGTTAGAACAGGTATGTTTGTATTGGCTGTTAGAACAGGTATGTTTGTATTGGCTGTTAGAACAGGTATGTTTGTATTGGCTGTTAGAACAGGTATGTTTTATTGGGTGTTAGAACAGGTATGTTTGTATTGGGTGTTAGAACAGGTATGTTTGTATTGGGTGTTAGAACAGGTATGTTTGTATTGGGTGTTAGAACAGGTATGTTTGTATTGGGTGTTAGAACAGGCATGTTTGTATTGGGTGTTAGAACAGGTATGTTTGTATTGGGTGTTAGAACAGGTATGTTTGTATTGGGTGTTAGAACAGGTATGTTTGTATTGGGTGTTAGAACAGGTATGTTTGTATTGGGTGTTAGAACAGGTATGTTTGTATTGGGTGTTAGAACAGGTATGTTTGTATTGGGTGTTAGAACAGGTATGTTTGTATTGGGTGTTAGAACAGGCATGTTTGTATTGGGTGTTAGAACAGGTATGTTTGTATTGGGTGTTAGAACAGGTATGTTTGTATTGGCTGTTAGAACAGGTATGTTTGTATTGGGTGTTAGAACAGGTATGTTTGTATTGGGTGTTAGAACAGGTATGTTTGTATTGGGTGTTAGAACAGGTATGTTTGTATTGGCTGTTAGAACAGGTATGTTTGTATTGGCTGTTAGAACAGGTATGTTTGTATTGGGTGTTTGAACAGGTATGTTTGTATTGGGTGTTAGAACAGGTATGTTTGTATTGGGTGTTAGAACAGGTATGTTTGTATTGGCTGTTAGAACAGGTATGTTTGTATTGGCTGTTAGAACAGGTATGTTTGTATTGGCTGTTAGAACAGGTATGTTAGACTAGGTATTTGACATTTTATCGTCTAAATCTCACTATTTGTTAAAAAATCATGTCTCGTGGTTAACAATTCTTCAACTGAGGTCTTTGGATTTTTAAAGTCTGGTTTGTGTGTAACATGAAGTATACGAACGATTCCCTTTTGTTTAGGTCAGTACGCATCTTCGAAGAGTATACTAGCTTACTTGAGAGCAAAGCAAAGGAAGTCTGTAGTGTATAACAGAATGAAACTTATGGTCATTGGTCTTCAGGTGATTATGATGGTTTATTAGGGTGACAAGGGTTCATGGTATTATGGAGAACGAATTGGACGGATCATTACTCCTAGATGCTTTGTGAAGATGTTCTCTAACCTGTATTGCATTAAAGTGACTTTCACAGCTACAACAATGCCTGAAACTTCGATGCATGATTTGCGAGTAAAAATTTTCTTGTTTCTAGCGTTCACTTTTCAAAAACCTTCACAGCTACCCTAGTTTTAGTGTTTTATTTGCTCGACTTCCTTCAAAGCTTGATTTGAGACGGAATGTTAGTGTTTCACTTTATCGATCATCACAAACATCTCACTCTGTGTTTATTACTGTTTTACCATTAAAGTAAACGGTTTGAACCTGGGAGTATCGTTACATGTTTGTAAATGTAGATCGTCCAGGTTGGTATAGTCCTGAGAAGGACTGTTTTTGTTGTTGTTGACTGACGTTTCGACAGCCTTAGTGGTAGTCATCTTCAGACTCAAAAAAAAGAAATTTTTCACATTTTTCACACTAATGTTAATGTTGTCAAAACGTCAGTCAACAACAACAACAACAGTCCTTACTAACCTGGACGATATACATCTACAAACATGAAACGATACTCCTGGGTTCAAACCATTTACTTTAATAGTCATTTTCAAAAATGTGAAAACTACAACTACAAACTTATTTAAAGTAAATGGTTTGAACCCAGGAGTATCGTTACATGTTTAGTGTACATTACATCGTCTAGGTTAGTAGAGTCCTGAGAAAGACTGTTGTTGTTGATGTCGACTAACGTTTCGACAACCTTAGCGGTAGTCATCTTCAGTAGTCATCTTTTGACTCAAAAGATGACTACCGCTAAGGTTGTCGAAACGTCAGTCAACATCAACAACAACAGTCCTTCTCAGGACTTTACTAACCTGGACGATCTACATCTGCAAACATGTTTTATCATTATTGTTATGTTTAATTGTCAGGGCCGTGGAAAAACAACATTACTTGCTGCGTTACGTAATAGTAATCGTCTTCCACCTAATATATCTACTGTTGGTATTGTTGTCAACGAATGGAGCTTGAATGGAAGTCAGTCCATTCTCGGTAGAGTTGTGCAGCTTGGCAGACGAGATCAGGTACGTACTATGTACAATAATTTAGTCTAAATATCTCAAAAACAAAACGGAAATACGGTATGGGAAATCTTTGAAAGAAGACACAATGCAGTTTTAAGAGTTTTTTTTGCGATCGAGACGGAAAAATCCCTGTCATAAACACTTCTAAAATGTTGATTATTTTATTTCACGTCATGTTATAGTAGCATGTGATCATTCATTTAATCTAGTCGTCATTTTAATCTAATCTTAGATTAAGATCGCACTCCTTTATTCGCTTACTTTTTCGTGAAAGTATGATTGTAATCTAATCTTAGATTAAGATCCCATTCCTTTAATCGCTTACTTTTTCAGCCATCAATAACTTTCAGTACGTGGGATCTCGCGGGACAACAAATTTACTATTCCACGCATCAATGTTTTCTTTCGTCCAACACACTTTATCTTGCTGTGTGGAATGTTTCTACTGGCGAAGAAGGAATTGAGAAATTAAAACCTTGGTTGCTTAATGTACAGGTCGGTGAAAGATGCTTGCTTTATGTGTGTAAGGATTTACTATTTTAGACTTTAATGATTTTATTTAAAGTGATTTAATATCAGTATGATATATCATACCGAACACTTAGATGTAAATTACTCTCGCTTCTGGAAAACTGGGAAACGTTTCTTTTCGAAAAGTTTGTAATTTTTCTTTGTTCAAAGCAACGACGCAGAAATAAGAATAGACGTGTTACTTGTTACGTCACGATTGCTACGTCACGGTTGCTATGTTACTTGACTTCAACGAAAGCTTTTTCTCGTTTACAATTTCAGTCAAGATGACCAAAATCTCTTTGTCGTTTGTCTGCTTTGGAAAGGCTGCTAGCCAGCTATAGCTTGCTTTGAAACGAAAACTTATCTCTCAGTGTTTAAAGGTTGTTTACTGGTTTGCCAAAGTTATTAAATATCGTTTCAAAATACTCTTTCTACGAGAGTATTTAACGATATGTTATGGCTCTTTGTTTCTTCATACATGACGTGCAACTATCCATGACGTCATTCTTTGTTCTTAGGCACGTGCTCCTGGCTCTCGGGTCATCATCGTGGGCACGCACATCGATCTGTTACCACAATCAGGAAAAGAAAAGCGTCTTAATGATCTTCGCTTGGAAATCATCAAGAGATATGACAAGAAAGGTTATCCTACCGTAAGAGATTGTCTGATGGTGTCCTGTACCACAGGGGAGTATTTGCCTGACCTGCGGCAACGTATCTATCAAGTTGCCTTAGAACTGAAGGAAACAGAATCTCATGGGCCAGGCGATTCGCTGATTGGCCGAAAGGTAAAAATCATAGCTGTAGTGGATAAAAGTCACTATAGAGAAAAAAAATTTCACGTGAAACATATCTTATTGCGCATGTTATTACTATAGTGGCAGCCAGTCTGTTGCATTTTCTAATGAATAGGCATGCTGAGCTTTGAGATCGCAGCCATTAATTTATAGGACCTGGCAGCCAGTCTGTTGCATTTTCCAATGAATAGGCATGCTGAGCTTTGAGATCGCAGCCATTAATTTATAGGACCTGGCAGCCAGTCTATTGCATTTTCCAATGAATAGGCATGCTGAGCTTTGAGATCGCAGCCATTAATTTATAGGACCTGGCAGCCAGTCTGTTGCATTTTCCAATGAATAGGCATGCTGAGCTTTGAGATCGCAGCCATTAATTTATAAGACCTGGCAGCCAGTCTGTTGCATTTTCCAATGAATAGGCATGCTGAGCTTTGAGATCGCAGCCATTAATTTTTAAGACCTGGCAGCCAGTCTGTTGCATTTTCCAATGAAAAGGCATGCTGAGCTTTGAGATCGCAGCCATTAATTTATAGGACCTGGGAGATAGTTGTGAAACTCTCGAGCAGGTGCAACTCACGACCATCAATCTAGTGCTTGCACTGTTCAGCTCTCGAGTTCTTCCAAAGATCTCCTAGGTTTGCATAAGCCTGTCCAAACACAGTAAACATCTTTTATTTCTTAAATAATATTATATAATTAAATAATGATAATATTAGTGTATGACAACGCAGTATAATATATGACATCATGAGTTCTGTTCGCTTGTCGAACATCAAGTATCCAGTTACTGCACGAATTTGAATGAATTCTGTACATGCATATTGTATGTGTGTACATATCATATGTAGATTCCGTACAGTTATCTAACTCTACAAGATAACGTAAGAAAAGAAGCAGACCAACGTAGAAAGGAAAACAAACCACCAATTTTGAACGAGGAAGAAATGTTGGCTTTAGCAAAACGGGGTCCAAATAACGACATTTTAGAAAGAGACGAACTCAAGCTTGGTATGTGTTTTTACAAACTTGCTGGGCAACTTTGCACTATTGTGTGTAGAGGGATTACTATGAGAATGGTACATATGAGACTTCGTTTTTCCTGGTTGGTTGTTGGACATTTTCGATCTATTAAAATTTGAAAATTTTTGTTTACCGTGCATAAATATGCTCTCAGATTTAATTCTTTGCCAATAGTCATCGTTAAGAGAACTCATAATTTATTTCATGATAAATGTGAAGCTTTTCTTTATCGTCAATTACATTGTGAGTGCGCAGTTGATTTAACCTAATAGTCTGATGTAAGTCAGTTTTCAGTCCAAAATGAATTAAAATTTCATCACACAAGGCCTGAAAGTGAGGCTGATTTAGATTATACAAATGGCTTTGCTTCGTGGTCGTTATAATCAATTTCAACTTTAAACGAGACAATGAAAACATATAATTTGCCATGAAGATCACGCGGAGGCCTTACTTCTGATTGACCAAAGAGTCAATGAAAAAATCATGAAAGTTTTCAATTAACTAAAAATGTTTTTTGTTGACTTAAATTGCAAATGAAAACTGAAAGGCAGAATTTGTTTGAAACATTGCATTTATTGTTTGTTATTCTATTTCACGAGAAAAACCTCGAGAGAAACAGTCTTGACAAAAAGATGATTTCTCTATTAAATTGTTACTAAGCATGCTATTTATTTCAAAATCGGTTCTAGTAGATGCAGTTGGTCGTTGCCATGACCATGAACTTGGGAAGCTGGTCAAGTCTACTGCGCATGCTCATGCAGACTGCGCATGCTCATGCAGACTGCGCATGCGCAGATAATTTCTTTCATAACTTACCACTAAGTGAGTTAATTGCCACAATTATAGTACAAATACATATAGTTAGTCGTTGCCATGACTATTAACAATTTGTCGAGTGGACTGCGCATGCTCGAGTGCGTGCGCAGACGATTTCTCTATTAAATTGCTACTAAGCATGCTATTTACTTCAAAATCGATGCTAGTAGATCCAGTTAGTCGTTGCCATGACTATAAGCAATTGTTTGAGTGGACTGCGCATGCACAATTTCTTAAATAATTGGTGACTAATCAAGTTATTTACTCCAATATTGGTACAAATGGATAAGGTTGGCACTGTAGGTTACCATGAACTTAGACGGTTGGTCGTTTTGACCGCGCATGCTCAGATGATTTCTTTAATAATAGGTGACCAAGTGAGCCACTGTTTCTGAACACAATTCAAGTTCATTCAGTTGGTCATTGCTATGACCATGAGCTAAATAAGTTTTATGTTTGTAGATGTAGATCGTCCAGGTTAGTATAGTCCTGAGAAGGACTGTTTTTGTTGTTGTTGACTGACGTTTCGACAACCTTAGCGGTAGTCATCTTTCGAGTCAAAAGATGACTACTGAAGATGACTACCGCTAAGGTTGTCGAAACGTTAGTCAACATCAACAACAACAGTCCTTCTCAGGACTATACTAACCTAGACGATGTAATGTACACTAAACATGTAACGATACTCCTGGGTTCAAACCATTTACTTTAAATGAGTTTGTTGATTTTATTGCTCTTACCCTGTATGATTTCTTTCGTTCATACATTAAAAAGGCCATCATCGTGTAAGGAGGAAAAAATACACTAGTTTTAGAATTTTATTTGCTTATTATTCTGCAGCTGCAAGATTCCTTCATGAAAATGGTGTAATATTGCATTACAATGATCGCTCGAGGGGTTTAGATCAATTGTACTTCATTGAACCCGGTTGGCTGTGCGAGATAATGGCTTTACTGGTAACTGTGAAAGAGAACAATAACTTCGTGAGAGGAGGCATCATTGAAAAGTCCAATGTTGGTTTATTGTTGAAAAATCCTCGTTTGCCACCTCAGTTTATGGAGCAGGTTTCTAATGTCGACATTTTCCCTACTTTTTTAAAGTCTTCTCAAATTGCCACTTTGACTGGAAGAGGAAGATCTTGAACACTTCTTTTTTTTTAAAGTTTGTGCTTTTTTGTTTCAGTACATACAACTTATGGAACGTTTCGAAGTCGCTTTGACCTTGGATGATAATCGCCTATTGGTTCCTTCGATGCTACCACGTGACAAGCCTGGCCTGCACCTTGTTGATCTCAGAAAAATCTGGAGTGGTAATTCGTCTTCTGCATATACTAACAGCGCAATGAACACAGAAGGTGGGCTACGGTATTTTTGAATGTCTATTTAAGTCACGTGAAAGATAATTGTGTTTTCTTATAGAGGGATGCTTCTCTCAATACTTGCGCCGCGTGTACAAAATGAATTACGTGCCCAGCGGTTTCTGGAGTCGACTCATCGCTCGACTTATGATCGCGGTGCAGCGTTGGGGAGCTGAAGAGGGTCTTAACGATGGGTTGATTTGCGCAGACGATGGCAAAGATGTTCGCTCTTCAACGCACTTTCGCCCAGTTCCCCAGGGTTACTCTATGATTTATTGGCGCGAGGGACTGGGTGTAGTTTATGAGGGTGGACATCTCATGGTCGAGTCGTATTCAGAGATGGTGAGTTTTCTATTGTCTTGTTTTGGTCGTCTTTCTTTTGTTATTCATTTCCAACTGAAAAATTCATCGAAAATTGTTAATCACGGTATAATAAACACACAATGGTCGTATTTTATCCATGTCTAAGTTTCACTTTTGAAGGAACTTTTTGATTACCAGTATCGCATCGGACATGTATTCATTATAGGCTTTCTTTCACTGTATGATTTGCATGTTCTTGACGTGTGCTTGAAGTAATTTGTGAATTATAGGAGAGAGATGTACACAGTGGATTACTAGAGGATAAGGAGGGTGTTGTTGTGACAGTTTGGTCTGGCGAAAAAGACTTTTCCGTCTTGGGTTTTGTCACGGATCAAATAAACTCTCTTATTTCTGAATGGTATCCAGGTAACCATGACGTGCTTCGAAACTCCTTCCCATTTTCTGTTCTCGGAAACTGTACAGCTCCTTCTGAATTTTTCATTTCGTGTTCTCTCTTTACTTACGTAGGTTTAGAGGAAAGTGACAGGTATGGTTGCCCTATGGTTCAACACGTCATTCCTTGTCCCATTTGCGAGGAAAATAAGAGCTCGCCGCTTAGGTGTCGTTCTGTCTCCGTACAAAACATTCAAGAATTAGTGGAAACACGAGCGCCAGAGTTCTCGCTTATAGAATGCGCTGCTGCTGCTGTCGATCACACGGAAATAGCATGTCCTTATCACGTGGATAGGCCTGTGAAATTAAGCAGTCTCGTGCCTGATATCATGATGTCCGACCTTCCTGATGAGTTGGTCATTGATAACACGGTAAACTTGCCTCGATATTGAGTATTGTGGATTAAGAGGGATACTCGCGGATTAATGACGTCGTTATTGAGTATTGTGGATTAAGAGGGATACTCGGGGATAAATGACGTCGTTATTGAGTATTGTGGATTAAGAGGGATACTCGCGGATAAATGACGTCGTTATTGAGTATTGTGGATTAAGAGGGATACTCGCGGATAAATGACGTCGTTATTGAGTATTGTGGATTAAGAGGGATACTCGGGGATAAATGACGTCGTTATTGAGTATTGTGGATTAAGAGGAATACTCGCGGATAAATGACGTCGTTATTGAGTATTGTGGATTAAGAGGATACTCGGGGATAAATGACGTCGTTATTGAGTATTGTGGATTAAGAGGGATACTCGGGGGTAAACTTGCGTCGATATTGAGTATTGTGGATTAAGAGGGATACTCGGGGATAAATGACGTCGTTATTGAGTATTGTGGATTAAGAGGAATACTCGCGGATAAATGACGTCGTTATTGAGTATTGTGGATTAAGAGGGATACTCGGGGATAAATGACGTCGTTATTGAGTATTGTGGATTAAGAGGGATACTCGGGGATAAATGACGTCGTTATTGAGTATTGTGGATTAAGAGGGATACTCGGGGATGAATGACGTCGATATTGAGTATTGTGGATTAAGAGGGATACTCGGGGATAAATGACGTCGTTATTGAGTATTGTGGATTAAGAGGGATACTCGGGGTAAATGACGTCGTTATTGAGTATTGTGGATTAAGAGGGATACTCGCGGATAAATGACGTCGTTATTGAGTATTGTGGATTAAGAGGGATACTCAGGGATAAATGAGTTGGTTAAGAGCGTTCGATCTTTTTTCATATTTTTTAGATGTTTGTTTTCAATCCAAGCGATGAGAATCGTTTGGGAAGCGGTGGGGCCGGAGAGGTTTTTCTTGGAATGTATAAAAAGGAGAAAGTTGCTGTGAAAAGATTTCATTCCACTCTGGAATCCAGGTCTTAAACCATTCGATTTATTTACTTCTTTGGTACTTCAGTGTTCTTAGTGTCCTCATTTATACTCATTTGTCCTATCGTGTACTTTCGTCGAGTACATTTCGGCGCTGGGTCTATGACCACTGTATTTGTGTTGGTTTCAATTCAGCGATCGTAATTGTAGGTCAAGTGATAGCGGTCTGGGACCTAGTCGCGTTTACGGTGGTCAACGAAACGGTAGTCGCCATACGGATGGCGGAATTCCCCCAAACCGTAGTCGTGTTTTTACCGTTACTCCTACAAGTATTGAGGAAGATTTACAACGAACTAAAATACTGTCTTCTTTTATGGAGCTGCGTCAAGAGGTATAATATGATATTTATATATTTGTACTTTCTCGTGGAGATGCTCGAACATGTAGATCGTCCAGGTTGTAGAGATCAGAGGTATGTTGGGGTTGATGTATTTTGAGAGCCTTAGCGATAGGCATCTTCAGTCTCTTGACTCTGAAGATAACTACCGCTAAGGTTGTCAAAACGTCAGTCAACAACAACAAAAACAGTCCTTCTCAGGACTATACCAACCTGGACGATCTACATCTACAAACATGTAACGATACTCCAGGGTTCAAACCATTCACTCTCATAGAGATGTTTTATTAACTCAGAGATGTTTTGTCTTTGCTTTTAGGTTTCCGTATTGGGTCGTCTTATCCACCCCTGTGTCGTCGCATTGATAGGTGTATCATTACGACCGCTGTGCATGGTGCTTGAGTTGTCACCGTTGGGGAGCTTATTCTCCATCCTCGAATCGAAAATTGCGAAGATCAAGTCTGAGAGACTTGAACAACGTTTGCCAGCTATACACGATACAAGGCAGCCGATTTTTGATCGTAATCTCACTTATAAACTTGTTTATCAGGTATAAACTTGCTTTACGGCTTAAAATTCGTGTCTTTGTATTATGGAACCATAGCAACACATACCTTACCCAGTCTTCTACACCGCCACGTCCTTGTATTAATGACGTTATTATACTTTCATTTGGTATCATTGTATTGCATTGCCTAGAGCTTGTATCAATTATGGACACGTACTTTATTACAATAATTGTTCCTCTTTTGCTATGACTTTGTTCAGGTCGCCCATGCCTTGCATTATCTTCATGCTTTGGGTATCATTTACCGGGATCTTAAGTCCGATAACCTCCTGGTTTGGTCTCTTGACGAGGATGCTATTGTTCATGTCAAACTCTCTGATTACGGCATATCACGATTTTCAACCCCGCAAGGAATGCTGGGTGAGGAAGGAACGCCTGGTTTCCAAGCTCCAGAAGTGCGCGCCGGTTCTGCTTACAACGAAAAGGTATAATACTAGAACTTTTCCTCAAACTGTCTTCTAAAAGGAAAAATGGACAATTTGAATTGGTCGGCTTTCATTCTTTTTTAGCTGTAATTTTTTAAGCAGTGCGAAACACTGACTGCTTTCGAGAGTATGTTGAAAGCACTTTTTAATTGCAATTGTTAGTTGTTGTTAAACATGTCGCCTCGAAATACTCCGTTCGTTTTTCAATTAAAATCCTTTTCTATAATCCAGGTGGATATTTTCTCATTCGCGATGTTGATTTACGAAATTCTTTCCGGCCTGCGTCCGTTCTACGAATGCAGGTGTACTGCTCAGATAAAGAAAGCTTTAAGACGTGGTGAACGACCTTCCCTTCACAGAAACTTCATCGATACAGAAATGCCCGAACTTGAGACATTAATGAACAAGTGTTGGAGAGAATCCGCGGACAATCGACCTTCAGCGGAAAGCATTCTTAATCTTATGGAAGATTCGTCGTTTTTATGTCTTCATCGCTCGTTACCGTATGTTGACCAAAGAGCATGGGAAAATGTTACAGCACTTGTTCCTCTCGCTGATGAGAAATCGGGTATGTGTTATTTATGATTTTTTTTTGTCATTTTTCTGAAAGTTTTACTTCATCAAACGTTTCGACACATGATTGAATTCTGTCGATTTTTTCATCTTTCCATTTTAATCAGACACTGTCTTTTTTAACTTGTCTGAACCATCAAGTGTTTTCGGTAATTTGACCGTAAAAAGCTTCGTGAAAGATTTATTTTAGTCCATTTATTATTGTAGTTATAAACAAGAAGTCAGTGTTTCATCTATTTCGCATCATCCACTTCCAAAAGACTTACCATCGTCTCAAGGATGTATTTGCTTTGGTGGTGGGGGTGGGGTTAACGATCTCCTTTTGAAAATAGGGTTTTTCAACTTTATGAATTTTTTTGACTGCTAACACAGAATACCCATGACTGACACAGCGAAATCCTCTAAGATACCGACCATTGACTGACTTATAAATTTGCTAAACTATACAGAATTTTTTTTCTTTCACCAAGTTAATGCAATTCTCTATAATTATAGCATTTTGTCGCTTTTGTAGTTGAAAACATGACTTCTGGCAGTCATTCTGTGTTGTTTTGGGGCGGCGAAGACAGTGAAAGATATTATTCCGTCATTGATTGTAAGACTGGTTTAGAACAAGTGCCCCAGACTTCGTGCTTTGGTCCTCGTGTAGCGTCCTTAGCAAAAGTTGGCGATCGATTCTGGCTTGGGACAGAGGTCAGTTTGTTTTTGACGGACACGTTTCGTGACACGTGATTTCACGTTTTGTGACACGTGATTTCATTAATGATTCGATGTTGCTGAATGGACTGCATTTTGTGTAGAATTTAACCATGTTGGTTTTCGTGTTGTCTAGGGATCAGTTATAGAAGTATTTGGTCGACCTAAAGAAAATAAAGATTTGAAAATTCTTTGGTCCATAAAGCTCAACGCTCAAGTGTTAGGAATCGAGGTGGAGCGCTTCGAGAGCAACCAGTCCTTAAACGTCAATTCTTCGAATGTTTGTATACTTTCATTTAACTTACATGCTTTGAATTGATGAAAATTTTTGAAGTTCAATTTTCATTTTCTTTGCAGTCATCCTTAGATGAAGTGCGACGAGTATTTGCTTGCTTGGCCAATGGCACGATTGTAGCTATATCACGTGCTAATTTACGTCAACAAGGCTCTTCTAGTTGCAGTTTCCAATTTAAAGCGGATGCAACCGAAAAGCTCCGATTAGAAGCGACAATTCTCTCGGTTTTGACCTACATCAAGATCGGTCCTACAGGAACTTCGGCTTGTTGTCTTCTCCTTGTGAAAGATGGGAAAGAGTTATGGGTTGGTTGTGGCAACAAGATAGGAATTGTTGAAACAGATACTCTTGAAGTGGTGTACACGTTCCGGGCGTACTTTCCCGCGAGGTCTAATGTCCGGTGTATGATAAGCAACGGTCCTACGGTGTTTACGATGAATAAGAAAACTCCGAGTGTTTTTCAGTGGGATGTGGAAACACGACAGTGCGTTTGTAAGTTTTATGTTGACGAAGGAAACCCACGTGACTTGAACGTTGCGCGCGTCAGTTGTGACGACAGAGAAGATGACGCAACTGACGGTGACTTTGAAGAGGGTGTTAAGTTAGATGACAGCAATGACGACGACGATAACACTCAAAATGAAGTATCAATGGATGGTTCAAGTGAGGAAAAATCTTTTCTTCATGTTGATCTGAGTCGTCATCATAAACAGCCATCAATGATGGGCTCTTTGAGGCGCACTAGTTCTAGAGAATCCAGCAGACGAAAGAAGAAAATCGCACAAGAAAAATCTACTTCCTCAAGCAAAAACAAAGGTCGTCGTGATGTTTTCAAAATGCGTTCCCGCTCGCAGGTAACTGCTGTAGCTTTATTTTGTATGGTTAAGATAGGGAAGACAAACTGGGAGGCTTCACCTCACCCTCCACGACAAATAATCGTGGACTTTAAGAGACCTTCGTCAGTTGACCTAGAGATACTCGGAGACCTTCGTCAGTTGACCTAGAGATACTCGGAGACCTTCGTCAGTTGACCTAGAGGTACTCGGAGACCTTCATCAGTTGATCTAGAGATACTGGGAGACCTTCGTCAACCGATTTAGAATAATCGGTTTCTATCTCTACCATAATGCCTATTTTCTTCCCATTAGTGTTATCACACACTTAAATATAAGTACATCTTCTTTATAAATAAATGAAAACGATCGTTTCTTAGAATACCTCCCAAAAACCGAACCTGAAGACCATTAACGCTTTGAAGCATAAATCATGAAACACACATACATACTCGAAGATAACTCTCTAAACCATCAATATCTTCACACATCCTCTCCTCCCGTTTCTTTTCGTCATTCTCCTTTCCTTTCTTTCCATCTTTGTCCTCTCGTCTCCTCTCCTGTCCCATCCCCACCTCTCCTCTCCATCTTTCCCTCTACCCCTCTCCTCCCCTCCCCTTCCTCGCCTCCCTCCTTTCCTCTCCATCTTTCCCTCTTCCTGCCAAAAGATATAAACTAACGAGGAATGCTACACTTTCCTTACAGGTGATGAGTAAGTACGATCTCCGTGTCACGAGCATTTTACTCGTTCGTGGTAATCTATGGATAGGACGTGAACCTGGGGATATAGTGGTCGTTGATGTATCCAATGAAATAGGTACAACAGAGTACGGAATGGTACGAGCTTTACTATCGACGGGTAAGGAACGCGGGCGTTCCATGAAAGGCGTACATAAAATGTTACATGTAGGGAATAATAAGATACTCAGTTGTTACAGTTTGTTGTGCAAACGTGCTCCTAACACTGCTAGTGCACGCATGGCATCTGCAGATCGAACAAATCGATCTTTTATTCAGACTATTTCACCACATCGCTATCTAACACCTGTGTTTTCTTCCTCCTCCAACGAGGCGAAGAGCAAAGAAAAGACAGAGGAATTCAGATTTAGTGTTTGGGAAGCGTGGTCAGGCGCGCAATTTAGACATTTTTTCAAATATCACGACGATCTTGACACAGCAACCTGAGTATCTTCATTTGATATTTTGACCATCGAAAGATCGATTCGCTAACCTCGATGCTGGACATCTGGAGTGAAAATGGTTTCGCTCATAAAAATTTTACGCTTTTTTAATATTTTGAAGACTGTACAGCTGTAAAAAATTCATACGATGAAAAATTTTGGAGAAAAATTGCCAGACGAAACTACAATTGTAGCTAGGAAATTTTATTTAAATAATGACAATACAATCTTTAAGAAAGGATTGCGTGAAGACTTTAAAAACAACATAGAACGATAGCCTTTACACCCATACTCATGCAAAGAACTACTTCTTGACAAAAGATAAATAGTCTTTCACATCTTCGGGAGAACCAATAACAATGGGAGCTCGTTCATGAATTGTTTCCGGTTTGATGTCTAGTATATCTATACTACCATTCGTCGCCATTCCTCCAGCCTGACACACAATATAGGCCATTGGGATGCATTCATACATTAGCCGGAGCTAGAATTGACGTAAAAACATGCGCGCGACGATTAGATCCGTAGTTCATATTGATATTTCATACGTAATGTCTAGGGTTGGGGATAACCATGGGGATCATTAGTTACGTGATAACTTGTGATAATCATTGATAAATGGTGATATCTTAAGATGACAAGTGATAACTATTGAAAACTGGTGATATCTTAGATGACAAGTGATAACTATTGATAGCTGGTGATATTGTAAGATGACAAGTGATAACTATTGATAACTGGTGATATTGTTAGATGACAAGTGATAACTACTGATAGCTGGTGATATTGTAAGATGACAAGTGATAACTACTGATAACTGATAATGATTTAAGTTATAGGTATCTTCAAGATACTGGTTTATCTCCATATTGTATTAATAGTACCTTTGTAACTATCAAAAGCTATAGATAACAAAGGATAACTATGGATAACCTATAATAACTGGTTATAACTAGCAATACCTAGTTATAACTAAGTAATAACTTATGACAAAAAGTAAGGTGGTAATGAGTGTTAGAATTATATCTTCAAGATGGCTTATCTCATCATTATACCATAAATTACAGTAAATTAAGTTTCAACTTCATCAGTACCTTTCCTTTTGGACTTTTAGAATTAGCAGGATACATAAAGACGCCACCGTAGACCAGTGTTCTATGCATGTCTGAGACCATTGATCCAACGTAACGTGCCCCATATGGTGCTTTACCATCCTACACATGAAAAAAAATAGTTGACTCAATTTTGATTTCTTTAGATAGATAGCAAAATATGAACAATGTTATAACATTTCTGTCATCACCTTAGGATTTTTCATTGATTCAATGTAGTCTCGAGTCTCTTGATCAAAGTATTTGTAGTAACCTTCATTGATGCTATATATCTTGCCTCGTGGTTTAATTTTCATTTTCCTGTCTGTCAGTACAAATTCCCCAATGGACTAAAAGCAAATGGAAGTTCAATTATCTCAAAGCGTACAATTGAGGCAAGCCATTCACTTTGTCCTAGTATATCTGATTCAAGGTAAAGTCTTCTCCATTAGCTAAAGCTATAATTTCTGTAAAATAACCCACCGGATCCAAAGTAAATCCATTTACGCCATTACCAGTACTGAGAACAACCATAGTTGCACTTCCGTATAATGCGTAGCCAGCTGCAACAAAATCACGGCCCGGAATCAAAGCATCCTTATGTGTGATTGGTTTGTCAGTTGGCTGTGAAAATATTTAAGGTAAATTATTAACATTTAATCTCACTGGCACATATTATGCTTAGTTAATATCTGATTAGCAATTTTCAGACAATAATTTATTATATTTTATAACCATGTATTTTAACCTTTTTGGCAATCCCAAAGATTGAGCCAATTGAGACGAGACATTCGATATTGGAGGATCCATCTAGGGGATCAAAATACACAATGTACTTTCCCTGTTGCTCTGTTTCCACTTCTATAACAGAGTCGTTCTCTTCAGAAATCAAGAGGCAAGTCTGGAATGAGGACTTGAGCATGTTGATAAAAAGCTCGTTTGCAATAACATCCAGTTTTTGTTGAGTTTCCCCTTGTATATTTGTCACTCCAGATATGCCATATCTAAAATATTGCATAACTAGCTAAAGTTAAAATATTCATTCAGAAGAAATGATTGCTTGGAATCTTACAGTTTTGCAATTCCTGCCTTTCTTACAGCTGTTGAAACAGCTTTGATGGCTGTCATTAGGCCATTCAGAAGTTGAGTTAAATCACCCTTCGCCTCTGGATGTAGATGTTGTTCTTTGAGAACAAATCGTGTGAGAGTCATACAGTTTGAATCAACCATATTTAATTTTGCGAGAAACGTTGGCAAAGAAAAGCGATGGTATTTCCAATGACAACTGAAATTCAAGGAAATGAATGGTGATCAGAAGTATATCGATAGAAATAAAGGTTCGACAGCGAACACCAGTTATGTAACGACTAATTGTCAATTGTCACATTAAATTATACTTTGATATCAACATAAATATAGAAATAAATGTAGACGAAAACGTCTTTTTTTTGAAAGTAAAGTTTGAGAAGATGGCAAAGAACGAAAAGTGCTTTTGAAGCCTACCTTTCTTTATTTTAAAGACAATGCTCCTGGAAGTTTGACACGCAAACACGTACAAATTTCCCGACCTTTGGAACTTGCAACTGTTGATTTAAATGGTCGCGTGCACTGGAGGTTGACCACTACCTTTGTACACTCCCACTATTGTCTTGTCACGTGTTCTTCTCTAAAAACATGGCTTTTCTTCGTACTGTCCAGCGAAGTATCCTCTCACTTAACGTTGCAAGAATAGGTTTACTGAATAAGCGCGCTTGCTTGAGTAGTGGAAATTTGTTGATAGAAGAACCCGAGTTTTCATGGTTGAAAGAACTCGATCTAAAGCCTGAAAATGATGGCGTTTTTAATGGGAATTGGAAAGGCAATGGAGATGTAAGGAATGTCGGGGGGGGGGAGAGTAAGAAAATGTCAGGTGGGGGAGAATGAGGGTAGTGAAATATTTCATGTTGTTGGAAACTTGACATTGGTGTTTTAATTACATTTAGATTGTGACATCAATATCACCAATCAATGGTCGACCAATAGCACATGTGCGGGAGGTATGGGTTGCTTAAGTAATACTTTGTTACCGTACTATGTCATTGACATGTATTACTATGGTAACTTTCAAACAGATTTCTCTGTCAATTTACTTGCTTGATTTAGGCCAGTGTTGCCGATTACGAAGAAAGTGTGTCATTAGCCAATGAAGCCTGGAAGACATGGGCTACAGTACAAAATACTTTATGTCTTTAGAATAGTTTTGTAAATTTAATATCTTTCTAATCAACATAACCTAGCAAAAAAATCTTTACTGAATTCGTGATATATTATTTAAAACCTTACTTTAGATCCCAGGCCCTCATCGTGGTGAGATCGTGAGGCAAATTGGTGAAGAGTTGCGATTGCATAAAGACAACCTTGGCAAACTTGTAAGTACGTCATCAATCTTCCTGTAATGTTTTCCACAATCAGCAATATTCATTCTGAAGTATTTTAACTTGTATTTAATTTTCTCTCAGATTTCATTGGAGAATGGAAAAATCTATGTTGAAGGTGTTGGGGAAGTTCAAGAATACATTGATGTTTGTGATTATTCTGTGGGTCTCTCTCGAATGTTTGGTGGCTCTGTCTTTCCTTCAGAACGTGAGCTCATAGGATTGTGTTTTTATGTACAAAGGATCGTCTTTTGTTATTTCTTTGCATTTCTTTAGGCCCTGGTCATGTGTTGATGGAACAATGGAACCCAGTTGGTCTGGTTGGAATCATCACTGCGTTTAATTTCCCCATAGCAGTTTTTGGTTGGAATAATGCCATCAGCTTGGTTTGTGGAAATGTCAACATTTGGTAAGCATGAAGTCAACCCTTTATTAAACAACTTTTGTTACTGCTTTCATACAACTATGATGTAATGTTATGTATGTTTCAGGAAAGGATCTCCCACTACACCTCTCATCAGTATAGCCATCACAAAGTGAGTTTTGTTTTGCAAAGACTTTATTCAATGAGCTCATGTTTAAGTACTGAATTTGAACTTGAACATATTATTTGATAGAATTATCAGCAATGTATTAAAAAGAAATCATCTTCCTCCTGCCATTTGCTCTCTTGTTCAAGGCGGATCAAAAATCGGGTGTGCAGTCAGACTTGTTTTTAATCATTTTTTTTTTCATTCTTTTAGCTCTAACTCAAGTTATTTTTCCTTTATGCAGAAGTACAATGGCATCAGATAAAAATATCCAATTACTTTCTTTCACTGGAAGTACAAAGGTATAATGTTTATTTTTAAGCTACAGACTGCCATTTTTAATCCATTTCTTCAAACCGTCTATTTCTTAAGATCCAACAAGTCATTCACATTTTACTAGTATATCTTGCTGACAATTTCTGTTCAATAAGTACTGCACATGTTAAATTGAACATGTTGTAAACAGGTTGGCTTGGAAGTTGGTCTTGAGGTTAAAAAAAGATTTGGTACGTGGCATAACAGTTGTACCATTTAACACTTCCATCATTTTTTTTGTAAACTTTCATTTCTTTTGATGAAGGTCGAGAGCTTCTAGAGCTTGGTGGCAACAATGCAATCATTGGTGTGTGATTCAACAAATTTAGAGAACAAACTATGTATGTCTGCAGTATTCCATCACATTGTTAAATCTGTCATTATTATTTTTAGTTCTGGATGATGCTGATCTTGAACTTGTTGTCCCTGCCGTTGTTTTTGCATGTATTGGTACAACTGGACAGCGATGTACGACCACTAGACGCTTGGTATGTTGTGTTATGTTTCATTGTTGTTACTTGGCTGTAACATGACTGACAGCGCCATGTTTTTGGTAGATACTTCATGAAGCAATATACGATGAGGTGGTGGAAAGACTTACAAATGCTTACAAACAAGTGAAGATTGGAGATCCTCTTGATTGTATGTCACTGTAATTTGTTTGCATGTTTTTTTTTTGTGAATAATTAATAATGGGATTTACACCAGTTTACCCTTTGGTAGTTTTGGAAGGAGTTTGTTTTTGCTTTACCATGAGACTTGATTTTATTCTTGTTTCTATGGTTACTTCCATCAGAGGATGTCTACAGGGAGGGCAAAGGCAAATTCAGTTACAGGCAAAATAAATTACTTCATAACCAATGACTTTGTTGTACAGATATTTTGAATTTGAAATTAGTGGTTATAATTTATTTTGCCTAACCTTGGATCCCCTCCTGAGGGAGGGATTGGGTTAAAGAGGAATAACTTGGGATCATCCATTGGGATATAAATGAATATAAACACTTCACGAAAATGAGTAATGTTGCATTTCCTTATTTCCTAATCATAATTTGTGATGGCTAAATTTTATTGTTGCTGTTAAAATAAACAATGTAAACTAGTGATTTTTAGCATTTTTCATGTTTTAAATGTCGACATTAGTTTCAACGAACATTAAAATTTTTTCATCAACAATAACAGCTAGTGTCTTGTGTGGTCCTCTACATAACGAAAATGCTTTGGAATTATATCAAAGAGCAATCAAAGAAATAGTATCCAATGGAGGAAACATTGTCACAGGAGGAAATGTACGTCCTTTAAACTTTGCTTCCTTGTGTTTCCTTGATTCCCTATTCATGATTGGTTGTTTTTTTTCAGGTATTGGATCGACCAGGCTATTATGTTGAACCAACCATTGTGACAGGTCTTTCACATGATACGGAAATTGTCCAGAGAGAAACTTTTGCACCAATATTGTATGTTCTGAAAACAAAGGTGAGTGAAGAGATGTTTACAACAGTAAAAAATGTGTAGTGACACTTCTTCTTCTTCTTAAATGGTCATTAGAGTTTGGATAAGGCTATAGAGTGGAACAATGAGGTTGAGCAAGGTCTTACTAGTAGCATTTTTACCAAAGACATGGGAAGCATCTTTCGTTGGCTTGGGTGAGTAAAATTTTTTTTTTGTTTACCTTGAAGTGCATGGTGAACTGTCACTTTCTGTTTGATTTTTAGACCATTCGGTTCTGACTGTGGTATTGTTAATGTAAATATTCCAACAAATGGAGCAGAGATCGGAGGAGCTTTTGGTATAATGGCACTATTGTGAAACTTCTAAATGGTTCTTACGGTTATAGTAATGGCAATGGGTTTCTGTTTTCATTTTTAGGTGGTGAAAAGGCCACTGGAGGAGGGAGAGAGTCGGGTAGTGACTCTTGGAAGAACTACATGAGAAGGTCAACTTGGTAAGTTGAAAGTCTTCCAGAATGAATGTTGTTTTGTCAAATTCACACAGTTATTTTTCCAATCAACAGCACCATTAACTATAGTGATAATCTACCACTGGCTCAAGGAATTGAGTTCTAAAACAAATGGTTCGCAGGAAATCATTATGGCTTTGAAAAGTATGAAAGTAGGCTGTAGGTAATATATATAAAATTTTGTCTGAGTCCTCATCTTTTTGAAGGTATAAAAGAAGCAATTGGTAGTATTAACTTACATTAAAATATGTAAGTTGATAAACAAAAGAAGCATCTTATTCTTATGTGCAAATATATTAATTTTTTTGATGCATTTAATGTATTAGATGCATACTAAATATAAGTGTGCGAAAGAAAGTATTTACATAATATGCGTGTCGCGATTTTTGTGACGTATTTCCGGCCGTTGTTTAATTTCAAGGAGATTGGCGTTTAATCTTGTGTCAGCAGTTAAAAATTGCAAATTTTCAATGCGGTAAATACTTTTCATCGATGATGAGATAACTGGTAAAATATACATTACAAGTGTCCTCATTTTTTGTATAAATTTGCCCAATGAATGGTTTATCCTTTTCGGAGATTTGTTGCCTGTTTTGCTGTCCGCCATGTCCGTCAAAAATCGCTGCGAAGCTAGCGTTTCTTCCACCAGAACCGACATACACCGTTACTAAACACGATGATGGGAAGTTCACCTTACATTTAACCGAGCGAGCAGAATGGCAATTTGGCCAAAAGGAACTGGACACTGTTGAAGTATTCAAGATAAAATCCAAGCAAGGAAACAATATCTGTTGTATGTACGTGAAGACGTCGCCTGGTGCGCGGTTTACGTTGCTATTTAGCCACGGGAATGCTGTCGACTTAGGTCAAATGGCTAGTTTTTATATCGGTCTAGGCCAAAGAATTAACTGCAATATTTTATCTTATGATTATTCTGGCTACGGAGCAAGCAGCGGCAGTCCCTCTGAAAGCAATCTTTATGGCGAAATTGAAGCTGTTTGGAAGGCGGCTAGATCTAAATACGGTTTAACGCCGGAAAATATTGTTTTATATGGGCAAAGTATAGGCAATGTTCCTATCATTGATTTAGCATCGAGATACGAATGCGCTGCAGTCATACTTCATGCTCCTTTAACATCTGGTATACGTATTGCCTTTCCTGAAGCAAAGCGAACTTATTGTTGCGACGCCTTTAGAAGGTAAATATGGTACCGTTGTTTTAAAATATTTGGTAATATCACACATGCATTAACGTCTTTTTCTATGAGTATTGGCATGTGGTCAATATATATTAGTTTTACGTATTGCTTTGAGGGAATTTGTATGTTTTGGTTTTACAACCGATCATCGTCTTTAATAATACCGACTGTTTATTATGTCGCTTATTATTTAACCTTGACATCCTTTAATCCATGGTGATGAATTCTGTTCTGAAAAAAAATTAGGAAATGTCAATATCGATAATTGATCGTTAAATCCTTTGAATTCCCTACATCTTTACCGCTAGTTCATCAGTATGGAATTGTTTTTCAAATTATCTCTATCATGTCGTAAATTCCAACATTCATTCCAACATTTCAGTCTTGAAAAGGTATCAAGTATAGTCTCACCTGTACTTGTAATTCATGGCACCGAAGATGAAGTCATTGATATTTCACATGGTCTTGCAATTTATGAAAGATGCCCACGGCAAGTGGAACCATTGTGGGTGGAAGGTGCCGGTCACAATGATGTTGAATTATACGGCCAGTATTTGGAAAGACTTAAGAAATTTTTACAGCATGAAATAGTGAATTGATTTACAGCAGATGAAAATATTTCTGATGAACGTGGGTTATACTCCATGGTTGTAACTCAATAATTTTCACGAAATACTGTAACTGGTGTGTACGTAGACCAATTAATATTGATTTTGATCCCATTAAAATGCACAACTTAATTCATTTCTGATCATATTTCATTATTCTTTGTATGAGTTTTCTCCTTGTAAATATTTTTTACAAAAGAATATGAAAAATTACCAAATTAATATAACAAATGCAAAATGATGTACTAAAGAATGAATAAAGAAATAGAAAAACTTTATAGCAGTTGTTTGTTTTCACTGAGGTGACTTTTGGAATGTAGCAGTACTAGTTTGTTTGACCTAGCTTGAATGAGAAAAGAGCTCTTTTTGTTGTTCCTTGTTTTCTTGATTCTCTTGTACATGTGTGAAACTGTACGATTGGTTCAACAGCTACACATGAACATCACATTTTCGTCATGTGATTTATGGATGTAAACCATTTCTCTATGTTTGTGCTGCAGTTATTTGTTTGTTTAGGTCGTGTTGTCCTGCCTCCCTTAGACAAGTTGCTGCATGTTGTAGTTGTAGCACCACATCAGAACTACAACTTGACTTGCTCTCTCTCATCAACATGTCCGCGATACCATCCAGCAATTCATGAAAGCTGTAGCATAGAGCGGCTCGTCGAATACGATTAAGTTCCTGAATGATCAAAGTTAAACAATAAATTCTTTGATGTCTTTCCCCCATATCAAATTGTGATAATTCGTTTTTAGACAATGTGATTGATAGTCATTAAGCTTCTGTTTCACTTCAACATGTAAATCCTTCCTTACCTTATAAAACTGGTTCATCTTGTCGGGCAATTTTCTGGCATATCTTAACAATTTCTGTATATCAGACTAAGAAACCGAAAAAAAAAATATTTCATATAACAAATCATGTAATTTATTGCTGCTTCTAAGTTTGGACATTGTCCCTCAACGTACCTGTAGACCGTAGCTCTTTATCCATACAACACTGGCCTGCGAATGATAGCTTCGGCGACGGGTAGTATCCACAGGAAATGGCGACTCTTCCGTGTCACCTTCAATTTTGTATGGGTTCTCTTCCATTTCAGCTGCAGGCACCAGTCTCTTCAGGTTTCCTAGCCAGGGAATCTCCAAACCGGGACAAAATATGGACAACACAAGATTGGACTTTTTCTTACTGTCCGCCCATGAGTACAATATGCCAAACCAATTGGGTCTAAATATAAAGTTCAAGTTTCCCATTAAGACATTAACATGTTAAACAATTTCATGATGATACATACCCCAGTTGTACAAAGGCGACCATCTTTTCCACCTTGAGACTACCATGAAGGAGAACACAGAATGAAGGTTCCTTTCCATCTGCATCCGAGTTACCTTGGCTACCATGGCTTGACGAACGTGTGGGTAATACCAAATGTCGAGTTAAACTTGGTGGGCTACCAAGGTCAATTGCATCCAAGAAACCAACAATTTTAATCTCATCAGGAAATGGCTGCTCAAGTTCCGTATTCATGGTCCTATGGTAAGCCTTTGGTGTTGTTTTTGGTGGTGGATACAATGTTACAGCAGATGTAAGGTGACCACATGATAAGGTACCATTGTATGGTGAATAATGGTCATGTGCCAAACGTTTGAAAGCTTCTTGAGCTGAATAAACTCCAACCGGGGAATCAAGAAGGTATATTCCCCCACCATGACCACATGTTTCAATTAAATCTTGAAGAAGTTTCATCGTGGCCGGCGATGAATCCTCAAATGTTGACATACATACAAGGTGCATGATGCATGGAAATGGCAAAGGTGTTGTGCAAGAATTGTCAGCCATTTCTCCCAGTCTGTTATTTAAGACATCCTCAACCGTGGTTGCACCACCAAAATTACCATCCGTAACGACCACTAACTGTACAGGAACCGAACAACCCCACTCTTTGATCACCAAACTACAAACACCATTTAAGGCATTCCCTAGAAATGTCTTATCGTAAGTTCCTAGACTCATGCAGCCTTCTTTTAGCTCATCGTAATCTCTCGTAAATCGTACGGCAATCTCCCAGAGGGACGAGAATGCGATCAGCGCAGTAAATTCTAACTTGCAGTTTAAACTCAAATAGTCGAAAAAGGAATACAAGCCACGAATTGCTAGCAGTCTTTTGTTGATGCTTGCGTCGCCCTGTTGCTCGCTTTCTTCCACCGTTTTAAGCATCGATAAAGAAACATCTAGTAAAACTACAGTCGGCATGTTGCTTTGGCGCGGGGGAAGTTAAAACCTGAATAAAAACTATGATTTTAAAAGGAATTCACAACTTTTTATTTGCAAAGTTTGCAAACGACCATAATACAGGAGTATTGAGGTGTGTCTATGTACAACTGTGTACAACAGACAACATTATGGGATGATGAAAATTATTGCGTCAGCTGTGTCCACCATTATTGCGAGACATACCGTATTGTACCTCAAGAAAGTTTTATTTGGCCAACATTTGGCAGTTTTCAAATATTTATCAAAGTCATTAATTTATTATTTACAGTCTATAAAATAAACTGCGTAGTGTTCGCCTGTCCATACGAACCTATCCTTGTTCACGCTATGTAATTTTTTTGTTGCTCAATCACTGTAACTAAGAGCAATCAATTTCTAAAGAAATGGATAATGCTAATCATAAAATATTTCAACAGCATGACCAAATATGCGGGTTGGCTGCGTCACTCGATTTTCTAACATTTTACTTTTCGAGATTTCGTTTATTATTTGGAATTCATTCAAGTTTTCAAGTCAAGATATACGAAGAATGAGATTACTACAGCCTGTTGGTGGTTCCTGTGGTAACCTTAGCGATGGTTCGATAAAAACGATGATTAAAAATTTCCTGAGGCTCTGCCTCTGAGCTTCTTAGAGTAATTTTCAATATTGCGTAAAAGTAATTGCAACGTAGTTGAAATCATCAAAGCATTCCTGCCGACAGAAAAAAATTTTTTAAACGTAAGTTTGTTGAAAAGTTCGCGACATGGTATCGTTTTGATAGAGAACACATGGTGACTGAGAAAACAATGAAATAATAGCAGCTCTTACTGTTAAAAAATTGAAAAAATGTCGTTAAATTTTGTCGTGCTCAGTACGCGCGACAACTTCACGCGTATCTCGATAAAACGCAACTTTACATGACAAAAATCATTCACGCATCCGAACCAAAGATCTTATTGATTACGTCAAATCTTACTCCGCATACTTTCATACTTTCATAATTGTTAAAGTTTGACGTCAGTTACCATGGAAACAATCTCTTTCGAGAAGAGATCATGAAATCCCCATGATACGTAATGTCAGTTCCTTTCAGCATATAACACACCCTAGATGATTGTTCATGTCATTTTAATTTGTTAGTTGAGTTATCAATCACTGCAGCATTATCAGTTAAAAAAGATATGGGTTGGAAACTTCGTGACAGTCCGACAATGAACGCCAACGAAGAGAATTCCAATACTTTGGAGAGGTTACTTGACCTTGCGAGGCGTAATGAAGAGTCTAACGAGCAAGAAACGCAATTCGATTATCGTGCAAGTCAAACGAATAACTTCAGAAGAAGACGATGTGGTATACAGCACGGACTATCAGGGCGTTCAGGTGTTCTTCCTTCGCCTTTTTTTATCTTAGATAGTTCCCATCGATTGCAAATCACAGGTCTTCCATCGTAGCTTTTGCTTAATGATGTAACAATAATATATTGTGCTGACTGCTTGCTAACTTCAGATCACAGATAACATAGTTTGATGTTATAAAGTTTTCAATCGTTTGTAGTGAATACACTTCAGTCTTATCAAAGAAAAAATGGCACTTGCAGAACTGAATGTAAACAATCGAATGTATCTTTAACAGCCTGCATTTGCTGTGTATGTACTTTTTGTAGTAGAATCTTTGTACATGATTTGAGTGCAATGGAAAATGCGACTATGAGAAATATTGATGTTTTTTTTCGTGCTTTGCTCATTTCATGCTTCTGCCGTCTGCTCTTTGCATTTTTTCAAAGTTATGCAAAGCTTTTTTATGAAAATATGCCTGTATGGAAAATGTCCTTATTCGTCAAAACGTAGAGAATAATGTATGTTATATCTTTTATGCCATTGTTAAATGGGAAATACTATATTACTCACTCATAGAAAAATGCAACTATGAGTCATTTTGTGTGATAATGAGCAAAGTTTGCTCTACAGTACATTGGGCAAAGAACTGTAGTTTATCTTGTAGTTTATTATGTAGTTTATGATGCATATAGTCATTTAAAAGTTATGCGTCGTTATCTCCGTTCCCAGATGAGCCCTAAAGAGGTTTCGGTCCTGTTATGTCATTTTCAGAACATTACCATTATTCATATTTTCACAGTGAGTAAACACAGAAAAATTTGCATAGCAGGACAAATTTGCGGGCTGGATACGTCACTGATGTGTACAGCCGTATGAACAATGGCAAAGAACGTCAGCGAAGGGCAATAAAGTTAGTGGGACGACGAGCAGTAAAACTTACACTGCTTTCCTCTTCCCCACAACAACATGCACACTTTCCAAAACATGTAACCCCTTTCAACTTACGTAAATCACAAAGCTTAAACGTGAATTTAAATCATTTTTGTTCCAATTTGTACATTGAATATGAGTGAGAGGTAGTTTTATAAAAGTTTTTGGCCTTATTTGGCAACAATAAATAACGTTCAACTTGCTTGATGTGTACCTTTCGTGATTTCTTTTGCGTCATTGTGACCAGCTAAAGTCTTCTGCGTGTTTCATTTCATAGAATTACGAATATCATTCGCGTTTAAAATAAATAATTATAGTTATTAGTTTATAGATTCCGTGCTTTGTCTGTCTTATTCACAGCAGCAAAGGTCTTTTAGAGCCAACTCATGTCAACTGGTAATTAACTTTACTGGCATGTGTAGTGTTCCATTTATCGCCAACAAACCTTAATATTATTCCAACAGTCTGACAAGCTTGAGAGGTCTCGCTGCTTTTTTCCACTGTATTCTGTTCGGTTGGATTCGGTTTATTACCATTCGGTGAGAAACCCATAAGCTGGTGAGTTGAAAGTTGTTTAACGCTGCGTGCTTTTGTCAAATTTATATGTCAAGTTCTGCTGTCTTTGACTTTGAACACTGGTGAGCGCACTGAATTGCTTCACTTATGAATTCTGACTGTTTTATGTTGTATTTAAATAACAATATTGATAACTTCATGTTAAACAATTACCTTCCCACGCAATAATGACTTTGTTCTTACACCTGCGGAAGACGAACGTCACAACAGCGATCTTCCTGGCTCCGAATAAATATTTGATAATTCACAATGTTGGACCGATTCAAAACAATTGGCACGAAATAACTGTTATCTTAGGTATTTCGTACTCAAAATGCCAAAATGTCTCTCTTTTATGGCAGGATTTAGTATAACTTTGTGTTATTGAATTTCAAAAGTGCGTCGCCTATAGTATTCTCGAAACCAATTTAGTCTTTCTTAGAAATCAAAGAAACCTTTGCAAGTTCATCCTGTTGTAAAAAATCCTTGCTATAATTGTGCTATTTTTCTTTTCACACAAGCCCGCACCCTTAGTTATATTTAGTCTTAGAACAATAGCTTGTAAGTCTTGACTTCCTGCAGTTATAAAATTTCTTCCTTCATATGAATGATTATGGCGCCAAGATTTACCTAAAATACCAACAATTCAAACACGGAATGTCTGGGGAAGCTGCGCATATTTTTTTAAAATTCTATATTCAACAGCAAACCACATTCTCACTTTTATACCGAAACACCTGCTCGGTTGGTCAGTCGGCGAACTTGGTTCAAAATATATCGTTTTATCACGAGACATTTTTGTCTATTCGTGTCTCCATATAGTTATTTTATGGACCACTGAATATTCTTCCTGATATACAACGTTTTTAAACGTTCAAGACACAAACGTGACATCAATATTTGGTGTTGTAATTGTCCTTTGTAATTATTGTTGATAATATTTTCAAAGATACAGGCTTACACGCAATATAAATATAATAATCAGCTTCTTCAGATGGACTTGGCTTGGGGATAAAACTATCCATTATCCCAATCCAATACTTACTCCCCATTTCAAATAAAAAGCTCTGGAACATGGTCTTCCTTAAGTTAAATCACCAGATTAAGGATTCGAAGATATCCAGTTGAAATGAATTTTTTAGTCAGCACCTGCGAAAGATAAAACTTAGCTACTGTCGAAACTAATATCATGCAAACGTTTTTATCTGTCCTTAAAATGCATATGTTAAATTAGTATCAGTTGTATGCGCTTGCAGTTCATTGAAATTGGTGAATGTAAATTTCGGTGTTTGTATTGAAAAGAGAGTTCCCCTATTCCAGTTTCAATTGAGCCGGCGCTGAGTCTTGAAACATCCTGTTTCTGTCAGTCAGACAAAAACTTCCGTTGCAGTAGAGGGGAATGTTGATTTTTGAAAGTACAAACACAGTTATTCCATCATTGATTGTAATTGTACACTTGTACTAAAATCTGTTTTTCGTGGAATTTCAGGGATTGTGAAATACATACGAACTAAAGTAAAACCTTCTATTTCTTTCAATAAAAGGTTCTTTTGGATTTATTTATTTTCACTGTTTCAATTAGCAGGGAACAAGGCTTTTTAATATTCCTGCGAACATGCGGAAATAATAGTTTTGAGAAAGAAAGATTCATACATTGAATAAAATCTCGCACTTGGGAATACACCTTACTTACAGTTTGCTTTCAGTACATACAGTTTCCTTTTTCTTAAAAGCAATAGTACGTCACATTAGGGGGTGGTCTAAAAATATGAAATGATGAGCACGCGTTGGTTACCATATTTCGTAATCGTAAACTTCCGATCCGTGCTTTTCCGAACGTCAAACGACGAGATAAAATTACGTCACTGGTTACATCGTACTCATTTACAGACAAAGCACACAGAGTAAGGAGCTCTAGGCTCTACGTTAAGTTTAAGTTTCTAACTCGTTTTTTCTTCTTTTTCACGTCCACTACATCATTCATTTTCAAGTACAATGGCACCAGATACTGGAAAAAACATGGGAGACACAAACTATGTACAAGGCAAACAACGTGATGATGGTAATAATAACTATGTCCAACAACCTGCGATAAATGATCCACATTTGTATGACGAGACGCTCAACATTGTTCAGTTTACTATTTTTTCGATTGTTGGAAGAGATGCCAATCGAAATCCTTCGCAAGTTGCCAAGAGAGTGAAAGAATTAGTCCTGCAGATTTTGTTAAAGCACGAGATCTTCGATTCACTTTGTGCGAATGCGAATTTTTCGTCGACAACAATGCAATCAGATTTTATGGCCGTCTCGGAAAACATCTTTAATGATGGTCACATAAACTGGGGACGTATCATTTCATTGCTTGCTTTCGGCGTTAAGGTTTCACAATATTTTCGCGCAAGAAGAATTGAAAATATTGACGATGTTGTTGTGGAATTGACGACACATTTTCTTGTGAAGGAATTGGGTCCTTGGATACGTGTAAATGGAGGATGGGTAAGTTTTTCGGTTTAAGAAGAAATATTTTTTATCATCAGCTGAAGACGTGCAATGCTTAAAAACCTTATTGAAATAACTGAGTTAAGAAAGACTGTTCGAAGATGATTTTACTTACAAAGAAGAACTATGAGTTTAGAAAAAGAAAGGGAATTTTTATTTACTGTTGATTAAACCAGCTGCGACAGGAAATCAAGAAACAAATTCTCATTTGTTGTCGTTTGCGTTGTTAAGAAAAATTTCATAACATTTAAATGAAGTTTTCTTATATAACTATTTTTGATTTCCTATGTTTTTGTGTTTTCATTTTAAAATTGAAAGTTGTTGTGAAATGAGTTAAATTTGGCACGATAAAGGCACATCAACAATTTCACTTATTTCAACATTTCGTGACAATGCAATGTGGATTGCAAAATGTTCCCAATCGAAAGAATTTCTGATATTTATCTTATTGATTCACTGTGAGTAAGCCAAAATATGACTTCTATTATATTGGTTTCTCAACACCAGGTAGCTAAAAGGAATGCTGAAGATGTTTTATCAATTTTAATGGTTTAGGGTAGCATGAATTGATAAAACATTTTTCTTACAGTCTGAAGCATTCCATTTTGTCTAGTTTTGTACATTCGATCTCCGTAAATCAACAGTTTTCACTTGGCACCAAAAATATGACAATGAAAAGCTGAGCCTATAAAGTTTTATAAATTTGTTTTTATTCAAGTTTGGATTGTGAAATATGTTAAAGACAGAATTTTCTAGTCTATTTTTAATTTATAAGTATTGAGTGTTTAAAAGATACTTTGTATAAAGAATAAACACATAGCATTCCATAAATTTTCATATCTATTTAAGCAGTGTGACAAAAATAATAAAAGCTTTTTGAAATTCCATTTATTTTAAATGCTCAATCAACTTGCTGAAGTAACATTCTAGGTTATATTTCGAATATTTTGCATTTTATTGCTTTTATTGTTTGCCCAAATTGATATTTTGTCGACTGAGTCACTTTTGTCACCTGTTACGTTTCTGCAGGTGCATTAGAACCCTCAATGACTCAATGGGACTGATGTATGTGTCTCACAGTAATGGAAATGCTGTTCTACATTTTAGAACATGATGAAATAACAGAAATGCAAATATAATTCTGTTTTCATTCCCCACCTAATCCAATATTATTATTTCCTGGAAGGGCCAAATTCAAATTGAGAGCACGCATCTTTGTTTGACAATGGACTTCTTGTTGTTCTTAGGCTGTATTCTTGGTTAGGAAATGGAGAATATATATGTTTTAAGAAAGAGAGAGCATAAGTACTTTTATAAAGTAGAAAACATGGAAACAGAGAAAATGAATACTTTAGGAAACAGAGAATGTGAATACTTTGGGAAACTTTGAAAATGAATACATCAGAGGACTTGCAGGGAACATGAGTATCTTTATGAAACATAGCGTGTGAATATGTTTTTTCAAAAACGAGACTTTATAAAACAAAGAACAAAAATGCTCGTGGGAACAAAGAACATGAATACACAGGATGATATTGAACATGAACACTTAAGGAAATGAAAATTTTAATCTATTTTACTGATGAGACAGACATGCTAAATATGGTAGCAACTATTATGGTTGGCAAGCTTGTTTTAAAATACTGTTTCCTTACTGGTACTAACTGGTGTAATATGTATGGTTTTACATGTTTGAACTTGAAAGATCAATTTTTCTGTTGTTTTGCCTAGCTCTTCCATATATGGCATTTTAATTACATTCCTGTAAGTCTGATCAAATTTCTGTTAAAATATTTCCCCACGAGACCAATGACCTTCAGCGACATGAAATCAAATATGTAAACATTGACTTAAAATATTATAATAATCCACCATCAAAGAGATTTGCCATCCAAATTCTTATATTATATGATTTATTGCCTATATTGCTTTCATTTACTCGCTAGTCTTGTAAAAGTTTATTGGCTTATAGCAAACTGTGCAGAAACCGCTTGTTTAATAAGGAAATCAGTTAAGCTTTGTTATTTGAGCATGCCAGATTTTGAGAAATGGATTGAAAATGAAACTAACCCAGTTTACCCTTTTATTATTAGGATGATGTGGTGAGGCATTTCAAAACTCCAACTAATGATTTTTCTTCGCGCAACTCATCTTGGTTAAAAGGTATTTTTACTGCTGCGACTGCAACCATTGGTATTGGAGCATACTTTGCCATAACATGCAAGTAACCTTGGTTGGTCTTTACCCACTGATCTCTAAACCAGAACTGCTTGCAAACTTAGTGAGTTTTGGGATGATTAGTGGGGTACTAAAAATATTAGCAAAAAATAATTGTACGATTTCTTTAAGTATTCATTTTCTTAGCATTTTAATTTTTATTCATATAAATATGCGTTGCTTCAAATATCTGCTGCAGCATGACAAGCCAGTACTGTTTTTGAGTTCCGAAGAAAACCAAGGTTGTCTTGAATTTGTTGTTAGTAACAGCTGGTACTACCGTTGTTGTTTTGTCAGTTGTGTTATTATTTTACGCACAAATGTAATTGTATTTACTTTTCTTACTTTCCTTGGGAACTTATGTACTCAATTGTACTTAAATACAGTATTATGCTTTAAAATTAACAAAAAACTTCACCATAAAGTACAAATAAAAATTCACAAAAGTATTTCATAATTGTGATTTTTGAGATACTTCGTGTATGTGTTGTGAAGTGTATCGATAATGGCGTCATTGGTAAAGTCTTTGACTGAAGAAGATTTTAAATATCTTTATCATTGCGATAAAAACAAGCGTAAGGTTCTTTTGGCAAATATTTTGTGTTTACCTCAATTTTCCAAGGAGGAAGATGATATGAAATGGTCAATCTTGTTCGATTTTTACTGGGAAAGTGTAAACTTTGCAAGCGAACACGGTTTCTCATGGCGACAAGGAATAGCAGTTATTGAAGTGATGAAAAAATTGTTGTGTAATACACTTGGTAAACGGTTTTTACATTGTTTATTGAATATGTCAGTTTGGTTGTTTCTGTACGCTCACTATCTTACTAATTTATTCACCAGAAAATTTCCTTGCCGGGTTTTAAGTTCGCAATTTGTTGAAGGGAGTTAGGAGACATAATTAAAGTCCTTTCCCGTCGTAGGAAATTGGAGGAAAACAACACCTGTCAGCTTAATGTTGATGAATACAAGTTCATGAAAACATGAATATCTATAGACTGTCTATTATAATACCAATATATGGCTGGTGATGAGATGTATTTTAGCACTTGAGCCAGGCTGGAAACTTTGTAAATTGTGTACCCAAGATCTCAAATGCGCAGTACAAACTATCCTGTATGGTGCAGCTCTGTAGATAAATGGTAATGTCCTGCACTTGGATGGATTTTAGCATTTGAGCCAGACTGCAAGCTTTGTAAACCGTGCACCTAAGATTGCATGCTTAATAATAAGCATAAAATTTTATTCCAAGATCTTGGCTGCACAGTGCAAACTTTCCAGACTTGCATCTGAGTAACGAGACATGTCAGTTGTCAATGAGTTTGTTATTGATGCCCTCAAGTAAACTAACACGAATTATAATCGATGAATGCTATGAAATAATTGTTTTCTATAAATGCCTTATAGTTATAGATACTAAAATTGCCTTTTTTGAATATCCTATAAACTACTGTGTTGCTCCATTTTTTGACATGAATGCTGTTGATTTTTTTTTCTAGAACTCTCGCTTCCTGAAGCAATGGAGTACTGTAAAAATGTCCTGGGAACTTATTCCTCTGTCTTTCAAATAAAGCAGCAAAGAATTCTTGTTGATTTCGTCTTTCTGTTATTTTTCAACCACTTTCATTTGTACAAGTATGTGTTCACAAAAGACAGAGATGTAGACAGGACTGAGCATAGTCTAATCATGGAGACGCCATCTGTTATACCAAGACTTTGCGAAGGCATGGAAAAGACCAAGTATGATAAACAACAAGCTTTAGTGAAATTGGAAGATAAACATCAGAGAAGGCAAATGGTTTGTTTTGAAAGTTATATCCGTATTTCAAAAAACACTCATTTCTTTGCTGTAGTTATTTGATGCACCTAGTTTGCCTATTGTCTGGCAACAACATACAAACAGTGCAGTGGCATGCTGGAAACAGTTTTTCCTGGGGGCAATCAATTTGCTCTGAAAATCAACCAAATAGCACTTCAGAAATGAGGGGCAAAGGCTCGAGCCAAGCACCACAGTTGCTAGTTGTACTTTGGAGGATTTATACATGGTGACCTGGAACATTTTTACATCAAGAAGCTCAAAATGCCATTTCTTGGTCTTTAAGGAGTGAAATATTACCAACTGTAGCATTTTAAATATATTGCTCTGACCCACATTCAAAATTTGACACCCTATGTTCATTTCTGCATCCCATGCACCCCCAATTATCAATGGCTTGGGGGCATGATCCCCTGCCCGCATGCCACTGAAACTGTGTATTGTGATTTTGGCAAATGACATCCTATGATTGACTTTATTTACAAAGACAGTGGCATTATTTTTTAGGAAAACCAGTTAAAACTCAATGAAGAAGTTAAGAAACTTCAAATCATGATACACAATCAGCTGTCATTAGTCAGTAGCGAACATTCTGTCGCTGAGAAAGATTTAAAAGACATTGTAAAAGAAGCTATAAAAGCGTATGTTGCCGAAGCTGGGTCAACTTTGTCGTACTTGATCAAGGAAAGCCACGAGAATTTGATATTTGAGTTTGAGAAATCAGTTTGTCAACAGGTAGTGAATGCCCCTACTATATTAAAATTAAAGGAAAAGTCGCCAAGCAGTAGCACAGCGAAAAAGAAATCAAGAGGGAAAAAATCTCGGTAACCTTCTTGTGTTATTTTCATTTGTCGTTATGTTACTACACAATGAAGTTATGTAAATTAAATTTTGTTTATACTTTATACTAAAAAGTTCGTTTAAAATATTTTTATGTAACATAAAGTAAAGAAAAATGCCATCTTATCATGTATCGCAGGCGCTGAATGTGAAGAATCGTTAAATTAAAAATATATGAAATTATAAAAATACTGTTCATTTTCAATGGATTTAACGGAAAAAAATAAGCAGTGTGAAGATGATATAGAAAGAGAAGTTATTCTAAAGGATGATGAAGGAGGTGAACGTTTAGAAAATGTTGAAAATGACCAAAAAACAGTGATTGATGAAGAATCGAAAGTTGAACTTGGAAACACACAAACTTCTAAAATTGTCAAAAGTGACGACAAACAAACTTCTTTAGAGACTTCTGAAGAAGCTGAAAGTCAAGAAAAGAGATCAAATAATGAATCCAATCTTGAGAATGTCTCACCTGGGGATAAGCTACCGACAGATGAAGAATTGGTAGGTGGCAATGAGCCTTCACAGACTTCACTGGCAACAACTGTCGACGAAGTAATTGCAAATGTCGATGAAGAGAAGAAGAAAGACGAATACATAGACCTTTTGGGAAATGGTCTTTTGTTGAAAAAGGTATATCCATTTTAGTAAGTTTGTTTCTTGATACATGTTGTCAATGTCGATAAGAAATTAACACTTTCAAAAATGGAGGTCATGTGTGATGTTTTAGCGAAAAGTGAAAAGTGGGATGGAAATGAATTTGAGTAGGAAAAGCATTAATTCCTGCATACTTTTTTAAGTTAAAAGTGACATGATTTTAAGCACAATTTTCTTGTTGAAAGTCAATATGTTGGCTTTCTTTTTTAACATATGTATTGTGTGCTACGTAGATCATTAAAGTTGGCAGTAATGTTGACGCAAAACCAGTTGCTGGCCAAGAAGTTTGTGTAAAATGCGAAGGACAATTACCCAGTGGTGAAAAAGTTGATGTGAAAAATGAGTTGAGTTTTATTGTTGGTGATGGTGACGTAATAACAGGTTAATCTCACTGCTCTAGTGTCATTATTGATGAATTGTGTTATGCTAACTGTTGTATTGGTGTTTTAAAGTGACTTTGGGTACTAATTTTTTGTAGCATTTGATCTGTGTATTCCAACAATGTCGGTGAAAGAAGTTTGTGAGCTGAAAGTTGAACCAAGGTTTGCTTATGGCTCCCTGGGAAGGTATGTTCTTTGCAGCAATATGTTGAAGAATATATAACCTTTTAGTCAAAAACGGGAAACTGGGGACTACTGCAGTTTAACGGACACCTTAGACGCTGACCCAAACCCTAACCCTAATCCCAAGGAAAAACGAGCCTGCCCTCAGCATATAAGCACTTCGGGTGTCCTTTAAACTGCAGTATAGCCGAAAACTGTTTGTAGTTATTATTGATTTTTCTGTTTCCAACTGTTTTAACAAGTTGATTTCCAAATTGTGGCCATATTATTTTTAGAGAAGATGACGAGGAAGGTGATATACCCCCTGACAGTGTTGTCACCTATAACCTGGAGCTTTTATCCGTTGCTAATGGACCTGACGTTTCAAATTTGACAGATGAACAAAGAATTGATATTGGGTTGTTGAATCTGATTGGTGTTAGAGTCGAGAGTTCCATTATTCTTATTTTTCTATTGTTTATTTTCGTAGAGACCAAAAACGTGAACGTGGAAATGACTTATATCGAAGAGAAGAGTTTTCTTTAGCTGTTTATTCTTACAACAGGTTCATTGCATTCGTCAATATAATAAGTTTACCAGTTTTATTATTATCATGCCATTCTGAATGTAAACTTTTCTCATTTTATAAATTTAATTGTGTCTATGTTTAGAGCATTGAAATACTTAGGATCATCCAATTCAAAGGTGATTGTGAGTTTTGTGATTCCATAATCCCTTTGTAATTCACGTATCAATCTATTTCGTGATTATGCTCTTTAGGATATAGTGGAATTAAGAATAAAATGTTGGAACAACATATCAGCTTGTCATTTGAAGGTCAGCATCTCGTCTTTTTACTAAATTAAATCATTTTACCATGGATTTAGTTTAAACTATCTCATATGAACTATCATACTAAGCACAGATGGGCTAGGTTGCCTATTGCTCACTAAAATGAATAAAATGGTTTGCAAACATCAGGCAAAGGAATATATGGCTGCTAGAAATACTTGTGACTTGGTGCTTGGTGTGGACCCTGATAACGTGAAAGCATTATTTCGCAAAGGAAAGGTTTGTTTGTCATTTTGTGTTAATAATAGTTACTTTTGTTTTTTTTGTTTTATGTGAGTTATATTCTTGTTGTTGTTAATTTCTTCATGTAAAGATGTTTTCGTTAAACTAGGTTCTACGTTTACAAGGAGAATATGAAGACTCTTTTAAAATCCTTAAGAAGGCAAATGACCTTGATCCAAGTAATAATGTAAGTTGTTAATGTCTTTGGCATTTGCTATACATTGCTTTAAAATTGCTACGCTGTTATTTTCTGTTATCATGTGATCAATTATGTCTCATTTAGCTTATTCGTGAGCTTTACATTGTGCGACAGAAATATGAGGAGAGCCGACAGAAAGAACGTACAATGTATCAAAGAATGGTGGGTTGTCATGGTGATGATGATGATAAACCTAATGACAGTAATAAAAAGGTAAGATTTAGAATGCCTTTAGACTTGAATGAACAATATGTAATGCCAATAGTGCAAGGATACTATTCATTTCTTGGATACAGGTGAGTGTAGGGATCGAGATGGGTCTGGGGGGAGGGTATGGGATGATGGTATATCCCTTTGAATGATAAATTGACCACATAACTTTTGCTATTTCTCCTTGTTGTAATGTACCTTTAGCATCTCAATCTCATACTACTAATAAAACTGTTGCCTTGTCATTTATGTTAGTTTTTCACTTGGCCTGTCATCCTAACAGCAAGCATTGCCGTGGGTGTTGTTGTTGTTGCAGTTATTTTTGCGAGGCATTAGATGGTTAATGGATGATACTGCTTGCCATAGAAGTTGAAATCCAGCTGATTAGTGCCGCTGTTTGAAAAGATATGCTTTCTTGTTGACCATGCAAACAATTCTTGACTTATAAATGGAAGTTTCTGAGATTAAAATGTGAAATTAAAATAGTAAATTAACTTGCAAATGCAAATAAAACTCGTATAAGATTCAACTTGAATGACTTTTCAATACATCCAATACTGTACAACTGCCTATAAGTCTATTTCCTTACCTTTCCGTAATTACAGTTTTTTGAACGTTAAAATGGTCGCCCTATTTTAATGATCAATCACATTCAAAAATACACTATAGAATGCAAAGAGTTCTAAGTATCTTTACTATTTGATGGTTTTGTTTGATTACGAATAAAAAATATTGGCGTTTGACTTTGTTCAAAATGAAATAGACGCTACTTCTTTGTGGTCGTGTAGACGAATTTTCCTTGTGCTTGAATCAAAGAAAAGTTTTGACGGCTGAAAAAATTTGTTGCTTACTTTACTTAAACGCAGACTACGAGTAAAAAACAAAATTTTCTCTTTTCTTAAAGTTTTTTTCCTGTTGAAGTGCAGATTCGTGTCGAACTTTAGATTAAGTTGGTTCACACGTTCCAAATCTATTTCTTTTCGAGTGAGCATGCTTCAAAGACATAAGAGATTCAAGAACATTGCCTACTGCAATTTTATATTTGTCCTCGCGGCAGGTGTGGTTTGTGTTATGTAATATTAAAGGACAAAGGTCTACAAGCACATCGTCTCGTGATGAAGTCATTCAAATGTGGACGGTTAATAGCGGATGAAAACACTTGATTTCCAATGGTGATTTCCTAGTACAAGTTCAGTCTTTTCTTAGGTTTCATAGCAACATTAGCAAGTGTTGATTATTTCCATTTGACTCTTGAACTCTTCTTGACTTCGATACTTGGACTTAAGCAAAAACAAAGAAATGTCTTTGTAACAAGTGTCACGAGGATATTTTGTAATCCGTAGTGGTAATGACGTGTTTAATAACTTGGATGAAATTCGATTGCAAACGAAATCTTGTTCTGCGACGAGAACTGCAGTGAAGTCAATCCTATAATAAAGTTATTCACGAGTCGCGTATCAAAGGAAAAGTAATACAAATATCCCGAACCTGGGTCGAGTTCATCATCTCCGCTGGGAAAAACCAAATTGAAAACATATTTAATTGCATCGGGATCGTCATCATCGGTGTTAAATGATAAGCTCTCCTCTCGTTCTCAAACGAATCTGGGATTCTTATGGAAAAGTCGAAAAAAATCACAAAGAAGACGAGTGGGATGAAACGTCACGAGCTCAGCTTATGCTGGCGAAGCAAGCTTTGCTACGGTGTTGGTCATATTTTAAACGATCTATGTGCTAATGTATGGTTTTCCTACTTGATTATTTATATGCAATTCGTTGTGCAGTTGAGTGCAACTTCAGCTGGTTTTTTGTTGTTGATGGGACAGATTGCAGACGGTATAGCAACACCATTAGTTGGTATTGAATCGGACAGAACCAGACCTTTAAAATATGGCCGCAGGAAGCTGTGGCATTTGATCGGAGTGTGCTGCGTCTCAATCAGTTTTCCTTTTATATTTATCAAATGTTTCGGATGTACACGCAATAGCGAAGACTACGCCAAAGTTATATATTACGTTCCTTTTATTGTCATATTTCAATTTGGCTGGGCGACTACCCAGATCGCGCATCTTTCATTGATACCAGAGCTTAGCGAATGTGAAGTTGAAAAAGTGACTTTAAATGCTCTTAGGTATGTAACAACTGTTTATATAAATATGGTTAGCCATTATTAACTGTATTTATTGCCAATGGAGAGAAGTGTAGAAGCTAGTGTACTCCTTATTCAAGTAATAATTTTGAGGAATGAGCTAGTAACGGTTTGCTTTAACTTGGTACGAAGTAGACTTTTGAAGTAACGTTATACTGCACTCCGTTATTTTAATTTCATGATGGAGTATTTTGTTACGGTTATAATGTTCACGTGATGAGATTTCATAGCTATATATGAAATTTGGATTTTTTCTAGAATTTAGGACCATACTACTTTACTGTAACTGCTGTGCTTGATAATGTCACTAGAAAATGTCTGTGTGTAGGTTTTATCAAATCAATATAGTACCTTAGATCTATTGCTATACCTTGTAATGGTGTCCAGTACTTTTACTTTTTACTCATAAACTGATGAACATTTTCCTTCCAGGACTTTGTACTTTTACTTAAGTTGTTACTTCACTGGTTATTGTCTTAGATATGTCTTAGATACCTTTTAATGGTGCCCAGTACTTTTACTTTTTACGCTTAAACATTTTCCTTCCAGTACTTTGTACTTTTACTTAATTTGTCACCACTGCACCAGTTATACTGACATCATTAATTTTTTAGGTATGCAGGTACAGTTTGTTCTGGAATCATTGTATACCTTGTCTTCTGGTATTTGATAAAGACCATGAACTCCAATGATTCCTTTGGTCCTGAAGATCACAGCGAATTTATGGTATGAGATTTATTGTTTTCATTTTGTTACTTAATATAGGCTGTTTTTTCACCTCATTTTTTTCATTTTAAAGTATTTAGCTTTGATCACTATTGCCATTGGTCTGTTGTTCATGGTCATTTTTCATGTTGGTGTCAGAGAGAAGCCTCGAGAGTGCGTCAAGTTAGGATGTCAGAAAAATCGTCGTAATGCATGCAACTGGAAGCTTTGGTTTCATGAGCCAGAATTTTACAAGGTTTTGGAAGTTTTGGAAGTTTTTCATATGTATTTCTGATAATGCTATGTCGATGTCAGCAAGATTCTTTTCATTTTTTTCAAGATTGCCGTACTTTACATGTGTAGCAGATTGATTGTCAATATATCCCAAGTGTACACTCCTCAATTCACTAAACGTACCTTGCATAATCAAAAGTACGCTACTGAAACATTGAGTTGCCAATCGTTATGATGATTATGGTCTTGCGGATAAATGTCTTTTGCGCTTTAGGAAATTGTGGCTATTGTTCCTCTCATTGTGTTTGTGAGTGGTTTCTTCACAACAATTGCAGCCAAACATTTAAATGTTTTCATGGGTCAAAAGGTAAGATAATGGTATTGTATTTCATTGAAATTTTTCACGCTGACCTTTAACTTTCCCATGTGTTCCACAGGCAACTTACATTTTTGGTATGCTTGCAATCATCGGGAATTGGTACAGTGATTCTTGCAAAACTATTTCACATGTCCTAATGATGAAAACGTAAACTTAATTCATTATACAATTCTAATGATTTCAGCTCCTGGGTGTTTGTTATGCAAGAAGCACTTATGAGGTCTATGGATATGCCATCTTACTTGGTTTTGGTGGATCATTAAGTTTGGTAACATGCTTAGGAATGCTGGCATCCCTTATTGGTGAAAACAAAGTTAGTATCTGGCTACTACCTCATATTGAACAATCCATCAAGTTTCTCACACAGCTATTGTGAATTGGTGACCTTGCATTTGTTGGGAGTGCAGGGGGGTGATTGAAGGTAGATAAAATTGTGAATTGACCTTGCTTTTGTTGGGGGTGCAGGGGTGGTTGAAGGTAGATAAAATTGTAAACTTGGTTAGTGAGGGAAATGAAAGGATCCTCAAGTTTCTGTGCTTAATGTGCCCTTGTTTACTTTCTTATAGTTGGTTTTCTGAACCAGAGATGCGAGGCATGTTTTGACTTCATTATTTTATACTTTTTAAAGACAAACACTTTACATTTGTGCTTGGAAAAACTCAAATTAAGAACCATGTAAAAGCCTGTTTTCTAGTTATTGACAGGCCTATTCCTGCTAAAAAAAACTTGAGAGATCTCCATGAATATAGTTTGCAATGTGTTTTCTCTTATGACTGCAATTATTTTGTTTTTGTAGGAAACAGGTGCATTTGTTTATGGGGCAATGAGCTTTGTTGACAAACTTTCCAATGGAATAGCCATACAAATCATTCAGTCTTTCCACAGGTAAAAGCAGTGTACATATACTAACACAATATGTGCAGTGTTCATGTAATGAGACAAGATGATTTTCTATATACTGGAAATAAAACCCAATGTGTTTATTTAATCGAAATATCTGCAGTAGTATATGATTATCATGAAATTATATCCTGTCATTGAACAAAAGCATTTTTCAGAAGCAATTCAACCTTTCCCTTTAACAGTAACCCTTAAGATGATCTTATTAATATTTTTTATGTTTCTACTTCACTTCTGCTCAAATGGCTCAAAGTTTTTTTTTGGGGTGGGCTGAAGTGGGGAAGTGGTGCTCTGCATGCATAACTATTATTGACATTGTATCCTTTTGTTTCATTATAGCACAGCTCACAAGACCAGCTTTTATAGATATGTAATTATGTTTGTTCCTGGTGGTGCAGCCATTCTTGGCTTAATGGTTGCGCTAATGTTAAAAAGTAGGATGGAGCCACTAATATCTAAACGATCCCATAATGCCAATGGTGAGATTGTATAAAGCATCTTGTTTCAGAAAAGATAATTCAAATCCACTTAAGTTGATTTTGTATAAATTAACAGGTTTTATACATAAAGATGGCTCCAGAGAAGGACTATTGACTGGAATCACAGATTCAATACAAAATCACAATTATGGCAGCCATTGTTCAAGTGAAGATAAATCTTTGATCAGGGCTTTTAAAAGCTTAGTCACAGTGTGATGAAATGACTGTTGGACCACTTCCTATGTAACCTTGCATTGCTTTTTTTATGAGATTACCGTTAAATTACTGGCTACAGTTAGCCAGCTAACAGCAGCTACAAAAGTGTTATTGACAACTTGACATTATCATAATCATCAGCATACATGGGCATTATATCTCTCGTGAAATTTCAAGTGCATCAAAAACTGCTCATCTTCGAAAGCAGCAGACAATTAGAATTTGCACCATTCATGACTTATTGATTTCCAAGGAGGCATATGTAAACACAATTGAAATGAACTTCATGATTGAAATTTGCAATGAACAATTGCTGCAATTCGAATTTATTGTCTTCAATTGCTTTTACAGATCTTTTGGTATCAATTATTTCAGAATCAAATTCTAAACGTCGGCTGATTTCAAAAATGTGCAAATTTTTTGATACACCCTGTATTCCGCAGTGATCCTACTTTTTTACTCTTTGATGTGACTTAGTGGACAGTCAATTGATTTGTTTGACAGCAATCTTTATTAAGAAATGTGAAATCTAATTAAGATAAAATAATTAAATGTTTGCATTAGCATTATGAGCAAAAAATGGGACCTACAGACGTTACTGCAAGGTTTTCCAAAATAAGAACAAAATTGTGATATTCATATTAATAATTAAGTATTTAATATTCCATGTATAATATATAGAATTTTGTAATTTAATTTTATGACATCATCGCTTTAATAGCACCACACAGAGAAGGGGCGAGCGATGATGAATAAAGACTGGGGCCTAAACATGGATGACAATAATTTGCAGGAGAAGTTGGACGAACTTCTGTTGCAGTTTTTTGAAATATACGAGATTTTATTGAAACGAAGGGATGAACTTACGATTGCGATGAAAAATGGGTTTCTTGCAATGTCTAAAGCGAGATATACTTTGGGAAATAAGTCTGTTGGCGAATTGCAATACTCACAAAATATGGCGGCTTCAAGCACGGTCGTTATGGAAGAAGACCATTCTTGTTCTAGGGGAGTCGAATTTAAGATGGCAACTCATGATGGCAGCTCAGAAAGAGAACTTGAGTCAGGAAAGAAAGCGCGACAAAGTACAAGTGAAGGCGGTTTAAGGCACAGAAATATTTCAAAGAACTCATCGAATATGATGGGAGAAATCGAACATGGTAGAGAAACATCACGAGAAAAGAAACATGTCGACCCTCTGAATTGGTTTGGTATTCTTGTACCATCATCGCTTAAAGAGTGTCAGAGCGAGTTCAAAACTGCTTGTCAGTTATCTTGCAAAATAGCTCAATTAGAACAGGAACTGAGAAATATAATTAATGAATTTTGTAAATTGAAGCGCAGAAAACCATAACATACTTCATAGAGAACAACTGTATGTTTATGATTTTGAACAATCCTCGCCTCGGACGATCTATTTGCTGTACCAAAATGGTACAATTTTCTATAAAAAGTACATTTTTGCGAAAAGGGAATTCCCCCTCATCTGTAAGTCAGTTACATATTGCCACGTTGCTCTTGTACCAAACATAGCTAAAGTTGCATAAATTATAGTGGCCTGCATAATTATCATATTATGTGATGTCATATTACTCATATTTGCGGTGTTTCGAAAGTACAGCGTCGCACGTTCAGGAAGCGTTGTCCAAAACAGCGGAGGAAAACTTTAAATTTTTTGTTGCTTTTTGTCTGAATCGAGAATGGATGAGGTAATATTAGCGTGTGTTTTAATTATGCATCATTTTGGATTATAAGATTGCTTTAATATGTTTAAATTTCGTTGTGAAATGGATATTGTTGTCGTAGTAATGTCACTGAAATAGTGACTGAAATAGAATGAAAGGAGTATAATGTAAAATCCTCATCGTTTTACTGTTTTTCACATTCGAATTTCATGTTCATGAGGAAGTGGTGTGCTGGATATGTTTCCTTGAAATTATTTGAAAAGCATTTGGTTTAGAATGTTGGCAATATCCTTGATATTGAATGACCTCTTTGTTTTACGATACAGTGGTTGGTTGTTTTGGAATTTGTACCTCTGTGACTTTTGATTATATTTTGCTCACAGGAGCAAAGGTATCATTCTCATTTAACAGTATTCAGATATTAGTTTACTTAAGCAGAATGCATGCTTTATACAGACATTTTATGTCATGGTAACTGTTAAGTTTGTGCATATGAAAGTATCATTTATCAAATGGTGAACACGGTAGGATTTCTTGTACAGATTTTATTAGTTGAAATACTTGAGCAATATTCTTTACATACATCCAAACATTCATGAGCGAGGTTGTTTAAATCTGCATCCATTGCTATATTTCATCGATGGATTATTGATGCAACTTGTGTGATATTTTTGCAGACATCCAAAGTGATTCATGATCACAACTACGACCTGATGACATCTCTCATGAACGTATGTCCTCCAGATGATGAAGATCCCATGTCAGACATCACTTCTCCTACGCTTAGCGATGCTTCGTCAGACTCTGGTCTTTCGTTAAGTCCTGCGCAGCTTACCGATAACTGTTTGAACATTGACTTTGCCTATGACTTCAATTCAGGTGTGATAAATAATTAAACTATAGTTTTAAGTAATATAAAGAAGGCTTTTCTTGTTGCATTACTTGAATTTACTCAACCCTGAAGCTACCACATAATATTTTTTTCTTTTAGTATTTATAATCTTACCCAACCTCATATGGGTCTATGCAATTCTTGAAGAATAGCCTGCCTCCACTTTTGCCACATATGTGTGAGCTGTCGCATAAGTTACACTTCTTTATTCATTCTCAATGGAACAGCTTCCAACTCTGTTCTGATGTTGTCTTTGTAAAATTTTATCATTTTTTGTTGAAGGAACTTAATCAGGGACGGTGTCACAAAATTGAACCTGTGGGTTGGGGGTGGCTATAACTTGCATTCACCAAATTTACTGCTTCTTGCTTTGCCTCAAGTTAGGCTAAAATGTATATTTATGTTAAGCAAAACTTTATGTTGGCGAAGAAGTACTGCACTCTAGTTCATGTATTTGGGGCAATCTTTTCTTCAATATTATATAGACTCATATGAGAGAAGTGGATGTTTATAATGTAGGCTATCACATTCTGTACTTTTTGCATTTTCATGCAGTTCAACATCATGTACTCATTTCTGTGTAATGAATGACATATTTTTGAACTTAAAAGTTATTTCTTAGAATATTCACGAGTTATGTTTAGAGTTTTGAAATTCAGCTCACTAATTTTCTTCTCTTCAGATCCACTTTCTCAAACTACACTCCATTGTCACCTGAGAAAATTTTCAATCCTGCTTTTAATATTGACGGTAAAGCTGCAATTTTCCATTTAAATTCTTCAGTGCTCTAAATTTAAAACAGCGCATTTTCGTCTCATCAGACATTGACTTGTCCTTCCTGGATGACTTGTCAAATTTTGATGCTAAATCGAACGATGATTTGCCAGAGCTTGAGGACAGCATTATGCCTTCGCCAAGTTCTAATGCATTGGATCTTGAAAGTGTTGTTGATTTTATTCATGACCAATGCAAAAATCAAAATGAATTGGAAAATAATGGAAAGAAATCAATAAATGGTGATGTAGAACCAATGATCACATCATTGTCACAGCCTGTTACCATTTTGAAGGCATCTGCCAAGATAACACCAATCATCATCACAGAAATCAAAGCTCCAACACAAACCACTTCCAAAGAAAAATCAAAGGTTCTTGTTGCTTGTACACCTAGTTTACTTCAAAATTGTCCTCTAAAGCGTCTGTGAGACAAATGTTTTGTTGAAATTGTCTAAAGATATATGAAGTAAAATTGTTTATTTTGTTTTGTAGCCAGAGCAATTTGCTATTACTGAAGAAGAGAAAAAATTACTCGAAGAAGAAGGGCATGTTTTGCCAACAAATGTTCCTTTGACCAAGGTAAAGTTTTGTTGTTTTACAATCATCATAGACAACTCATGATTTTAGTACTAAAACAACCAGCTTGATCAAGCATTGCGTCGTTTGTAGGACGAAGAGAAATTACTGAAAAAAGTACGAAGGAAAATCAAGAACAAGGTGAGAAATGTTTTGTGGGGGAGGGGAGGGTTGTGGATATGGGAATATATTTTTACTGCTATTTAATCTTGTGTTAACTAGGTGTCTGCTCAGGAGAGTCGTAGGAAAAAAAAAGAGTACATTGATTGTAATCTTGTGTTAACTAGGTGTCTGCTCAGGAGAGTCGTAGGAAAAAAAAAGAGTACATTGATTGTAATCTTGTGTTAACTAGGTGTCTGCTCAGGAGAGTCGTAGGAAAAAAAAGAGTACATTGATTGTAATCTTGTGTTAACTAGGTGTCTGCTCAGGAGAGTCGTAGGAAAAAAAAAGAGTACATTGATTGTAATCTTGTGTTAACTAGGTGTCTGCTCAGGAGAGTCGTAGGAAAAAAAAAGAGTACATTGATTGTAATCTTGTGTTAACTAGGTGTCTGCTCAGGAGAGTCGCAGGAAAAAAAAAGAGTACATTGATGGATTGGAATACAGGTACAATATTTGTCTTTTCGACCAAATGTTCAACATTCTTTCGTTTCACAATCAATGAATGAAGGGCAACTTATGTTTTTATGAATCTCGCTGTCCGCAATGTCTTGTCACCAGGCTCCTTCGGAAGTGAGAAAGTCGAAGGGGGGGGTGATGTCTCACAGAATTTTTTGCTTGGTAAATCTATTTTCAGCAAAGATGTACGTTGACGAACGAACACTGACGTTAACATGTAGCATAATTTTATTTGTCTACCAACTACAAGAGGGTTTCGTGTTTGTACATGTTAATCGCTATTTAAACAATTATTGAAGGGCAACTTATTTTTTTATGAATCTCGACATCTGCAATGCATGTTTGATCTTAAAATGTAAAGTTGTAACCAGGCTCCTTAGGAAGTGAGATAGTCGAGGGGGGGTGATGTCTCACAGAATTTTTTGCTTGGTAAATCTATTTTCAGCAAAGGTGAACGAAGTTCATTAACGAACACTGACGTTCTGACGTTAACATGTAGCAAAATTTTATTTGTCAGACAACTACAAGAGGGTCTCATGTTTGTAAATGTTAATCGCTATTTAAACAGTGTATGTAGTCCTGTGAAGGACTGCTGCTGCTGGTTTTGACCGACGTTTCATAAAAGATCAACATCATAAAAACATGTAACGATACTCCCTAGTTCAAATCGTTCACCTTCTCAACTACTGAAATCGTGCTTATAACCACACTAAATATGAACTTTGGTTTTTTTAAACCTCTCGCCCCGTACCAACCCTTTTGTGACGTTTTCTCCTCGTCATTTTCATCAAATATTCGAATGACGAACGAAGATCGTGCAATCTTCATTTTCCTCTTTAGCGTTCTCTCATTTTGGTTTTAATTCGGTTTTTTTTGCGAGCGAATATTTCCGATTTTATTCGCTTTTTCATTTTTTCAGAGTGAAGACATGCACAGATCAGAACCGAGCTCTTCAACAGAAAGTCAGCAGTCTTGAAGAACAGAACAAGAGTCTTCTCGAGGAACTGAAATGTTTGAAGGAACACGTATCGCCTTCAAATCATAACAAAAGACAGACGAGTACCTGTATTCTTGTATTGTTCTTGGCGTTTGCTTTGGTCGCATTCCCATTCGAAAGGAGTACATTCCTTCGTACTCAAAGCAATTCTGTTGCTGATTCTTATTCAACCATGCCAGGTTTGTAAACGTCTGAGTAATGTGCCAGGTTGGATTACGCATGAGTATTCCGGGAAAGAAGGAGAGTTGTAGATAAGTCTATGTGACCCTTTGTCGGTGTTGTTCTGCTTCACAAGTATGAGTGTCTGATGAAAATTATTATCAGCAACATAGAAAAATACTTTAATGACAAACCAAGACATATTTAACCGAGGTCAATCAATAGCTGTCAGAGGTTTTCTTAATGGTGTTTCTCTATTTAAGTTCTCCTGCATGCCTTCAACTCCGACCTATTTTACGTAATTCTTTGGTCCTTAATTATTATCTTTACTCCTCATGCCTTGCATCATTTGATAGAGGGAAAGTGTGTGTATCTTGATAATTGTCTTAACAACCCGCCTGGGTAAGGCAATGACTGATCAAATATATTTTTGGGAAAGTCGCTGTGATAATATTTGTGTCGACTTAATAAATCCTGTTTTGCTTGATCCATGGTGCTTTTAGAACAATAATCATCCTAAAGTCTCCCATTTTGCAAAATTCACAGTTCAATTCACATTACTTGGAAATTAAGTGGTTGATTCTTGAAAACCTGAAATGGGCAGTTCTTGAAATTTCATTTGAAGAAATTATGTAGGACCACCTAAATGGCAAAACATTTAATATTGTCTTGTTAAACAAACTCAAAAAAAAATTTCGGGTTTACAATGTTTAAATATGCTTCCAGCTATTAAGGATAAGGTTTAAAGTTCCCTGTATTATCTTGATTCACCATAATCTTTTCATTTCAGTACGTTCAAGAACATTACTTGAGTACAAGGAGGACAGCGATACAAAGTCTCAAACAACTTTAAATATTTCCCATTATCTTCGAGCTTTCAGCGTTGTATTTTCGCACGCTGACGACAAGCACGATGTGGACGGTTATTCAACTTCTGCCATTTCGTTTGAAGAAAACAAAAGTAGAAATAAAGATACTTACAGGGACTATGCTTTCAGTAAATAGTTTGCTCATGTTTTATGAATTTGTTTTTTCGCTAATTTCTTTGATAGAAATCGTTGTACAGTACAGACCGAAAGTGATGTCTTTAGACAGTGGTGTATTGGAAGAGGGGGTCAACTTCTCTGGTTAAAATCCTATCTCTTGTATTGGTGTTAGTAATATATACCAGAGAGTCAGCAGTAGTGGTTATCTCGGAGAATCTTCTTAAAATTCAGACAATACACCTCTGTCTTAACGGTGAATATCAAACTCAGGTCGTGTTGTTAGAGTTAAAGTTCACCACGATCTTAGTTTGACTATTTACCTTTTGGACCAAACAATCGGAACCGAGGATCGTTATTTTATAGTTAGTTAATGGTGAAAACAAACAAAAAACAACTAGTTCATTTTCATCCACATTGATAGAACGCGTATTATTGTTGGAAAAAATAGAGAGTTTTAGAAGTGCTCTCAATTTGTATATACTGTATATATAGCTTAATAATCTGATTACATATGAAATATACTCCTTATAATTTTTAGTTTTAAAATTCCTCCTATTGTTCATTGTTAAATCACTTGAATGCTGTGGACTTAGAGACATTCGGAGTTGTAAACGTTGCATCACCATAGTAGTCACCATATTACCCATAATATCCATTAACACGTGATATGGATATGACGCGGGAAAGCTGGAGCGAGGCGGCCATTTTTGAAAAAAACTAAAAGAATTACAACTTTATCTTAAATTTTTTCATTATATCCTTAAAAATACTTGAAATTTACGATGAACTTTTGCAAGGCGTTTTTGTCAGAAGCTTATTCAATGGAGTGCGAACTATTTCTTCCTGGTAAAGCTAAAATTCCTGAGCAAAATGTGAAGAAGAAACCGAAGCAAAAGGCCGCTCTGTGAAACTGTAAGTACTTTTAATCTTTTTGGTGTAATGTAATGTGTATTGACTGCTTCTTTAAGTCGAAAACTCCACCGCAATATACCTAATTCCGGACATGCTTTAGAATTGAAAGTTCAGGAATAGAATAGTAAAGTGCATATCTGATCCACAGTCTGCACTGAGTGTAGGGAAAAGCGTTATTTTGAATGGCGGTAGACAGGAGCAGAGGGGGACAGAGAGGAACAAGGAGAGATGACGCTGAGAGCAACAGGGAATGGTATGTCACTAAATTCCTCCTGGAATAGTAAAAAATAATAAGATAATAAAATGAATACCATAAATAGGCTACATATTTACTCAAGATTTATTGTGTTATCACATTAACAGCAGATATTATGACATCTGGTAGTTTTTTGAGTTTAACTAAATTTACAAACATTAATTTTGCCTCGCTTTTAAACCAAACAAGTTGATGAAATGGCCAAAACAATGAAAAGGAAAGGTTACAAGACCATAACTGTGTATAGTCACTGCATTTGTATTAATGCCAAAGGCAAATAGTTTGTGTGGGCATAAAGCTGCTTAAATTAAAGGGGGAAGGGCTACGAAAACAGACAATAAATGGAAAATCAATACATTTACATGTGGAACATTTTCTCTCATTATAAAGTACCACTTTACATTAATAAGATTTACAAACAAATCATTTACAGTCAATTGTTTTTACAATCTTAAATATGTTTTGATGTCTTCTGTTGAGCACTTGAAAAACTTGTGATGTTAGTTTGTTGCCAAGATCTTTAAAAAAAATTCCTTCAAGAACATCAATATGCTGGCCTTCATTATACATAAAGCATTTTTTACTATATTTGGCAAACAATGTTGCAAAGTTCAAATTACCTACAGATGTACGTTTGTTGTAAGTTTATTGCCAATGGTAGCTTGCCAGGTACATACAGTTAAACACACATCTAAATCCAAGAACGAATTTGCACATTTGAAAAAAATTCCGTCTCCACCATGTATCCTTGTGTTTGAATGACGAAAATTGGACAGAACAACAACACATGCTTTAAAACATACCGAGATCTTCATATCAACACTTCAAGTACTACTTTAATTACTCTGCGAGGAATTTGTGTATTTACAATGTCTTTTTTTATGCATTTCTATATTATATTTCATCTATCCTCGAGGGTCGGAAGGATTACTGTAATCGTGCAATATCAAAGGGTTTATCGCATCAAATCGACGTCTTTTACGTAAATATTTTTTGCGGCAATCTTGTCGTCTCATCCTTTACAAGACTATCGCATTACGTTCAAACGTTAAAAAAACACCACAAAACAGAAGATTTAATCATTTTCTGGCCATATCGAAGGGAGACTTACAAACATGTCAAATAGTATTTGCGCATTTTTACTTGACACGCAGCTATCCATGTGTGTTTCGGCATCGTTGGCCATAAACCTCTTGCGCGAATTTCAAATGTAGTTTAAAGTACACGTATACAGAATGGATGTTTTGTTTTAAGTGCATTTAAAAAAAAAGAGCGTAAGGTTCGTGTTTAGCGGTGATATCATTGAGCCAAGATGTCTGGATCATGATACGTATTGTAAGGTTTGGTGGATCAAATCGCATTATGAAGATGAATCGTCATTCTAACTCTGAATGTCCTTCGGAGGATGTTGAACTCAGGACTAGAGTATTTGTCAAGATGAAAGTTGTTAGAAAAACGAAACTGGAAAAACGAGAAATGTACGATTTTACTCATCACGACAACAAACACGAAACTCCTGATGAAGAAGACAAAATGGAGCAGGCATCTACCAAGGAAAAATCAATAAAGGCGGTCAGCCAAGACGTCGTCTTTCGGATCATCTCGAGACAATTAATCCTGCTCCAGTGCGAACTCGTAGAAGAAGCGTGTCTTTTGATCCCGTCACCGTTTTAAAAACGGCCATTCTCGAAAACGACTTTGCAACTACGGAAGACGTGTTGATGTCGGGAAAATTAAACATAGATTTACAATTGGACGGCGTTTTGCCCGTTGTTCTAGCCGCAAGAGAAGGTTGTACAGAGTGTTTAGATATTCTTATACAGAATGGTGTGTCTATTGACGTCCAAGATAAACGTGGATGTACTCCCCTCGAACTTGCTGTGCAAGGAGGTCATTATGAATGTGCGCAAATGCTTATTGCAGCAGGGGCTAGCGATAATTCAATACGGAATGGATATTTTGACGAAGCAATCGAGAATGGAAGATATACGGACTTAGGTAGACGACGATCGCGGACTTTTTAATACAGTGGACATCTTGCTCAAATACAAACACTTCAAGTGCGCGCGATGTGCATTTCTTCACTGTCTGTTTGCGCTTTGTTTCTTGCTCGTTGTAGTCGTGTCGTAAAAACCTTTGAACAGGAGCTCACATCATTGAACGACGTGCAAAAAATTGGGAATAGTTGAAACTCTCGCAAAAATATCTGTCAATAATGTGCTTATACTGTTATGTAATAGAAGAATGGCGTGTTTAAATTTAAACATGTGTTCAAGACTACGACCTAATCTTATACATTTCAAGCATGCTGTCTATATCATTTCCTATCATCTTTAATATATTTTTCATGACGAGATAAAAAGCTTTAATTAAGTCACGATTAATTACGCACACATATAAATTACAATATCGTTGGTTGTCTTCAGCAAGCAATATTTCAATCGCACAGCGGCGTGTCATATAGTACTGTGATAGCTATCAAACATTTTTATTCATGTGATGAAATGTGTTTTTAATATTCTGTAAAGAGTTTTGACACTATGTGGTATCAGTATTGGATATCTGTAAGTTTTGACCCTCCCCAGCATGGTCAGTGGCAGTGGGAGCACTCGTTAATGGTCGGTGCGAAGTCAAGGCTCTCGATGGTAATCGTTGATTATTTTCATCTTTGATAAATACCCAGTGGTTTGAAGGTCTTTCTGCTTTGTGAGAGTCGAGGAAGGTTTGCGCTGTAATTTCATGTTCCCGACCAAACGGAGTTCTGAAAAATATTTGTAGAAAGTTTGGTTGAAGGCCAATTAAGGTTGAAAAATGGCAAGCAACATATTTAAGCTTACCTGATTGTGTAGTTAGACAATGAAGCTAAACATTGATTTGTCTTGCAATGACATATTAATATCTTTTTATTCGCCTAAAGATTGAATGCAAATATTACAAATTTGGTTTCTGAGATGCTCAATAGAGGAAAGATATTGCACTGTTTACTGAAGCAGTGAATGTGAAAATTTTTGTGATCCTTACAGGGATAGGAAGACCTTCGGTCTCTAAACGTTCTTGTGGATCATAACACAAAACCTTCCTGTGAAAAAAGAGTACATGATCATGAGAAATTTCTCTTCTGAAGTATTCTGATTGAGATTCTGCTTTCGTATTGTTAATCCTACCAACATGACAGAAAGGATGTTTCTTCAGTTAAGAGAATTTCTTGGTGTCTTGATTTCTTTGCACATTTCATGAATGTAGCTCGATCACTTTGTAATGAAAGCTACCATAAGAATTAACGATAGAAATAAAAATAAGTTCTTAAACACGATCTTTTACATTATATTGTTCCAAAAATCTGATATTAACAAGGCAATTTACATTTCCTCCAATTCCGGGAATTGTTTTTAAGTAAAACTGTTGACCAAACTTCAATATACCGTTTTCCTTTGGATCTTCACAGCTGAAAGAAAGTTTTTCATAATAACTTGAGAAACATTTTATTTACATTGAGTTAAATAAATTTGTATTTCCTCTCATACATACCACATACCTTGTTACAACAAAAACATTTCGGACACAAGGTTCCAGGAACTTTGAGCCAGATAGTGCACATCGTCCTTTAAGGGAAAGTTCTTCAAACATTCTGGTCTCAGGCATGTTTGCTGACAAAACTACCTCAGTTTCGGGGTTGAAGATTTCCACCAGATCTCCAAAGTGAACAAAGTTGTCATATGCTGGTGACAAGTCTACCTAAAAAGGTAAAAATAGATGAGAAATGGTTATTTTTTGTTGCAAAGCAGTCTTTAAAATGGCATATCAGTTTAAAGGATTCTCATGCACCATTTGCATATCACCTTATTAAGGATCGTTTTTTGAAGACTGTTTGTTTTCTGAATTAGAAGTTCGCCATTTTCTTTCTTGTCCAAAAAATCTTTGAACATATCCTAAAAAGAGAGGAGTTGCTCTCTTCTCATGATCCAACTCTGAGATGTATATCTAGTTGCACGGTCAAGATTTTGTTAAAACATAACAACCATACTGGCAGCATTGGTTTGTACTGAAAGCATTGGTTTGTACGAAACTTTACGAGTGAGTAACGAGGCGTATTTCTCTTCTGCTTTGTAGTGGGTCAGTTAATATTGTTCGGTAAAGTATCGTTGGCTTTATTTGTTTTGCTTTTTAATGAATAATTTGGAAAGCCAACATGTATAGAACTTTCGTCATTCCAGATCACCGATATTATCGATCGCTTTGTGTGTGCAAAGCGTTTCTCTGTATATACATACTTTCCAAAATGGCAGTATTAAATGAAGAAACGGCACATCATGTTTGTTTCTTGCTTCATTACCTCCTTCAGACACAAATCTTCATTCCAATTTCCAACTCGGACCGACGAATTGTACGTTCTAACACTCATTTTTTTTCTTTTCTTGCTAAACTATTTGAATTTCTTGGTTAAAATTCTCTCGTCTTTAACAACACATGTTTTAATATAAACAACAACCGTTGTTGTCACCTTGTTACTATAGTAACAATGTTAACCGCTGTTCACGATAAAAATGCGTACCGCAGGCGCATGTTCATTAAGGATAAGGTCACATCTTTTGTGGTGAAGTTAAGGTTTTGTGTTGAGAGGACCTTTGAATTGAAGTAATCTTATGTAACATAAAGAAAATATCAAGCTTAAAGCCTACTGCAGTCATGAACAAAGATTTGCAAACTGCAAACTTTTCAGAAGAATTTGAAAAGTTGTATCATCAACTTATTGAACTAGGCTCAGATTGGGTAGAGATAATCTCCAATAAGTCTGTTTTGAAGGATGGCTCGAAGAATTTCTTTTATTTCAAAAGCTCTGAAAATGTATTTGACTTTGTATTGTTTTTGAATACAAAAACTCAATGTGTTAAAGGTGTTGTGCAGTTTGGTCTTTGCAGCGAAGGTCCTGTTGGGTAAGGTTTTGTTTGAATAAAGTTGTTTGAAATGTTTTAGTTGAGCCAAATTGAGCATGACTTTATCATGTTACTAGATATGTACATGGTGGAGCAATTGCATGTCCTGTTGAATGTCACTGCAAACTTGAGAATTGTACAATAAACAAATTTCATTTATGATGTTGTCTCTATAGATCGTATATCAATAGTATTATATCATTGATAATATTGTCTCCGCCTCTCTATAGGCCAATTCCATTGAAAACAACAACATTAGTCGAAGCAAGTATTGAAAAAATTGAAAGAAGAAAATTCTACTTATCTGGAGAAATAAAATCTGCTGATGGCTCGATTATGTATTCAACAGCTTCATCTTTATTCATAAAACCTGCTCTATGATATGTAATGTATTTATGTTAATGTCTACCAACATTCTTCCTTGGAGACAACCAATGGCCTAGCCATCTTCCTTATTTACTCAGTGTTTGTTATTGAAAACTTTTATTATTGAAAATGAGGGAAAATTCTTGTTTAATGGGAAATTTTAATTTTTGAAGTTTGTTGCCTGGAAGTAAAACAGGTTGATCCAGACCTGGTGGACCATCCAGTTTTGCTTTCAAAATAATCTACATCAACAAACATGTATCTATATGAGATCATCAACAGTGGAAAAGCCAGCCTGGAAATTTGGTGAATGCTATTTTAATAATTTTATGATTCTTTTGAAATTGATTGTTTTTAGTTCAGTTAGTGAACAACAAAAAGTTTACATATCAATGAGAAAATTGCATGCTGGCTACTCCTCTGATTATCAACAACATTAAGTCAGAAGTAAAATATATATATATTTACCATTGTGGAGATGACTTTTACTAAATATTAAATTATGAGTTTTAAAGTTAATTTTTTTATATATTAAATTATGTATGATTTATTTTCATTTGATGCTGAATCCTGTGAAGAAATTCTCTATTTCTGGAAGAAATTGGTTGAAGACACTGAGAATTTCGTTGACGTAATGATGTGGAAGAACGTACATGTACGCATTGCGTATCTATTTTTTGAAAAGAGCTGATTATATATATCCAGTGATTTGACACATGCGCAATAGAAATTATAAAAGTTTGAAACAGTGGATTGAAAGGTAGAAAAAAATGCCTGCTACGCATGCGTGTCTCTTCCAGTCTTGGTTGCCTATTACGCAGGTGTGTCTTTGCAAATCTTGGATGCTTGCTACGCATGCGTGTCTTCCCAATGATTATTTTCGAGATAAAAGGCAGGTCTTTGAATTTCTTTTCACTGCTAAAAGTTTGTTACGTCAATCTCATTACACAAACTTTAACTTCTATCTCCTTACTTTGTTCTTCTACAGTAGAACAATACGAAATTTTAAACTCCTCTTCTATGTCTTACTTTGTTCTTCTACAGTATAACATTACGTCATTATAAACCCCAACTTCTTTCTCCTTACTTTGTTCTTCTACAGAATAACATTACGTCATTATAAACTCTTACATCTATCTCTTACTTACATCATCATAAACTCTAACTTCTATCTTTATGAATAATAATTCAAGCTAGGGGAGCTAAATGTTTACAATATCCACTGACTCCCTGTTTGCATATCACCGTCGGATCGTTGTTTAATAACGTCACATTCTTTGTCTCTCGAACCATAGGGAAGCACAAAACTCGCTCAACATCTATCACGTTTTCATTGTTTGTTTTAATTGCCAGCAAGGTGATCTATCTCATTTCGTTCTTTCTTTCACCTCAGTGTCCTTCGTGCGAGGCATGCTTTTTCTTCAAACCGCTCTATTATATTAAACAGGGTACGGTCAAGATCACAGGCAACCGACGTCGGTGTTTTGAACATATTAGATATGAGTGAATATACGGCCGCTTTCTCTCCTTCATAAAAATAATTATCATTGGAAAGAACACGCGTTAAACGCGACCACTTCACTGCGCGAGACTTTCATTTCGTTGCATCCGTTATTTAGTTTTGATTTCTTTGAGGTTGGCCAGCAATATCGAGTAATTTGCCATGATTATAAAACTGAGGTTTGTCTTTGTTTTTGTGGTTGCGCGTGAATAGAATTCCGAAATTTTTGTAAATCGATGATAAATCTGAATGGTGCAGCTAAATAACAAGATGGAGAAACGTTTTGCTTGCTTTCCTTAGGAACATTACGGCCGAGTTTAGCTTTTCCAGTTTCGTTGGCGCTTCATACATCGCTTTGTATACGGCGGAACACTGTTCTGTGAAGGCAAATTAATAGCGTTGGGTTATGATTGTCGCTCAACAGGGGATGGCCAAGCGCAATTTTGTCTAATTGCTTTGATGTGTTACAACCTTCCGAACTTGCATATACACACATGTTACATGAATAACGCCTTCATTAAACGCGTGCGTCGATTTTCAATAAAATTTGTTGAATCGGTTGAAATCGAGTGTTTGTGTTTACATGCATATACACAGATAAAGATACATCTTCATCGTAAAAAGAGTGAGGAAATTTTATCTCATACATGCGTGTATAGTTTATCGTCAACTTTAAAGTGCCGATTGACTATATAGCAGAATTATTTTCACACACTTTGCATTCATTTTAGCACACGAGGGTTTCTGCTATATTTGATCACTATTGAGCACGTGTATCTTCATTAGTCTTACCTCTCAGAAAATATCGATAATCGACGGTTTTTACTCTAGCACACAAATCTTTGATAAGTCCACATTACCACAACCATCTAGTGAATCAAATTTTTGATAAAAATACGAATAGAAAATTTCATATAGGGGCCTGTTTGGTTTCAAGCTTAGATCCTTGCTGTTGGTCCGACTTTCTACAAAATTTGCCTCCCTATTTACAAGAAAAATAAGTTGGAAAATCAGCTTTATCATTAACGTTCTTGTTGACAGGGTCAACTACATGTTTGGCAGTAACTGATAATGTTTTTTATCTAACCTATTATCATTTTTGTCACTGTACATTTTGGCACTTCAGTTATGTAAGAGCTTATATATGAGGAAAGAGTACTTATGCAAGCATAAAGAGATTTTTATCAGAGCGTGTGCGATATTGTTGAAGTTTAAAACCTTATCGTGTTTCACGTGAGTCAATATTTAGTTTAGAGAGTTGCTTCGTAGGTAGCTTCCTAATTATCTAATTCATGAAATCATTGCCTACATTTCAGTCCTGTCCATCAAGCATAGAGCTTTGTCTTATTGGGTTGCATAATGAAAAAGGACGACTTTAAACGAAGGATCTAACTCGGATGATTACGCGAGAACCAGCCGTCATTGTAAATTCCTTTCAGCCCGTATGTGCGCAGGTTTTTTCAATTCTATTTCTTTATTTATTTTGTGCGTGGATCGATATTGCACAAAAGATCAAGTGCTTATTACACGGTAAATTTCAAGCTAGAGTGTATTGGAAGCTAAAGTTTCTCGCAAAGAAAGACGTATACCATGCATAATGTTAAGATTTGATTCTGAAGTTCTCATTTCTAAATGTTTGCGATACATCTAAACCTACGACTTAATGATACTATAGTGACCATCAAAGGATGGATGGTGCTCAATATAGCAACCGAAACTTCCTTGAAAACAAATGAAGGAAGTTGTACGATATTGTTTTTAAGTTAGAGAGGAATAACGTATTATAAATGTATGTAGACTCAATGGTCGTTGATGCCAATGCGAACACTTGTGTCGCGTTTCATTGGCGTGTATTGAGAGTGGCAGACGTGATCGACGTTTGTTAATTAGACGTTAGTGCAATAATAGGTGCCTGTAGGCGGGTGCATCTCATGTCAACACTTTGATGAGAGCCGAGACAATCGATTAACGGGAAGTGCTCGGACAGTAAAACAAAAGCGCTTCTTACTTCCTAATAAATAGCTGTTGTGCTAGCAGTCTTAGACGCATATCTCGACATACAAAGGCGAACGCGTACCGTCTTGAAAGCTTTGCTAGATTCATATTGCCGCATTATTGTCAACAGCCTTTCGTCATCTCGTTGCAACCGACACGCTTGGTGTTTGATTCTTAAATTCAGGAATACAGTTTGTTTCATCATTCGTTTTCTTCTTGACGTTTGGAAAGCTTTCAATATAGGCATAATAAACAGTTTGTACAACTTCGTCTTTCGTGCAAGGGTTGGTTGAACTGTGTCAAGAAGATTGGCCTCTATAATACTTGGTATGTATTCTATCTTTCTTAATTTTATCATTATACATTTCGTTCTCCTGAATTTATACATTACCCTTTAGTAATTTTCTTCTGCCTGATCGATATTTGAGATGGGTGATTTCTTATAAATAAAGGGATGACGCTCTGTTGTCCTATTAATCTTATTTACCAAAGATCGTTTCTTTGTATTGCGCATGCAACGCGCAAAACTCGGTGGTCTTACAACTGACATATGTATATTCGAAATAGGTTTTGTTATACAAGTCAAATATTTGCTTTATCATGCTTGGAGTTAATAGTAAATAATGATATTGTATGTTCATTTCCTATTTATGCTCAAAAACCAAGGTCATTTAAACAAATATAATATAATTTTACTTTTTTCTTCTGTCTCCTGCGGACAACTCGTATCTTTTAGAAAGACTGACTGTTTAAACTCGTGATAGGTTCGATTAACAGTAATATAGGTTTAAATACCATGAATATTATGTAGAGTGGAACTGGAGTTACGTTGAAAATGCCCAGACCATTGAGAAATAGCTATGGAAACGCGAAACCTCCATACAGTTATATATCTTTAACGGCAATGGCCATTCAAAACTCTCCGAGGAAGATGCTCTCTTTATCAGAGATCTATCAATTTATAATCGATCATTTTCCATTTTATCGTGAGAATCAACAACGCTGGCAAAACTCCTTACGGCATAATCTTTCGTTCAACGATTGCTTTATCAAGATCCCCCGACGTCCTGACCAGCCAGGCAAAGGCAGTTACTGGTCTCTTCATCCTGAATGCGGTGCCATGTTTGAGAACGGCAGTTTCCTCCGACGTCGTAAGCGTTTCAAAACAATGAGGAAGGGTTTCGGCAACGCTAGCGCATCAAACTTCAAAGTAATGACGCATGGGAAATCAATTGGCCATCAGGCGAACGTTCAAGTGAAGGAAACGGACTCCAAAGATGACTCGAATCAAAGGCGTTCGTTTACCATTGAAAGTCTGATTGGTTTGAATGATGAGAAACAGCTTAATCATGCTGGAAATATGGAAAACACAGATGCTATCATTGGTGGTGGTCTGACGACGACTTTAAGTCATTCATACCATACATCAGCCTGTCCCAATGTGTATTCGAATACCTTCAATCCGAATGCCATAAACCCATCTTTATTTCATCGAAGCGATTTGTGGAAAATGCCCGTCTCCAATACCACATATTTGCCACAGAATATTCCACTTGCGCAGAACACATGCACGGATCTTATGCGCGATTCTATGTACCATCCCGGACAAGTACGATCATCTTTTTCTCCGTTGTCCGGCAATCTATGTAGAAATGGCATGCTGTTTCATGTATAATCTTTGTTGGTTCATTCACTGTAAAGATTAATCTATGAAAAGAGCGCTCCGCCAAAGATTGGAAATCGCCCCAAGGTTGTGTGATGAAAAAGTTTTGTTGAGTTTGATTTTGAGAACTAGGCTTTTGTCTTTTTTGCTGTGAGCATTGAGTATATATTGGCAAACTTCAAATATTTCCGTGTAATGTTTGAAGTAGAGTGTTGTACAGAATTGAGAATTCTCAACACTCATAAAATATGAAGTTTAACTGTGAATGACTGTAAAAGTGTTTTAAAAAAACTCCTTTCGTTTTCCGCTTTTACTGCGCGAGTTGTGTTAGCTATTGGATTTCATTCATTTTGCAAAGTTTGGATGCGAAGAAGCATAGCTTCATATATATACAACTCGCTGGAGTTTTCAGTTGGTAGGAAAGTGTGTATATGTCAGGCCATTTCTTCGTAAGAATTTCTAAAGGAAAGACTTGACACTTAAAACATACTGAAATAATATGCATTTCTGTTGCATTGTCGGCGGTATATTCGAGTTTATATAAATACAAGACACTTGAAGAGAGGAAATGTGGCTATGGCTTGCGTAAATGGAACATATGGTTTTAAAATTAGTATTAGACTTTGCTTGAAGATCGCATGCGTGTGGCCTAAATATTTATCTGTACATTACATTTTGAATTGGTTTTTGTCAACACTGTGTTATCAAAATCTTCGCTTATGATATTATTATTTTATTTCTCTGACTTCGTTGTTAATATTATATATAACATTATGTATATGAGTGGGATGTTGATATTTTTGTGAAATTCATGTTAAAACTTGAGGCAAAGACATGCGGAGACTATAAGCTAAAAGGCACAAGTATTTTAACAGTATAAGTTATCTTGTGTACATCTTGTACAAAACATATTTTGAGGCTGTGCTTGGTCCTCGCTCAAATCAAGTAGTTGATAAACATCAATTTTATAATGTTCTTGTTTTATGATCTTCAATGATCAACTACCAATTCATTATTTTCTTTAAACACGAGGAATTTTATTTCCAAGCGTATATATACACATACGAATCATTACAATGCAGATGTTTTTTGTTAGTTTGATTAGTATTAAAGAGAAATTATCGTCCTTTCTCATCGAGGAAACTAATGATTGCTAAAGTAAACATTTTTTAACTGTTCTCCATTGTTATGTTTTACTGAGAAATCTATAGCCATTGTCTTGAAACTATCCTACGTTTGTGTGTTGTCACATTATTTCATTATTTGCTAAACGTCCTAATATTTTGTACCAAAACATTATCGATAATTCCCTGCAGCGAAGGTTACAAAAATACCCGTAAACGAATGTTCCATTCATAATTGTTTGCTTATCTTTCGTTGTGTGTGTGTGTACATAGCGATATGGCTCTTTTGATTTTTGACGAAATGTAAACGAAGCTGTCCTCTGTATGTTAATGCATCTCAATTGTCTCTCATCTTTAGCCGTGTTTATATATTGTAATTTACGAAATTGTAATACGAATAAGAAAACGTATACATAAAAAGCAACTATTTTATAAACTCGTGGACTTTGTTATCCCTCTAGGGGATGTGTTATTGAAGTTAAAAAACTTGAAATTATTTAATTCCTTTGGAATACAGTAAAAAAGACACGCGGCAGAAATTTTCCATATGTTCATGTAGAGATTGTCGTTTTGTACAAAGGGCTTGGGAGTGGCCGTTGAGAAAGGCCTAAATCATCTCTGTATTTTCATTATTGTTTCATTGCCGATGTAATATTTTTATTTTAGCTAATGAGCATTTATATAAACATGATATATATAAAGCATCCGGTTATCTTATCACAAGTCGAAGATAAAGCACCGCCATTCTGTAAACTGCTATAAACACTAAACTTCCTCGTACTATACATTTTTTATGACTGTCTCAAGTTTCTATACGATCACATATGCGAAAGCCAAGTGATATAGACAGGAAACTAGACCATCAATGTCATGTTTTTGTTTTTTGTACAAAAGTAAACGTTCATATATCATCAAAACCATCTGTGATGCTTACAATGATATAATGTTGGCCTGTTTCTTGAGATATTTTCATAAAAGTTATCGTACGTTAATCATTGTTTATGTCAAAAGCTTGATTTGAACAATTGTGTATAGATTGTGTGTTTTTATGATAATATAGCTGGCAGTGCTCGGGTACATGCGGAATTGTCTATTTCCTTACGGAAACGTCTTTATACATGTAGGTAGAAGAACACAGGAAATTTTAATGTCTTGTGTTGATTAAATATATATCTCATCGCATAGTTGTCAGAGTTTTTAACGAAGAGTACAGTTTTATTGTTTCAAGATTTGTGACTACGATAGAATGGTGCTTTTGGTTAGAAATTAGAGAGGAAAGCCAGTAATACAGAGAGGCCAGCTGTTCGAGAAAAATCTATGATAAAATTCGTCGAAAGTTGAACTGAAGAGTTTTTTTTTTTACTTCAGTTAGGAAATAATTTCAATCGAGTGTAGTTGAATGTGTCCTCTGACTATTATTTTTCGAGCCGTTTCTCATTTGATCTGCTCCCCACGCAGTAATTTATTAGTTCACGCATTTCTTTATTATATTATATTGTATATCAAGTTTGTAGAACTAATTTTGACTGTCAATTAACCATATTTAATGGCTCTTTTCAGGGTACCCGCAAAATGGAGCCGGAGAATATGAAAGGACAAATTAATTCTCTTTGTGAGTCTTTATGTTGCTGATCGTCTCGTGCATGAAGTAATAATGACAACTATTCACAAACAAACGAGCATGGAAGCATTTTGTATTTTGTTCTCTTCTCATTCATGAAACAATCGTTTCTTGTTCCTGTCATATTTTTTTAATGTTATAATCAATTATTTTCTTTTCATTCTCCAATATTTCCATAATTATCTATCATTACAATGAGATGTTTTGTTTAAGCCGTGAAATTTTATGTTTTAGATATTCCTTTTCTGCATTTCACATTCATATCAACAAACGTAGCTACAAACTGAGTAAAGACGTCGCTTTGATTTTCTTCATTTATCTTACTATACAAACAACAATTGTTTGAACAAGGTAAAGGATTTTTTGTCATTTTAATGGCGAATGACGTATTTGAACTATGTATAGAGTCTTACAAAATTAACTGAAAGGCTTTGCATGTACTTTTCAAAAATGTGCAATTCAGTTTAAAATTACTGGTGGTCTGTAATGTTTGTATCGATTCTCGCTTGAATGAAATGATAACCTGTTCATAGCCGCTTAGGATGCTTTTACAGACAAAACATTCCCGTTTTTCATTTCACGAAATATATTCAGGGTGGTCGTTTTTATCAAAGACCGCGCCTTTGAATTTTTCAAAACTTTTGTTTGTTTGTCTCGGGCCGTTTTGAAAAACGTAGCACACGACATGCTGGTAGATAATTTTACATTTTACCGAGAGCCAAAAATATATACCTTTAAATTAATTTTGCTTTGTTTCACAAGTTGCGAAGTCGATGATGTGAAGAAATTCAGCGGCGGCATAGGATAGCCCAGTGTTGTTCTTAGATAGTTAAAGTGATGGAATATGTGTATTGTAAATGCATGGCATTATTTTTCATCAATGTTTTCGGTTGTCATACTCAAACGGCTTCGTTTGATTCACCAACACCACTGATGTTTTTGATAATCAACGAGAACTGTTCTGTGCTGTTGCTCGATTTTACATGAACAGTACATTTTGTATAGCTTCATGCAGATGCCTAATACCTGTATTTCTGAGTTAGCTAAGAGTAAAGTTTTACTAAAAATCAAGCGTATTAAGTATTTAGCTTCATATATACATAATCGCGCAAAATGCATTCTTGATGCAAAAAGTGATGATTGTTGGGTCCGTGCGTGTATTGCTATAAGTATATGTTCGCTCCATGTCTAGTTTCAACACATGGAAAGGCGTTGTGAAAACTTTTGGTTTTTGTTCCCCTGTTGTGTTTACACTGCCAAAATGTATTTATTTAAGAGATGGAAATCAATTAACCAAAGTTAAACAGCTCCAAGCTAACGTCCAGTTTGTTTTCAGAGCACGTTTCTTCCTCATTAATCGTTACATGCATCGAAACATCACACACAAAATTAGAATTCTGCTTGAAACCTTCTTTCTAATTTTGTCGTCTTGTAATAATCGGCAAAGTTCAATAGTCTAGTCAGTAAAGGATTGCGTTCGTGAGAATCACTTGCGGCGACAAAAAAGTAACGGAACTTAGAGAGACTGGAGCGAATGAATGATCAAAGGTTTTCTTTATGAAGCTGCATCTGCTGTCATTGTAACAACGAGCGACAAAATAAGTTTTATTTGTCAAGAATTTATTGAAAAATTTCATTATTTTGTGAACATATTTGTGTTATGACGTTGATACCGCCACCAACCGATAACCTTTCCGTAAGGAAAAATTATCAATGTCCGTCCGTTAATGATTTGATAATTCCTGCAAATGATTTCATTCGTTGTGCGGCGTCAAAATCCTTTGTCGCGATCATCCACAAAATATTATTTGGATTAAAGGGAGCAGTAAACGTGAAAAACTTTGAATGTGTTCTTTTGACGCTGGTTTAAGTGTAAATAGCTACTGCTATACACAAGATGTTTCCCGAACGCTCTTTTCAATTTTTTTATGGAATACTTAACTAGATTGGATTAGCCCTCACTTGAGACGGCGGTATTTCAAAGTAGCTGCGCATGAAGCTACTGCCGACTTTATCTAAAGTACTGTTATTAAATAAATATACTTTATTAAACCAACATTTCTTAAACAAGTGTTCTCTGATTGCAAAAAAACATGCTCCGTTGTTATCGAAAGACTACAATCCTGTATTTTTACAGTCAAAGTGATATTTTAATTATCATAACTTTCGAGGGTGTTTTGTCTACTCAGACCTCCAGACGTGTATCTCACTAAAAGATAGAGGGAAATATGTAAATATTAAATGGGTTGTCATTGAATTAATCACCGATAGGAAAGTTTCTATCAAAATATCTTATAGATGTCATGGCGTATTAATCGAACAATATTAAACCCTACAGGCCAAATAATCGGTTAGGTTGGTTATTATGTGGCTAAAATTTTTTTGATGGAAGCAAGTTTTACATCTTACCTTTCTACAGTTTCATTACATCTCTACACAGACATTAAGAAAGACATTCTTGTTGCTCTTTTGGGAAAATAGACTGAAAATGAAGCGATGTAATAAAAGCATTAGAAGAAAGATGAGAACACTCATAGTTCATGGTTTACGTTTTTTGCATTGAGGATCTCTTAAATTAATGGTAGAAATAGGATGAGAAACGTCATTTTTAACTTTGGAGGAAAATGAAGATGATTTTTGCTTTAACTCCTAAATATATGTTATCTAGTATGATATGGGAATAATTTATAACTTTTAATATCCATGGTGTTCCTTTATAATGGTACTACATGATTACATTAACTGAGTTTTAATTGAGTACTTTGCCCATGCATCTATACTTGCCGAAAACGTTCACATTTATATAATGAATCAAAAATAATTATCTTCTTTAGAAAAATACCAGTAAAGTCTTCATTAATTGATCTTACTGATGTGTGTTTGTGATTTCATGAGTTGCGTATTTGTCGTGATAAAGGTGTATGACTGGTGGTTGTCTGCCGTCTTGACTGGCAGGCTATTTTTGTTATAGGCGACCCGTCTGACTAACGCATTACACTTGTCAACAATATATTCATTGGAATTATAATGAATAACGAAAGCACGTGACCTTTGCTTCGTTTTTGTGTTTGTTTTGCAAAAGTGAAAAACTTGTTCTCTTTATCTCCATGCTGTAATTATGTAATAACGATATTGAACAGTCTGCGTCATATAGCTGCGCATGCGTTGTAATGTTTTCTCCCGCAGTTGTACAGTAACGTTGTTAAATTTGTTTGATTTTCGAAGAGTCCATGTTTATTTGTTTTGTTTGTCTTCTATAAACGTGAACATGTGATTTTAATCGGTCCATGTAATCTGGACTGTAATCTCTACAACGTGGGTGTAGTAATAGAGAGTGGGCCAAAGCATTCATGGTGTCTGACTATATCCACATGTTTGAACTCTTGCTATATGCTCATGAGATAATTTTTAATGTGTACATGCAAGGAACATCTTGTAGTGGAGAAATGTTTCTTTGTACGAAATTACATTAAAATTGCACGAAAGTGTTCTGTCATTGCCGCCTTTTAATGTCAACGATTGGATTTTACCATGACATTTCAACAATCAGGAAAATAATCCGTCACTAAGTTATATATATATGTAAGCAAAATGCAATTAACGACCTGTTGTTCTTTGCGTTATTTCATTATTGTACGAATTTGCTCTTTTGATAATTCCTTTCGACTTTTGATGAAATCTAAACTCAAGAACTGTACAATGAGATAGTATCCTGAAAAGTGCTCTGAACGAAATATAAAATTTTTACATCTATCTATAAATGGAGTATATAGACCATGAATGCAAATGTTCTACGATTGATCCCTACGTGTATCCTCAGTTTGCAATAATTCATTCATATCATTGATGTGAAATATGAGTTTTTTGACATCAATGACATTGCGGTTACAACATGTTTCCTGTATAAAACATTTTGCAATAGCATAAATTCATATTACATTTGATGCAACTAAAGCAAGGTGAAAGAACCATGTGTTCACTTTTTTTAATCTGAAACGTCCAATAAGAAAGACAGATGAAGTTTAGTGGATTTTGTAAAGTAGAAATAATTGTGTGTAGAGAAAACATTTAGATTTAAGTTTAATATTCAATGCTAAGCATGTATCATATGTCTTTCACTATGGAAATGTATATGATCGGTGTTAATCAACTGTTAAATGACAATTTTTTATTTATCATCAAATACATAAGCCTTTTTAAGTTCTTTTCTTTGATATATATACTTTCTAGACGACAGCAGAATTATTAGTTGCATTATAGTTTTCATTAAACGGTGTTTATTTTACTCGGGTGTTATGGAATTTTTAAAGTTCTATTTCTTAATCATCATGCTGTCACTTATAAGAAATGGGTTGAAGGTTAAAACAAAGCCAACCAACTGACTGCAGGATTTTAAAGAGTCAAAAGGAAATGTGCATAAAAGAAACTTGGTATTTCCGGCTCTATTATGGCAATGTTGATACTTGCGGTCGGTTCTGGGTGGCTATCAAGAATGTGCGAAACTTTCTAAGGTCATATGATACGGATAGTCATATTTACTTGCGGTTTTACAAACAATTATTTCAGATAGCCTCGAGACCAACGGCTTGTTTTTCCATGGATACGTAACACTGCATGAATGGAAGGAGGAGTATGGTAAAAAAGACAATAAACACGTGACAGGGGAATACTTTGTCAACCGCACATGGGGCATTTGTGTCAAGGATTGAAAATAATTGGTCATTAATCGATTTATAAATATTTGCCATAGATGATAAGTTTCGTATTGGACATGTTAAACGAAAAATTATTAGACTATAATCATATTTTGAATAAATACGTAGTTGATCTTGTGCAATGTCAACATCAGTAAGTAACTTCTCTTATGTAGGCCAACTTCAACATTCCTATTCTTCTTTAATCCTAATTTTTAGAAAGTTCTCTGTTACCCTTTATTATTTTGTACATTTGAATTCTAACCACACGGAGAAAATATCTTACTAACACATATTTCATTTCGACATATTTTCAAGTATTATAAAGACAGCAGCCTAGTTGCAGAATATTCTTCCCGAAGATCACAGGTTTTGTAATAATATATTAATATAAGTACATTACGGGAACTCCCTGCTGTCAATTATTTTCCACCCACAAAAGTTTGGGTGTCGTTCATTAGCTTTACACTAACCAATCACAGCTGTAAATGATAGAATGTATGTTTTGGGGAAGGGCTTTTGTGTTGTATCAAATGATTCACTAGGCAAATATTTAAACGGCAAAGCTTTAATATACCCCTTCATTGCAAATGTTTTATCCGGGAAGGAAAGAAGAATCATCTAAGAGTTCCGTTAGTACTTTGGCTTACATTTGCATAGCCGGTTGCATTTTCAGGAAGAAATTTTGAAAAGAGGACACTGATAGAACCCAACAGGTTAGATTTACTGTTGTCTAAATTATGAGAATTTGTTCACCACAATTATTGGTTATTTTTCTAAATTGTATCAAATGTATTTTACCGGTAAAAATATTTTCGCGCATAAAGTTAGTATAGATAGAACGTTGTAGCTAAACGATCGAGTTTCGACACTTAGCATGAAGAATAGACTGTCGTTTGTCATTTTTTGTTGTTATTGATGTGCAATTGTCGGTTTTTATGTAGTATAAGTTCCATGCGAATATTTCTGTCATATAAATGGCAGTTTATCTTCTCTGAGTTTGACAATTGCACATGCAGTAATGTCAATATAATCAGTCAAAGCTTTATTTATTGTTTTTGTGTCATAAATCTTTTTGTTCTCTTTATTTGCCGAGCGTTGATTTTAAACGTTGTGAGTCATTTCATTGGAATTTATCGCGCCATCCAAATCATTGAAAAATGCAACGCCCTCATTTACATTAATAGTAAAAAACAAACAATATTGCACCATCAACAACGGGAGACAAGAGCCTTCCTATGCGCCCTAAATTACAGGGACAAATCACATAAAGTACGCAACGCTTTCCTTTAGAATATGAAGCAATATCCGATAATTGTAACTGTATATATAGTTAATGATTTGTTAATAATTGTCTAATGAAAATATAGAAATGATGTCATCATGGCGAATGTTGAAGCGAGAAAGAAATGCGTGAAAGAAAATACGATTGAATCGTGTAAACTTTTGGTTGTAGTTTCTGTTTTGAATTGGAAAAAATCTTGCATATTGGTTGTGTTAATTTGAGATGTTTTTCAAAAGTAGAGAACTTTTCCCCTCCTTTGCTTTTTATGCAATTCAACTTTAAAGATCCTTTGTGTGAACCAGAGTAGAACCAGAAGTTATCAAATCGGAAGCAGAGATAGCCTCAATAATATTTTCATATTATTTGAATTTCGTATCTTTGGTAAACAATCAAACTTTAAAATATTATCATATATTTTGACAACATTCATAGAATTGCATGGGCTATATCATTTTTCATACTCAATATGTGTAAGAAAGTTTTATACAACATTACAACTATTATATCAGCTTGGACACTTTTTAAAATACCCCTAGCTTGTACTTTTTAAAAAGTTGTGTATAAATAATCGGGAGTTTCCTATTTCAATGTGGCGTTAAGGAATTTCCGTTCATTTTTGCGCATGCGTTTTACTGGCTATTTTAAGCACTAAGCAAGGCTAATACATAAATGTATATGTGTTAACATGATTAGTTTTCACTTATAAGTAATAACGTTTATAGCGACGAGATAAATAGCAACGATTGTATTGTGTGACGGTATGTCCGTCTTGATGGCACGTTGACATTGTGTTTATCATAATAGAAGATACAGAACTCTAAATCTATATATTTTACCATCAGCTGATCGTCATTTGGTATGTACGGCTAATATAGCTAAATCTTATAAAATAAGGACAACGCTATGTTGTCATTTAACAATAAAATAGTAAGATATGATCTCATTGAATCGATTAATGCTACAGATATCATAGTCATATTGCGTTATTTTGGTTTTATTTTTGAGGTCAATATCAGTAGAATATTTTATAATGGTTCCGAACATTTATAAATTTGCAGCAAATATTTCTAACTTCTAAACGTGGTGGAGGATTTCTTCACTCGTATCGTTGTATTCTTGTTGTATTTGATGCAACAACATTTATTATTTCACTTTGAACGTTATTTCATAATTGGGGTAAAATTCACATGATTTCTTAATCATGATTTGTTATCTTACAAATTACAGAAACTTGTGGTGTGTGGCGATTTATCAAAATCGTGAAATCTCATACATCATCTTTATGGGGATCTCTTTGAAACGCAGCAATAGCCGAAGACGAAGTCTTCGACGTACAGAAAGCAAGGAGAGGCAAGCAAGGAACCGCGAAGCTAGACTGAATGCCGCCAATATGCGAAATACTGACGTATCGTACGAAGAAAGAGGTCGCCTTAGTGAAATAGGATCTGCCCTAAGAGCTATGGGTGACAATTTAAACAACAGTCGCTCAAGTGGACTTGATGAAGCATCTGGAAACTAGAAGCGTACTTTTGTTATAAAATCTCACTTTTATTATTTTGTTTCATCTATTTGTGTCGTGATTTGTTGTTGTCCTTTCAGTTTATTGGAAAGCTTTAGTTATTTTCACATTTTCGCTTCAAAAATAATATAACATATACTATATTCTAATCATGTCATGGATAGCTTTACAATAGAACAATTTTATGGATTGATTGTCTTCAAGTGACGTTCAATGAGTGAGTTTGTCGGGCTGGTCCGGAATTCATTTCTCTTTAAAGTGCGTGAAACTGCACACGCGATGAAGACATGACCAAAATATTTCTTAAGCATTGCTCCTATTCGCGATAAAAAGTGTCAGAAGAGTAATATTGTGTTTTCGTAAAATATGTTATCGTTGATTACATATTTTAACTATATTACCTCAAGTAGCAAGCTTTTATTCGCCGTGCGTGGGCTGGGCCCCACCTAGAACATTTAGTGAATGCTTTAAAAAATGTAATGTCGTTGTTTAATCAATGATCGTTGATTATAGTTTGGTTTAACTAAATAAAAAACAAGACAACATTATGGCGTTTGTTCTTTATATTTAAGATACATGATTCCAATTGTATTGGTGGATTTTTGTCTTTCTTGCTATACTATTATGATCCATTATGGACTTAATATTTTTAACACTTTCTAATGTTTCAAGCCAACATAAATAAACTGCTGATGTCATAATATTGTCAAGCTAGAATGTCGCAAGTGTTCATCAAGATAAAAGTTGAAAAATTTCTATTAATCTAATTTGGAAATTGGATCTATTTATCTGACGTTTGAAGTGTTCGCGACGGGGTTCCTCTTGATTTTACCTCTTGTGATTGAACACTCAAATGATTTTTTAATTTCAAGAAAAGGAACATCAACCTTTCTATTAATTAAATATACCATTTGCGTTGTTTTCTTGCGCTATTCATTTCATGATTAAAGAATATTCGTAGGCCGTATCATGTAGCGCTAAGATTGCCTCGAACTCTAACCTCTGGTGACAGTCTTGTTTACTCCATTGCCACTTCATTTTTTCCTCATTTTTATCTTTTATACTTCTTTTGCAGGTTTTTTGATTTAATTATAATTTTTATAGATTTTCATATTTTTTTGATAGATCTTATAGAACGCGTTCTTTTCAATGAAATGCTAGAAAAAACAGCAACCGAAATTCTTGTTTAGTGAAGTAAAATATATCTACATTAACTATCATTGTATGGTGAGCTCATTTTCTCGACTTGAAACATTTTTTCTGTAGAATTTTTTACACTATTTCAATAACCTTTCTCTTTGTTTGGTGTGGCGTCGAGTTATTCGGCAAAAGGCATGAATGAAAACCCATGTCGATCAATAAGTAAGTCGTAAATAAAAAAATGAAAACGCTTCCTTTGACGTATTACTTTGAAAAACTGCATAAGATTAAAGTTTAGGTTTGTTCAGAAAGATGTTATAATAAAAAGGTTCCTCTCGAACTTTTTCGCTCGTGGCTACTCTTCCAATCTATTTGAACGCTGTTGAAGCAACATTAAACTTATTTTCGGGATATGTGAAACTTATAATTTTCTTTGTGTTTTGACTCTGCACTTTGTCGAGATCTGGAAATTCAACCAGCGAGTAGAATTTATCGAGGATCAGGTAGACATAAAGGTTGACATAAAAGTAGACATAAAGGTAGACGTAAAAGTAAACATAAAGGTAGACATAAAGGCTGACATAAAGATTGAATTGAAGGTTGACATAAATGTAGACATAAAGGTAGACATTAAGGTAGGCATAAAAGTAGACACTTTATTTGATTAGTGATTACGACTCGTTTGGTATGTATCTTAGAATCATTGATTGCCTAACTTTGTTTTCTCAATGAAAGAAAGAGCACCGCCCCAGAACGTAATGCCCCCTTTCCACATAATGTTTTGGGTGCGTGCGCTTCAGACAGTTATAAAATCAAGCAAAATGTCTATTTAATCTATGTTTCCATGACAAGTACTTCTTCTGAAAAGTTGAATGTTTGGCTTAAGCAAAAAAAGTGGACATAAAAGTAGACGCAATGGAGGAACCAAGTGAAGTTTGGAAGTAATTCTCGACAAAAACCGCACGCTATCCTGGAAACGTTTTTTTTTTTTGAAGTTATCACATGCATTGCAAGCGTTATAATTATTAGTAAACGCATGCTTTCATGGATATTAGTGATAAGATGTCCCTGCAAACCGAGGGAGATTTAGTAAAAGTCGGAAGGCGCAAATCAATAAATTTCACGAGGATTTAGGGTACATTTAATCACTGATGTCCCTAACAGCATGTGTTAACATGGTTGCAGAGGGTGTAATAAGTGCATCGAACTCTCCCGTTTGGCGATATTTTTATCAAACGAGTTCAAAGATTTGAATATCAATGGTGTTCAAAGCGTGTATTGTTTCTGGTCAGCGAGGGAACAAAGAAATGAATCGAGCTATTTAATTGTGATTTCTGTTATTGAATTGGTTCATTGAATATGCGTAAGAATTTGCTTTGCAAAAACATTTGGTAGTTTAAATCTTGTTTAAGGTCTTGATGGTTGATCATCAGTTTTTATAAGTAAGTGACAAGGAAGTTGCACATGCGAAGGAAAGACAATTTCTGTTACCCCTCGACGACATTAATGGTGAAGCAGGAATGATTTAAAGCTTTATTGTAATAAAGAGTTCCACGATTTTGAACTAAACGCAAAAGATTTACTCGTTTCCCAAGTATCGACGATCTAACCGTCGAACAAGAGGATCTAAAAAGTTGACTTTTATCTTTGTAAACTTGCTCTCGAAGGAGTATGGTTTCAATGGACTTGCGGAAGACATCTTGTCATTAACCTTTTCCATTCATCACAATTGAAAATGATTCAGGTGTGGAAAATTCAAGAAGCAAGCAGAAGCAATTTCTACATGAAACGAGAAGGAAATGTAAAAACATGGCGTACTTGTTTTGATGTTGATGGAGGTATTTTGTCTTAACATTGATGAGGGATATTTAGAACTAAATATGCTTCGTTCCTGTATTTGGAAGAAAATACGTCGGTATGTGTTCCTGTTATAACAACTAATTTCTTCGACGCAGTATTTAGAGATGAATATTGATGTAACATCAACAGCAATGAAAAAAATCAAGGGCATCAACGAAACAAGCCGAATAAAATGGGAAATGTAGTTTGGTATTATGAAGGTAAACAGTATTCTTAAACAATACAGCTCAACATCCAAACGACGAAGCAGAAAACCAAACTGATGACATCCACTTAAAGATGCTTCTTCCATAAGGCTCTTAGCTACCTAAAACAACACCTATATTCAACATTGTTTGATTGACCGAAAAACGAAAAGAAAATCCACAAGTGCCATTCGTAAAAATTCACCAACAACTATTGATAACAGCTGCTGAAAGAAATTTGAAAACGGCAAAACCATTGTGAAATATGCAACGGACGTACTTCCTTCGATATCATTGGTAAAAAAGATCTCACGTCTAATGTACTGCTGTTGTGTGGTAAGACTACATGACGATAAACGAATTTCTCTGGCAACTAAATGCGTTTTGATTTATCCGTAATGTTCTTAAAATGTCAATGGCTTAAAAAGTTGATGTTAGGAATATATATTTACTTAGTGCGAATTATATATTGTTTGAAAGACTTATTACTTTTCTCTATCTTTTTCAAAAGAAGACATAAGTAACTATAGATGTTTTGCTTTTGTATTACCAAACTAACATTAATATAAATGTATTTATTTGTAATACTTTTTCAGTCTTTATATCAACACTCGACTACGAATATGATTTTTGGTTTGTTGCTTTATCTTTAGCTGGAAGTGATCTGTTATAATTTTGATTCGAGACCTTCAATGGTCTATTTTTTGCATTAAATCCTTCAAGGTAGGAATGGCACTTTAAAATGACCAGGTGTCTTCAACGAACTCTCTGGTCTAGTGGATAGACACAACCTTTCGAGGTTGAGAGTGGAGGTTCGAACCCTGTCTGGAATAAGATGTAACTATGCTAAGGATGAATAAGAAATAGGAAAATAAGGAAATAGTGCTGGTTAATAGAACAAAAGTGGGATTTCTATTACTAAACTTTTCGAGAATGGAATGCGACACTTAGTATAAATTCAGAAAAAAACGCTCTCCGATGAGAAGGAGAGCGAAGAAAAAAAGATAGGATCCCATGCAAAAACCACTCTTAAAAACTAAGTCTTTTGCTCAAATTTTTATGACTCCCTGTGATCAGGGAGTTATTTTTTTAAATTTTGAAAAGTCAGGAAACCCAAGAGCAAACAGAACGCCCTAATCATCCCTTTCTTACTTCCAGGCACTTGTTCCTCAGTTCGACTTTCTGTCTTCCACATCTGCCGCGTACACCTGCCAAGTGTGTTGGCAGAGGGGCGAACCAAGGATCTTGTGCACCGGAGGTCATTGATGTCGAACTAAACGCCCAACATCGGCCAGTTGAGCTAACCGCTCATCATCGAAAGCTCTATGTTTTTTGGAGTATTTGTTAAATTTTTCAATGTGAAGCGAAAGAAAAGGAGAAGGTCTTGAACCTTAGATGGTCTTGAACCCGAGAAGGTGAGAGCACTGCACCGACATCTTTACCACTCGGCCAGACGGGTGAATTGGAAAACCGTTTAAAACATGTCAAGTGTTTCTGACTAAACAACATTGCCTTCATTTCTCTTGAGGCTCACATTTAATACTGTGTTTATTTTGTTCTTCGTCACCATCATTGCAAAGATGAAGAAAGAGACTTACTAGGCATTATAGTTGTTCAACTCAAACATTGCAGGAGAGTAAATGATATAACCGAAAGGAGGAAGACCAATGAAGTATGCACAATGTCAGACATTGCCATGTGGTAAATCAGAAAAACAACGCGCATGTTCGTAGTCAATTTAATGGCGCTGGGAGTTTCTAACTTGTCTGTTCAAAGTTAAATAAAATATTTTTTACCATCATGCATGATAATATTGTAATGGTTTGTACAAAAGCATATGGTTCCTACAGAACAGTATCCACTTACTAATTTTACAATCTTGCCATGTCTTGAGTGTCATCATTTCAACTATAGTCAATGTAATCAATATAGCCAATGCGGTTTTTGTCGACATTTGTGTCTATCTTCTTGTCTACCTTCTGTGTCTGTCTACATTTTCATAGGACAAAGTTCTCATTTTGTTGAACACGACAATTGAAAAAATTAGTCATTTCATAGTCGAAAGTATTCGAAGTAATCGAAGGTAGTCAATTCACGCGACGCGATGTGGTAAATCAGGGCAGTGACGAGCATGTCTTAGGTCATATTTTCCGATGCAATGGCGTCGAGATCATTTGACTTTATGTTTGAACTAACTGAACTATTTTTTATCATCATAACGCACCAACCATATTCTTTTCAATGTTTGTTTTGGTTGCACACAAACAAGAGTTTAATAGCAAGGACAAAGAAACCTATGAAATGACGTCTTTTATGATATCGTCTTTTGCACAATGACAACTTTTTCTCTTTTATGTAAT